AATAAATAGCTAAATAGAATATTAGAATTAGATATTAGAGACTTATTTAAGGACCTATATTAATTACTAATAAATTAATTAAATAGACTAACTAGATATAGTAGAATTTATATATAATAATATAAAAAATATATTATTAGGAATATTCTCTTATAAGATATAATATAGTTACTAGCTAGTATTACTTAAGCTTACTAATATTAGGGACTCTAGCATGGTTATAGTAATAGGAGAATAATTTAACTAACTATAAGTAAAATATTATTAGCTAGAAGAAAGCCTGTACCATGCTATTAAATAGTAAGTAAGGAGCTATAATAGAAAATATTACCTAACTAAATACTATATAGGTTAATAAATACTACTATTAATAAAGAATATCTATATATAAAGGCCTAGTAAGAAGCTAGATATTAAATATAAAGGGCTATTTAAAATAGTTAAGGTAATAAATTAATAAGTATACTATCTATAATTATCTAGATTATATAAAAAAATCTACCTAGTTTTTTATATATTACTCCTTAAGGAATAAAATATAAGAGATAGTAATTTATTAGTACTATCTTAGCTAGTTATTATTAATAATAAGGAAGAATAGAAGGTAGAATAGATTATTATATAATAAAAGTTATATAGTAAAGATTAATACCTGGTTAAATAGAAAGAATAGCTAATATATAAGAATACTTAATAATTAATAAAAGACTTAAAAAATATATAAGATATTCTAAATAAGTTTTATTATATAAATAAGATATAGGCAAGGTACTAGTAAAATATTATAAAATAATAAAATATAATAATAATAAATTAATAAAATTAAGGAATTAAAAAAATTATAAAAATATATTAATAATATTATTTTTTTTCTTTTTTTTATTAAATTTTAAGATTTAATAGAGGTATACTATAGATATTAAAGAATTTTAAGAAAATAACTTAATTTTATTATATAAAAATAAAAATAATAAAATATCTATACTATAATATTAATAAATTCTTAATTATTATAATTATTCTAAACCTTTTTATTATTATTCTCTAACTCTATTATATTATCCTTAATATATTATATATTAAGCAGGTAAAATATATTATAATTAATAAATTAAAGTAATCTTTTTATCTAGTTCTTAGTCTTAAGATAATAGATAAAAATCTTAGTAGTATAAGCTTATTAAGTATAGGCTACTATACCTACTATTTTACTAGATATTACTTAAATTTTCTCAAGACTAACCTATATAGGCAGGATAATAAGGAAGTACTTTTTATATAAGTAAGTATATTAAATATACTATTATTCTAAGTTTGAGTATATATAGGAATAGACTTCTATAAGATTATTATCTATATACTACTAAGATTTAGTATAATGTAGGTAATATAGTATCCATGTAATAGTGGCTGGGCTAGTAGAGGTAACTGGAATGGTTAGAGTAGCTAGGGCTATAGTAATAGTAGGAATGATAGGAGCCGGCATGATAACAGGAGCTAGCGTGATAATAGTAGTAGGAGTAGCTAGAGTCACTGTAGTAGAAGAAGTAGAGGGAGAGGTAGTAGGAATTATTATAATATTAGGAGTAGCTATAGAGAATAAGGGAGATATAGTCTTACTAGATAATAAAGTAGTAATAGCAGGAATTATAAGAGATATACTAGTAATAATAGGGGTTATAAGTACTATAATTAATATAGATATAAAGAGGTTTACTATAAGAGTCTATAAATAGTTAGTATAATAGATTTATACTACTAGAATAAAGATACTTATAGAGAAAAAAATAGTAGTAGCTAAATAGGTTCTCTTCTATAGAGATATGGCTAGTATAATACTTAATAGAGGATATTTTAAGAGAGCTATAAGATTTATAATATAATTAATTATTACTATAATATTTAAGTAATAATAACCTACTTAGTATAATATATTAATTTATTAGAAGGGACTTTTTAAAATATAGATTAGGCTAGAAAAAGTATATATAAAGGAGTATTCCTCTATAATATTTATACTATAATAATATCTTTATTTATTACTAGTATATCTAGTAAATTACTTACTTTTATTTATTATTTTATTTAAAGTAAAATATAATATTATTTATATTTTATTTAATAAAGTATAATTAATAAAGATAATATTATATATATTATTATTATTTCTAGTATTAAATAAAAAAGTAGATTATATTATATTAACTAGGACTAGCTCTTCCTTAATAGAGTATTAAGCTAGATTAGGTATAGTACATGCAATATATAGACATGCTGCTAAGGAGAGGGGAGGTAATTATTATAGTAACTATATAATATATAATTATATACTAAACTATATACTAAATTATATATCTAGTAACTAAGGATAATTAAGAGAATAGTAATATTTAAGTTACCTATACTATACTAGTAACTTAACTAGATAATATAAATAGTAATATAATAACCCCTAAAATACTAAGAGGCAAGTACTTTATTTTATTACTTCTAATACCTTCCTACTACCCTCATACTCCGTGTAGCTTTGCTTCCTTTACCAACACTACCCATACCCAAGCGCCTCGCCAGCGAGACGCTTACAGGCTCATAACCTAATAAAGGTTATTAAACTATAACAGTAGAAAGTTAACTAAAATAGATTTAGGGTTTTGTTAACGCCACACCCTGTATCAATCCAACCACACCCCTTCCCGATCCTGCCACACCCCCTAACCTGATAATGCCACACCCATTTATCACATGATGAAAATATTACATGTAGAGTTAGATATCTATTTTCTATTATAGTATACAATTCAGGCAACATGTCTAAACTATTAGACTAAAAGGTTACTATAATTAGACCTAATAGTCTGATCTGCCCGAATCCCACCTTATATACCTAGCAATCATTTGCCTTGGCACCAGTATACCTAGTGCATGCCATGATAACTATCTCCTTCCTTAAGATAAGGCTTGACCGCAAGCTAACTAGCATATATTTAGTAGGGACCCCCAGTCCTAAGCTAGCTAGGCTAAGCTAAGGGCTGTGAGCAGGTAGGCATGGTTCAAATCTGGTAGTGCAACTAGGTCTAGCGGGATTCAACCCAGCCCTAGCACCTATTTAGGTCTAGCGGGATTCAACCCAGCCCTAGTACCTATTTAGGTCTAGCGGGATTCAACCCAGCCCTAGCACCTATTTAGGTCTAGCAGGATTCAACCCAGCCCTAGTACCTATTTAGGTCTAGCGGGATTCAACCCAGCCCTAGCACCTATTCAGGTCTAGCGGGACTTAACCCAGCCCTAGTACCTATTCAGCCTAGTGGGACTTAACCCAGCCCTAGTACCTATTCAGCCTAGTGGGACTCTCTACCCAACCCTAGCACCTATCTAGGTCTAGTGGGACTATCCAACCCTAGGACTTAATTATCATTATTACATATATAATGACACCAGCCAGATTTGAACCACAGCCATCTACCTATCAGGTCTGATCATAGTAACCTTTTAGTCTAATAATATAATATATTACCTAAATTATATACTCTTATAACTAAACCATATATAGTAAGAAAAAAGATCACGTGATAAATAGGTGTGGCATTATCAGGTCAGGGGGTGTGGCAGGATCAGGAAGGGGTGTGGTTGGATCGATACAGGGTGTGGCGTTAACAGTCCCCTAGATTTAATTAGATCTAACTAGGAGATAGAGAGATGCTTGGAGGAAGCATGGAGATCTGGAAGGAAATAATAGCCTAAATACACAGAATAGTCATGTATCACTATCTTCTTCTTTATGGTGATGCTGCTTTATGGTGGTGCTGGTTGCATTCACTGAGTGCAGCACTCCAACATATACTACACATTACCTTTGATAGTTAAACCCTACGCTCTCTTGGCCAGAATATTGTGGGCTACCACGATACCATCTGTTTGTCTCAGATCTAGATTCAAAGCTGTATATTCCCCCAGGATCTCTTAAAGGCTACTGGGTATTGACAATATCAAGTCATCTTTCAAGATGACAACAGTACACTCATTCTCTTCTAGTTTAAAGCTCTGTGACCTGTACACCCGCTACTATATTTCTGGCCAGAAACGCGACGCAACCAATTTGGGGTTGAAGTCATCCCCAGACTTATCGGACTCCTAAGGAGAAGGATATCCAAAGTGCGCGTGATCTCTGGGTTGAGCATGCAATGCAAGCGTACATTCGTCAGAAGGTCATCATGAACCCTACCATAGCCACAGTCATCTAGTAAGTATACACAGGCTATGCCTGTTTTATCTTCCTGCACTGCAAGTACATCCACTGACAAAAACGAAATCGGGTTGGACTTCTATTCAGCTTACCAACCTTGCAACATGACTCAAGATCACCAGTAAGGAGTACGTTAGCGGCGTGGGAATACACATCATCGCCAGCACCTTCGACACTACAATAGCCTTGCGGTATTGATAGCTCCTGGGAATATGAATGGAGGGCTCGAAGCTAATATCAATGGCCAAAGGGTTTTTGGCATGGGTCAGTTTCTCAACACTCCATGGGATGTCACTAAATATTTTATCAATGACGAAAACAATAGACCACTATGCCTATGAAACAAGCTCAGCTCAAGGAATTATGGCCCGCACCTTTCGACTCGCTTGCAGTTCAGAAGACGAGCGTGAGTGTAGTGGTAGTATATTCTACTATGACGATACTTCCATTACCCGATATAACTACAGAGTACCACAAGGGGGTGTAAATTCCCTGTTTCTTTGCTCTCGAAATTCCTCACATGTAAGGGGAAACAGGAGAAGTGCCTTAAAACTAAAAAAAACGTTAGGGTTCATTATCTTGTTCTTGTTGAAGCGCGGTCTTAACAAGCACCGAATCCTTCCAGTTAGCGGCCACGGATACGTTCTACTTCGTATGTGCCTGGGCAAATTCGGAACCCCCACACTTGAGGGGATGGTATAAAAGTAGGGTTATCCATTTGGTACGTCTGCTGATGTCCAACCCCCCACTCAAATCCCTTCAACTCGTAGAGCTTTTGGATCAGAGAGTTCGCATCAAAGTATCCTTACGGTACAGAAATAATCTTCTTTAACCACCTCATACAAATCCGAAAGCAATTTTCTACGCCATGGGGTCTGCATACAATATTCAAGAGCTCATTGAAACATATATCCAAATACCCCTTCCCGAGCTTGCGGTCCAGGAGGTGATCTCAAAAGCTCCATTTGTAACAGTGCCGGGGCTGTTTAACTTGCGCGATATCAGCAATGTTACTTCTGGTTCATCACAATTTCCTCCGATTATCCGCCCCGGCCTTATTTATCGCGCAGCAGCACCTCCTCCCACGGTCTCCGAGGATGGCAAGACCGCGTTGACTAACCTCGGCATCACGAAGCTTTATGACTTGCGCCGGCCCGATGAACGAGTCCACAGACCCAGTCCTATTGTTGATGGGATTGAGGTCGTTTGGGTTCCATACGCCGGAGAGGCACCCCGACCTGGGGATGCACACCCTAATATGGAAAAGGGCATAGAATCCATGATCCACATGTATATGGGGTACTTGGAGTTGCTTCTACCGCACTTTAAGTTGGTGTTCGAACATATTCGGGATGCGCCGCAGAAGCCCCTTCTCTTTCATTGTTCAGGTCAGTTATGGAATCCCCTGATTTTCTTTGCAGTGAAGGCATGGATAAGCTGATTCTGCGTGGGAACTTTAGCTGGCAAGGACCGCACTGGTGTTCTTGCTGCTCTGATCCAGCGTCTAGCAGGGAGCCCAGACGACGCCATCATCCAGGACTATACTCTCACGCGCATTGGGATTGAACCCGGCCGTGAGTCACTAACGAATACGATTAAAGCCCTCTATGGCACGTCCGCGATTGAGAATCCCATGCAGCTAGTTTCTTGGGGTGTAAACGCCGCCACTATGACTGGGTTCCTGAAGGCCGTCGACGACACGCATGGTGGAGTAGAAGGATATCTCAAGGAGAACATGGGCTTTTCTGACAAGGATGTGCAAATCATGATCCACAACCTGCGCCAGGACGCGACGATTCAATGACTGATATATTCTTCTAAATTTTTTTCTTTAGATTCCTGTGAATGCTAACGAAGCTACTTCTTGTTCATCTGACTTTCTCACCAGTTTCTATATAAACAAAGACCTTTTGCCTGATTAACCCTGTTTGAAAATAGTAGCTACTAAGTCAGCAGGCTACTTCATTTTAGTCGGGATATCTGACATTAAGCAAGCCAAATCTATATATGCAAAAGTCTACAGGCTCTTCACGGCCTTGGAAATATTACGATTTTATTAAATCATTCTCAGTTGCCGCGAATCGGGTCTCTGAATTTAAATAACAATGGCGAAATCAGTCACCTACCAGATAGTAGAGTAGCTATCCATGACCTGAATGATGGCAAGGAGCAATTTGCTACTTTCCTTATAATGCACCCATGCCACACTACTAGTTTACCACATAGACGTCAAGGCTACACTGATAAGTCACGCGAGAGTGTGGTTTATGTAGCGGGATAGTGGGAGTCGTGATTTGCAATTACTGTTATAGCACATTTGGGACATGATCGAGAATATAGCTCATAGTATTCGATGCGACATATTACTCTAGCAGGCCATTATCTGCCCTTACTCCCACTTTCTGGTGATTCTGCCAATCTCATCATGGGACTATGTTGGTGAGCAAACGCTCCGGAAGTTTTAGACTTTATACAAAGTAATAAGTTGGATGGTATAGTCAGGGTGGTCCTATCCTTTCTATTACACCTGATATTAAAGCTTTCCCTTAAAGTTTATGAAACTAAAACTTCCTCCACTTCTTATCAGTGTTGCATGTTTCCCTTATAGTAGCATGGTTGCAACTGGTCAGTATGAGCAAAGATGTAAATGAAGGGGAGAAAAGATGGGTAGATAGAGAATGGGATAGGATGAGGTTGAAGGAGTGGGAGACAGAGATTATGATGGGACCAAAAGTAATTCCCTCTATAAGGGGAGGTTCCTTCACATTCCCGCTGTACATAATAATTACATCATAATTCATGTCATAACTCCTTCCCCCTTAACAGTAATGTGGTCTGAATCGTTATTTCCTCCCTCCCCTCGTCAACTTATATGTTGAGCAACAAACAACAATACTGCATCAGGACGAAATGGTTGTCTAGGCACCTTTTTAGCTGAACGGTAAAGTTGACATTATATCAAGCTAGTCAGACTGTTCTGTGCTTGTATAACTCTTCCGAACCTGTCACGATGAGTTCTAATACTCAGACTACCTCTGGGCCCGGATTCCACGCCATTAGCCACGCTACAGGAGCCGATATGGCGTATAGCGATCTTGCTTTTGTCACGACTCACCCACCTGATGTCTCTCCCAGAAGCCGGATTGTTGCCGTTTGCGGCATTTCTGATGATGGGGATCTCGCCTCTCCAGGAGAAGACGGGTGGTTTTTTAGTGACTTTTATCTTTTCCATTACTTGTTCCATCCAATGTGTAGGTATCAAGTGTCTACTTGGCTATATCTCTATTCTAATGATGTGCGTTCTATCTAGATACTAACACATCAAGCCAAATTTGGCTGACCTGCGAGGAGCCGCAACACTTGATCGAGAAGTACGGGGAGTACGCTCACGGTGATCCTCGCAACGAGCGCCGAATCGTGCTAGATAAACATCTTCTTTCTGGAATCGACCTTGCAGGCAACCTTCATGTGGTGCCAAAAGCCATTCTCCTCGAGCGATTTGTTAAAACAGTGGAGGAACAAGCTGCATACGCCAAGCGGGACGGGCAGCACCTGATTATTTTGATATTCGCCCACGGGCAGCAGAATCCGAACGGTACATTTCTTGGATCCGAAGACGAAACTATGCTCCTAAACACAGAGCACCTCCAACGAGCTATCCCCCGGGGAACGAAGGTCACACTGATGCTAACATCATGTTACTCGGGTGGTTGGCTCGTTCAGCCGGAGTTGGGCCACAGACGACTGCTCAACGCTACGGGGATCGCCGCCTCTGGGCCTGAAGACGAAACAAAATCCTGGTCACTGAGTCGCAGCGCGGGCAGAGCGTGTGGGAGCACGATTGCTACCGCCATTTTGAACGAACTTATCCAGATTGAAGAGGCAGCAGGAAGCGATAATTCTCCACAATCTCACCCAACATATATCGACCTGGCAACCTCAATTTATGACAGGGCCATTAGTCTCGATACATTCTTCGCCGATCAAAACGTCCATTTTTCTGCGCAAGATGATGATTGGGAAGCTCACTGGCGAGCCCGCGTCGGCACTCCTCTCGTCCAGTACAAAGCCCGCTGGGAAATGTTACGGCAGGTGGCACCAAGTGGCACTGGGTTTCCAAATGCAAATTCAACTCCTTCTAATAGACGCCTTGGATCCCTGAAAAAGGATTTGGGAAAGCTTTCACGCGAATACTTCGCCGCAAATCCTGGCCGTGACAGCTTGGCCTCGAATGTTTCTCTGCATAGTGGCATAGCCCAAGTTTTGATCTTTGAAACCCCTATGTTTTCGACTGTCGAAAAAATCCAATCCCTGCTGAACAAGATCCTCTATCGTCTGAATGCCATGAAAGAGACTGATGAGTACGTTCAGGCCATGGGCCTGGAGTTCCCGAGCTGTTTGGGGTATAATATTGAAACCCAATTCCGACCAAGTGCAGCCGTTCAAGCGAGAAGAGACTTTGCATATAAACATCTTCTAAGAGTGAGGATCTTCCCGTCGCCCGTTGCAGCTGTTCGGCCTGCCCTTACAAAACCGAGTAAGTTTCTTGCCATTGCCTTGGCAGAGAGGTGTAGTTCCCAGGATGAAATAGAGGAGAAAGTAGAGAAAGCTCTCGAGTGTATGTCAATTCTTCCCTTGCTTTTTCTTCGGTATTGTGTTAAAATTGTATCGACAGGGCGAAAGCTGAGAGCAAATAACCTGTTACCTTACCTCCAAGCCCACAAAATAATGAACGAAAGCCATATCAGAAGCAAGCTGAAGGCTTGCTTCGCTGGACTAAGGGACGCAGGACATAGGCTCTATGTGAAAGCACAGGTTATGACTCCCAGCCACCAGGGATACACGGCAGTGTCAACAGATGAAATCCCGACATTTTAATTTAATGACAGTAGGCATTCGGATGGCGATCTAGATGCACGGCGGGCCTAGAAATTGCTGCACTGTTTCGTGAAGCTTTATTGTGTCGATGCTGGTCTTTGGGAGTAGCGAGTTGCTATCTAATTTAATAAGGGGACTGTTAACGCCACACCCTGTATCGATCCAATCACACCCCTTCCCGATCATGCCACACCCCCTAACCTGATAATGCCACACCTATTTATCATATAATGAAAATATTATATGTAGAGTTAGATATCTATATTTAAATTTATTAAAATAAGTACCTATAAAAGTAATAAAATATATATTATTTAAGTAATTCTAATTATATAAATTATTAGCTAATTAGAAGTTAGTATTTAGAATTTATTTCTATATAGTAGTATATCCTCTATACCTCTAATTACCTCCCTATTTTTTATATTTTCTACCACATCTTCCACGCTGCGAGGTTGCTGGCTTGGTTACTAGATTGGTAGCCTGTAAGGTTGCTAGCTTGGTTGCTAGCTTGGTTGCTAGATTAGTGGCCTACAAGGTTGCTAGCTTGATTACTAGATTAATTACTAGATTAGTGGCCTGCAAGGTTGCTAGTTATAAGTCTGTTAAATATTATTACCCTAATTAAAAAGAAGAATACTAACTATTCTATTCTTTATAAGTTAATAATCTCTCCTACCTTCTCTATCTCTCTTATATTCCCTATAAGGTATTAAATTCTCCTATACTAGGATACAAGCCGTAAACCCTCGCTACGCTTGGCGTCTTGTAGGTTGGGCTATAAGGTAAATTACTAAGCCGCGCTAGACCTAGTATAGACCATAAAGAATAAAGAAATATAAAGAATAAATATTATATCTATAAACTAGCTTATTTAAATTATATAATATAAAATAATTTTACTATTTAGATTATTTCTAAAAGGGTAGAATAATAAATTAGTAGGAATATATAAGTTTTTATCCTTAATTATAGATTATAAAACTATATAATTATCTAAAATATCTAAATTAGTATTATAAATATATCCTCTACTAATAATAGTACTAGAGTACTAGCTATCTAGTTCCTTAATCTTACAATTATAAGCAGAAACCTATTAGCTAATATAGTTAAATTATCTGCCCTCCCTACCCTCTACAAGCCAGTCTTACAGGCCACTAGCACCAATCTTAGCAGCTTGAACACTACTCATGTGGTCAATTACAAGACTATAATAATCTAGGTTACTAGCTTTAAGAGACCAGGAAATAATACTTACTTATATTACTAGAGAGGCTTTAGCCTATTTTTATATTATATAATATCTCTAGGCTAGTTCAGTAGTATATATACTAACTACTACTAGAATAGTAGTAGCTTATATTACTCTTACTATAGTATATTATTCTTCCTATAGACTATATATATTAGCTAATATATCTAATAATAGATGTTTAAGTGGGCGAGGAAAAGGAAGAGGACAAAGAGGAGGATAAAGAGAAGGATAAAGAGGAGGATAAAGAGGAGGATAAAGAGAAGGATAAAAAGAAGGATAAAGAGAAGGTAGATAAGGAGGTAGTTTACTACCTAATATACTATTATACAGCCCTATTAGCCTGCTATATATACTAGCTATTTATAATAATAGTAACTAATTTTAATATAGTAGTAGCTAGCCTTATATCTATAACTCATGCAGCAGCTATAATAGCTAATAAATTTATAGATAATATAGGGTTTGTAATAGCTAGTAATAAGAATAATAATCTTAACTCTATGGACTATATAATACTAGGGAAGGATAAGAAAGAGGATAATAGGAATAATAGGGAAGAAAAATAGGAGAGATTTAGTAAATAAAATTTACTAGTTTTAGTATTTTAATCTAGATATAGGCTATAATTAAGGGTAGGATCCCTAATAAATATATAAAAAAAAGAAAATTAACTATAAAATCCTATAAAAATTATAGAATCTTTAAATAGATTATATTATATATAATCTTTATATCTAGTTCTATTAAGATTATTAGCCATATAATATCTATAATATAAGAAAGTACTATATATAACTAACTATAAGAAAAGACTAGTAATTATAGATTAAGACTTATAGTCTATAATAATTAATCCTAGGACTTATTAATAGTTATTATAAAATAGGGATAGACTAGAAATTAATACTAAAATAGCTTAAAGAGGAATTTTAAAGTCTTTAAATAAAGAATAATATAGGAAATTATATAAATAGTCCCTATATAATTATCTATAAGAATATAGCTAATAATTAAGTACTTATCTAGACTTATAATAAGTAATTAAGTACTATTATAAAGGCCTTCTACTAGTTATAAATTATATAATACTATAATTAGTATATCCTTCTTTAACTATAAAGTAGATAGTAGCATGCCTAGAAAATTAATTAAGATAATATAATTATAGGTAAACTCTTTATAGCTAGCTACTATATTATCTATTAATATCTTATCTATTATATAATAAGGAGTTTCTAGCCCTAGTAAATAGGTAGTAATTTTATTATTAAACTTATTTAATCCTATATTTTAGATTACTAGAATAGCTTAATTTATAAAAAAAGTATTATATAAAGAACTCTCTAGAACTATAAATAGGAAGATATACTTATAAAGATTATTAGTAGTTCTTATATAGCTCTATATAATATAGCCTGGAAGGGTAATTAGGCTATTTAGACTAGGGTTATAAGATATATAGCCTAGCTAGTCTATATATTTATAGTTTATACTAGTTAGGAGTAGATATATATTATAAGTAAAGTAAAGAATTATTAATTATTATTAGAAAGGAGACCACTATAGACAAGCTACTATTATTATAGATTATAATACCTTAATAATTACTAGTAGGGTCTAAATAAAGTCCCTACCTATAAGAATTAGGACTCTATTAAATAGGTAATTATTCTTATAAATATCTTAAAAAATCTAATTTATTACTTTAAAGTTATAATAGTACTATATTAGTACTTTATTCTAGATAATTAAGTTAATCTTATATAATTAATAAGCTAGATTAGACTATAAAAGAATAGAGCACGTGGATATCTTATTTAATTTAAAAAAAATATAAAATATTAAATAAGCTATATAACTATATAGGAGGAGCAAAGTAGTAATACCTAAAGAAATTATATAGACTACCTACTTCCCTATAGTCTAGAGATAATAATAAATAGCCTAATAAAGAAATATCTTACCTATACTACTAGGCCCCCAGAGGAAGAAACTAGCTACAGTCCTATTAAGAATAGCTATAACAACCTAGTTAAAGTAATTATATTAATTATTATTTAGATTACCTACTAATTATAGGGCAATTTTAGCTAGATCCTCTAGTAAGGACTATTTTAATATAATATTAGTATCTACCCCTCTTAACTAGAGTATTATATCTAGCTCGCAACCTTATACTCTCTAAGAAGCGGGCAAATTATACTACCCTAAGGTAGAATTATAAGTCTAAAGAATATGGTCTAAAAGAAAGAGACCTAAATTAAGATATAATTTATTAAAACCTGCAGGAACTACTATATACTCCAGGTAATATAATAAATTATTATAGATATTATTTTTATATATATTCTAAAGGGCTAATAAATTACTAAACTTATTAAATTATAAAGTAATTATAAAAAGATTATATAGAGCTAACCTAACCTTATAAATCTTTACCTTATTAAAAGCTATATACTATTTATAGTTATTTTCTAATAAATTTATAACTCTGCAGGTATCCTTAAAAATTAGATATAAAATATTATTAATTATATATAGGTCCTTAAAAGAGATGGGGCTTATTTTAATAATTAGGAGTAAGTATATATAGAATCTCTTACTATAATTAGGGCTGCAATAATATAAGTAATTAATTATAAACCCAGCCTAATAAGGCCTCTATATATATCTAGACTAATCCTAGGTAAAAATCTATAATATCTAACTATAAAGATAATACAGGAGACCCTGGAGAACTATAGTAATATTATAATAGAAAAATATTATTAAAGGAGTATAGAAATAGGCTAATTAAGTCTTTAAATAGGCTATAGTATTACCTATATTATAAGAAATAATATACTTCCCAGGCTTATAAACCTAAAAAGCTATAACTAGAAGCTATTCCTAGTATAATAGAAATTATAGAATATAGTAAATACTCTCTAGTAAACTAAAATAAGTAGATTTTATATAAATTTTAACCTTATTAATTTTTATAATCTATAGAGTTATATAGTCCGGATCCTTATAAATATATTTTATAATATATTTAACTATATTAACTCTATAATAGACCTTAATATTTACATGAGACTAGTATTACTTTAAAAAATATAGATTATATAGGACTACTTACTTATCTATAATTAAAAATTTTCTTCCTAATAAATCTTTATTAAAGGCTATATAAGAATAATAATAATATTAATATTAAGAATACCTATACTTATTTAGCCAGGTCTCTAATATGCAGGCCTTTAAGAAACCTTTAGTATAGTAAACCTTATTAATAATATTATTCTTAAAGAATCTTATTCCATAATATAGAGTATATAAATTAAATACTAGACTATAGGGCTAGTAAACTATATAAGTATAGACTAGATTATATAATTCTAGATTATTTATAGGATTAGGCAGCTCTACTAAGATTACTTAATTAATATAATAAAACTCTAAAAAATAGTCCCAGCCCTCTAAAAAGAGTAATAAATATATATATAATAGATTATACTTCTAATATTTAATAGTATAAAATTAGTTAATAACTTTTTTAAAGATATTCTTTATATATAGGTCCTTAACTAGTATAGCCTACTTTAACTTAAAGATATATATAACCAACTCTAGATAGTTATCTAGAGTTTAGCTAGGTAGTAGTTCCTATATAATTTTATTCTAATAAGAATTTACTATAAAAATAATAAAGAGAGATAGTAATCTATAAAACTAGTAGATTACTATAGTATCCTAGAATAGCTATTATATATATTAAGGACTACTAACTATAAAGGAAGGGAAGATAACTTTCTAACCTATATTAGTAAGTATATAAATATTACTATCTATATAGACTAAGGCATCCTAAATATCTATATATAGATTAAATTATATAATATTCTAGTTCTACTTAACCTAGTTAAGCCTAGACTGGTAAATAGTAGCCCAGGTATTAACTAAATACTGCTACTATAGCTAACTAGCCTATAGCTAGGGACTAAAATGCCCATGATACTAGAATAAGTAATAGGTGTGAAATACTCAGGCTATAGTATAAGAGTTTTACCTCTCTTTATTAGGGTTATCTAGCTGCAAACCCTAATACTAGCTAGTATTATCATGCAGGAATAGTACAGGATATTATAATAGAAGGTAGGAGGCATGGCTTGAGTTAATATAGGTCAAACCTAGACTATTATTAGGCTAATATAGCTATAAGATAATATTCTAAAAGGTATACTAATTAAAGTTATCTATAATATTAGGCATGATAGCTGTGACCTTATTATAGGTAAGGATATTATAGTAGTAATAGTCTATATCTTCCTTTATAATTAATTATATATTAGAGGTAAATATAATATTAATAAGAGTATTATAGATCTTTACTATATTTAATTATTCTAGAGTAGTCTTATATAATAAGATAAAGGAATTATACTTTAAAAGAACCTGTATAATATAGCCTAGGATAAATATATTAAGGTAAGGATCTTAAGTATGGTAGATCTTATTATTATATACTAGATTATAAAGCTAAACTTATATAAATATTAGCTACTTACTATCCTTAATAAGTAAGGGGCTGTGTATATAGTATAACTAGCTATAGATTTAAAAAGAACCATGACCTAAAATTTAATTATTCTTATAATAGATTAGACCTGTAAAATAGACTATATTATTATACTACTAGATATAGTAATAAAACTTAATAGCTTTAATATTTATACTAGACTATAGATTATATATATCTAATAAAGTATTAACTAGGAGTAGATAGACTATACTACGCGAATAGTATTTAGTAAATATAGAATTATATAATATAAAATTATTATTATACTTATCCTTCTAGTAAAGAACCCTATAATAAGGATACTCTAGATCTATATAGTTAAGAATTAGAAAATATAAAGTATGTAATTTAGACTGATAGTTCTTAGGATTTAGAGGAGTATTAGTAATAAGAGGTATAGGGGATATAAGGGGAGCTATTAGAAGGGGATACTTAACTATAGGATAGCTATTTTTATAATTATATAACTATAAAATATTAAAAACAGGCATATAGTAAGAAAGAAATATATATAGTAGTTAAAATACCTAGCCCAGGAATACTTAATAGCTATATAATAGGATATAGCTAGAGAAAAATTATCCAGGGGCTTTAAAGTCTTATAGTTAGAGTAATATTTTTAGCCTAGAATAGTCTTATACCTTTACTAGTATCATAGAAAGTACTTAATTAGATTATCTATAGTATTTATAGAGCGCCTTAAATATAACTATGGCATGATAGTAGACTATAAAGCTAGATAATATAGGGAGCCTTGCATCTAACCAGGTTAATCAATATATCTAGATCCATAGCACGACAAAAATAAAAAAATAGCCCTGCGGGCCATAGTTCTTCTGAACCACCAGCGCGCGTAGAACTCAGCACGGTGTACAGGTCATACCACGGGTGTTTGAGGGGGACTTTCATATATTATTTAATATTCATGATAAGATAGCTCTCTTTAAGTAGATCTATCTATATTACCCTAGCTTGCTAGCTAGCTTATTATTAAGATATTTATTAAGCCTCTTAGATAATTACAGGTCCTATAGATTATAAGATTAAAGACTAATAGCTATAGATTAATAAAAGATAATAAGTTAATATCTATATAAAATTACTAGTATTAATAAAAATAATAAATTTATAAAAGCTTATTATAATTAATATATTTTTTAATAATATAAATATAAGGAATCCTTATTATTTTCTTTATATTTTTATTATAATTTAGATTATATAAAATTTTATTAAATTTTAGAAAATATTCTTTAATCTTTATAATATAGCTAAATATAAATAAAGAAATCTAATTTAATATAACTTAAAATAAGAGATCTCTTATAAATTATAGTAAGTACTTTATTTTATTATTATTATAAATTTACTATATTTTAATATATTATCTTATTATAATATATTTAAAGAATTATTATATTTCTAAAAGATTATTTATAGAGATTTAAAGCTCTTATTTAAGTATTTAATAATTTAACTTATTATAAGAAGTTATTATTTATATAAGATATATATAATTTATAAAATAATAAAATAAAAAATAATATTAAATTTTATTATTTAATTATTTATTAATAATATATTTTATAGATTCTTGCTAGATCTTATTATTATATATAATTTTAAAATTATTAATTATTAAATTTCTCTTCTTTTTAATTTTTATATATATAATTATATTAAATAATATCTAGAAAACTTTCTACTATTAATTAATATAATCTTTATATTCCTTATTATTCTTTCTTACTTCTATTATATTATTACTATAGATTTCTTATATAATTTAGCTAGTAAAAATAGATTATATTTTTATAAAAATATTCTAATAAATATATTATATATAGATTAAATTATATATAAATAAAAAAATCTTATAAATTATATTTATTAAGATACCTTTTTTATTAGTAATAATAATTATAGGAGGGGTAATATCTATTTATTAAAGAATTTTAGATAAATAATTTAAAAAATATTTATAATTTTTTTATTTTTTATTAAAGATAAATCTAAACCTAGTATAAAAAGTCTTATTATAGATAATTAATTTAATAATATCTAATAATAGTATCTTATATTAATTTATATAATATATATAATTTATAAATAAAATTATTAAATAATATTATAAAAGTTATAAGAAAGTCTTATAAATATAGAATATTATTATTATAATATTTAATTTATTTATTTTATATATTATTATCTAGTTACTAGTTTCTAGAATAATAAAAAAAAATATCTAGATAAAGATTTTATTATTAAAAAGTTTATTTTATAATTTTTACTTTTAATTATAGATATTATAATCTTTTATAATATAATTAGAGTTATTTTTATATAATATAAAAAGAATTTTACTTATTAATAAACTAATATTAAAATAAGATTTAATATTAGCTTTTTTCTTTATTATTTTATAATAATAAAATTTTATATATATTAAATAAGAAGTAAGATTATAATTATATAAAGTATTTTTAATTTTAAAATATTATATTTTATTATTAAATTTAAGCTTTAAATATACTTTATATAAATACTTTATAAGTTAAGTTTTTTTTTTTTAAGAATATTTTTTTTTATTAATTTAATTCTAGTATTCCCCCCTATAACTATAATATAAATAAATTAAGTATATTTCCTTCTTCTTATTAATTTTATATTATTTTAATTACTTAATAGTCAAGATATATTCTTGCTATATAGTAAATAAATTAAGAAATTTTATAGCTACTAGTTAGGATAGGAAGGTCTGGTTAGTTAGTAGAGGAAGTAGTTAAGGCCTGACCTTGCTAGCATCCTTACTATTATCTAAGCTCTTATATCTAATAAGATTAGGTAGTATTTTAGTGGTCTATATAGTCTATATATATTTAGTGTAGTTATTAATATTATAACATGTATAATAATAATAATACCTTATAAAATTACTCTAATACTAAATTATATATAGTAAGAAAAAAAATTATGTGATAAATAGATATAGTATTATTAAGTTAGGGGGTGTAGCATGATTGGGAAGGGGTATGGTTGGATCAATACAGGGTATGGCATTAACAGTCCCCTTTAATAATACCTTTTGCTCACCTCCCCCCTTTCTGCGTCACCACATACAAAGCAGCTTGGTAGCTCTCCCGTTTCATATCTCTATGATACCCTGCAAATTGATTCTAAAAGTAAGATGGGAATAGCATCATGCCAGGTCTAAATAGGAAGGGAAATTCAACCCTTTGAATTAAGCTATCCGTAAAAGAGGAGATAGATGCCAGGTAGTGTAAAATAAGTAATTGACGGATCTTGTCTATTTAAGCCTTGCAGTCAGAATCTAGCGAGCACACACTCCCAAGGTAGAGAAATTGATTACTACGTTCTACAACTGAGCTACCTACCCCTTTAGGACTATCTAATATCCGGCCCTTAACCCTCCGGGAGTAACATAAGTAATACCACACAAAGGTAGAAGCGATGGTAGCGAAATAAGAGGATAGAAAGGAAATAACACAACAAACCACCAGCCATGTAAAAAGTGCGAAAAGCCTCAACTCCGCCGCAGTCAATAGTCACCACAATCCATTCTCTGAAGCAAAATAGGTCCAGTGGACTGGCAATCTCCGCCCACACGTGTATTCCGAATCTGACTAAGATCTATTAGCATAACCAACTAACTAAAGATTCAGCAAAGCGAAAAGCCAGCGACCCAACTATCTTGCAATCTTAAACCCGCGTTTGATGACATTATCAGATGCGCCAGTAAGACACCAGTCCAGGAAATGCCCTGACCTTGGTGCATAACGGAAGAATCCAATGACATTTCCATCGTCATTCCAGATCACCGATCCGCAAACGCCGTCTTCGAGGTGGTCGATGAATCCTTGACCCAAATAGACCCAGCGAGTCTTGACCCATTGCAGTTCAGGTTCGTTGGGGTCATCACTCGGAACGCGCATCCGGCCATGCGGACCACACGTACCTTCGGAGTAACCAAGGAGTGGACTGTTCATGTAGACCCTGCAGCCGATCTGTACCTGGTTAACTGGGACGAATTCCTTCAATTGGGTAGGTGTTCCTCCGTCAAGTGGACTCTTGAAAGTTGCATTGACAAAGTGGACATTGTCGTGCAGTTTGACGAGGGTGACATCAGTATGCGGAATTTCCTTGATGATCTGTCCGACTTCTTTTCCCACGCCGCACGGATGGAAAACTCTATCGCCATTTGGGAAACCACCGGAGAAGGCAGTCATATACCTCTCGCCTAGACAATCTTCAACCAGGACGCCAGAAGTGGTATGATACTCAATGTGAGTGGTATGATGCATTCCAGAGCTCAACATGACACCAGGACGCAATATATCATGCTCGCTGTGGTTGATGACATCGCCCGTCGGATCACGGATCCGGCGGGCCTGAAATTCGTTTGGTTTTGGACGTCCCATCTCCTTCTCGAATAGGTAGAAACAGTTACAGCGTCCTATGGCACAAGGAACTTCGGCTAGATCAGTGTCCTCATTCTCTAGAACAATAACAAAGAAATTGTTCCAGTACTGAACTTCCGTAATCGAAGTTTTAGAGTTAGCGAAAAAGTCAAAGACCAGCTCAAATGCATCGTCAATCCTAGCGGGGGGAAGGTTGGTAGCGTCGATTTCAGCGGACACGCGAAGGCGCGATTTGCTCGAGCGCTTTATTGGCGGAGATGGACCGTCATCATTGGGATCAGTCGTGAAGTAAGGCTGGACACCGGCAATAGTAATGGGCCAGGGCTTCGGCGGCAAGGTACCGAGCCAAAACACCAAGAAATAGCCATCAAACCACACCCCTTTGGTGTCGGGAAAGAGGCGGAATAATAGCTCAGAATTCTCGGCAAAGACTCGATTGTGCCGGAGATTGAATGGAAGAATGAGGTGACGAGATGGGGGAATTTGGATCGCGGGTAACGACGATTCTATTTCTGGCGAATACGCCATGGCCGTTAGATTAGGTAGTGGAGCTGAACGGCCGCTAAATTGGCAGTGGGGAAAAAGACGCAATGGAGTACGGAGTATAAGGAGAAAGGGAGTATATATATATATCAAGAAATAGAAATACATACCTAGTTAGTACTCCCTCTGGCTCACCTGTCTCTTCCTTCCCTCCTAACCTTGCCACCTACAACCTCATTATTCCATCAGATTTCCATAAGAAATACATCATAGCCGATTCAGCTCCTCAAGTGCCGGCCTAGATACTGTGGCGGGCCCTAGCGTACTGTCTTGAGAACATGCCCTAAACATAGGAGAATTCTGATCTCTATCCGTGGGGCAATATAATACGGTATCAAGTAGAAATGGACGTCTTGACACCTTTTTAGCGGAACGGACGTACGGAGTAGGGACTAAGTTAATCCGGGCGGAGTCGGAGAACTTACGTCAGCATCTTGATGCGACCGGCAAAACATCGGGCCGATAATAAATTTTGTTTCTTTACAGCTTCAATTTACTGATCTTGCCTACAACGTTCTGATTGAATATCTTGTCCAAAGACTCCAACTGCTGCACATTCTCCATCTTTCCCAATGGGTGTCGCAAAGAAAACAAAGAAGTTTGCGCAGGTTGGTGCACCACCCAAGATGACCTACATATCCAAAACAGCGCACTGATAAATCTCCCCAACAGGTGAAGCGCACCATCAAGGCTCGGGATGAGCGGATGAAGAAAGCGACCGAAAAGACCAAGCCAAAGAAACCCGCTGAGGAGTTGACTCGCCATGTCCAAGCAGCCCCCACCAACATGTTCTTCGCTGCAAACACTGCTCTCGGCCCTCCTTACCGAGTCCTGGTCGATACCAACTTCGTTTCCCACGCTATTCGCGCAAAGACTGACTTGCTCACATCGATGATGGATTTGTAAGGCAATCCCTTTCAACCCCCTACCATTCACATGCTCATACTGGAGACATTAGGCTCTACGCGAAATGTATCCCAACCTTCACCGATTGCACGATTGCGGAATTGGAAAAGCTCGGTGAAAAGTATCGACTGGCACTGCGGGTAGCAAAGGATCCGAGATGGGAGCGGGTCAAGTGTTCTCACAAAGGCACATATGCAGATGACTGCCTGGTTGACAGAGTATGTGGATCGCTGAGTACCCAGAGAAAATATGCAACCCGTTCGCTGACCGATGATGGCATCTAGGTGTCGAAACATAGAATTTATATTGTCGGGACCAATGATAAAGAACTTTGCCGCAGACTGCGCAAGATTCCCGGTGTGCCAATCATGAAAGTTGCTCGCGGCAAATTTACGATCGAGAAGCTACCCGATGCTTTGGATTAAGCCAAAGAGGACTATAAACACCACTTTTTCTCGATGAATATTATATTTCTGGGAAATCTGCCACGGACGTGGCAGCTCCAGTTCATCTCACGGCTACAAAACCCCCCACGCCGAATCGCTTCTCCGCGGGACCAGACCACCGCCTCACTGCCATCCGACCTATTCACGACTTTGCCCGAGGGCGATGATGTTTTGCCCGGAAGTTACGATGTTTTGGACTGTTCAATCTCTGGCGACGATTTGATATAAGGCTTAAGCGCAATCAGCGCTAATGGTGATGCGGTGGTGGCTGAGCCAACCAGACAAGGCGTACACGACTAGTAAAGGTCTAGAAGACTCTGGAGTCCTAGCCTGAATAATGAAAACCACCTATGTTGATATCCTTTTCTCACCAGATGAGCACTAGTGTATAAAACTGGACGTATCTAGAAGAGATCGTAGCCCAAGCTAATATCCGAAAACCGCCTTTCCGCTCATTTTGCATGATTCGGCATCGCATGATCTTGCGATTTAGGAATACGCCTAAGTAGCATCTTCCCTCGACTTGCAACAGTGATCCACGTTTATAATCGGCGGTTTTCTCTTCGTATTCATGCTTCTCCAATAAGACACCCGAGGAGCGGCGCTTCCCCGGCTTTCTCTCCGCCGCGAGGACTATTCATTTATCTCTTCTCATCTCCAGAATTTTGTCCCATCAGACTATTTTTAACTCTTCAACCCTTTTTTTTCAGCTTGTGATAAAATGACGGAAACGGAGACAATTGTAGTTATCGGGTAAGGACATGTTTCCTCAAGGCGAAGTCTACAGGGAAACACCGACTGATGCATTCCTTAGAGCTGGTGTGATCGGGATCTCGACAGCGCTCTGCCTGCAGCCACAGCTTGATCGCTCTCAATCAATCTTAATCGTTGCGCGAGACTTTCCTAACACAACTTCCCTCAACTATGCCTCTCCCTGGGCAGGCGCACACTACCGACCTGTCCCTGGATTATCACCTCAGGCTGTGCGAGAGGAAAAGCAAGCCCAACGGACATATGAGCACTTCAAGGTTGTCGCGGCGCAGGAGCCAGGAGCCGGTGTGAAAGCCATCGATGGAATCGAACATCTCGAATCGCCTCCGGCAGAATACCTCGATGAGGCTGTCATCCAACAATCATACGCTCATCTGGATGACTTCCGTCCACTCCCACCCAGTGAATTGCCCGTGGGGGTCAAGTGGGGAGTTTCCTATCGCACCTTTGTGGTCAACCCCCCAGTTTATTGTGCTCATATGCTACGCCAATTCGTCCTGAAAGGCGGCCAGACAAAGGAGCACACCGTCGTCAATCCCATGGAGGCCTTCTATCTCGCAGGCAACGTCAAGACCGTCATCAACTGCACGGGAATGGGATTTGCCGATCCCAAATCGTTCATTATCCGAGGTGAGTTCCTTATTTCGTTTCGTTCAAGGAGGGGCTACCCAGGGCTAAACCGAGACACACCAGGCCAAACCTGCTTGGTCCGCAATCCTTGCTCTGCAACCATCACCCGGCAGAATTCCGATGGTACGTGGTCCTTCTGCATCCCTCGTCCACTTGAAGGCGGCACCATCATTGGGGGCACGAAACAGCCACACAATTGGGATCCCAATCCGTCGTCAGACACTCGACAACAGCTGCTCGCGAACGCGGCCAAGTGGTTCCCGTTTCCGCCTGCAAGCGAAGCGAAATTCGACGTTCTTCGGGACATCGTTGGCCGTCGACCAGCGAGAGAAGGTGGCGTCAGACTCGAGGCAGAAACGGTAGGTGATGGCCGCACAATTGTGCATGGTTATGGGTTAGGCGGACGAGGCTTTGAGCTCTCATGGGGCGTAGCGTCCGATGTTGTGTCGTTGATGCAGGAACACGGCCTGGTACAGGGAAAGTCTCTGCTGTAATTTTTTGAACATGAAGTAATCGCATCTATCATGTTATGAGCCCCCCCCCCCCATACTCAACCTTCTTCGGGAGTCAGCATGGTGGTTCTGGATATACTCATCCCCGTGGTACCTGCTCGCCTCACGCCAACCCGTATATTTTTGGCTTTTACACATTCGGGACATCAGTAAACTCATACCCGGAATCAGATATAATTCGCACCCTCTATGCACTTTCTGCGGGACATAATTCCACCGAGCTTTTCTTCCATGTCTACATATGACATATATTCCAGTACGTGCATGCTTTCAATACTGCTGGAGTAAAGTCAAGTTACCTGAGCGCACGCGGTTAGGTTTTTACTACGCATAGTCAATGCGAAATATATTGAAACGACTGGGTGGGTAATTTATTAGGGAGGTTGCAGCAATAGTGAGTTAATACCTATCCATACACTTGCTAAGCACCCACAGCACTAGTTAATCAATAAAGCGCCGCTTCATATCTGCAAGTCCACGGCTCCGAAAAGCCCGAACAGAAATTAAATACATGCATCCATTCATTCATTCATGTCTCATCTCATGTCCTCAGCCTGTCTTCTCGATATCCTCCTCGTGGGCAGCCTTGTCAGTGACCTTGAGGTTGCCCTCCGCGATATCCTTCTCCATCTGGTCCAGACGACTGGTCTTGTCGAGTCTACGCCAAGCGGGGAGACCACTGTCGAAAACCTCGTCCATCTCCTCTAGGGTGAAGCCCTTGGTCTCGGGGGCGGTTAGGAACATGTGGACGAAGGCGGCAGTGTTGAAAGCAGCGAACTAGAGCCCCCCAGAAAAGAAGGAAATCGATTAGTATTCTTTTGTTGGATAAAATTGAAATCAGGACAGCAGAGCTGCCCAAATGAAAGGGGGGGGGGGGGGGGGGGATCATACAATCATGTACATCTTCCAGTTGATTGACCACAGCAGAGGCGGCACAAACAGCGCCAGCAGACAGTTCCACACCCAGTTGGATGCCGTCGCCAGCGACACTGCCTTGGCCCGGACCTTGGCTGGGTAGATCTCGGCGGGGTACGTCCATGAGGTGGGACCGATGGTGGTCGCAAAGGAGCAGACGAACAGATAGGAGAGGGCAATAATGGCCTTTCCAACTGCCGGGTGGTCCTTGACGGTCCACGAGATGGCGTCTAGACTTGGGTCGCTGAAGTCGTTACGGCTACCGAATCCTGCCTGCAGTCCTCCCTCGATATACAAGAAGATAGCCTGCATGAAGAATCCAATCAGAATCGCAGGGCGACGACCGAATTTATCCAGGAACAGGATAGCAGGCAAGGTCAGGGCCGTGTTGAGAATATACTGGATGGAGGCTGTTAGAAGCGGAGAGCCTGTTCCGGTACTCTGCATGATATACACAATGTAGTACATCATGACGTTCATCCCACAGAGCTGGGACCACATCTGCAGACTCATTCCAAGGATAACACGCTTCACGATGCGCGGCTTGATGAGCTCCTGGTAGCTAGTCGAGGTCTGCGCGCGTTCCAGAGCCAAGGCATCCTGGATTTCCTTGTATTCGGCGAGAACCTTGGGGTGGTTGATGTCTCCATTTCCGTGAAGTCGGGCGAGTACCTGGATGCACTCGTCCCAACGGTCTTTGCTGGCGAGCCAGCGAGGCGACTTGGGGAAGAAGAACAGTCCACAGAACAGGATCACGCCCGGGACGATCTGGATGCCCCACGGGATGCGGAAGGCCGCCGTACTCTGCGTTGGGTTGGAAGGGCCACCGTCGATGTTGCTCGCACCGTATTGCTGAGATTCCGTTAGCAATTCTTGCAGGGACGACGGGAGGGCTACTACTTCGGGGACTCACGATGAAATACTGGATTAAAATACCCCAGGTGATGGCCCATTGCTGTAACGAAATTACCCGACCTCGGATTTCCTTGGGGGCAACCTCTGCTTGGTAGACGGGGACCATGGCAGAAGCAATGCCAACACAGAGCCCAGCAATCACACGGCCAACTACAAGCAAGGCAATTCCATTTGAGGCACACATCAAACTGCGATGATAAGTAACGCATCGGATACACAAAGCAAGAGTATAGTTGCTTACATCGAACCAATAATCCACAAAATCGAGGAGCATTGGATTGCCGTTACACGAGAGTACTTATCCGCAAGGAAACTAGAGAACAGAGCGCCGACGAGGGATCCAAAGGGCATGGCACAGGTGATGCCTCCCTGATAATCATCAGAACGGAGCTGCAATATCGTCGACTTTGGCGATCAAGACTCACCTGTTTGTATTGACCGGAGCCGACTTGAAAGTAATTGGTGTAGGCCGCAGTACCGAGGACACCTTAGACGTGGGTGAGACGTTTGCTCGATTGACTGCTGCAGTGAGACTGTAAGGGCCGCTTACCACTCATAGATGAAATATCGAAACCAAACAGGCCACCACCTAAGCTGAAATCAGTCTTCATATTCGTTGATTCTCAACCAGAGCCGGAGCTCCTTACCCAAGGTGATGAACCCGCAAAGAAAGTAGACATTGTAAAACTTCTTCATCTTGTTGGCAAGCTTCCAGGTGACGGAGAGGCAGAGCCAGCAGCTATCATGCCAATGCCAGTGAGCGAGGAGAGAGAGAGAGAGAGAGAGAGAGAGAGAAGAGCAGAAGAACCGGGGAAGGAGAGGCTTGGTGATGGGATCCGCGATATTAATAGAAGAGCAGCATTGGAGCTGGAAGTGGTGGCCCACAACAACATCCCAGCAAAGCATAAGCCAGTGCATAAAGCAATGCAGCAGCACCACCGGATTCACCCCCTTTTTGTCACAGGTGATGAGCTTCTTGAGAATGCAAAAGCAAAAGTCCAAACTACTGAGCCAACATGTTGACCAGGTGCAACGTTGCCATCGGATGATTGCCTTGTAATTGGACCAAGTTCAAGCCCTCAGACTGCATACCCTGCTCACAAGACAGTTATGTCGACGCCACCAAACAATAAGTGTTTCTGACTGAAAGCCCTGATTTGATGGAAATGGGCTGTTTGGCTTTGGTCTCCCACGATCATACGGGGATCTCCCCGCAAGTTGCCTCTTTCCCACAGTCTGGGGGAAGCAGCTAAAAAAAAACCTTCCCGTCACGGTCTCAGCTCAGGAGCTGGAGAGGAGGGTTTTCGATCCATCCTAGCGGGTTCTGTCCTTGGAAAGCATCAGATCAGGGAGGAAGCTCCTGATAGTAGGGAATCAGAAGAGAAGAACAGACGGGGGGATGTTTGGATACGTCTGGATGTTAATGAAGAGAGGACGAGGTGGAAGATGAGGTTGACAGCAGGTACCATGGCAGTAAATTACAGTGCTGCTGGTAAAGAATCCTTCATTTGGATGCTGACTTTATTTGGATCTACTCCGTACTTGATCCTTTGATGCTGAAGTGGAGGAAATAAGGCTCTACGCCAGGTCAGCCACTGAGCCATAATCTCCCTCCCCACCCGAAATGCCTATTCTTCTTTCCACCTCCAGGTTCTGGGATCGTACATAAGATAGGTATAGCAGAACTGGGGACCTGTACAAAGGCCTGGTATCAAAAAACCCCTTGGAATATCTCCTAACCACGTGGTGAACGCAAGGCAAGGTATCTATCATGACCAAGATTCCTGTCTCCCGTCAGCAAAAAGAGGGGGGATTGTAAACAGCCTTCTCAACCCTGGCACCGTACGAGTTCTGTACTAACTACTCTATATGGGAAAATTTCTCATCTTGGACTTTACCAATGTGGTTGGAACCAAGCGCCCTCTTGCCCTCCATCAGAATCCTCGCGAGGTAACAGTTACACCATCTCGTTCAAGTCTTTGTCCGGACTTGAATGGTCGTACCAATATCCTCCGGAACTACCATAGCTAGTTCAGTAAGCCCTTACACTGGTCTCGTGGCATTTCAAGTACAAGGGATTATCCATGTTACTCTTATTCGTCTCTTTTCCCAAGGCTGAAAATCTTCAGTGAGGAGAAGACCCTGGGGTGTCATCGACTTCAAACCCGTGCAAGGGCCTTTCTTTGTTTCGCCCCTCAAGTCTTTCCATGAATTCACGCTTCATCCAAGCAGAAGTCATGACATGACGTACTAGATAGTATATGGGGATTCATTAAACCAATGCACAAGACTCCAATTATACCAGCCCACCATGGCGCGGATTAAAACAACGCTTCAAGCCGGCTTGGCCCTAATTCACGGCAGACTGGCGCCTCCCGCCGAGGTGAGTGCTTACTTCTCTAGGCATTAGACGCTGGCACTGAAAGAAATCATCAACCCCACTAATATGGGGAATGGCTGAAATCTTGACTCTGGAATCTGGAGAAGGAGAAGGAGAAAAAAAGAGGGGGAGTTCAACTTCGGGCTCCGTTCCTAACCAATGAAGGAAGTATTCACGCACCACCTCGTATTCGGTCTTCGGCAAGCAATAATCGCAGTAATTCTCTCTTTCAAGTCCATCCGGCTAGGAGACACGAATGGGAGGGGAAGTTCATGACGTGGAGCGAGTGCATGGCTTGGCTGTCCAGGTGGGTGAGAGTCTCTGGAGCAGTCGTCTTCCCGTTTGTGACGACTGATGAAGTCCTGCTTTACAGCCCCTGAAGGTATTCTGATCGACCGCGGTAAAATCACAAACCTCGGCAAGAGATAGTTCCGTACCCCAGCCATTGTCACAGATGAAGTGGAAAGTAACTGGAAAGTTAACCTGCTACCTCTCAAGAGAAAAAAAAAAAAAAGAATCGCTTGGTTGACGTAGATGAAAGGACCGTCGTTACATACACAACATCTAGCATAGCATTTCACATCATGTCAGGCAGTCTATCTTCCTCTACCTCACCTCCACTTCCCTTCCCTGCCACACAAGGATATATCTCAATCTTGTGTCCTCGCTGCTGCGCTCGAGTCCTCATCCATGTCTCTGGAATGTCCACTCCAACAGCCGAGGGCTGCCCCGTGGGGCCATGGATAAAGACGCTAACCACCAGCGTTCAAGTCAACCACAAGGCCCTCAACCTGAATCGCGACAACAAATACCAGGCAATTCATTTGGTATGCGGAAGCACAACCCAAAGAATGCAAAAGCCTTGTACTCAGCACGATCAAACACCATCATGCGCCTGGAAATCCGCCTGGCGAGCTGATTCCAGGATGGAAGGGGAACCGCAGAGCGCGAATGCCCCAAGTTTCCGTACCTTGGAGGTGGAGAGGGTTCAGTCTTCGCCAGCACCCTCACTCTCCGTCTTCCCCTCTTCCGCCTCGACATTATCGCCATTAACAACCGGCACAGGCTCACCATGCAGCCTCGCCAGACGCTCCTCCTCCTTCCGCTCCCGGATTCTCTCAGTCTCCCTCCGTAGGGCAGCAAGGTTCCAGGTTTCATCATCCTCATCCTCGTCCTCAGCCTCACTGTCCTCAGCCCGCCAGTTCCCGCTCTCAAACAGCGATCTTCCAGTAGCCTCCTTGGCCTTCTGAGCTTGTTCTTCGGCGGCCTTCTTGTCGAGACGCTCCTTCTTCCACTTGGCGAACGTCTCGGGCGTGACAGGGGTAAGTTCACCGGTGAGCTTGTGTCGTTCGGATTCGAGCCAGTCCTCCAAAGTCAGGCTGTTGAGCGGGGACTTGTCCATGAGGGCCTTCTCCGCTGCCTTCTGTTCCTTCGTCTTGAGAACGAAACTAACAAACCTAATTAGCTCTGACCTGTAAATGATAGACCCAGTCATAATCGTAAACTCACCCTGGCGGCAAACTATGCTTGTACATGCACTTGTCACCTCCATTAGGACAGACCCAGAACCAACCGTACTTCTGATTCTCGACTGCATCGATAAAGAACTTGCAGACCTTATCCGTGGTCGTCCGGGGGTTGCCGTGCTTGCTGAGGATAACATTGCGCAGTTTTTCTTCATCCCACTGGTCTATCGTATCGCCCTTCTTGGCCTCCTCCTCTGCGGCCTTCGAATCTCGAGAATCCGTGTAAAGATCTTTCTTGGCTGACTTCCGCTCGACATTCAGATCGTGACTGAACTTGCACTTTTTGCCCTTTTCACAGTTCCCTTGCTTGAAGAACACGCACAGGACAGTCTTGGGATCCACCCCGAAGGGAACCTTCTGAACCTGCACGGGCTTAAAGAGTTCGGCGGCCTCCTTCCTCGCTTGCTCAGAGGCCTTCTTCTCAGCCTCCCGACGAAGCTTTTCGGCTTCCTTTCGTTTTTCATCGGCGTTTTTGCTGGAGGCGGCTTGAGCCTGCAATTGTGCGATCTGTTTCTTGGCGCTTCCACCTTTTTTCTGTTCAAAGCGAGAGTCTGGTTAGTTCGCAGGTCTTGGATGAAGTGAGAGAGGATCGAGTCGGGGAAACATCGCGCTACGTACATTTTTCATACCAAAGGTCTGTAAAGAAGAATTAGGAATTAGCAATCGCTTCAGATTACGTCTTGGTTGAGTTGCACGCGCGATGGAAACAAACCTTGTCTTCGACAGTGGCCTTCTTCTTCTTGGCCTGGTCGGGCTTCTTAGGAGGCATGCTGGGCAAACTTTTATATAATCTGCGCTTTAAAAAAAAAAACTATAAAGAAACCAGATGAAAGTGAAAAAAAAGAAAAAAAAAAAAAAAAAAAAAAGGCAGCAACCGCTAGGAAGGTAGTTGTTAAACCAGTCGTGCAGGCAGTTGAGATCGAGAAGAGAGGGAGGGGCCACAGTGCGGCTCGGGCAGAGAGGAAAGGCGGAATGAAAAAAAAAAAAAAATTAACCGGTAAAGAGAGAGGGAGACGAGGCAGGGAAAAAAGTACTCTCTGTAAGGAGATGTGAGATAGCAGATCAGAGGACGAACCGTCGAACGTGACGATAGGGAGTAGAATAGAATTCAAGGATTGTGGGAGTGAGAGGTTGAAACTCGCAAAGTGTCTCTGTCTTCCTCCTCCACATTTTTTGGTGTGGGATTCCCAGTGTGGAACTTGAAGAATAATGCAGTAACCGCCCCTTCCGACCTAGTCTCCAGGGTCGCGCCTTGCGCGCCCCTGATAGCTCAATACTTAGGACAGCTCAACGCTCAGTTTTATATAGCTTCAATTTCAAAACAATCTAGTATACCCAAATTAAAAGATATTCTAATATAAAATAGATATAAATAAACCTTTATACCTCCTGTATCTTCCTAGACTTCCAATATCTCTTTAAAATAATTCCCTAATTTAAGGTATAGGTAACAAGTTCCTGCATGACCTTTAACTATTACCTTTATAATTTAGATAATTCCTTCTCTATATCATAATTCTTTTCCAACCACTTTATTTTAGCCAAATTTTGACTAGATATAGTATCTCCTTGCTGTAGACAGGATCTTGAAGCCTTTGCACGCTCATGGCGGGCCTGTTTTACCCAGGTATAATATTATAATTCATCCTTTAATAATTCTGCTAGATAGGCCTGTGCAATACTACCTTTAATAAAATTATTTAATTTCTCTTTAAAGCTATATCTATATTCCTCTGCTCGGGGAAGATGTTATATATAGAATTTAAAGTATTTAGCAGTCTTAGGAGTGCTTCTAAAGAAATGAAAGGATCTAGAATTACTAGAAATAATTAGTCAAGTAGAAGGTCTTTCAGGTAGTAATTATAGAACTTCTTGAGATTAAAAAGGCATAATTCTAGTATTTTAAAAGCTATGGGTAATTATATACCTTTTAAAGATTTTTTTTTAAATTATATAAAGGGCATAAAGAAATTTAACCTTGGTAAATTTTCTACCTCTAGAATATTCTATATTAGCAACTGCTTCAGCATGTTAATACTTATAGGCATGAAATACCCTAATATTAAGAGATTAAAGAATATAACTTATATAAGGTAGTAAGAAGAAGATAATAATATTATTCTTTTTATAGAAATTAATAAATTCAAAAGTTATATAGGATCTAAAACCATCATAAATAAGAAATTAATATTTGCCTTTTATATAGGATTTTATATACTAGTTAAATATTTATATCTATTAATAAGCAAGCTTATTATTTAGATAACCTATATTACTAACCCCAATATAATATCTAGGTTCTAATTAATTAAACCAGCCCTTTAGAATATACTTACTACTTAATAAAATAAGTAGTTCTATAGTATATCCAATAATATTAACTACTTTAACTACAGTTACATATTCCTAATTAGAATTAGAAGAAATATAGGCCCTTTAGTATTTCTTTACATACTAGACAACCTAATAATTCTTTCTAACTCCAATCTAAAAGCTAGTTTCATCAAAATTCTATATATTTTCAGGTAGGATACTCCTAGTAAAAAGAATATATTTCAGACAAGTAAACTAGGTAGAGATAAGATCTCTATCTTCTACTTTCTTCCTATCTAATTCCATAACTCTTACCCGCTTTCTTATATATCTAGGATTCCATAAAAGCTATTAATTAAACCATTTTTTGCTAACTTCAGGTGGTTGGGTCTCTGGGTTTTCGTGGGAGGATTATAGGATAGAATTTGCATAATTTATAATTATTTAAGGTTACAGGTAGACTCCTAGATCATCTAGAGTATCAATATATTAACAAATAATAAAATCTTGAGCCAGAGATAACTTTATAGTCAGTGGTCGCCGCTGGGATCAAGTTCTACAACCCCTCTAGCGTGCCCCAAGGCAGTGCCTTGACACGTTAAAATCTTGTATAGTTTTGGAGATATTAGGTTTTTTTTGAAAGTATAAGGCATTTATAGTATCCTTAATTCATTTTTCGACTTCATGATAGTCTTCTGACATGGTAGTAGTTAAATAAAATAGATTTAAAGTAGGATAATTGAAATTTTAAAAAACTGAGCGTTAAGCTATCCTGAGCGTTGAGCTGTCGGGGGCGCGCAAGGCGCGACCCTGGAGACTAGGTCGGAAGGGGCGGTTACCTCCCATACATACATCATCGGTTCACCGCCAATCAACTGGGATTCCGTATACTACAGACCTAGAGATAGGAATGAGGAAATAGATTGTCTATATTGATTATCACATATACATATATATGTACCAGATAGTGAATGTCTGGCAAGCCCTGGTGTTGCTCCCAGAATTAAGCATAACCCTAACTACCCTGATTTGCCAGTAAGCCTGCTATGAGCGTGTATTACAATACCACGATCATAAATGAAGGGTCGAAGCCACACTGTTCCTCGCTCATCCGTAGAAAACCAAGAATGGTAGACACAAATTGAATACCATCTACATTGATGTCAAAACCCACTGACCCTCCCAAAGAAAGTTGATCGAAAATGCGGGAGCCCTACATAGAGAGAGCCAGATTTGAGAACCCTGTCGACATCTTGGCGGTATTCTGATGAATTTGCGAAACTGTTCGTCTACCGGCGCGTCTGCAACGCATGCTTGGAGTAGTGGCTTAATACGTTCGAAATCGAAATCTTCTGATGCGACGGCGGATAGACGAAGTAAGGTACATACTTCGGATGATTTCTCCCGAACGGGAGGGCAGAATATGAGCTGTGGGAAGGAACTGAACGGCTGTTAAAAGGGTAAAAGCAAGATATTGCGCATCTGTACCCTAAGAAACCATTGAAGATACGGGTGGATGCCCTTTCCGGGTGGTGTTTATTTTTCTTGTGTTCCATTACATATGGTGGCTCTCTCGTTTTGAATATGAATATGATCAGGACGATGAAAGGAAAGCCCGAAGGTATATACGTTCAGTCTACGGGCGAAGATCTTCTTGACTAATTATCTGAAGATAGGAAAAGGATATTGGTGCATATATCCCAGTCCCTTTCAGAGGGGAGGAATTCTTGAATCTTTGGCTTGACCATGGGTGATCTCTTGGCTCGTACTTCAAGGCAGCCCTGACACGAATAATATAACCCATGTATGTACGGAGTACCACGCATAAATGCTATGGTATCCTACAACTAGTAGTACTTGCTCCACGTCATCCGAGCAAGGCCATATTTTTAATAAATCACATCACTAAGTAAGCTATTAGTGGGCCGTTTGTGATGCGATATTTACACTGTTAGATACGGCGGAAGTTTCTTATCTGTGGATCATCTAGAGGAGAGTATGCACTCGTAACGATGGATTTTGTTAAATTTGTCGGTGTTCTCATAATGGTCGTACAAACAGGCAAAATAACGTTATTGTTTTTTAATCTTGATGCCCCAAAGCAATCCTGTCTCTAGTAAACTAAAGTAAGCCCAGTAGAGGCCCACATCAACCCCAGCGGCTGATCAGATTACTAGAGGTTAACTGAGTACCGCACGATTAAGATAATCGGCAATGCTCTTCCATTATATTTATTGGGGGTCCCTTCACCTTCAACTCAGACTCTCCCCTGACTCTAATTTCATCGCACGTGGATAAAACCACTAGGACTTTTTAAGCCACCTCTTGGATCTTGTCCCCCTTCTGGTCGGCCTCTTCAAGTTCCGGCATTTCCTCGTCGTCCTGAACCACCGAATTAGCTTGACCTGGCGACCTACTTTTTTACCCAGAGGTCAAAAACTTACCGACTCCCCTTCCTCAGCGCCTCCAGCTCCACCTTGGGCACCAAGTCCAGCACCAAGCTTGGAGAAATCAATGTTTCCTAGACCACCCTGGTCAAGGCCATCGAATCCGCCAAAGTTGTTCGCGTAGTCTTCATCCTGGGCTTCATCCTGTTCATCCTCGTCGACCCACTGCGCAGATGTTAGTACTGAATTGGTCATGCAATCTAGCGGGCGGGGTTGTCAGTAGGATCATACCTTGTCAAAGTCGGTCTTGAGGAAGTGGATCTTTTGAGTGGTCTTCAAGAGGCGGGGCCAGAACTCCTCCTTGAGTTCCTTCTTGCGCAGGACAAGTTCGACCTCCCGGTCACTGTGGTTGACTTTGCTGTTCTCGGGCTCAATCTCACCGAACAGGTCGAGGGAAACCTGGTATTGTACACCCTTCTTAGACGGACCAGAGAAGGAGACATTGGTGGCGGTGATGTTGAGTGTCGCATCAGATCGGGGAACATCAGGAGCCTTGATGTTCACGTAGAGGTAGTTACGCTCGGCATCAGACGCAGAGGAGCGTTGAGCCCATGTGACTGCGGCAAAAATGCAAATTAGCAACCTGAAAAAGCGACACAGGCATTACCACAGAACGTGATCGCATTGCTCGCACGCCGAAATACTCGAAATTTTCGGGTGGTGGTGACGGATTGCACAGAAAAATAAAGTGAATAAACGAAAGCGGGGAAGCCATGAGGGATGATAGGACAACGTACCTTCGGGGTGGACCTGAGGGAGCTCGGGCATTATGACGACAGGGTTTAAAAAGAAAGATAGAGGAGATGAAAAGCTTCGGGAGAGGTTCGCGTTTTCAGTGGAGGGTAGAAATGAGAGGAGGGCTAGTTGACTGACTGCGAAGAGAGAGGGAGAGAGGAGAAGGAGCAACAAGACGCAAGTCTTTAGTTGCATTGGTGCTAGAAAGTACTGGAACTGTCCCACGGACGGTTCTGTTTGGTGGATTTGCATCGTTTGCTTAGTTTGTACTCTGCAAGCCCTCCGCTTTTGGCTTTCGACCAGTCCAGGCGTCCAAACGTCATCCAGGCAGCAAAACTGGGCATAACTAGACTGGATTTGGAAGTTATCCACTGTATCCAGGGCTGACTCAGCAATTCAATTTTATTCTTGGCGACCATCAAGTTCCGTCCACCCTGGTGGCAAGCCCAACAACGACCGCAGAAGCAGAAACAGGGTCTTTCATACTTGTTTGGCGTAGGGTGGCATCGTACTTGATCTTTGATACTCCCGTCTCTCTGCAATCGTTTTCCCTCATTGAAACCCTCTTGGATCGCCTTCACAGGACATACCCCGCCGCCCACTTCATCTTCGAGAATTGATCGTCCTAGGCTTCTCCTACCCACCTGCACACCTGAACTGAAGTACCCCAATTTTCCAGTCTTTTTGGCCTCAACTAGCAAAACAAATTCATCATGGAGACTCTCAAAGCAGTCTTCTTTGGTCCCGATCCCCAAACACAGGTCCGTAAGAACCGATCCTGTTGCTTTCTCTCTCTGTCCTAACTGATGACCCACCCTTTTCTGAAGATGCGTAAATGTAACCAGCTCATTCGCGCAAATACTCGTCAATTAGACCGGGATATCGCACAACTCAAGTCACTTGATGCCAAGACAAAGCAGTATATTGTGTCTGCCTCGAAACGGGCGCAGCGGAACCCGTCCCATGCGAAACAGGTTGCCGTCGAAACCAAAACGTTCGCCCGGGAACTCGTGCGGATCCGAAGACAATCAGCCCGTCTAGCAACGAGCCGCGCTCAGCTTCAGAGTGTCCAGATGCAAGTCAACGAAGCCTTTTCAGTGCGAAAGATCCAGGGCAGTCTACAAAAGTCCACCGGGATCATGAAAGATGTGAACACCCTGATCCATCTGCCGCAGCTATCGGCAACCATGCGTCAGCTCGCGACAGAGCTAGTAAGAGCAGGTATTATCGAAGAAATGGTGGACGACGCCATTCCGAATAACGAGCTACTGGAAGATGAAGAGCTGGAGGCTGATGAGGAAGTGGATAAGATTCTGCAGGAGATCCTACAGGGCAAGCTATCGCAGGTCGAAGAAATCAAAGCACCAACCGTGGAGGAGCCTCAGCAAGCCGAAGAGGAGTTCGAGGACCAAGAAGCCGCTCTGGAGCAAATGCGAGGACGTCTAGAGGCCCTAAAGAGCTGAATTATCACTGCTACTATACCCTACCAAGATTTGGTTCATTGTTCAGGGAGGCGGATATTGACACTTACATTTGATTCTCTTTGTGGTAAATGGAGTTTGGCATGGTAGAGCGCTTACGACTTTTTCCTCGTCCTTTTGTTTCCTTTCCTTTCTTTTTCTTTTCTTTTTTATTTTTTATTTATTTTTTTTCTTGTCTTCTTTGAACACTCTGCTAAGAGGCTGGCCTTGGACTCAGAGTTCTGAACAGGCTGAGATGCTCTTTCACTTCCACTGTCCCCGCTAGTATAGATGATGATGATGATAATGATGATCATGATTTACCGAATTGGGTGGTCCAGAGGCACTTCCAAAGGATTTATGAGGCGGCCACAATATTTAGCTGGGTAATACACCACCTCTTTCTTCTCCTTAACTTTGTCTCTATAATCCAATACTACTTCCCCCAAAAAATATCTCTCTTTATTTAACATATCATTAATCTGCTTTATATTCCAACTTGCTCTTGCTTGTCCATTTGGTAGCGCATCCAACGTGTATCCTAATACAGACTAGCGCCGAACTCAGCCTCTCTACTCCGCCTTCCGATTCTGGTTTCTTCCAAACCTGCCTTTTCCGTCTCTCTTATCATCCTCCATCTGCCTCCCTTTCTCCCTTCTTCATCATCCCGCATCGCGTCTTTCATCAATTCACGGCCTCTTCTCCATCAACTTTGTCATCTTCTTTGTCTCATTACTTTGTATCCTTTGCGCCTAACCTCTTCCGGCGCACGCCTCCCAGTTTCAAGCTTTCTGCCTCTCCCCTTTGTAGAGCTGCAACCCCGTTAGGCGCCGAACCACGCTTCGCGCTTGAAATCCGCGACTCATCCCTCTATCCATCATACTAGTGTCTCTCCTACTTCTGTCAATTTAACAACATGTCCGGAAAATTGGATAAGTCCTTGGACGAAATTCTCGTCAACCGTCGTCAAGGTGTGCGCCGCCGCCGTCGTGGTGCTTCCTCCAAGGCTGTGACCGCGACTGTCCCTGTTGGTGGTGTGAAGAAGACCACGAAGAGTGCTAAGCCTGCTGGAAAGGCTGTCCAGAATGGACACCCAGTATCATCTGAAAGCAAGATCATGGTCAGCGGCTTGGTAAGCAATTATTCTGGTGGCAAATTTCTTTCAGCAAGAGTGATGGCTGACTTCTTCTTCAGCCTGCCGATGTAAATGAGGCCAATATCAAGGTATGTTGATCGAGAGGCCTTCGCCTTGGGTTTCTATCGCCGTGTCTTTTTATCGGGACCTTCGAGTCGCAATGGCTCTCGCTCGCGCTTCGATCCCTGCCTCGTCACTCTTATATCGTGATGGTTGCTTGGTTCTGCACCAGAAGTTCACTCCTTTTGACGAGTTTGTGGTTGCTATCTGCAATCAAGCAGGCCGCAAGCTAGTCAAAAGTCGAGTTCTGCTCTGGTCTCTCGAAAGGCGAATCTTGCAAGAATGGGTCCTACAACAGCCATCGTGCTTGATCACGCTCGAGACCGTGCTATGGATGGTTGCTGAAAGTACACCATTCTAATTCCTGCCCGCTCTTCGTGCCTGTATTATTTGATATGTCGAGTCTTGGGCGTCAGCGAGTGCATCAGCATACCAGCAGTAAAGCAGACTAGCGAACCCACCAACTTTGTTTATCTTCTTGGAACGCCGCACCTCTATGGTCTGAGCTGAACCAATGAGTCATCTGCATCTGCCGGGGCATTTGCACTACTTTTATTTGATTGCTTTCTGTGGCTTGTGATACCTTTCATATTACCCTCCCTGAACTAGCATGAGAGATTTTGCAACACGCAAAACCTGTCCTAAAGCGTATCCAAAATAGGGGTTGCGATACGGCTTAGGCAGGTGTGGGAAATCCTCTTGCCATGACAGGTTTCTGTTCAGCCAACCCACCTTTGTTCGGTATCTGGGGGCCGTGGTGTTCAGCTTAACGAGGGATCAAATTTGGGGGCTAGGGCATATCTCGGCTATACTTGAATGGTGTTTGTGGGCAATGTTCGGCCAGCCGTGATCAGACCACCAAGAACCCCCCAAGATGGATGATGTGCTGGTTTTTCTCAGTCTACGAGCTGAGCTTGTGTGCTGACTACTAACTATCGCTGTGTGCTCGCTGATGCTCTTTGCTTTCGAGTCTGGCCTGAGTTGGAACCGTATTTTGCGCACCTCCGAGCATCCCAAGCCAACATCATTAACGCGCTTCATGATGAACTGTTTGCTCATCGTACTGATTTTCTTCCCTTTTCCTATAGGAATACTTCTCAAAATCCGCAGGTCCCGTCAAGCGAGTCATGCTTACTTACAACCAGAACGGCACCAGCCGTGGCATTGCCTCCATTGTATTCAGCAAGCCTGATACGGCCGCCAAGGCCGCTAAGGACTTGAACGGACTTCTCGTCGATGGCAGGCCCATGAAGGTTAGTTCCAATAGCATCAACCTTTCGGTTAATACAAGCAGAGACTCACTAGGACTAGATCGAGGTTGTTGTTGACGCATTCCACGCCCCTGCAGTTCCTGCACCCAAGCCACTTGGCGAGCGTGTCGCGTAAGTATTTCATTTCCAAGTCAATCTCAGCGAATGAATACTCATTTTCCCAAAGCCAGGGCAAGTCCCAGCCAAAGCCTGCAACAACCACCAAGACTACTGCTGCCACTCGTGGACGTGGTGGTGCAGCCCGCCGCGGCGGCCGCAAGGCTGGTCGTCCTGCCAACCGCCCCAAGGCCAAGACCGTAGAGGAACTGGATGCAGAAATGGTTGACTACTTTGCTGGCGGCGAGAATTCTGGCCCCGCGGGCGGTAATGCCGCAGTAAATGTTGCTCCTCAGCAAGCCACTACCGGGGGAGAGGACCTCGGAATGGCAGAAATTTCTGTAAGTCAAATCAAACACCAAGCAAACACACACTATTCCGAGGCTAATGCTCGCATTTAGTAATGAACGATGATTCTTTTGATTTCACGGCGGGGGGAAATCACTTTCGCCTTCTTTTTTTCCTCCTCGGCTAGACCGTATACGCTCGAAGGTGGCTATTTCGGACTTGACATTATCCCACCTGATTACTTCTCTTAAATGTGTTTTCCTAGTGCTTTGCTTTTAAACCTTTCTTCGCCTTTTGACCTCTTTTTTTATTCTCCCTACTGCACTGCTATTCGACTATTACGGGAAGTTGAGAAACACTGCATGTATGTAATAAGCCAAATGAATCGTTGACATTGAGATAACTATCCAGCAAGACATAGTAGGCTTCACACTTATCCATGAGCAAACAACTACTTTACATGTCGTAGTTTCCTATACCACCAAGACCTGAGCCGACTTTTGTTTTCGTATCTCGAGGAATCTTCATTCTCAGACCGACGGCGTTTCCCCAAAACACCCCATTTCCCGAACCTTCTCCACGAATCCTCCTCGTGTTCACTGCGGCTGAGGTATGCTTTATCAACCGGTTCGCATGCGTAGTATTGAACAAAGCTATTGAGCGCATCTCGCGCTGTTGCGGAGTGATCGAATTCAAAGATTTGGGAGCACTCGACCACCAGGTGGCGACCAGTATGATGGGCCTGCAGAATTCTTCCCGACCTGAGTCCTATATACGACAAAACAAGCACCTACACTTCGGTCAGCTACGGCTTGTATTGTCACGAAAGAGAGGGCCAAGGGGGGAACCACTTACGGGGAACTTCCAATGATGCTCAAAGTGTCTTAACGACATGCGGGTTCTGAGTACACGCAAGATCGCCTTCATTTCGCTCCAGCTGGGTGAGCTGCTGTCTATGACGAGGCGAGCGTCGGTCAAAAGCTCGACGATCGCGTGTGGCTTATGATGCGTGTGATCTTCTAAGACTTGGGAAACCTCCCAGAGAGTCCTGTACTCATGGGTTTCTTGAAGTTCAAGGGTTGGTTCTGCGCGCCATTTGCCCTTTTCGGTTGCTCTGTACACGATGTTATCCCCACGTCAAATGTGGGGGTTCCTTACGGGAGGAGAAACACGTACCCTTTCTTCTGAAGGCTTCTGGGCGATCCGATTTTAGATTTCGGTAACGACAGGCCGTGTTTTTGGGCGAACTTTTCTATGATGGCTGGGTATGCGATGTCGACAACGCGCGGATCGTTTGGTTCGTCGTCGATATCAGAGGCAGTAGTAGGTGAGGGCAGGGGCGTGAGAGAGGACGATGGAGAGGAGCCAGAGGATGAAGTGGCAGACGCAGAAGAAGCCGAGCCTGCTCGTTTTGCATCTTCCGGGGACAGAGATGAAGTCGGACCTGGAGCAGTCTCGAAGAAACACGGCTTGAAGCGAACCGGGCCCTGCTGGGATACGCTTCTCCTTCGGACCTTGATCCCTAATTCCTCGAGACAAGACGTCGAAAACCTCTTCGGTCCCCTCTTCTCTACCTCCTCGTGGAGACGGACGATGTCCGTATAGACTTTCTGGCGTTTGGTTTCCATGGTGAAGCTGTCTGTGCCTTTCTCTAGATGGATGGATTTCGAGTTGTTCCGACGATCTTGGAGAAACGCGGATCGGAAGTTTTCGAAGAAGAAGTGGGCTTAAGCCAGAAGGAAATTTATGCTATCCGATCTGCGATTACTTCATTATTATCTTTTCCTCCGGTCATCGTGGATGGTTTCAGGGCAAAGGTTGCAAGGTTGACTTTTTTGAGAAACTATCTCGCCTCCCATGGTTCGCGGGCAGACTGTCTTCACGCGATATTGACGTGAAGCTCCTTGAACAAGTTTATGCAGATGTCAAACGCTATGCCGAGCACAACTCGGCTATATAGTCTACTACCAAATCCGGCTATCCTGAGGCCCTTGGTGTACATATTTATGTGCAAGGGACGACGCGCCTCCTGTTCCTGGATCCGGAGTCTATTCTGATCTGTCCTGATGAAACCACGGTTCAGCCTGTAGTTGAGTTTGTGTAAACTCCAGTACTGTTGAGAGGTGATCAGAGACCATCATTGGACTTTTGATTCTACATTTTTTGTCCGCTCCACATGTTCTTCCATACAGGGGAAATGGTTCCGCCGAGTGGCTTCTTTTCCACCCGTTCCAATTCAATATAATTTGAATTAGACCCTCCCGGACGCTTTTCAGGGACTCCAGCGTGATGGCCTCAATATATCATCGCAGAATAGGAAATACTGCATCTCTCACTACCTCACAGCCTCCCAAATCAGTGAGTTGCTCGAAACTCCGGTCCCAACCCTCGAATAACCGTTGGGGAGGGAAGGCTTTTCTAGTCTCAACGAACCTACTACTGGGGCTCTAAGACCGAATCCCTCGCCAACGCAACTCGAAAGATTCCATCAAGTCCAACTGCACCTGCACCGCAACATGCCAGTCATCGTTGCCATCCTATCCTACATCCGCCAGGTGAAATCCGTCTGCACTCAATCGGTGATGCAGGGTGAGCTGGATTACAATATTCGTTCCTGATGGGTCCCTCAAAACTCAGCTCCTAATCTACTTACTTACTTGCTATCTTATTGTAAACTAAACTATAGAGATTGTGAATATATATGGAGTTTAGACTTCTGTCAACAGAGATGAAAACAGATGTATGAGCAGATATGAAGAAATGCGAAATGCGAAATGCACCATGAGAAGGATATCTCAGGGAGTAGATTTCTTCCTATAGACCGGAATAAGCAATTGAGGGACAGCAAGTGATATGATTAGAATGAGTCATGCATGTGAAAGGTAGAATAGTCTCTTGATATCCGTATATATTCATTAGATATTAGTCCTTGCGAGCTAGTTAGTTACATGTTACTGCTAAGTAAGCACTTCACCAACAACCATCCGACAGGTTGATATTTGGTGGAGAGCTAGAACAGTTCGATGAAATCCAATCCTTCCATCTATCTCATTCTCGACTCTAAAAGCCATACAAGAATTGCAAAGGGAAGCAAAGCCGATCTAGGTTTCAGCTTAAGCTACTACACTGGTTGATTTCCACTCTTTCTACCAGATCCAGAAGATAAAGGATGTACTATGTAGATGTCTATCAAGATCAGGAATCGATAGGCAAGGTAAGTAAGTACTCCGTACATAAGGATATACCGCCATGCCCTCCACCCAGATAAAAGACGGTCAAACGCAAAGTTCCACAGAGAAGGTGTACAGAGTAAAAAGAGGTCCTAGACTATACACCGCAAGATTACCCATAAAGGAAATACATAGGGTTTCTTTAATCAGGGCAAGCGAATCCGATTATACGGTGTGGATTTCAAGGGTTTTTTTTGTTTTACCCGCGCAAACAGCTTGAAATATGTCAACAGGGAACTCTAAAAAAAAAAAAAAAAAAGCATTAATGAATGGAGAAATATAGGTATACTAGCTGGCAGGATTAGGGTGCATGCATGAATGCAATGCAAGGAATTCACCGCCAGTTCTTGATCCCGTTGTCATTTCCATTCTAGAAAGGAGGGGAACGTGCCGCGGGAAGTAGAGAGCACGGAGTATGATTTGAAATGGAACCTGGATAATCTACTGGCTGCCCTGAGTAAAAGATGGCGTCGCTAGAGATGTTGAGCACTCCCAAAGGCAGCATATCAACATCGAGAACCCCTCCATGCCATGCCCCCTCTCTCTCTCCGCCCACCCGAAGGAAATTGTCAGCCTTATCTGAAATAGTTAAATAACTCCCTTGGGTACATAGGTGATTGCTGAGATTCCGCTTGACTCATCTCGAGTACCGAGGTATAGTTAGTTAGTCGGGTTTAGGAGAGTCATCTCTTGCTTCATCATCCTGGTTGCTGTATGGAAGGGTTCTCGAATGGGATCCTGGTCTAGATTTATTCACCCAGACAAAGGTGAATATTACACTCTGAGGGATAAATGGAAGGGAAAGTGGTAAGCGCGCTTAAATTCGAATAGAATAATAATGATATTATTTTTTACGGTTGCGACGTGGATAATAGAAATGTCAATATTGAATAAGCTGACTCTTTAACTATCCGCGTCATCACCACCTTCACTTACGAGTTGTATTGCATGATATGGATTCTAAACTCTGATATTGAATAATAAATTGTAACCTCGTAATCAATCATGCCTTGATTCATTTCTACTCCGTAATTTACCGCCGTAGATCTGGGTTGACGATATTCCCGCAGACTAACACACAGCCCCCGACGTCATGTAAAAATGACAACAGGGCCCTCAAAATCGTTCTCTTGAAGCAAGTCATCTGAGCCTCAGCTCTGGTCCCTTAACTCCTCTCTATGGCGGCTACTGAATAATTAATTATCCCGACAACAACCCACATCAGGAATAATCCAGTCCTGCACCGCCGATCGCATCGCCAGTGGCAAGAATAGTAACAACCAACAGCGGTTAGGTACTTTTGTTACTAAATGGTCTAGACTCCTGATCGGGCGTCAATAGTATTCGGGTATATTCTGATCTCCCCTTCAGACGAGGCGAGAGGAGGAGGAGGAGGAGGCGGAGACCTGGGGCCCCAGACCGCAGCGTCACTCTTCAGTCAAAGTATCGTCGCCACATTCCATTCCTCACTTTTTTTTTTTTTTTTTTTTTTTTTTTTTTCAAGAGAGTTCGATTTTGATTCCGATTCAGACCAAGCTGGGGATATGAAGGCGCTCTCGGCTCGTCTTCAACTTTCCAGGTTGCGTCGTCCCGGTAAATAGTGCAGAGGCGGATGTACCGGGTGCAGCACCGTAAAGTAACCCTTTTCAAGTGCAGTCGAGTTTCAACCTAGATAACCGGTCCAGCGGAGAGAGAATGCCGTCTGCTGCATCCGCTGCGAGGGAGGGAGAACCGCGTAGTCAACACTTTAATTCTCGATTTGGATCTGTGTTTCCCATACCCCATATTCCGGAGCTGGGGACTTTACCTGCAGTATTGATGATCAAGGGAGGGAATGCATCCTCCCACCTAGGAAACTCAGGGAAGTGGAAGCCATGACTCGTGAGCCACAGCCCCGGATATGGCCGTGGCTGGGATTGATGATTTGCATCCGTATCCCCTGCTTGACGGGTATCAAAGCTCCAGCTCCCAGTGCTCCCGCGAAGGGAGAGAGAGAGAGGGGATTGATCTTCCCCGTTGATAGTTGACAGCAGTACTTTATCAGTCGACTCATCATATTATTTTTTTATTTGGTGCCCAAGCCGCACAACATGACAGGATAGCCAAGTCAAGTCTATCAGGCTGCCATCGATGACAAGTTGATAACTTATGGTATCGTAAAAACCAATAACGGATCAAGCGGTGTATCACCGCTCTTCCGCACGGTCGCGTTCCCTGCCGTCAAGCCGAGTTAGCCCCTACAGTGCTGTATCCGTAAATAGGGGACCTTATACGGAGTATTTTAAGAACAACAGAGGGGGGGGGGAAGAAAAATGGGGGTGAGAGGGAAGGGGGACAAGAAAGTACGGAGTACCGAGATGTGGCTATTGAGACTCACCACTTATCCGGATGCGGGTAATAAAGAGTAGCTAGGTACGGAGTACTCTGTACTCCGGGACTCCGTAGACTGAAGAGTTGTGGCTCAAGCCTCAGTGGGCGGAAATGCAGACTGGTATCCAGGACCGCGGGATGAGGAGGAGATCGATCAATGGTCATTCCTGGTTTCGTCACCTTACACCTTAAGTGCCGATTCCTCAGAATGTGCACGATGCCTGGTACATATGTAGGAGTGTCTGTGTGTCGAGCTTCCTTCCTATGAAGATAGTGGTCTAAGATAGGCAATCCGGAGTGCTAGACTTGAATAGTTTGTTTTGATGCATTAGTGGAAGTGAACATGCAGTCACATCCGCATGAAAGGCATATTGCAGTATACTGCACAGTAGCTGAGCTATGGAGTATATGTACGGATCAGAGCTATCTCTCCGGGGACCCGGAGCTCCCCATCGGTACCGAAGATCGATCATGGATCCAAACGGAAGAACGAAGCTGAGAAGCTCAAGAAGAGAAAAGGGGCTCCCAACTCCTGGAACCGGCCCCCTTCCCGCTGGATCCGCGGGCCTACCCGTGGCGACGTGGAGAAGACTGGTAACTGGATTGGACGTGGAACTTGGAAGGTATCTGACCAGTCTCAAATCCCAACCGCCCGACTGTTTGGAATTGGAGACTTTGGACTGGGAACTTTTCGGAGAGGCGGGGCGGTCTTGGATCCTTTGGTCCTTGGGCAGAGTCGTTGCTCATTGACTACCCGATTTCAGGGGTAGCAGAGCCGGATAGGATGGAGGATGGATACTAGTGGGAGAATCCGACACAGCGGTTCGATGTTCAGAAAGAAACGAAAAGGCCGTAAGAAGAAAATGGTGAGCTCCGCGAGTGGCGCCCCAGTAGTTACTGTTACTAGTTAGAGGTGGGTTATAATACCGAGTACTCCATACGAAATTTAAATAAGACCATAAAATAAAAGAATCTTCAAGATATCCTCCTTCCACATGCATGCAATCATTTCTAGTCCACGCCTGTTGTTAACCCAAATCATCTCCCCTCCAAAGTCTTCTCTAGCTGTCATCACCCGAGGAACCCTGGACAACAATACATCGAGGTGATGACAGCTAGAGAAGACTTTGGAGTAGAGATGATAGCGAGGGAATCGACCCGGTTTGGGTCGATAAGCGCGTGAGTTCTATCCATTATTTATAGGGAAACCTGTGCGACATTTCTGACTGTGAGGTATAGATACTATCCCACTTCTAGACTCTAATCGAAGTATCTTCTGGCCTATGCCTCCAGAGATCTCAACGGCGTGATGATGATTTTCAAGAACCCTGACTTCCGTGAACTTTCAGTTTGGACCCCGAATGAGGATGTGTTAGTTATGAGAGCTGCAAACGACTTTCTGCATCTTTAGTCGCCCTGATTTCTCTCACTAATTAGTCTAGTTTTACCTAGCAAATTGCTCATCCGCCTATCGGAACGTTGGCTACTCTAGAAATTCCAATTTTTTTTCCGTACCTACAGTTAATACTCTTCATATTTAAATCAAAATTCATTAAGACGAACCGGAAGAAAGAAGATGTGATTTGAGACCAGAGTACTCCGTACTCCGTACTATTGGATCAGTTGGATTCGAGAATAAGAATGGTCTATCTTCAGATAGCCGTACAGGATGGATGCAGCTGCGGAAGCAGGGGTCCTTCTTCTACAAAAGTACGGATTCTCTTCTCTGTACGGGGGACTCCGTAATCAACGGGCTTTGAATCTATCATTTACTGTATATCATGATGATGAATGTGATGAATGTGATGAATGCTTCACAGGGACAGTTCATCACCACAGTACAGAGTAGAAGCTCCCGAAAGAGTTTTTTGTTTCAAAATGAATCTGGACCTCGGCTGTTCCTCGACATCGTACTCCCTGGCTTCTCGAAACGTCCCAAGTCACGATCATCCATTCGGTCGGGTCTCTAGTTGACAAGGCCTGGAATTAGGTAGGGAACTAAGTTGGTCTCGACTCTTCTCCGAACTTTTCATATGATGAGTCTCAGTCTCTCACTTGGAAATTATATTCTCGGTACCTTTACCAGAGTAGGTTCGGCCACAGTGGGTCGCGGGGAGACGGAAGAGCCGAGCACTCTAGATGAACCGGAGAGGGAGTACTCTGGATAGAATTCCCCTCCCGGGTAAGAAGGACAAGTGTTTGTGTTTTGACCGCCAGGTGAAGGACATGGCAACATATAGTTACCACGGAGCGGTGAGTTGGAATGAAACATTTTCATCTACCGGGAATATTCCGGAGTATACAGAGAGAGTATGGAGGATTTTTCCGACCCTACTTGAGGTGGAATCCTTCACCCGTCAGAAATCAATTATCCAAGTCAAAAAAAGATACATCCACTCAGTCAGATGGAATCCTTGGTACGGAGTATCACCAGCTGAACTTGAGATCTTTCAAACATTCCCTCTCCTGTCCTGCAGCCAGATTCACATTTCTGACATTTTTGACTGGTCCTTTTTTTTTTTTTTTTTTTTTTTTTTTTGGTCTCATTCACAGTGGGGCGGGTTTTCTTCTTTTTTTATTTTATTATTGATTTATTTTAATCAATCAATAAATAAATCAAAAAAAATAAATAATACATTTTTCCCCCCTCTCGCCTTATCTGCTGGGATATAATATAATAATGCAAGGGAGTCCAGACCAGACACCTCCCCGATCGATCTGGCCCTTCCCTTCCATATATCATCCTACTTAACCCCCCATCCTCTACTGTTTCTTCCCTCGTTCAACTCTTCTCAACATCCATCTCCTCTCTTCCACAGACACCATGTATCCATTTCTTCCCTGGAGTCATAACCAGGCCAGTATTCGCTCCACTCCGAGTGAGGCCAGCCCCAGCACACACCATGTGTCCTTCAGCTTCAGCTTTGGCAGCGCCTACTCACCCACGGCCATGCCTCCTCCTCCTCCCCCTTCTCCTACCGACTCGTTGCTCGACATTACCCCGCGCAAGTGTTCCTTTTCACATGGTTACTCGATGAACAACGCCTGTGCCTTCCCATCATGGCCCAATCGCCCGTCTCTGATCAGCGCCGACTCGGAGGGGTCGAGTGCCAGCGCCTATCTTTCTGACGAAGATCTATTCCCCGATGGCCCGATTCCGAGCGAGCTTGCAGTTGACGAAGAATCTGCCGCCATCGAACCCTCCATGGGCGCTGGCGACCTGACTACCGAGCAACAGATCCAACTCCTCCGTGCGGCGGCTGAAGAAGAAGCTCAACGAGCACAATTCCTGGCTCAAGTTCAAGCCCATGCCAAAGCCCAGCAAGCTCTGCGAGTCGCTCAACTGGCGACAGTGGAGCGGGAGAACTCCAAGCGTAAGAAGCGCAAGCCTGTTGTTACAGAGAAAAAACGACGAACCACCTCGTCCTCCAAGGCCGTTGTTTACCGTACATAGACAACGGACGGGGCTGGGTGTGACTTGTTTTTTTTTTTTTTCCGTTTCGTTTCTTCTCTGTAACAACATTCCTCCAAGCTTCAGCATAGATACCCCACGCGCGGTGTTTTTTTTTTTTTTATGATTTTTTTTTATTACCGTGTCCCACACGTCAAACTGGAAGTTGGTTACCGTGTACTACACGTTTTTCTTTTCTTCCATCCTCTTCTTGGACGCGTTGGAGGGGTACGACTTTCTCAGTCCATCACCCAATTCGGAAACTTGTGAGACCCGTGATTTGGTGCCCGAATTCGCTGCCTGGTGACTGGCCGCTTACCTAATTTCACTGTCGCAGTCGGCGCATCGCTTTTAATTCTTTCTTTCTTTCTTTCTGCACGCCAGACAGGGCCCAAGCAAGCCTATCATCTGCACTGTTCTCACCGCCAGTCATCTAGACAAATGAGTCATGGATGCTGACGCTTTTCTTTCAATTCTTTCTGACCCTTATTCTGCGATCCGCGGGTAACATTTAATTCTTGTTTCTTTGCTCCAGTCGATTCCATTTCGGGAAATTGGTTTCTACTCTACATTCTGGTCATCATCTGCTTTCTAGCGTCGGTCTCTGTCGGTCTCTGTCGGTCTCATGTTTAGATACCCCGTCTTGTACTTAGTTATCATCATCTTCTTCTTCTTCATACCCGAGCCAGTTACACAGGCTCTGGGGTTTTTATTTTATTTTCTGCATAGCTTAGCGACATACCCATTGATTTCTAGCCATCATAGCATGTGAATGATATACGATAATAATCTTTCTTCGAAATTCGTTTCTGATATTCATTTCCCATATTCATGTGATGAAGTCATGTCAGACTACTGTAGCTCTCCAACGTGTTAGCTATCTATCGTGTTTCGCCCATGTGAATGTAACATTTATCTTTATCTTTTTCTTTTTAAAAAGAATAAAAATAAGATTAACACTGTATACATACATATATACATACATATATACATACATACATACATACATACATACATACATACATACATACATACATACATACATACATACAATAAAAAAAATGATATGCTCTACATTTTATAGTTTCGTAGTTTAGTTCCGGAAGATAGCCCTAGATTATACCATACCATGCTATATAATATCATTTCACTGATAAAACCCAAGCTGCGTTCGATCTGTTTTACCCTCATCCTAGAACTTGTGGATTTATTTGACGCTTTCTGTGGACTCGGCTGGGGATTTGTTCTCAGACTAGGTATGTATACATCTATATATATGTATATATAGTCATGTTCACACCGTGCAAGTATGTTCATGTTATTATTGAAAGGTAACCAGGAACTAGAATCAGCTGAGTAGTCTAGACATAGTATATGATTCCCAATTTTTTTTTTTTTTTTTTTTATCTGTAGGTGCAGCCTGTATAGTTGCATAGCGGCTGGTCCGTCTGTCTGTATACGGATCGATCTATCTATTATCGAGGCGAGGGGGTTAATTCCGTCCCTAACAACTCCCCTCCTACCTCCTTCACTAACCCCTGCTCCCCCTTGAACTTCTCTACACCCCCCTTGGCCTTGACCGTCTCCGCAACCCCCATCGCCTTACATAGATCCAGCACGGTGCCGTCCGGGGGCGCCTCGTAAACAATCAACCCCAGGGCAAAGAGCAGCCCATGCAACGCCTCGGGACTGTCTTGTTCTTGGTCGATCGCCTCGACGAGAGACGCAGTGAGCTCGACCTGGGATTCTTCCGTGAGAGGCTCGGGCTCAGGAGGTTCCTGAATACGAGCGTTGTGGTTGAATGCGGCGAGATTGTAGGCCAGGGACGCCGCGACAACGCGCAGGTTGGTGTGTGTGTCCAGGAGACTAGCGGTGGTGAGGGCTAGAAGAGTGCTGCGGAGGTTGGCACTGCCGTCACTGCCGTTGGTATACGGGGCGTGGGGGAGTGACAGATGATCGAGGCAAAGAGGACTGTTGAAGAGGTTGCAGCCGAGCTGGAGCATGACAATCCGGAGGCTGTACGGAAGTGTGGAGAGATTGTCGGTGGAAAGTAAAGTGGCCAAGGTGGTGTGGTTCGGTTCTTCCGCGAAGAAAGCGGCCACCCTGGTATCGATGAAGAGTAGCCGCGCAAGGTCAAGGACGGCAAAGCGGTTCTCGAGTGGCGTGGCGTGGAAGGTTGACTGGAGATAGGCTGCGAAGGAAGGTAGATCGGATGGGAGTGGAACATCAGCTAGCCTGGTGGCATTGTCACTACGGCGCTTAATAAAGTCGATGATAGACAGCAGGCGGGGGTCTTTGTCGTGCGGCTGCAGTTTCTGAGCGAGCTTCTCAAGCGGAGGAGTTTTCTTATACATCACGTAGTTGGTGATGGACCTCTGGAGACTCGGGAGATGCAGCTGGCGGTGTCGATGCACGGGGTACGCCATTTCCAGGAGCAGGCGGACGTTGCCTCGGAGTTTGCCCGGGTCTGCGCCGCTCCATTCATCGAGCTTCTCGCCTCGGAGGAAGGTCATGAAGGTTGGGGTCGCACGCACGTTGTATTTCATGCTGACGTCGTAGGCAGTGCTGATGTCTACTTTGACGAGGACGGCTCTGCGGCCGGCTTCTGCAGCGAGTTCATCATATGTGGGATATACCATCTTGCATGGCGGGCAAGTAGCTGAGGTGAAGAAAATAACGGCACATGAATTTGATGCAGAAGCGAGGTGTGCATCAAGCTGGCTCAGGTTGGTGACAATCTGAACTGTTGCGCTAGGCGCAGCCGCAGCTGGTGAGGAGACGCTCGGTACTGCGCGGGGTGCAGCAGGCTGGATTCCAGACGGGCCAGGGGCTTGAGTCACACCACGAAGGGCTGATTCAATCTGAGGTTTCAGCATTTGGCCAAAAGGGGTGCTCAGAAATGTCTCTGGCAGGTTCCGGATGTGCTCAGGGATGCTCTTCCCGACGAGAAACATGGCTAGGTCTTGGGTGAAGTTATTGCAATTGTGAAGGAAGAGATCATAAGACTTCTTAATTTAGTAAATTTTTTTCTTTTCTTTAAAATCAGGGTTGGCAGGGTCTTTTGAGATGGACATACCTCCGGTGTATAGATCGAGGCTAGGGATTGGAGGTACTCCTCTATCACCTCTAGGGGGAGCTCCGTGGTCCCCATATGGACCTTCTCCATGGGTTGTCCGTGATGTGTGCTTCCAGGGAGAGCCGTTTGAATCCCCTGTCCAAAGTAGTACTCGACATTATTCAATACCAAGGACGTGTGGTAAATAGCATCAATTTGTATCCCGGTCAAAGGGAGCGAGTACTATAGGAATTAGACTGCACACCCATTCTATTGACGAAAAAGGCACGTACCATTCGTGCAAGCCCCTAGAATACATGTTAACAGTGAAACCCATTAGAGGGACGTAAAGGCACTACCTTGGACAGGTCGTACACATACAGCTCTAGATCCATCTCAGTGGACGAGGCAGGAGCTGGATTTCTTTCGCGAATTCACTAAAAGTTAATCAAATCTCAAGCATTCATGCACGATGGATTGCAATATCAGTCACAGAGAAGATCCAAATACCGGGAAATCAGAATCTCTAAGTGGTGTATTTGGGTGTCCGTTAAATATTGCAATGAGAAGAAATGCGCAGCCTTTCTCGAACCGGTTACGTCAGCAATCACGAGGATCTGAAGCATTCCGCGATCTTCGATGAGATGCGACAACAACTCCAAGGTATTGCCTTCCGCCACTACTAGGTACCAGTGCACACGCATTCATTTTGTGAGGTGATGGTTGGTGAAAGCTTATAATAGTAATAGCTTCCCCCTTTTTGCACTACCAATGGCTGGAGCTCCACTCTCTTAGTACGTGCTTGGACTTCAATCGCAAAGGCAGCTGACAGCGCCTCAACCCAGCGACATGGTAAGCTACCTAAGAGCCTGCTGATGCTCCGCTGTGACGCCTAATAACCCATGTCGCGACAGCCTCCTAAGAAGCGCGGAGCTGCCGCCGTATCCTCATCGGCACCTAAGAAACGACAATCCAAGCTGGCCAAGGAGAACGACATCACCGCGGACGAGGAAAACGAGATCAAGGAAGTTTTCCATATCTTTTCAGAACCCAATGAGGAGTTTCCCAAAGAAAAGGAAGGTGTGATTGCCCAAGAGGACGTCCGGAAAGCTCTTGTGTAGGTTTCCTTCCCTGCTTCTCTACCTATCGTAGATCCTGACGCGGGATAAGAGCGCTGGGCCTCCCACCCTCTGACTCAAGCGAACTCGAATCCATACTCGCCGCAGTTGACCCAACCGGAACCGGCTTCGTCCCTTACGAGCCCTTTCTATCCGTCGCCGCAGCAAAGTTAAGGTCACGGTCTGATGAGGCCATGTCTGCTGAAGTGGATGCGGCTTACCAACTATTTACGAAAGGTACAGAAGGTCCCATTACTTTTGGCCATTTGCGGCGAATTGCACGGGAATTGAAAGAGGATAAAATCGACGATGCGCTCCTGAGGGATATGATATTGGAAGCGAATGGCGGCGCCGGTGTCGATGCTGGTGTAACTTTGGAGCAGTTTCAGGAGATTATGATGAGGGCTGGCGTTTTCTAAACTAGTATTGATCCTGCCGGCGTTTTGGTTTACTGCGTAGTATCCGGTTTACACAGATTTAGGCGCCAGGGCTGTCCCTTTTTCCTTGCATTCAACGGCGCCGGCATAAGTTTATTACGACTACTGTTTTGATTTCTTGCCGTGGAATCAAATTATGAAATAACATATCGCTTGAGATACGGCCTGAGTACAATATCCAGATACCAACCCCATTGCCGTAAAGGGTACATGTAGGGGAAAAAAATGTTGATGTAAACAAAAAACGCCTTCCAATGCGTTGCACTTCGGGGTATCATAAGTCAACATGTCAAGTATGCTTCGAGTTGTAGTCAGGTAAAGAGACAAAAGGCTGTCTGTGCACTGGATGCTCAATCAACTTCAAGGCTAACCTTTTCACACTCCAGGCCAATCCTCTCAGAAGTTGAGACGCTAGTGGCTCTCGATGTGTTAGAAGACATATCTTCAGGGGACGTGTAGCTTGAGCCGGTCCCTGAGTTTTCGACTTCATTGATATCCAGCTCCCGCGCATCGCACGTGGAAGCCTCGACAGCCTCGTAGAATAGCATGAAAGCCCCTCCCTGAGACATGACACTGCCTTCGCTGACCATTTGGACATCCTCATCACTAAGCCGATACCAACGCTCGGATTTTTCCTTATCACCATCTTCCTCCAACACTGCATCTGGAACGTGAGCAGGAAAGGTGCCAGTCGAATGCTTTCTGTAACATATGTAGTGACCATTCTCGTGGCGACCATAGTGCGTGACCACCGCACGTAGTTCATAGTGGTGTCCAAAGGTATCCCTCATCACCCCTGTCTGTGGAAGCATCGAGACCCGGGGATCAATGCCCCAGTTTTCGATGCTTTGGTCAATAGAACCTCGGGATTCCGCTCCCAAGCACCATTCGCCAAGATCGAAGGATTTGGGAAACTTAACCGCCGCATAATTTTTTCTCAGCAATCCAGTATGCTCGTCAAAGACACTCCGGTTGATATGAATTACAAAGCACTTAGGGGGCCGAGCGATGACGGCTTGCCGAGACTTGGTTGTGGAAACTCTGTTTTTCGAGGGGATGTGGCATTTCTTTGACAAGGTCCTCTCCGTGAAGTCACAGTCATCTAGTGCCTCCTGCACCGCTTGCAACCGTTGCTCAGCGGATGCTTTGAGCGCATCTGATATTTTTGGCGAATCAGGCGTCTGTGAAGGTTTTCCATCATCCTCAATCTGTTGTAGAAGGTTACGCAGCTGCTCTTGAGCACGGAGCAAAGTACACTTTGCACATTCTACTCCCTCAATCGGCTCTAGATGCATGTAGTGATCCAGACAGTTGCGAACGTCATATTCAAACCCCGACCCGAGAGGTACCGTCAGGCAGTTGAAAGGGATGAGAGATAACCCTTCTGTCCATCCACATTGCATACAACCCACTCTCTGCGCAAGAAGGCCGTCTAGGGGGTTGCGGAAAGACTGGTTCTCCGCGTGTGGGCTTATGGTAGTAAGATCATTCGATGAATCTCGCACTGAGTTGGACCCGATGACGTGTTCTTGAGGCCCTGCCATTTTCAGCCCCAGGTTGCGTGTCTTCCGTCGTGTAGCTTGGTGCACTTCATAATCTATCTGGTCCACCACCTTCGAAAAGTATTCCTGCGCATCCTGTTGTTGCCAGCTGCTCATCGATTTAAGGTCCGGGGGGGTCCATAGTCGCTGTCCGTAGTTCTCTGCATTATTCAGTCGTTCAATAATCCCTTTAAGAGCTTGGTGTGTCGAAAAGGCGGGCTTCTCGCTAAGGGCGTCGATGTTGCGTTCCAAAAACTCCGCAAATGACGGTAGAGAAGCCAGCCCCTGGATTATGCTGTTTTGATAGCATGAATTATCCCAGTTTCCTAAACCTGGCGGCAAGCTATCCTTGCTACCTAGTAGTGCGGTGCTGAGTCCCGAGAAGGCGGTGGCACGAGGGAGGAGAGACGCGAACGAGGTATTATCGAGACCGAGGATTCGTTGCATAGCCTCGCTTTTAGCCTGGGACGTCATGGGGGTAAGGGTTGCGTCCGTCGTGTCCGATTTTGTTCCTTTCGAATCTAGAGCAACGACAATCCGCGATGGCGTCAAATAGACGACGATATCCCAGACAAGACGAGCCAACGAGGCAGTGACTGATCCAAAACGACTCAAAAGAAAAAGGACGGATACCGCAGTCACAAGGATATAAGCTAGGTTTGGGTTATTCCGTAAATGCTGCAGCAAGGTGTCATAGTGGTTATTAGACTTCGCGCTGTTGAAGGGACTCTGAGTGAGGACATCAACCCCCTCTCTGCGAGCATTCATGGCTGATCAAGGGAAAGAAAACTGCACGGCATAGAGACGGTGGTGTTGTTATGTACATGGGCAACCTGCAGGTCGACAAGGAGAAAATCGATGGATGAGGTCAAAGGCAACTTCACCTCTAAATGGACTGCTGCAGATCGGATCGGCTGCATAGTAAGCGCGTTCCCGTTGCGTTTGGGGTCGCTGTCGCTACCTGGATGGCGGTTTTTTATCGATAGTCGATCTCCACAAAAAAAAAAAAATAATAATTCTACGAAGCAGTGGAAAGAAAGATAGAAAAAACAATTCATATCTCTCTGGCCACACTGGGACCTGGATTATGGCCAAAGCAAGACGTAAGTACAGCTGCATCTACTGTGGAAGCAAATTTTCACGGAAAACTATATGTATTCTAACTCGATCGTATAACAACCAGCCCAGTCCAAACACTCCCGTGCTGCAAGACGGGCAGCTTCCCCGAGTCTCGATGTCGACAAGTCCTTGACGTCCCTCCCTCGGGCTGAGAAAACTCCTGTGCAGCGGGAATCAATTCTTGCCGACCGTGCTAATGCGGGCATCTCTAAGAAACAGTCGAAACCCAAACCCAAATCAAGAGTGCAGAAATTAAGACAACAAAAGGGTATTCAAAGGGCAGAGGCGGTTTTTGACCAGATGGAAAACAAGGTGACCAAGAGCGCCAACCGCGCAAAAGCCGTAAAATCTCGAAGGGTATGTGGTTGAATTCGTGCAATAGACCTCCAGTCATTAACTCCGATACACCGTGGATTAGGCCGATTGGGAGGATCTTAATCGTAAAACGGCCAAGTCTATGTTCGCCGCCCTCAACGCTGCTGAAGATAACGACGATGATGCTATGGTCGACGATTCGGGGGCCCCTGCCACAAGCAAACCAGCTTCGCGCCCAGTCCCTGTTGCACAAAATCCCGTGGTGGACGAACCCGCAACGATCGATGAGGACGACGAAATTACTTGAGTGTGAATGAGGTGGTTCGGGAATTGAGATACGAAACTGGTCGCATCCAACTATTTCTTTGGCCGAAGCTGATTGATCATCCGACCAATCTCGACCGCGGATGGGCCGGAGGTCTTCGATTGAAGATTTTCGAGAGTATTGACATCCTTGGCTTTGAAAGCTTCCTCTCCGGCTTTGACAATCATTCCGCATTTCACCCACATTTCAATTCTGTCCTCCGCGGGGAGGTTGGTGCATTTCGGGACGAATACAGAAGCAAGCTTTGTGTTTCCAGCGCCTAAAATCTCGTTATAGAAGGGCTATTATGATTCATGTCAGCATATAGATATATAAACTAATTGATGATCGACGCGCTTACCTCCCATCCTATCGGGGACTTTTTGACCTTGCCGATTTCCTCCAATTCGCCCCAATCACGCTTGGCCACTAGGGCCCTTAACCTTAGCCACCAGTATGTTTTCTCCGGCATCTTGAAGTCGCCCTGGATCTTTTGCGCTCGTTTCCCGTAGCCGGATCGGATTAATCTGTAGATGGTCTCATTTAGACTTAGGCCCAGGAACTCGGATCTTTCTGCCAAGTCTTTGTCAAGCGCTTCCTGGACCTTGAGCAGTTGAGACGACTCGGAGAGTAGCTTCTGGTGGAGCACCACCGTGGGGTCTTTCGAATCTGCCAGTAATCGGGATGCTAACTGGAGCTTTTCCTGTTTGCGTGCCAGGTCGGTCTCGCTCAAGGCCTCCGAAAGAAGGACATTTGAGCCATCGACAGGACGATCGTCTTGATAAAAGAGATCCTTTAACAGTTCAGTGTCTTCCCCTCTAGCAGTAGTTTCCACGAGCGCAGAGGCTGTTGGGCGGGTGTTTATCATCCTAAAAAAGCTAGCAAGAGGAAGCTTCCCCTTCAGATGAATCAGGACGTAGTTGATGAGGTCATCATCTCCGCTCTGAATAGCCTTATCTAGTGCAATCTCGTCTTCCTCCATATTAAGCAGCAATGGAACCTGTTTCCCGGCCCGCGGTTCGTGGTTCAAGAGTTGGGTAGCTAGATGTGCTCGACCCTCATCGTATGCGGCCTGTGCGATAACTTCAAAAGAAATGCCCGGCTTTCCTTCCAGTCTCTGCACGATAAGTCTGCAAACAGCTTCATCGTCGACTGTTGACACCTTGACTTTCTGGCTGGCCCAGTGGACGTATATCTTGTCAGCGGGGATTTGCAGGTATTCCGAGACACGAATTGCAAGTAGATATTCACGCCGGTTCACCAGACGTTCAATCAGTTTCTCTGAGGTCAGGCGCATGTATTGCTCGTAGGAAATGGGTAATCCGATCTTGAAGTCTCTAACCGCCTGCAAGACTCGCAATTTCTCGGTCATCTCCACAAACTCGTCGCTGTTATATAGGTCTAGCACTGATTTTCCGAACGAAGCAGCTTTTAGCAATCGCTTTTGCCAGTGGACATCAAATTCATGTCCAGCTGCCTTGACGCAGGTATCAACAGCTTCCGGGAGGCTGGATCGGATTCGTTGAATGTTTTCGTCTGCTTTCGGTGACTTTCTGTCCAGAAGGTCAATAGAGTCCAGGAGAACAGATGCTGGAGATGTTGATCCAAGCCGAAAGATCGCCTCGGTCACGTCTGCTAACGTTAGTTCTGGAGCTGAGTAAGAGACAAGTCGGCGTACCTGAGACTTTATGCAGATATTCGTATGTATCGTTGGTGATAAGTCCCACGCCGTCAAACTCTGGTAGAACATGAACAGTTCCATCGTAGTAGTATCGGGCAGCAGCGCCATTAGGGCCGATGAGATGCACCTCGTCCTCCCATGCGATAACAACAGCATCATCACCACACCAGTCCACAGTACGGGGAGTAACCCGAGACTCTGGATCGTATTCACTAAACTTACTCTGAAAATCGCTGCTCACCACCCACACTTTCCCTTCGGCGGTAATAAGCGCCACGAATCGTCCGGTTGGAGACACACTCGCGTGCTTGAACGGGCCGTTCTGGAGCACTTTATCCTCTGCTTCCGTAGGGTCGATTAGGTAGACCGTCTTGTCGACAGCAAGCAGAACCTCGACCGAACGAGACAGTGTGTAAGCTGGTGGAATCAGTGACCATGAAGCGACCTCTCCTTCCGGGCAAGCGGCTAGAAGTTTTGGACGTGGTTCATCATAATTTGATACAGCGATCAGCTGGTTGTTCGAAAGTAAGGCCACAAAGCCAGAGTTCCAGAACCGGCATGCTCTCACCCCATACTCTTCGGCTCCCTGCACACATTAGCTTGGTACAACTGCAAATTGAGAGGGACGTACATTTCCAAGAGAAAAGGAGGTGAAGTCGCCGTACAACCCGAAGTACCGTCGGACGGTACCATCCTCTGTAATAACCAGGAGTTCCTCCTGGTCGGACCATCCGAGTCCTCTAATCGTGCCATGCTCCCACTGGAACGGTTAGACATGCTGGTGGTATCGGACAGGAGCGACTCACATTCAACCTATTGATCAAGTTTCCGGAGCGGGAATAGATGTCAATGTTCGACTTGGTGGTCTGCGCATCTTTGAATCTGAACGGCTTGCTTTCATCCCGATGCAAAGCTATTATTGTCAACAACAGCAGTGCAGAGCATCAATGAATATGACATACCAATAGCCCCGCCATATGGCGCGGCGGCGACGATGTAGTTCTCTAACTCTACGTCCTCATCGAAGACCGAATAATACACGGGGACCTTGCGGTAAAAGCTACTCCCCAGCCTCTCCCAATTAGCCAGAGGGTTTGATGGTGCCATTTAGAAAAGAAGTCTCATCCGAGGACGAGAAGCAGGCAGTGGGCCAATTCTTGAAGCAACAGGAGTGAGAGTACTGAGTGTATTGCTTGGTCGCCTGTTGGTCGTCCATCGGGAGCTCCAGCTTGGGATGATGCGCTAACCCGATTTGGGGGTGCCTGTATGGTCGGTGTTTCGTAACTCAACACCACTCATCTCTCTCTCTCCATGGCACCACGACTTTCTTTAAAAACATCATCATGAGTGTAATTCTGAGGCACAACAATGGATGATACCCAAGACATTAGCAAGCTGGCTCTTGCACTGTCAGATCTGGAATTAGCCTTGCTTCTTTGTCTGGCTGCCCAGGAACACTGTCTAATCGAGACCACAGAGAACAGCGTCGATGACGTTGCGGCAGAGCTCGCCTTGGTATTTACTCACAGTGCCCCCCCCCCCCCTCCTTTGTATCTTCATCGTTAATAATTGTCTAGATATGCTCTCACACATACGGTCTGACCTATGCAATAGTAGACTTTTCAACCCTTGTCACTTTTGACGATCTTTGCGACCAGATCTGTCTTCGCAATACAAGAAGAACTGTCGATGCGCTTATAGCAAAGAATCTCGACCATGCAAGTGAGAACATGCAACTGCACGCTCTCAAGGTACCGAAGGGGCTTTTTTTTTTTTTTTTTTTTTTTGTCACTGCTGGGATCATGCACTAATTTACTCAGTTAATGCACTCAAAAAGCCTCGTCGCAGAAAGTACCGTTATCGAGGCCCCGGCGCAGTTCTTGTTCATGCCTTTGGTCCTGCGCGACTCAGGACAAGTTCAGCCAAAACTAAATTCCCACCTAGTACGTTCTCCAACTAAGGGCAATCAATCTCACGACGCTCACTTGGCGCAGAATGACCAACTTATCATCTCCTACTTTCACGATTCCGACGACGGGTATGTCTACTTAGAAGACGACGACTGGCACTCTGAAGGACAGGCCTCCTTGTCTTCCGTGGTCCATAAACCAGACATTCAGAAACAAAACGGCCATCCGAGCATCGATCGCGATGTAAGTCCCTCCTCCTTCAAACTTGATTGCTACAGGTCTACTGCTGACAGACAGACCAGCTACTCAACAAAGTATACCAGGCTAGCAAAACTGTAAACGCCAGCGCTGAGCTCGTGCGATATCAACAGGACATTGCGGTTTTTCTCCGTCTCAGTCGTGCTGTGGCAGGGGGGATTTCAGCACGATCAAACATCCACTTCGCAAAACTAGCAAGGTACTCTCTCTCTCTCTCTCTCTCTCTCTCTCTCTCTCTCTCTCTCTCTCTCTCTCTCTCTCTCGCCTTGAACCCTTCCTTGGGTGAGGTAACTAACTAGGGAGACTAGACTTCTCGCCGTGCTCCATGGGCTCGACTATCTTACGCCGTCAATTATAGCACTCGCTGCGAAGAAAGTCTTCCGCCACCGGATCGTCGTGGCAAAGCCCGAGGACGACCGCAGTTTGCAGTACGGAAGCGACGTGAAGGCAGTAGCTGCGGTGTTGGAATATGCGACTCCAGACACAATACTGGAGAGTGTGCTCACTTTGGACGCTCCTCTCTAGCCTTGACAGAATCCTGTAGTATCAATGTCTCGGGCTTGCTTCATTATTAAATTACGTTTCCCGTTAATACCCAAAAAAAACACCACATCATTCATAAAAATAATTAAAAGGTATCCGCACCAGATCTGGGACACCAACCGGAGTATCGAATGTTAAGGATGATTTAAACAAACCCGCCAGACAAAACTCGGCAGACACTCAGGGTTCGTTTTATAGGTAGTAAATGAATTTGTTCATGAATCTACTCCGTATTTATATACACTAACTATATACTGGGCTTGAAATGCCGAGTTAAGATTTGCAAAGGAAATGGGAGAGAGAGAGAGAGAGAGAGGTATATATCCCACTATATACTCACCTTATGAACCGAAACGAACTTTGTTAAAAGGTTAAACAAAGTCCATCATTGACGGGCCGTCTGAGGTCTCGCACGCAAGAATATATCTGGCATCACGAACTCATGTTCTTTCCCAGGGCTCGAAGGTGAAGTATCGGTCGCTGTACTTTCCTGCGCGCCGTTTGTCTGATGATGCGCCTCGACGGTGGCCATCAACTTGCGCCATTCGGCAAGCACAACGTCAATCTCGGTTTTGGCGTCGAACACGAGAGCGTCCATTTTGATATCGTTTCGGTCATACCCGAATGGGTCTTCGAGTTGCGAACCGATGCCTTCAATGCCGTAAAGGGTGAAAATCACGAGGCTGACGATGGGGATGGTCCACCAGCCCATGTCGTCGACCATGGCGAAGGGGAGGACACACCCGTACAGTGCAAGGACCTGTTTTTGATGGATGCTGAACGATAGCAACAAAAAAAAAAAAAAAAAAAAAAAAAAAAAGGCAAGTTAGCGAATCATGCTCCAATACTGCAAATTCATACAAGAGCAGGCGGCCTACAGATGCGCGACAGGCATCGGAGTCAGCTTGATTGTCTCCATCTTCCCATAAGCGTCCATCAGGGTATTCAACTGCGCCTGCATTTGACTCGCCCCTGGAGCATTAAACCATCCGCGCTCCACGCCCCTCTTGATAAACGCGTCCACAAAAAAGGTCAATTGAAATGGTAACCCTAGTCCCTCGTCCTCGTGGCCCTCCAGGCCCACGGGTAAAAGTCCCGCATAGACAGGGTTATACACTGCGGTCCCGTTCTCGGAGACCTCCTGTCCAGCGGCCCCTAAAGCCCAGGCTGCGCCCCATTCAGCGCGGAGATGATTCTTCACGGCGAAGGGGATAGCCATGAGAATGCGAATCGTGCGCTCAATGTCAGCCTTTTCGGCGGCTGTCAGGGCACGCTGGGTACTGTAGCCGTGTGTAACGATCGTGCGGACCAGGTTCCGGATACATGTGTAGACGGTGCTGATGCCGTTGCGGCCATCCCAGAATCGGTTATAGGAGGTTTGGTTCCGGAAGACGAGCATAAGACCTACGACGATGGAGAGCGAGGGGATCTACATCATACCCATTAGCTGCGCGTCATATACATACCAGTACAGTAGTAAATAATGAACTAAGTGAGGCGGGTTGGAATCGAGAAAAGATCACCTACAATGCTATTCGGCAGACCAACAGTGTCAAAAACATATCGGTCCAAACAGACCACAAAGGCTGTAAATGCCGCATGGAAAATCATATAAACCAGAATCGCTCCATGAATCGCGCCCTTGATGAATCGGAAAACCAGCGGCCATCTGGAAGAAAACAAATCCGGTCTGTTAATTTCTCAACCCCAGAAGCTCAAAGACAAGACAAAACAAAAAAAAAAAAAAAAAAAAAAAACGCTATTGATTTATGTAGTTATAGATTACAGCCTTGCTTACTTACCGTCGAGGTTTGCTCCGACTCGAGAGGAGATACGGATGCGAGCCCGTTCGTGTATGCTGGCCCCCCAGCAGCAAAGTGCTCTGACGACTTAGCGTCGGAGTGGGCAGTTCGCTGAAATTCAACCTCATTGTTTCGATCCTTCCACCTAGCGACTCACAACTCACGCAGGTTTTCGGAGGTGAAACAGGTTATAAACAGGAGTTGCTGGGGGTGAGGAAGGAAGAAACCAGCGGTTAAAGATTCGCCCCCGCGCCGCGCGGGTGCGCGTAGCTTGAAACCCCGAAAGTGAGGAGGAGCTCCTGGATTTATTTAATATTGATTGAGTGACTGCACGGTCACCAAGTCACCACCCAGCAGTGAAGTGTCTCTCTGATTTCTTCAAGGGAACAGTGGAATCGATGGATTGTTGATGGAGGGGAAGAAGCAGCAGCACAAATCAAATGGACCAAAAACGCAAGTCAGCCACCAGTGGACGCTGCGATCTGGCTAAAACTAAAACCACCAACGCCAGTGGACGGACAATGGTGGAAAATGACGCCGACTGGATTTGGAGGGATAGGATTCTACTGTCTCTACAAATTCTTACCAAAAGTGTCATGCGTGGGATAGATTAGAGTGAAACAGAATTGTTTTTTTTTTTTTTTTTTTTGGAAATGTATTAAGCCAGACCAGGGCAACGCACATATTTACCAGAATCAACGGATCACAGATCGCATTCAAACCACAAAAAAAGATAAATTACTGGAAGAATTGAGGAACATAGAAAGAAGGACTGGAGTCATGGCTGTCAAATATATGTCAAATATATTGCTTCCACAAGCAATGCCAACCCGGAAATGAGAAATACCACAATGCAAAACAAATGTATGGTCTGGTGCAGTCAACATAGGGCAACCCCAGTTCAGTTAAAAAAAAAAAAAAAAAAAAAAAAAAAAAAGATTCCAAACTCGCGAATATTAAGAGATGGAAATAAATGATAGAAGTATGTGCAGCGAAAGGGGGTATAATCCAAATTAAGGACGATAAAAAAAAAAAGAGAGAGAGACCGCAATGCTAAATGCAAAACCATAATGAAACAAATGCTCTTCAAAGGAGCGCAATCATGCGCAAATGATTTTCAACGCTCGAGTCTGACAAATACTCAAGGAGAATCAGATACCCCAGCTCAGGACATTCCGGCCCGGCCGTCAAAGGCCAACGGGCCGGAGTCGTTTCGCGGCGTAAGAGGGTTTTCGTCAGAAGATTCGGAGCGGACAGGAGTATCTACTCGTAGTTGTGCCGGTCGGGGATGGCGTGTATCAGATGACTGAGTAAGGGACTGCCAGCCGGGCACGTCGGGGCTGCTGTTTGACGGGGCGGACGTGGAAGTAGGTGCATCGGAGGCAACGTCGGACGGGTTACCATCGGATAGGTGCATATTCTCAATATTAGAGGCAAGGTTCACTGCCGTAGGGAGAGTGGGTGGTTGATCTTCTGCGAGTTCCGAAGTAATGGAACCCTGACTCGGCTCGAGCTGCGGAGAGGATGCTCCAGATCCTAGCTCGTCGGCAGCTTCTTCCGCGTTCTGCGAAGCCTCTTTCGATTGCTCGTCGTCCAAATCGTTTGTATCATCGACCTCCGCACTAAGATCCGTATAGGCGCGGCAATTGGGACATTGAAACATTGGATAGTCGGGTGTGTGAATCAAGCGACTGACACATTTGTAATGCCAAACGTGTGCACAGGCTGCCATGAAAAGACACTGGTATGGTCGCTGGATTTTATTAGTCTTTCTCACAATCTCAGCCAGGTAGGACAGGAGAACATACCAAAACGGAACCAAGGCAGATGGAGCATTCGCGACAACCAGAGTAGTCCACCGCATCGCCTTTGCCTAAGTTTTTGATCAGGCTCTCGGTGTTTTTGCTAGCATCGGTTAGCTTGAGCGACCAGCACAGAGGTCGGAGGTAGAGGGGGCATACTTGAACTCGTTTGGCTGTTGTTGCCAGGATCGATTACATTCAATCCTGATGCGCACACAACGAAAAATCATCTCTTCTCCGCCTCTAAAATCGATTCCCAGTTGGACAATGTCCCCGTCCTTGACGGTGTACAGTCGGGATGGCATCCCCGGCTGGCTGAGTCGCATGTGATTCAAAAATGTTCCCGAGGAACTTCCCACATCCTTGATATGCCACTGACTATTCAAGAATAAAAATTCACAATGTTTCCGGCTCACAACCTTCGACTTGAATCCAACAGGGGCGTCCGAGGGCCCGGCGGGATTCGCGATGGGCATCCCATCCCGCTCAGAGTACCGACCGACGCGGACGGTGTAAGTACCCGACGGAAGGGTTCGCGAGATGGGGATAAAGGGCAGAGACGGCCGAGAACTCTGGCTCGTATCCTGATAGGGGAAAAAGCGGATTGTTGCTCCCTGCCTGTGTTTCGGGCCCGAGGCAGAACTGTCTCCAATAACCGGATCGGGGGAGTCAAGAACTACGGGTTGCACGGCGGTCGGTGCTGGATGATCGACGGCCTGCAGTTCGCGCTGGGTTTCTGGAGCAGTTTGGGAGGGCCTTAGTCGAGGCATAGTTTCGGCCTGTTGGGTCGGGAAATCCGAAGTGGAACTCGAACTCGAGGACTCGGAGGGCTGTGTACTGGAGCGCAGATCTACTTCAAGGCTGCGATAGCCTGGAAACAAAATCGCGCCGTAACGAGCCAAAGTCGAGGGTTCAGTGGTAGAGTCGGGACATGTGGTCGAGGGCTGGTGGGAGTCGGTGCGGGAAAACCAGGAGAGTCGGCGGCCACTAAGAGTGTGACGACGAGTAAGGCGATTTTGCTCGTTAGACGACACACGCGCGAGAGGCGAGTGAGAGGGAGCCGAGGAAGAAGGGAGAGGGGAAAAATGGATGTGCGTATAGGCACGAAGTTGGCTCAGCCGCCGAAGACGCCCTGAACGGGAATCGGTTGGAAGGTGGTTGGAGGTGGAGGCGGAAACAGATGCAGCCATCATTGGGCGCGTGGTTTTGTCTTGTGTCTTGGGTAGAGAGAAAAATAAAAAAAAAAAAAAAAGGGGGGGAGGAATAGCAAGTTGAATTTTCTCAGGGAATCAGAGAGAAAAGGGAAAAGGGAAAAGAATTTTGAATGGAACAAAGATTTCACCAGGTCTAACTCGTTGGTGGTGAATTATTCAAAAGAAAGAATCACCATCCAAGCTCTATAGTTATACCTTGCTCTCTTGTTCTCTCCCTCTCTATAATGTCGCCTGATGTGTTGCAAGTATAAATTGTCGGTCGGAGAAAATGATTTGTCGTTGTCGTCGTAGTCGCGAAACGGACTGGAGAATATCGGAAGAAAAAAAAAAAAAAAAAAAAAAAGGACAATTATCTCTTGGGGAGACTGATCTCTGATAGTACAGAATAAAGTTGTAAATAGGATTCAACAGGAGTGAAATGATGAGGCAATCAATGGGCAAAGAGACAAAGGAAGTGAGAGAAGAGAATGAGGAGATTGGAGATGAGCTGGTGTTATTATGATGATTTCAGCATTCTTGATCGTATTGACAGCCGGATGGTAAGAATAAGATGATCTCCTCAGGGCCCATCTAGCCGGGTGGGGAAGTAGTCACTAAAAGTACTTTTTTTGGGTCTATTTGAATCTTTCATAAGATATTATAAGTTATTCCTCGAATCCTCCTCATACGGTCCCGAGTAGAACAAATAGCCTGATGCTGGTGGTTCTCGTAGTGGAGCATCGCATCATAGTTATCCAGCACTTAAACCCAAGAGTGGACCGGATCCTCTCGTCTGCCCGGATCTTTTGTATCTGTGTCTTCCAGGAAACCAGAGTTTGGATCAAATCAGACAATAGGGGAAGATTTATTGGAAAGTGGTGGATGAGTACGGAGTATGCATAATAAGCATTATATACGGTACGGGTCGTTTCTTCTGAATCTTACAGATCCAAAGTACCTAGGTAATATAGGGTAAGTGAGCCAACTCTTTTCTCTCTCTCTCTCTCTCTTTCTCTTTCTCTTTCTCCTTCTCTAAATCTCATTCTGTTCTATTAAATCTCTGCCATCCATCGCCTCTGGGAGCGGCCCGAGGATATTCTCTAGGAGGTCGCCTGAGCCTGTTAGCGTCTTGTTAGCCTTGAGTCCTTTGACAGTAGTGTGCGGGGCAGCAGGAAACACCGACGCCTCTCAGAACTCATTCCACCCTTAGTCCTGATCTTGACTCTTCTTCGCAAGTGCCGTCGTAACTAATAATATAAAATATGATTCGATGGTCATGAGTTGACCCCAAGCTTTCATGTGACGTAGCGCCTCACGTGGGTTCTGACAATTTCAGTCCCAAGATTTCCCGACAATATTGGCTTTTCTTCTACGTTATTGAGAGGGGAGATCAAGAAAGTTTACCCTGGTATGGCATCATCTCATTCTTTTACTTCATTCCAATGTGTATTTCCTGTGGAATGTAAAAAATTAAGAATTAAGCTAAGAATCTTGGACACACGCTAGGCTTGCTATCCGTGGAATCCTATTTAGGGAATAGTAGAATAGTCCCCGGGTACAATAACTGCAATGCCTGATTTGAATCTGACACAGATCAACCCTTTTCCTCTGGGGCCATACGCACTGTTCACCACTTGCACTATGTATCAACGTTGTGGCACAATGGGACCAGTAAGGCTGACTCTCAGTCACATAAAACATGTACTACAAAATAACCCAGTACTCAATGTAGTGACTCCCAGCTTTTTCATTGGTTGAGGTTTATTCCCTGGTTTCTCACTGGAGTGTCCTACTGTTCACCAAAACAGCAGAAGTGAAGGATATCGGATGAGCAGAGCTCACTCGACGGGGTAGAAATCGAAGTAATATATGAAGGGAAGAGATATGAAGGGAAGAAATATAAAGGGGGGGGCTGTTCTTTGATCATCAGCATTCTCAGTACAGCTATTTTAGCTGCGAGCAATTATTGTATGCATATGTGGTTGCACCCAGTTGAAAGGATGTAAAGCCACCCTGTCAGGGGCAAATGATACCAATATTCCTAGCACGCAAAACCTGTTTGTTGTCGGTTGCTATAGAGTTATACTCTGATGGATGTTGCTGGTTCCAGTGCTGTCGTTTCAATCTAACTTCTAGAATAAAGTGTGTCTGTCCGAATTTATCCATGCCTTTCTGCCCACCTAAACTGCTACCTGCTTTAGGTGCGCCACACATTCTTCATGATCACACATTCTTCGCGATTTTTTAATATTTGAAGCTATATAATAATAATAATACTAGTAATTAAAATAAAAAAACTCTCTAGCTTCTTTAGCATATCTTATATTATTAATTTCTCTTTAAATTAACTCCTACAAGTATAGAGGGAGTAGAGAATTATATATTTTCTTTTTTTACTTTACTAACTTTCTCTACTTATATTTAGTATCCTTTACCTTTTTATCTTTAATTAATTAAATAGTATTATAAATTCTTAGAACCCTATTACTAGATAGATCTTTAATCTAGTATTTAGTATAAACCTGGTATTAAGACTCTTATATAGCCCTAATTTTTTAAATTACTTCTTAAATTATTTTTAGCTCCTTAAGCTTCTCTACCTAATATTAAAAGAGTTTTAATATATTCTACCTTATCTAGTTAGATACCTTATTAAATTCCTTTATAACCTTTACCTAATTCTTTAGAAGAGCCTTTATTATTACTAGAGGATTATTTTTAATGCTAGAGAATAGTAATAGTAGTAGAGATAGGGTTTAATAAAGATTAATTAATATATCTAGTATATCTATCTAATTTACTAGTTTTTTAATAATTTTAGTACTATTAACTAGCTAGATACCATGTTCTTTAAAGGTATCTTGAATAATTTACTAGTAAAAGGTCTAGTTATAGATTAACTAGATAATCTTTAAGAACTTTACCTTCCTATATAGCTTACCTCCCTATTAAGATAGCTTATTATTTTTGAGGTAAAAATTAGTCTTATAAGTAAGAAAAGGTTTTCTATTAAGAGATTAGTAAAGATATATTAAATAAGCTATAAAATTAAAAGAAATAATATTATTTTTTTTATAATATTATAAAAATTTAAGTATAAGATATAAGCTATAGCTATTAAATATTAGATATTATTTCTTGCCTTACTTAGTATAATTAGGATACTTTATTTTAATATTAAATTAATATAGCTAGGCAAGTACAAGTTTATTAATTATTTAATTATTTAAGAATATTACTATTATTATTTTAAATAATAATTATTCTATATTATAATACTAGATTTTTATATAATTATTTATTACTTTAAAAATAAAAAATAGGTTTATTACTTAATTATTTATAGTAATATATTTAACTATAATAATATTTTTATCTTACTTACTTTTTATAAGATTAAGGTATTTAAGATTTCTAAAAATCTTTTTATTATAATCTTTACCTAATTAGAAACTATATTTATTAAAATTATAGATAAGGCAAGCCAGGACCCTATAAAGAAGTAATTTTAAAAAGTTATACTAGTATTAAAATAAGCTAGTATCCTCTACTTATATCTACTTTAATTCCTTAATTTTTTACTTTACTAGAGCAAGTCCTAGATTTACTAGTATATATAATTTAAATTAATATAATTATATCTTACTAACTTGCTTATCTAACCTCATGCAAGTAAGTATCTAATTTACCTATACTATAATAATTATAGAAGTTAGTAAGATATTTTATTTCTATATTTATATAATCTAGTTAATTAAGATTTTTTCCTGATATAGCTATAAAAGGTTCTTATTTATTATTATTAGTATTACTAGTATCTTTAGTTTTTTGAGGCGTGTTTAGAGTATAGAGTTAGATATATTAAATTTTTATATAATCTTTATAATATTTGGTTTTTTTTACTTTTAAATTGTAGTAATAGCTTTAAGTAAGCAAGATTTATTAAAATCTAGAGATTTAGGTATATTGTGTTATAATAATAATAAAAATAAGTTAAAATATCAAAAATTGCGAAAAATGTGTGATCGCGAAGAATGTGTGGCGCACCTAAAGCAGGTAGTGGTTTAGGTGGGCAGAAAGGCATGGATACTACCTAGGTATTGGATTCTTAGCCCCAAACCAATCTACTAGTAGAAGTCTTGTTGTTGCGCCACCCGGCCTTGACCCAAAGGACGCCTGGAACTATATAGTTAACTCCTCGGGGATGCGTCATTCCTCTCCGCTGGGCAGGAACCGCACCATAATCTATCAACCAGAGAACTTCAGAGAAATTGGCGGATTGGATGAGCGAAGACAGCGTTGATACCTAAGTTTAACCGCACTAGACTTGGCCATACAGCATCCATGTTGTCGCAGAGTCAGAGCGTGTGAAAGATTAATCTACATCCTTCTTTAGCTTTGGTAATGAGACCTTCTAAACCACATAATTCTGAAGTAGACGAGGGGATTTATCATTATAGTTTTTTATTGGTTTTTTGTGAATGTTTCAAACTGTATGCTTTGATTATTTTGGCATAAATCATTCCGAGCTGCACGTGCCAACTGTGAATAGTAGCTGGAGGTCATTCACCATCTCTGTCCACTTGACTTGGTTTTTGGATGCTCTGAATTAATGATCATCTTGTGGTTCAAACCGCAGGGTTTACGCTGAATACGAACTACCAGTGTAGGTAATAAAAGAACGCTGATTCGACTGAGAACGACACAGTAATGTAGGGGGATATTAGCTTCCGAGTGATGGCTTCCATGAACATACATTACCGAAAGTAGAATGAACTACTTTGTAGCTTCAGATAGGCATCAGTATTGTATAGTTAACTCGATGGTCGCTGGCTGATTCGAATTGATTTTAAATCATCATGTACGAAGCGAAGGCATACGGTGGGCTGTTGGATTGGAGTATATATATCCCTGGGGACTGTGGTTGTATACTGAACGCGATGAACTCACTCTATCATCATATACAGTAGTTTAATGGACAATAGACTAGACCAACAGAAACTACAGCTTCAAGAGAGAGGTGTTGTAAAATAGATATATCTTTTTTATATTCTTGAGCTTCTGACCATTGATGGAGCTGCTGCGGGTTATCATTCGCCCATCCACAGGAAGTCCCCCCCCAGCCGCCGTCAACTTAGCTTCTCTCTCTCTCTCTCTCCCTCTCACTTCTCCAACCTCGCCCTCTCTTCCTCACTCCCCCTCTCTCCCCCGTCTTTCTTCATCTTCTCTTCTCTCTTCCACCCCCTCGCCTTTCTGGGGCTCTTAGTATCTAACATTCAACATTCTCGAAGCCTCTCGGGATGTATCTGCCCTGATCTCTTTCTTTCCATCGCGCGCGGTTTTTTCTTGTTCTGCCGAGCTCTAGCTCCTCCTATATGCAGAGCCTCCGTCCCGTCCTGTGTTTCATCAGCAATCATCCTTCCCTCGCATCTCCTTTTCCCTCCTATCCCCGTTTCATCCTCGATCCCTCCTTCTCGGCTCCCTAGTATACTTGACTCTGCGGTCGGGAATAAGCCCTCCAGCGTGACCACGGAAGGAATAACCCCGTCGACGTGCTTTCCTCTTCCACGGTGACGACTGTCGAGCCTCCTTTTGCTCTTTTGATACTTACGCTTGCGGGGCCGTGTCTGGGTCCTGCAGGCCCCCTGCCAGCTCGCAAGTCATGGCTGGAATCGCAAGTGCTTGTCTCTCCTGTCTGTCGACGGTCGATCGCTGGTGCCATATCACCGCCTGTCTTGGTCCTATCGGCGGTCGCTCGAGGGAAGGGATCTACGAAACCACATTGGCCGACAACGAGAGAGAGGCTGTCTCTGACCTCTTGAGCTACCTGGAGAACGTAAGTATTATTTTCGAACCTTGAAATTCTCTCTATCGAGCCTTAAGCTCTAATTTCGTCCGGTTACTGACGCCTATCTCGCGCAGCGAGCTGAAACCGACTTCTTCTCTGGTGAACCTCTTCGAGCGTTGAGCACTCTCGTTTACTCTGACAATATCGACCTCCAACGAAGTGCGAGTCTTACATTTGCTGAAATTACGGAACGAGGTAGGTGTGCCTCTGGGATAGGATCTGTGAATCAAGAAACTAATGGGCGCCAATGATCAGATGTCCGTGAAGTCGATCGGGATACCCTGGAACCTATTCTCTTCTTATTACAAAGCTCCGATATCGAGGTACAACGAGCTGCGAGTGCAGCTCTTGGAAATCTTGCTGTGAATGGTTAGTCATACGTGCTCTGATCCTCGATCATAGCTGACCGGAAGTAGCGGACAACAAGGTGTTGATCGTTGCCCTCGGAGGGCTTGCTCCGCTAATACGACAAATGATGTCGCCCAACGTTGAAGTTCAGTGCAATGCGGTTGGCTGTATTACGAACCTGGCCACCCACGAAGACAACAAGGCCAAGATTGCCCGCTCGGGCGCTTTGGGCCCCCTCATTCGCCTTGCCAAATCCAAGGACATGCGTGTGCAGCGCAACGCCACTGGGGCGCTTCTGAACATGACACATTCTGGTAAGTTATCGGACCTTGGAGTTTTGCATATGAACGTGGCTCATTGTCGCTAGACGATAACCGGCAACAACTCGTCAACGCCGGCGCGATCCCCGTTTTAGTGCAGTTGCTTTCCTCCTCCGATGTCGATGTGCAATACTACTGCACGACCGCCCTCAGCAACATCGCCGTCGATGCGTCGAACCGTAAGCGTCTTGCCCAGACCGAATCGCGGTTGGTTCAGTCTCTGGTCCACCTCATGGATTCGTCCACCCCCAAGGTTCAATGCCAAGCCGCTCTCGCCCTTCGTAACCTTGCGTCCGATGAGAAATATCAGCTGGAGATCGTCCGAGCTAAGGGCTTGCAGCCACTCCTGCGCCTACTACAATCATCCTACCTGCCGCTCATTCTCTCTGCCGTCGCCTGCATCCGGAATATCTCTATCCACCCTCTCAATGAATCCCCTATCATCGATGCCGGATTCCTCAAGCCCTTGGTTGATCTCCTGGGGTCAACCGACAATGAAGAAATCCAGTGCCATGCCATCTCTACCCTTCGAAATCTCGCAGCCAGCTCCGACCGAAATAAGGAGCTTGTTCTCCAAGCCGGTGCCGTGCAGAAATGCAAGGATCTGGTCCTCAGAGTTCCTATCAGTGTTCAATCAGAAATGACTGCCGCCATCGCTGTGTTGGCTTTGAGCGATGACTTGAAACCTCATCTTCTCAACCTAGGGGTTTTCGATGTATTGATTCCTCTGACGGAGTCGGAAAGCATTGAAGTACAGGGCAACAGTGCCGCAGCTCTAGGCAATCTCTCATCAAAAGGTATGTAATTGGGGGCGTTGGGTCTAAATAGCCATGCATACGCTAACAAATTTCTAGTTGGAGACTATTCGATCTTTGTTCGTGATTGGGCCGATCCCAACGGAGGAATTCACGGCTACCTGAAGCGATTTCTCGCTAGCGGAGACCCTACTTTCCAACACATTGCTATTTGGACCCTGCTCCAACTGCTCGAATCAGAAGACAAACGACTCATTGGATATATTGCGAAATCAGACGACATTGTCCCGATGGTGAAGGCGATCTCGGACAAGAACATCGAATCTGACGAAGAAGACGCTGAAGATGGCGAAGGCGAGGTGATTGCGCTGGCACGGCGATGCCTCGAATTTCTTGGGAACAGTCCCAAACAAACCCTAGTAGAGGGCTAATAATATACCTTTCATCCCGTCCTTCCTACATACTTCTCTTTGTCCATGGTTTCTGGCTTACCTATGTCTCCGCCCTTTCTTCTCGTATTTCTTTTCCCCAGCTGACATTCCTTGTCATTTCTTACCCTGATATACATTGTCTTTTCCGTGTTACTGGTGTTGAGCGGGCATTTGATTCGGTGTGTAACTTCCATTTCTGTCAGCGAGCATTCGGTGTGATAGGACTTTTTCTCTGCTGGGCTGGCTCATCCTCTTCGGATGTCGCTGTGATTACGTTCTTATATCTGCGCATAATTATGTATTCGTGTTAGAGCAGATCTGGAGTCTGTACTTGAATGATACCTAGATTAATGTACATTCCCCGTTTTTCTAAGTGGGCTTGTAGACAGACTAGAGTATGGAGGAGGAGCAGGAATACGAGTATAGAAGTAGCGGGAATGTTATGTGAGGGCCGGTTTCGGATAAATTTACCGCCGACGAAACACACTTTGGGAAAAAAAAAAAAAAACCCCAAGCTCTACTCTCTGCCTCCACCTTCCAACACTCAACGAAGCTGGTTCTTCACTCCATCTTGTCCCTCTCCCTTCTCTACTTACACCGTCTGGGCAGCTGAAAAATGGCAAGCACTCTGCCTAGTGTGGCTATCCCAGGTCAATGTTTGGGGCCAACTGCCACATTTGCGCCTGGGCCTGGTACCCACGTCCAGAGCACCAATATTTATGCCTCGATTGCTGGTCCAGTTTTTGTTGACCCAGCACAACCCAGCACAAAAGGAAAGTCGACCATTACCGTCTCAAGGACTGCTAGAACACAGCATACATCTGCACCCACGCAGTCCAAACCCAACCCAAAATATAACACCCTCCCTGCCGTCGACTCCATTGTTCTGGCCCGCGTTACCCGCGTCCAAAAGCGCCAGGCGACAGTCTCCATCCTCGTCGTCCTCGACGAATCCACTAGCCCTCAAACCCTAAACCCCAACCCAAGGCCCTCCCAGAGTACCTCGGACAATGACAACATCGCTGCGATCCTCTCCTCCGCTGCAAACCCAGAGAACCACAGTAGTTCGGACGAACTGCGGTTCCAGGCACTGATCCGCAAGGAAGACGTGCGGGCTGTGGAAAAGGACCGCGTCGTAATGGATGAGATGTTTCGGGTTGGAGATATTGTGCGTGGCAGTGTGATCTCTCTTGGCGATCAGAGCTTCTATTATCTTACCACAGCGAGGAATGATCTGGGGGTTGTGATGGCGAGGAGTGAGGCGGGGAATATGATGTTTCCGGTTTCTTGGAAGGAAATGCGCGATCCGGTCACTGGAGTGGCGGAGCAGAGGAAGGTGGCTAGGCCGTTCTGAACCAACCCCCTTATTATCCCTGGTTGAATTTATGGCGCTGTCGTCGATTCTTATCGATGTAACTTTTTATGTCTTTTTATGACTCTAGATTCATCCGGGGTTCGTGCTTTTGAGCAGATAACATTTAGGGATCAGAACAGGGACGAGACTCAAGCTTAGTGCTTGGGACCAGAGAGAGACGGCTTTCAAGGTTCAAGCCTGATAGCCCTCGATATCCCGCTATCTGAGGATCCGAGGATCTGAGATTGCTTAGCGTCCCGATTGGACACCTACAGAACGTACTGCTGTCCGTACCTACCCAGTGATTCTACCACTACCCAGGTACTCGCTTGGTGTCAGTCGCACGCATGTCTTCGAAATGATAGCGTGCGTCTAACTACGACGTGGGTCACCGTCACCCACAAACTCATTTGAGAATAAATGAACTACTACTACCCACTTACCTACCAAGACATTTACATTTACATTTCACGTTCACATCCTTTTCTCATGTCAAGGAACCTCCCCAGTATCCATGGTCCTGGCCTTTCAATGCTGGACTGTGTTTGTCATCGGAGGAAGAGTGATGGTTTTCGTGAGGAATTCCACCTTTACGACCCGGGTATTTGTTTCTTTCCTCTTCTTATTGCTGGATTTGGAAGCACTTTACGTGGGTACATTATTTACATAGATAATCATCTTCTCTAGTTTATAGAGAGAGAGAGAGAGAGAGAGATATATATATATACCTAGATCCCACTTCTCGAGAGAGTAACAAGATAAGTATGCAATATATACATACACCAACAACCAATACTTTTTTTTTCCCCCCCCCCATCAAGCCAGCGCAAACAGAACCCAATATCACGTAACAAAGTCTAGAAACCAACCATCAAGAGGGAGAGGGACCGAAGATGTATTCTACTTCTTCAATGTCTTCTGCTTCTCGGCATCAATCAACTTCCTCCCCTGTACAACTAAGCCCTTCCTCCTCCTCACCGCATCCATATACTGCTTCGCGACATTCTCACGATCCGCCAACTCGCCCAGATCCTCGAGCTCCTCTTCCGTGGCCGGAACCCAGAACGGATCTTCGTCTAGACTTTCAAACCCGGCGAAGATCAGTTGTGGCTGCGCGGCTCCAGACGTCCGTTTTCGGATTTCTTCTGCAAACCCGAACGATTCGGCCACGGGGAGGAGGGCAAGGATTGTGAAGAACGGCGTGCCTTCCTTCATTAGTTCAGATAGAATGCGGCCGCGGCGACGGGTTATGACGCCGTAGACCCGACCAAGGACTTCGGCTGTTTTTGGTGGGGGGGGGGGAGATTATGTGTTAGCATTTATTGGGAAGGGTTTGGGAAGGGTTTGGGGGGAGTTTAAGATTTCCTTTGAGAGAGAGAGAGAGGGGGGGGGGGGGGGGGGAGAGAGAGAGGAAAGAAAAAGAAAACGGAAAAGGACTCACTCGAAGCCTGGATCTCACAGCTGTACATTGCAAGCATTATCCGCGGACTCCAATCGAGGAATCCCTGGGCGATACTCTCGCGGACTAGACGGATTGTTTCGCCTGTGAGTCTGCCGAGATCAAGCTCGTCCTTTTCATTCGCGTTGATGGCTACTTCCTCGAGGAAGACTGCAGCACCCTGAATCGGCTCTTGACAGAGCGGGCCGTAGCCCGTGGCGAGTTGGAAAGCGTGCGTGATTTTATCGCAGAAGTCGCGCACGATCAGGGCATCATGGGGGGCGTTTTCTCCGAGGTTGCCGGGTTGTTGTTTGGTGTCTTCCAGGAGGCTATCCATATTTGCGTTAGTTTCTTCTATCTATGGGATGATCTAAGATAGGAAGAGGGGGAAAAACAAAGGGAGATGGGGTAGGGGTACAATTTCTCGCAGGTGTTGACGGCTGTTGCATCGACGAGGACGTTAGGGCCGATTCGTCTGGGGCCAAAGGCGATGATTCTATCGACAACGTTTTTCCAGAGCTCTTTGTCGTCTTTGACTTGCTCTTTGAAAAGCTTGTTTAGCTCGTCTTTGAAGTCCTTGAGGGTGAGGAGGGTTCCCTCTCTAGCTTCGTCTGTGGCGTCACTGGTTTCGACCTGTGCGCTGTCAGAGAGCAGAGTGCTGTTTTCGGGCTCGGTTTCAGATTCTGCTTTGGCGGTGCGTTTCTCGAATTGAAGGCGTTTGATTGTTCCGACATGTTTTGTGAAGAAGTCGGTGACAACGGCTGGTAAGGGTACGACACGTAATCGGATGGACAGCTGCTTTGAAGCTGATACTGCGAGCACTCCTCCTCGTCCTAGCTCTGGGTTCTTCGGAGCCGCCATTTCTGGAACGCTGACGATGGTCTCTCGGTACGGCACGATTGTCTGACCCGTTTGGATCTCGCATTTGGCGAACCGCTCGCGAAGATCCTTTACACAGCGCTCTAGGTGAAGTTCTCCAGCGGTTAAGATGACATGTTCGCCGCTAGGAAGGACTTCGTACTGTGCACATGGGTCACTCTGTTCAAGAAGTCGTAGACCATTGACCATCTTGCTTAGATCCGCTGGGTTCACAGGTTCGAGAGCGACTCGCACGATGGGAGGGGTGTTCAATGAGACACCAGCTAGGTTGATGCTGCCTTCGAGCTGCGAGCAAAGAGTACCTGTCTTGAGGATGTGGCCGGCAAGACCACCGATTCCGAACACGACACCCGCAGGCACGGATTGTAGAGGTTCAAGGCTTCGTCCCATGAGGAGGTAGAGGTCTGTCACCGTCACCTTTTGCGGTTCAGGGCTTGCATGCGGATTTTCAGGTGAGAACTTGGGAGGTAAGACGTATACAGAGTCGCCCACTGAGAGAGTTCCGGAATAGAGACGGGCAAATCCGACGAGATGATCAGGATCCTCCTTCTCTTCAGGCTCAGGTGTTTGGTCCTTATCATCTAGAATGATCCGCTCATATGCTGAAGTGATTCTCACGAAATCATTCGTCTCATCACCACCGGCGTCTGCTTGCAGCTTGGCAATTTCTTCGCGCTTTCGTCGGGCAAGAGCTCTGGCCTCTTCTGCGGACATGGTCGTGCCGGATCTCTTCTTGCTGGACATGAGTTCACTCTCTGGGATAGCAACCATCTTGCTAACGTATGCTACAATAGGGTCTTCAGGACCGGTCTTGAACTCAATCATAGAGTTTTTCACTTTCTGGCCGATAAACCTGGATCCCGGAGATTCTTCAATCATTTCAGGTAACCTAGTAGCTTGGGCCACACGAGGACTAGGAAGATACTCAATGACAGAGACTAGAAGCGCAGTTGACAGAGGCAGCCACATTGAGAATAACGTAGTCATAATATTTCTGGGGTCGCGTGATCGCAGAATGTATGGTGGGATGGTAATTGCCAAAGAATTTGTAATCTTTTCAAGCAAGGCAGGATCACTATTACGACTTAGTAAATCGGCAGAATTAAGTAAAGGTAGCCATACCCTTTGCCCTTTCCACCACCGGTAGTCGCCTCATATGCCGCCCAAATGCTGTCGAGCACGAGCTGCACGAACATGGGCTTCAGGGCTCGCCCTTTAAGGTGCTTCTGTCCGAGCACGCGCTTTGTTTTAGGATCGAGATAGAAGTCTCCCCAAAGGACCTTCTCGAGGATAGAGCGCTTGATACCGAGCTTTCGCTCGTAAATAGCTGCGAACTGTCGCACAGTAAACGCCCATCCATCGACGGCACTGCAAAAGATGACATTGTTTTTCTCAGGTGCGAAGTAGAGATCCTCGTCGTCTCGTTCTTCAAATTCTGTTCCGTCGATGCTTCCTACGGTGGATTCGTCGTCTTGAGCGTGCTTTTTCGAATGCTGCGCTGCAGATGCATTGACACGTTCTTCCATTCGCTCACGCCACTGAAGATCTTCTTCCATTCGCTCTCCTTGGTAGAAGCTACCGATAACTGCGTTAACCTGCTCAAGCAGCCTACTGAGATGAGAATAAGCTTCTCCCGGGCTCATTTTCAGCTCAGTGACCAGCCTGTCCATCTTATTGATGACCAGAATTGGTTTCAGCTGCTCGACCCAGGTCTGACGGAGAACCGTCACTGTCTGACTGCAGACACCTTCGACAGCGTCGACAAGGACAACTGCGCCGTCACAGAGACGCGAGGCTGTCGATACCTCGCTGCTGAAATCGATATGTCCAGGGGAGTCAATCAAGTTAATCAGGTACTCCTTAGCCTCTGGTTGGGCGTCTGGCGCGGAACGACGCATCATGGAAAAGAAGAGAGAAATCGCAGATGACTCCATGGTAATTCCACGCAGCTGTTCATCTGGACGAGAGTCCAGGTAGCGGATCTTGCCCGCCAGCTTTGGCGAGATGATGCCATTAGTGGCGATGAGACTGTCTGTTAAAGATGTTTTGCCGTGGTCCTGGAATAAGATGACAATAGATGAGTCAAGGGAGCATTAGGACCGAGATTTCATAGGGTTTACGTACAACGTGTGCTAGGATACATATCTACGTGGCTGTTAGTATACTGATGTGTGGGAAAAGTAGGCCCGATTCTGTCATTGACATCAAAGTGGGATGAAGAGGATGGAGGGGTAACGTACATTTCGAATATCATCGGGCTTCCGCTGGAGACGGACCAGGTCATCGACGTTGACGACAGGCATTTTGGAAGAAGAATGGCGCTGCTAGCCAGCGACCAAGGCTAGAGAGATGCCAGTATGACTGTGACAAGGCTCGGGGAGTGAGGATTTTGTTCGTTCTTGGTGTTCCGCGAGCTGCGGAATAACGAGGAAAATTATTGTCGGCAAGTCATCTTGGTTGACTCAAGCAACAATGCTTGATTGAGGATCAAGCCCGGCAAGATATTTTCATTCAAAAATGAGGACTACGAAGTGACCAGATGTATCGCTGTTATTTGTTCATTTCTGACCTTGGAAGGTAATTCTATATGGGATTGCTCATGGCTCGGTCAAACTGCTCGCTGCCTACCACAAGGCCGGCTCAACACATATATAAGACATCGATTACTAGAGCTCATACATATATATACATGACAGAGAAGAGCAATTAAATCACTCCTCAAAGGAAAGCTTTATTTTCTTCTTTTTCTGCTTTGGCTTTCGAGGAGCTGAATCCTTCGACCGGGTATCTTCCCTCTCCGCTTCTTGGACGTCTTCGCCAATAACTCTTGCTTGCTTTCTTTTCCTGGGTCCTCCTATCTCGGCCAGGTTTTGCTTTGATGTTAGAGGAGCCTCCTTTTCTTGCTTGGTGTTTGCTTCATCTCTAACCGCTTTACCCCCTGTTTTCTCCTCGCCCTCGTCATCTTTCTCGGACGGATCCGCTTGATTATCACTGCTACCGACCATGGCCGCGTATTCTTCCTTCGATATTACTTCATTGCTTTCCGCATCAACGTATGTAGGGGCGTCATCGTCGTTATCGTCTCGTGGCCTGCGGGGTCGTTGGGAGATTGGGCGCTCCAGACCTCCAACTGCTGTTCCGTATTGACCTCTGAGGCGCTGCAAGAACGCTGGCTCTTTTGCCTCTGCAGTCAGTTAGTGAAGGGACGCAATGGGTGTTTGGAAATAGTATTATGTAGGTACCATAAGCGAGGTTCTTTGCGTTGTAAGACATGGCCTGGATGAATAATGTCTGCTTGCCAGTCTATATTTCAAGACGATGACAGGCTTCAAGACAGCCGTAGCTTTCTATTGCTATGTATTGAATAGGAAAGCCAGAGATGGAAAGAGAGAGGGTATCATTCCTCATTCTTCTCGGTGCGGGCTGCAGTAAGAGACGACGCTTTCGCGACAACAAGTTCCGCGGTAGCTATCGAAGAGTCATATCAGAGTGTGCAATATATGGCGATAGAAGCCATGCTAATCAAAAATCAAGTCTTTATCCAGACTGTGCAGAGCAATGTTTCTGGAAACTTGAAAGCTGGTCGCCAAGCAAAAGCAACGATCGACCAGCTTCGGCGGTGCAACTAAACCCAATTGAGCAGAAGTCGAAAAGTCCAAAGGAGCCGCAGCTTTCGCCTTCTCCAACCCTCTTGTCCCCCAACCACCCATTCGAACAAACCATGCTGTGTGCTAGTAAGTCGATATCGAGTTTTCCGTGTGCCGAATCGAATGCTGATGATGAATTGTCCATAGTCTCTGGAGAGGCACCGCAAGTGCCCGTCGTCTCGCCTAGGAGCGGTACGTTTGCACCATTACAAGTCTACCAGCTTTAATTGCTGACTTTGAGCAGGCAGTGTTTTTGAAAAGAGGCTCATCGAGGCTTACATCGCCGAAAATAGCAAAGATCCAGTGAATGGGGAGGAGCTTTCCACCGAAGATCTCATCGAGGTTAAGAGCCAGCGCGTCATCCGACCCCGACCTCCTACTCTCACCTCAATCCCGTCGTTGCTCAGCGTATTTCAGGAGGAGTGGGATGCTTTGGCTCTGGAGACATATACACTACGGCAGACTTTGGCTCAAACACGGCAAGAACTGAGCGCCGCACTTTACCAGCATGATGCGGCTGTTCGCGTGATCGCACGATTGACAAAGGAACGAGACGAGGCTCGCGATGCGTTGTCCAAGGTCACAGTCAGTGCTAGGGGTGCTGCGGCTACGGGTGAAGCTATGCAGGTGGATGCGACTGGTTTGCCCGAGGATGTTTTGGCCCGGGTAGAAACCACCCAGGCTTCGTACGTATATTCAAAATTCCTACGTTGGTGGTTGCATAGGCAAAATCTGACTCCGCATAGGCTTTCTAAGACTCGCCGTAAGCGTCCAGTCCCTGAGGGCTGGGCTACAAGTGACGCGATTTCTGCGTATACACCCGCGGAGAGTACTGGCCCTCTCTACCCCGGTGGCAGAACGCTATCGCTGAATGCGTCTGGTGAACTGGCGCTGGTTGGGGATGCTAACGGGGTTGTTGGCGTGTACTCGATTGCTCAGAAGGAGGTTCTTCATAACTTGCAGGTAAACGGGCCTGTCACTGATGCTACGTGGGCTGGTGAGAAGGCTATTGTTGCTTCCTCCACAGGTTCTGTGAAGGTGTTTGAGAATGGTAATGAAGTTGCCAACTTTACTTCTCATGCCGGTGCAGCAACTGGTCTTGCTGTGCACGCAACCGGCGATATTGTCGCCTCTGTTGGCGCCGATAAGAGCTATGTGCTGTATGACCTAACAGCAAACTCTGTGATCATGCAGAACTTCAGCGACGCTTGTAAGTATATCCTACAACCAAATCGCTGCTGGGTCTATGGCTAATATGCACATCTCATTTGATCCAGCTCTTCTGTCTGTGAAGTTCCACCCTGATGGCCATCTCCTAGCCGCTGGTGGCGCAGATGGGCAGATTAAAATCTACGACATCAAAACCGGCGCTGTGGCCGCGAACTACGACCTTTCTGGCCCCGTCAAGTGCCTCTTCTTCTCCGAAAACGGCACCTTCTTGGCTGCAGTGACCGAGAAGTCTACTATGGTCTCTATCTGGGATCTGCGTAGCTCCAAGGAAGTCAAGGTCCTCGAAACTGGCAGCCAGGTCGATTCAATCAACTGGGATTACACAGGTCAATTCTTGCTTACTGGCGGACCCGGTGGCTTGACGGTCCAGCAGTACTCGAAGGCGTCGAAGGCCTGGTCGGAACCCCTGCGGAGTGCGGTGCCTGCGACCGCGGTGGCATGGGGCGCTGTAGCCCAGAGCATAGTGGCGCTGAATACCGATGGCGGAGTAACGGTGTTGACGGGTCAGTAATAATGATGATACCTTTCTAAATAGCAAAGAAAACCCTGTGCTTTGTTTCTTTCTTGTTGTTCATTATTTGTAATTTTAGCCGCTCTGCGTTGGTTGGGCAAGAAGTCTGTTGTCTACCAGGGGAAATAGGAAGGGAAATACTATGGCCTGGTTATGTGTCTCTTTTTGTCTCATTCCCTTAAGAATTTCTCTATGGAACAGCTCAAGCATGATGAGTTGGACATGCTCTTTCCAGAGTATCATTCGCTCCCTGTTGGCGTGGGACAACAACCTGAGAGCTTACTACTCTTAATAATCAGGAAAGGCGTCCATTAACTAACTAACTAGCTACCTAGTTAGTGACTTGATCCTTTTCTGTTGCCAGTGTCTAAATGTGAAGTCCAGAGTTTAACGAGGAATCAGATCGAATAGACTCGGATTTATTGATCGACTGTCTGACTTACTAACCTGCGGATAATTAACTTAACGAGTTAGTGAGTTAGTTAACCTATTTCCTGGCCATAACTAAGCAATGGCCTCCACCACGACCAGCATTTGAGGCGTTAACCTTCAGCATCTCTTTCAACTTCCCTTCTTTACTCTTTTCTCACCTCCCCTCCCCTCCCCTCCGGATTCAGCTGCTCGCCGCCGGCAAGTTCATATCCCACTCATCATGAACAGCGACTCTGGTGTTCAGTTTGTCGCTGCTAGACCTAGAAAGGTGAGTCTTGTCCCGTCCCCCTCCCTACAGGCGGGGTATACAACGCATCAATAACTGTAGTGACCAAGAATTCTGCTGACAATTCTTCCTATACTATAGCGACGTCGCAGGGAACTATCGACTACACCACATGGCCAACCCTGGCGACCAAACGGGGAATCGTCGAACCCAACCCCTCGTGCATCCCTGCCGCCGTTACGATATCCTGGAGATGGACTTGATTTTCGAAGACCAGTCGCCTCCCCCGCGCTTGACGAAGGTGTTATTGACCTTACAAACGAGCCGGACTCGCCGGAATTCACGCGGCAGGAGAATCCTCAAGGGAGGAACGTGGGTTCGAGAAGGCCGCGACAATCTCAATTTGGGGGAGAGAGAATTGCGGATGTGGTTGACTTGGAAGAAGAAGAACCGGATCCCCCGAGTAGCCCGGAAGTTCAGTTTCTTTCAGCAAATGTGAGACCACCACGACCGCCACCTCCTAGGCCTCAAGGCCTCATCAGCTCGAACTTCTGGCGAATGCTCCAACTCCCCCATACCGGATTAATGGCATCTGCTCCGCTACCTGGTGATGATGCGTACGGGCGACATGTTCCCTGGAGAACACCCGCTTTCACTCCGGCCGACCTGGAAACTCTGTGGATTGGCGAAGGCCCTGCTGGAGCCATTGATCTCACAATTAACTTGGATATGGACTATCTCTCGGGACTAACACCGGAAAGAGGACGCCCGGGCAGCTCGTACAAGCCTCCTAGCCCACCGCCGGAAGGGTTTACACGATCGGTTGGAGATGATGATATCGCCGTATGCCCAAATTGCGACGCAGAGTTGGGTGTAGGGGACGACAGAAAGCAGCAAATATGGGTAGCAAAGCAATGTGGACATGTTCGTTTCTCCATTTCGTACCTTAGTTTGTGCCATCTCTAATTATATACATAGGTTTATTGTGGGGAGTGTGCCACCAACCGCTCTTTGACGAAAGCGAAAAAGACCACCACAAGAACGAAACCTTTCGCTAAATGTCAAGTTCCCGAGTGTGGCAAGCCGATCAGTGCCCCCCGATCGATGTTCCAAATATATCTATGACGAGCACGGCGTGCTATATACGGTCTGGCATGCATAGCCTGGTGTTAGGGTGTGTTCCTTTTCTCAACAGTTTTCTCTTTCGATACCCTCATCGCATTTGGTTCTGGTGGATGGATCTCGGTGTAAATGTTTCTTCCCAACTTATATTGGCGCAGGCGCACTTTTTGGGTTATGTTAAGCCAATGACATACTTATCTATTAAGTACGGAATAATTAGAAACCTAATGTATCGACACAGTAAAGATTTTTTTTTTTTACCATGAACATAGTCTTTGATCATCCAATAGTATATATGCAAGTATGATACAGATTTCATAACAGAGAAAATAAAAGTCCATAATACAACACGAGAAAAAGCCTTGAAATTTGATGCCCGCAAGATAACACCGCTGTAATAATCAGACACAACCCCTGCCTCTAAACTGACTTGAGATCTCCGTGATACGGGGACCAGATGCCCCTGACACTGTCATTGATGCTCGTGACAGGCTTCTTGGTCCGCTTCAACTTCTCTCCGCTAGCCTCCTTCAGCAGATTGGCCTTTTGAAAGACTTGTTCGGGTTCGAGATTTCGGACACAGACGGCCTTCTCGCGGCCGTTAATATAGTAGCCTTTGATGACTGGGTGCTTGTGAGGCCGTGGAGATACTCGGATTTCGATCTGGGGGTTCTCTTTCGCGAAGGACTCGAGGGAGTGCTTTAGGAAGGACCTGCAATCGATTGCATTAGTACCAGGGATTTCATACAGTGTGCTGTATATCGCGACTCACAGCATTCCCCGTGAGCTACCAGCCCAGTCGCAGTAGTGGAAATCCAGACGCTTGCATTGTAGGATAAAAGCGCCGACGCCATTCTAAAGAGCCGGAGATTGTCAGCGACCAGCAACAGTTGGAAGGCCATTATCGGAATTTGGGAATTTGCATACTCTGGCTGCGCTAACTGCTCGGATCCCTTGCACAGGCATTGTTGTAACCTCTCTTTTTTGGACGGGGTGCTCCGAAGTCAAGGAACTCGTTGACGGACAATTCTGGGACTTTTCAAGCCAGTCGACTTATCGGCTGTCATTGGTCCGCGGCAAGTTCGGCTGTCGCGGTTCGGCGGCTGACCGAAAAGGAATGAAGGAGCCAAGCCTGGAAGGAACGGCGAACACGAAATTCGAACAACACCCGCGAGTTGCTGACGAGGTCGAGCTATCATCAACTACTGGTCCTTTTACCTATCTACTCCCCCATGTATATTCGGCTTGGTCTCTAGGTTTTTCACTTTTTTTTTTATGGCAATCTGAGAACCACTGAATTGAGGGCAAAATGACGGATAAGCTCCCCCCTCCACTTTTGGCTCTTTTCCAACCTCGCCCGCCCCTACGCTGGGTTACGCCTATCGATCGTGCGCCAGAAGACTGCAAGAAGAGTGCCATCTCTGGCGTTGCTCAGTTCCTCGCCGAGGCGAATAAGAATGAAGAGGAGCACCCATACAATCCTACTGAGAGCTGGTTGCAGCGCAAATGGCGCCAGAAGTTGGAACAGAAGGAGAATCTCAACAAGCATCTGACTGAGGGTCTTGAAACTTGTATGTGTCGCTTGGTCGAAACGAAATTTTCATTTAATGCTCGCGCTAACCGTTCTGAAAAGATGAGCCTTCCAATGATCCCCAAGCCCGGGGTGACCCATTCAAGACGCTATTCATTTCGCGACTCAGCTACGATGTAAAAGAAGCAGACCTTGAACGGGAGTTTGGACGCTTTGGTCCTATCGAGAGGGTAATAATCTCGACGCATTCTTGTGATGACCTACCTCTGACTGCTTTTTAGATTCGCATTGTCAAGGACACTGTTACTCCCAAAGGCTCGAAGAAGCCACATAGAGGCTACGCCTTCATTGTCTATGAACGTGAGAAAGATATGAAAGGTAATGCTGCACATTTTATTATCCTGTCTCCGATTAGTACTAATGTAGAATCCTATTTTACCGCCTTCAGCCGCTTACAAGGAGACGGATGGTATTCGAATTAAAGATCGACGTGTCCTGGTAGACGTGGAACGTGGTCGGACTGTCAAAGGCTGGAAGCCTCGTCGGTTCGGTGGCGGGCTCGGAGGTAGAGGCTATAGTAAGGCACTGCCTTCTCGTCCTATCGGGCCTGGATCTTTCGGTGCCCCCTCTGGACCTGGAGGTTATGGCGGTGGCTTCCGGGGTGGCTTCGGTGGTGGTAGAGGGTTCAAAGGTGGCTTCCGAAACGACCGTGGATTCGGTGGCCCTCGCGGTGGTGTTGGATATCAGGGTGCCCGCAACGGCTTTGGTGGACAGGCACCGCCAAATGCTCCCTCTGGACCAGGAGGCGGAAGGAATGCAGGATTTGGTGGTGGTCGACCCGATCGCGAAGGGCGGGGTGCCACCGGCAGCAATCGTGAACCTATCCGCCCTCGGGAAGGCTACGGTGATCGGGACCGTCGAGACCGAGACCGTGACCGCGAAGGTGAACGGCCACGCGATCGTGACAGAGAGAGCCATCGCTACCGTGACCGTGATCGCGAGCGAGACCGTGATCGCGACAGATACGGCGGCCGGGAAGAGCAGGGACGAAAGAGGTACCACGAGGATGATTCGTACGACGACCCGCGCGCTAAGAGACGATACTAAACCACACCTCGATCGCCTGAGGGGCTTTTACCAACCCAGTACTCAATAACGGTTTGCTGGTGGGTATTTTCGATTGATCTTTCTTCTCCCTCATTGCCCCAATATGGAAATGGGTAAGACAAGACCGACAGCTCCTCAAGTCCCTCGTCCACAGAGACTTGATTTGGGTACTCACAACAGTCAAGCCCCCCACCCACTTTTTTCATTGTGTATGAAGTGGTACAAAGTATCTATCAACCTTGTCTGGAACTTATGAATCAGGTCCGTTGCAACAATCGATCGCTTGTCGGAAAATTGATATCTCTACTGGAGGGAAGGTTATGGATCTGGCCCTGCTTCACACCCTGTTTCTCGTCTTCTCCTTTTCTTCTCTTCTATTTCTCTTTGTCATGTCCTTTCTGCAGTTCTTGTGGCCTATTCCGCGGTCTATACTACGGGCCACGGGGGGTAAGTATGTACTTTAGGTAGTCAGCAGCATCTTTCAGGTGGAATCATCCTCGGAAGGGAGTTTTGTTGTCAGGTAAGAAGATAAGGTAAGGTTTTATTCGACAGCGATGACCTATGCCAGAAATCTTCGTATGGGTGTAAATCAAGGTAATAGTTTTAGATGAATTTAATACTTCAGGTTCATACAGCTCCTATGTAGGTTTTTTTTTTTTTGGTATTGATTGGCTTTTCTTAACTGGTCTTCTATATAGGTTCATCATACCCTCATCAAGGATGTATTGAGTGAGATGTAAGTCTCAGGAATCGCATCGGAAATATTAACAAATAGAATAAAGGAATAAACGCCTATCCTAACTCCGTGAAATGCCCAAGGGATTTCGTTGAAAGCATGGAACAAACTCGAAACTTTTGCTAACCCCTCCAACTCACTGATCAACTTCCATGCCAGCGTCAGTCTTCTCGAGAATCTTGACTTCACCAGTTTCCCGAGTCCAGGCAGCCTTCAGCGCGACGTGGAATTCGGAAGTCGCGATACCAAACATCTTCAGCAGCGTCGTCTGTCGGGAATCCAAGGTTTCGCCTTCCTTGCAAACAGGATACGCTTCCTGTCCATCGGTCAACTCAAGCATAACCTTTCCCTTGATCAGACGAGTAGGAACGCCCAGTTTGCGCAGCTCAGGCTCGATGGTGTGGCTAACGGGCTCGTCTTCAGAAGCAGGGATTTCACCGGCCCGAGAGTAGACCACACCGTTGGGGATGGCAAAGGCACGGGTGCTGACTGTTCCGGCGCGGGCAAAGTCAAGCGGACGGAAGGACTCGAAGTAGTCGGTGACAGACTCGGGGTCTCTAGAGGTGAAGAGGAGACCGACAGCACCGGTGAGATAGGGAACGAGACGGTGCAGGTTGTTGGCGGCTTCTGTTTCGGGGTTGTGGCCGAGGGCGACGGCCATGACTTTTGTTTTGCCAAAGAAGAGTCTGGGGAATGTCAGTGTTTAGTTTATCATTCATATATGTTAAAGAGAGAGAGAGAGAGAGTTTCGAGGTGATATATTCAGTATTGTCGTCTTTTCTTCCGCAAGCTGTGGCTCGAGGAAACGCAGATATAAAAATAGTTGTGCGGCGGGGAGGTGGACTTGGAATTGGAATAAAAACTCACCGACTGTCTGCGAATTCGGCGCGCACATCCTTCAGATATGTATTGCGCATGTTATCCACGCCAAAGACAAAGAGGTGATCATATTTCTCGACACATTCACGGATATTGGCGTAGAGCCGTCTGGTCTGTTCCTTGTGGGACTTTTTGGTGGTCTTGGACTCGTGGACGATTCTGGCACGCTTGGAACGAGGCATTATGAAATCTAACTAGGAAGTTGAAGAGAGAAATGGAATCGTGAAACAAGGTTGGATTCCCAGTTCGGTGCGGGAAAGAGGTCTGTCTATACACAAGTGCGGAGAAAGAATATTGTCGACTGGAGGAGGAAATTATTATTTTTTTTTTCTTCGCTGATAACGGGCGGAGAAATGTTAATGCGGGGCTTATCCGACTCGCCCAAACGGGAAATGAGCTGATGACGGGCTTCATCCTCTTCATCGCTTCCGTGGTCTTCCTGTTGGCCCTGGAGTTTAGTTAATCATGCTCTAGGTTTTGAATTTTGGGGATTCGACCCGATAATACACCTTTGGATATAGCTAGATCTGCAATTGCGCCCTGATCATGCTTGATTTCATGGACTATATCCAACTTGCGTTCGCCGAGGCGACCCAATGGAACCGCGACAACACGTACTCGTCGCTTACGGCTACGGCACAGTGTAAGTAGACTTGCTTTCTCTGTGACTGCTTCTCGGGATGGGGGGAAACTCGATTCTGATGGCCGTCTATTCTAGCCCTCTTGGACTTTTCAACGCCTGAGCGAATGCGCGTCCACATCTCCTCCCTTTCCACCCCCCACTTTGCGACCAGTTATACCCTCGGGACTGTTGGCCTCATTGAAGGCTCTGTATCATATCTATACAGCAATGTACCTTTTGATAATCTTCCAAGCAAAAGCGCCCTGATTCCCCTCCGTAAGCTCGCACCTGGCTATCGACAAGTCCAGTCGCCGATTGCTCCACCGGTAGAATGCTGGGGATGGGACTCGATACTTGATGGCCAGAGTGCTACTGGCCAAAAGGCGACACTGCTCCATGCGACACTGCACTTGCCTCCACCGACAACTCTGAACGCATTGTTCTTGCGCCGCCTCTCCCCGACCATGCAACTCTCACTCGCAGTGTCGTCAACGCGAGGACCACCTCTCTCCAAGTCTGCCCCCCAAGCTACCTTACTAACACAACTCTCGCACAATACCGGGAAGTACAGCAACGAGTATCTTTTCAGTACAGACAACTCGCTGTTTGGGTGGCGCGGTTTATGGAACTTTGGACCCGATCCTCGTTCCCCCGGCGGCAGCGCTCCGCGATTATCGCTCCTCTCCGCGGGCGCGGAGGCATACTACTCTCCGGTCTCATCGCTAATTGGCATGTCCACCGGGTTGAGGTTCAGCACGTTGCCGGCCGCCACGGACCCGACATCCTCTACTACATCCTCAACAAACAATGCTAGCACACCGATATCCACCTTCCCCTACACCCTAACGCTCACCCTAACCCCGTTGACCGGCTCTTTATCCACTAGCTATTCTCTCCGCGCATCGCCCAACCTCTCCTTCAGCTCGCGATTCGGGTTCAACGTCTACAGCTGGGAGAGCGAAATGGTTGCAGGATGCGAAGTCTGGCGACAGTCTAGAAAACCCATCCGCACGACTGTAGTTGAAGACGACGGTCTCGAATGGGCCCGGCGCAAAATGCGCGAGGACAGCCCGTCTGCCTTCCCGGCACGACCGCCAACTTCACCACCCAAGCACGAGCCGGCTACATGCCCCGAAGCAGATGCGGCCAGTGAATCAGTGCTCAAGATCCGCGTCGATCAGTCTTGGAATGTTCGACTTCTCTGGGAAGGTCGAGTCAAGGAACTCCTTGTGAGTGCTGGGGTTGGGCTGGGCCCAAGCTCGTTTTCATCTTCGTCGTCGTGGTCTTCGGCTGGGGGGCAGAGCGGCGGCGGGGGGACCTCGTACTGGCGGGGTGTTGGGGTTTCGGTATCTTATTCGTCATGAACCCGATACCTATCTGTTCATACATAAAAAGGTATAATTCAAACCCGATATATGATATATACATATATTTTCTACAATCTTAACAGCGCAACCTCATTGATAATTTAGATGGCGGAGTGTATATTCCATTGTGTAAGGGATCTACGCTTCCTCGTCTATCTCATCTATCTCGTCTCTTCTGGATTGGGAAAGTTGGAAGTTGGTATTTTTATAGACGATATGAGCCTCGATAGTATTCGAGGCTGATTGCATTTAGCTTTTCAGGATATATTAGATGAAGCCACCTAAATCATGGACGTTTTCATGGTCGGACGTCCGCTGGTGCCATTAAAGACACTCTAGCTATATTTGATGTCTGAGTTTCGCCGCAAAGAGAGTTGCATCAGGCTGTTGCCGTCAGGCGATCGGGACCTAGCATCTTTACAGACGGGCGTTGATAATATCAACGACTGGTGTTGAGGGAAATTTGGTCAGTGACATGGCAACAGGGAAAGTAAAAGTACGAAGAAAGATAAGGGAGACATACAGGCAGGCTTCAGACTGGCGCCGCCAACAAGGAAACCGTCAACGTCTTCCTGCTTGGCCAGTTCGCGGCAGTTCTTCTCGCTCACCGACCCACCGTAAATGATTCGGGTGTTGTCGGCGGCTTCGGCAGAGATAGAGGCGACCAGCCACTTGCGGATAGCGGCGTGAACCTCCTGGGCCTGCTCAGTGGTAGCGACCTTGCCAGTTCCGATAGCCCTGGTGTGCCCATTAGTTTAGTGCTCTTTTTGAGGGGAGTGGGAAGGGAAGAGGAGATGCGCCTTACCAGACTGGCTCGTAAGCAATCACAACCTTAGTCCACTGCTCCTTGGAGAGCTCCTTGGCAGCAGCATTCAGTTGACGGGTCACCACATCGATAGTCTTGTTGGCCTCACGCTCCTGTAGGGACGCAGGTTAGTTAGTTGGTGGTCCCTTGACCGGGGATTTCCATTTCCGGAGTGGGGTAAATGGAAGAAGATCAAGTTAAAAAAAAAAAAAAAAAAAAAAAAAAAGAGCTTACCTCGAGTGTCTCACCGATGCAGAAAATGACGTTGAGACCACCGTCAATAGCAGCCTTGGCCTTACGAGCAATAAACTGATTTCATTAGCGATTCGACCCGGATGGGCAGATTAGGGGGTGGAAGACGAAAAAAAGGGTGGGGTGTCATGTCACGTCACCGGGGAAAGCATACCTCGTCGGCCTCCTTGAGGATCACACGACGCTCACTGTGTCCGAGAATGGTCCAGTCGATGTTGGCCTCCTGAAGCTGCTGAACACTGATCTCACCGGTGAAGGCACCGTTGGGCTTGTCGAAGACGTTCTGAGCAGAAACCCCAATCTTCTCGTTGGCGATCTGGCGGGAGAGGAGGAGGAACATGGAAGGAGGAGAGATGACAACCTCGGTGGAGGGATCGAGGTCGGCAGCGTTGAGGTTGTTGAGGATGCTGGTAATGCTGTCGACATTACCGTTCCTGTAGCCCAAAGACAAAACGAGAGGGTTAGCCATCAGTGGTGGGGTTGAGAGGAACATAACATAGTATACAAGAAGCAGGGAGGGAATGCGGGGCAAGCTCGTCATACATCTTGAAGTTCCCACCGACGAAAAATTGGCGAGGCATTTTGAAAGTATGAGATGGGTTTTGAGATGTGAGGAGGTAATAGAGAAGGTACGTGAAAGAAGAGAATTCACGAAGGGGAATTGGAGGCTGGAAGAGAGAAGAGAAGAAGAAGAAGAAGGAAGAAGAGAAGAAGGGGAAGAGAGAGAATACATAGTGGGATGAAAGTTATCGATAAGTCGTGGGTGGGATGTTGGCGGATCCCCTGATGTGTTGGCGATGCATCGTTTTTCTTCTACAAAACCTACACGACAAATTGAATTCTAGGTATGTTTGAAATATCAGTTATCATCTGACTACTATTCCAATGCCTGACAAAATAGTAAAAAAAAAAAGAAGAAGAAGAAAAGAAAGAGAAAAAAGGAATCATAGTTCAGACACATCGCCTAGGAACCCGAGAAGATTTAGAACCCTTGGGAATCCACACTTACACTAAACAAAATCATTCAATGAAGCCCATCCGCTAGATATCTCGAAGGATACATGGTCCCCGGCTCCCACAATGATCTATAGCGGCCCAAGATGCCCACATCATGGATCCGGTCGTTGAGCATTCGGGTGTTGATTTCGACTAACCTCTCACGCTCAGTCAGGTTAGCCTCCCAGTTCTTCAGGTATCGGTCTCGGATGTCATTCTTTGCCCGTCCTCCATGCAGATGGTTCACATATACTAGATCCAGGTCGTCGAGACTAATGGGTGGTTGTGGTGGTGGTGGTGGTGGTGGTTGTCGACCTAACTCCCGACTACCACCACCATGAGCTCTTCTGCAATGTTGAACAGCGTGTCTATCCTCCGATGGAATTAATTCGATACTACCCTCCTCGCGGTATCGGTTGAGCTTGCGACTGGAAGATCTTAGTGCGTGCTTTCGGGAATGCGTACGATAAACGTCGCGCGATCGTTTGGATTTTTCAGCCGAATGCCCCCGAAAGAGACTCCCACGAAAGGGTGCCTGTTTTTCGGACGCTTCAACATCCTCACCGGAGAGGTCTACTTCTGAGTTTCCACATTCTGGATCCAGAGAGAAAATATAGTCCTCTCCGCTGCTGGTGCTTCCCCCCACTGGCTCTGGTTCCGACACAAAGGCCTGCATTGGGGACTTGCCACGTCGATGGCCGGCCCCTCCAGGTTGGACGTGGTAGGAGCCTGGCTGGGGGGTCGCATGCTTTATGTTATCGTTGTGAGGCCGAGGCCCCATCTGACCATGTACAACTGGTGTATGTTGCGGTACATGCGCCCCTGCTGGCGTCCCTTGAGTCCAAGGTCCCTGATTGAGACACGGTGGGCCTCCAACTGGATGTTGACGTGGTGGTGGTAGAGGAGGACCTTGCTGATGAAACTGAGACGCGGGCTGCTGGGAGGGATGTATGTGTGGCGGCATTTGCTGCGGGTGAAAGTTTTGTCCGTTACACTGTTCATCGGGTTGGATGCCTCCAGCCACCATCCTAGGCTCTTGTTCGGATATAGGATGCTCGGGGCCGACAGGCGGTATTCTGTCCTTGACCTGGAAAGAAGCATCTGCATCTGCAAGACCCCTCTCTGGATACGATGGAGCTAAGGGCTTTCCCATGAGGATGATATCCATGGATGTGGTTTCGTAGCCACCGCGGCGAAATTTCTTGCCCTTGACATCCCTCGTCACCTCCTTCACATAGACACACATCCACTGGAACTCGGGTTTGTTCCGTCTGAGATCCTCGATCAAGCGATCTACGTGCGATTGTTTGCTTATTGTTAAATCCTGATACTGGCCTGCGACGGAGATTCTCTTGGCCTTTCTCTGCACCAAGTTGATCAGGTCACTCTGGCTTAGATTCATCCGGGTTTTTTCCGCTTTAGCCCAGGTTGCCTTATGACCGGGATTTGGTTGTGCCTTGAAAAATGTATAGCCCAGGTAACAGACGCCTGTATGTTTATACGCATCTGGGGTAATGTCTCTTGTCCTCTGATTGTTGTCTGGAAAATTCATGCTCCGACTGACATTAAGGCGGCCCATCTGGTCCACTAGATTCCCAGGCCCCATGGTCCCCATGTTATTATACATAACACAAGAGCTGCCAGCCGGGTGAGCCTGTGGATGATGTATACGGGCAATCGAAGGATTCATATTGGGGTTATGGATAAATCGCCATACCACAAAGCTCCAGCTGTTGGCGGGGACGAAATCAAAAGATATCCAGACCGAGTGAGCTTCTAGTGCGACTATACAAACAAGAAGACAAGATTGGACCGAAGACTATTTAGAGTTCGGACTGAACGGACGAACGACATTCAGAAGAAGTTGAGACGGGGCGACAAGAGCATTGAAATACCCCAGGCCTCCACACAGAGTTCCTACACGAAAGGTGATGAGGAGCTGCAAAGTCTTCTCAAAGAGAGTAGAGTTGCGATGGTTATGTTTCAAGTCTTCAGGGCAAAGTGGCAAAGGATATATATTCAACTATCTGGTGACGACGCCTGGACGAACTAGGGCGAAGAGTGAGTGGGGGCGCAGTGAAATATGAGGCTGCCAACAGGGATTGTCTTATCAAAAAAGTATTGATTGCTGGTTTGAAATAACCCTTCTCGTTTCAAATCTTAGGAAGATTCTGCTCTTCCTTCCAGTCAGGGTTGCAGGGAAGCCTGAAGGTCTAAGCCGCACTTTCTCGTAATTAGTTGGTGCGCTACGAAGGCAGCCATATGGACTGGCAAGAAAGAGCCTGGTCTCAATTGAGGCTCTCTCATACTTCAAGATGAGACAAACTGGACAAGCCACCCACTCTCTCTCGTGTTACTCCACCTGCATATAAGTTGACCTGCTATTTCTTTCCTCCTACCCACCCCTCCAGGACAAGCCCGGGAGATCCTTTAGAAGAAAGGCAGGGAATCTGCATATCCAGCTGCATGGAGGCTCAGGATCTACAGAACCTTTGTTTGTGATGGAAACTGTGGTGTCCTTTACAGCTGAAAGTTATGCAATGAAGACTGGCAGACCAATCCCATTGTCTGATATTGGCGACAGACTGGCATGTTTTAGGTAGCGTTGGGCTCTACCTAATCTAATGCCCTCATAGTTCTTTCTTTTTCTTTTTTCTTTGCTTTTTTTTTTTTTTTTTGAATTCCGTCATGACTGACAGCAATGTCAGCCACTTAATAATGATTGTCATTTCTTGATCCACAAGGCTATATGTTTTACTGCAGGACATCTTTTCATATACAGTTCATCCATATAAGCTTTAAGATTGTTATAATTTCTGTTGCTCTCATTGACCAAGTTATTACCTTAGTCTGAATTCCCAGGCCAAACAAATGAAAGGAAACCCCCTCATTCATGCATGGAGGCTGGTTGTAATAGCGAAATATTAGAATAGGAGGAGCAATCCACCCCCTAGAGAGGTTTATCAAGTTGTAGTAGATCTTAGATAACTAGTATAGCCTACCTACAGGCTAGAAAGAGTCTTTCTTCTATAGAAGCTTGAATTGGCTTTTCTGATGGATACTAAACAGCAAAGATGTCTACTCCATTATTTGGTATTCTTTGTTATAGTCCTGCATGTATGCAACCTTTAGAGGAGAATCTAGATATATTATGTCATGCATGCTTTTTAATCTAACTAGTTGCAAAATATACCTCTTGGTGAATAATTTCAATAAACTCTTATATGCAGATAATGACAGCCTTTATGCATGAGATTCTGCAGGCTTGTAAACCATTTTTTCATTCTTGCATTCTCACTCTGGCTAAAAGGTGGTCAGTTGCCATTCAACATAGCAGTTGTGGTCAAAGGCAGTCAAACATTAGTCAGAATTAACAGTCTCAATTAGGCTCAAATCTACATGATTATCGATAGAACTCAATAACTTCAATACTTTCGTGGTCATGAAAAATTCTGTCTTCAGGCCAAGGCCGCGGGTATCAGTTGCCAGGGCAGGGATGGGTGAAGATTCTCCGGAGATAGAGGGAACAAGGACAGCGTAATCGATGCACATGTGGCGCTCACGGATTCAACACAGCTCTTGGGGTAAAAAAGAGAGGCTTCCTAGGATGACTCTATAGAATCTGATGGGTGGCAAATGTTGTCACCGCCGAAGGCTGTCCAGCCTTGCTTGGAGATCGTCATCGCTCGCTCCCCCGGCTCCCCCGGCTCCAACTGCCTGTGCAACTCGACCTTCGCTGACGGCATTTGTCTGGATGCCTGTCGGTGTTTCGCCAAGCTGATGAGGAGACGTCAGTATTGTTATCCATCCCGGTGAGCTTTCAGGGAAACAGAATACGAACCGCCTGGCCCAGGTCTACACCAATTTCGTCCAAAACCTCTTTGACAATATCTTCCCCTTCCTCTTCTTCGCCATCTAATCCGGTCGCTTCATCGATCGCATCATCCATCATCTCTTGCCGTTGGTCCATGATATCGTTCTCTCGTTCGAATTCCATCGCAATTCGTTGGAGCGCGGGAAGGTTCATCTGCCGGTTCATGCTACCTAGTAGCATGGTGGCGCCTTTCATGGACTGCATCATCTGTTCATTGCTTCGGACCGTCTGTACCACGCACGCATCCTTCAGTTGTCTGGCCAAAAAAATGTAGCTTGTTAGGGTTCGCATACCTGGATTCGCAGGGAGATCGCCTGTAACTGAGTCCGCATTTGGTAAAACTTCTGAATATACCTGTGGATCAAGATAAGTGGTTAGAAAGCTGCTGTGAATGGTCGACTGAGAGAAGATAGTACCTTCTTGTGCGGACCAGGTCTTTCGCCTGGATCTTGCAAGCCCCGATCTGGCCATTCTTGGCGCTCTTTTTAATATCCTGCACCAATTTCTTCTCCTGGTTCTCTAACTTGACCCTCTCCCTGTCCAGTTCTCGCTGTGTCCTGTCCAGCGCTCTTTGGTGTTTACGGAGACGCTCTGCGGGCGTCATTCGTTTCCCGAATGCCCACTCGACGATCTGATATCTAGCGTTAGTGGGAAATATTGATAGATGGAGACGGAGTAAAAGACTTACATTCATTTTGATTACGGTCGAATAGATATATAAAAAAAAACCCCCGAGATAAAGAAAGAGAGGGTTGAGAGGGAAGGAATGCGGGATTTGGCACAACAAGACAGAAAGCGGGCGAAGCTGCTATTGTGACATCAGGCTTCCCGATAACCAACTTCTGGTGAGGTAACAGCGATACGCGTTTTGTAACTTTTGATTACCAGTTCCTGTGGGTGGAGAGTCACATGCAGCCACCAATCCTGTTTGGGAGGTGAAATTTCCCCCCGAGCCGGAAAGAAATCACATCCATCACCAAAGCATCTTTTCTTCCTCAACACAAACAAAATAATATTTGCTTGTAATCGATCTATCTCGTCTTCCATCTCCATGCAACCAGCACTGCTTTCGTCATGAGTCAGGAGTATTATTCCGGGAAGGGTGGCTCCTCTGCTGGAGAGGGGTCCTCTAGACATGCGCCACAGGATGAGCATCCTGAGAACCCTTTTGCTCCCCGTCCCGCGCCTGCTTATATGACCGTTGGGAATGGTTCGACTTCGGAGAGTGCTACGGCGCTGATGGCTTCGCTAAATGTCGATTCGGGATACGGTGGGAGCGTGGTTGATGGAGAATCCAATACGGGATTGAACTCCGACTTGCTCGTGGACAGACCGACCCCTGCGCATACCCCGACCCTTCTGGGAGAATGGAATCCTGCTGGTATGTCTTTGCATTGGGTTGGGTGCTTGGAGTTAGTCTCCTTGACGCTTACTAACTTTCTGTTTGATAGCTGAACACGAGAGACATGTCGTGGCTAGCCATGTTTCGCAGTTACTCTAGTACGCGTCTTCTCCGCTGATCATGATTGATTCTACATCGAACCGTCTGGGAATTCTAACAATGATTGCAGTAACTCGAACCGAACGAAGCTCGCGCGCGCAATTTCACGGACTATTGAAACGTTAAAGGAACTCCAGGAGATGAATCGACAATGGCCGGCCCACTATCCTTCCGCACAAAGCGTCTCAAGCTCGCCCTCGCGGAGACCGTCACTACAACAAAGCCAGTCAGACTTCGGAGATGCGAATGCTGAGCCGGGGGAGCTTCCACGACCCGGACTGCTGAGGCGTGCCGCAACCATGCCTGGAAAGGAGGAGCTGGAGTCAGCTGCTGTCGCGGAGCGTCGCCCTGCGCCCGAACCGCGGTTGATGAGCCCACAGATTGCGCAAGAGTTTTCTATCTTGAAGCTAGATCTTAAGCTTGGTGCGCTCTCGCAAGCTGAGCTGGTTCACTCTCTGGAAAAGGCCTCGATTGCTTCACTTCTCGATGGCAAGATTAGCCAGAGCATCAAACATCTGCTCTCGCTACGGGACAGGATTGAAGATATCTCGAGCAAAGTCTTGATTACTGGTGATTTGAATGCCGGTAAATCAACATTTTGCAATGCTCTCCTCCGCCGCAAGGTTCTGCCCGAGGACCAGCAACCGTGCACCAGTATTTTCTGTGAGGTTCTTGATGCTCGGGAGAATAGTGGCGTCGAAGAAGTACATGCTGTGCACAAGGACCGACAGTATAATCGGAATGATGAGACCACCTACGATGTGTACGCGCTGCGCGAGCTTGAGAACATCGTCATTGATAACTCAAAGTATATGCAGTGCAAGGTTTACGTGAAAGACGTGCGGACAATTGATGAATCTCTACTCAATAATGGCGTCGTTGATATCGCTTTAATCGATGCTCCCGGATTGAACTCGGATTCTTTGAAGACAACCGCCGTCTTCGCTCGACAGGAAGAGATCGATGTGGTAGTGTTTGTCGTTTCCGCCGCTAATCATTTCACTCTCTCCGCTCAGGACTTTATTTGGAATGCTGCCCATGAGAAAGCCTATATGTTTATCGTTGTCAATGGCTTCGACCAGATTCGCGATAAGCAACGATGTCAGCGGATGATTTTGGACCAGATTAAGAAACTTAGCCCCCGAACCTACAAGGAAGCTGCTGAACTTGTTCACTTTGTATCCAGTAATGCCATTCCCGTCGCACCACAAATTTCTGTTGGTGGCCCTGGGGGCGGCGGCGGCGGTGTTGGTGGTGGCGGTGGAGGATCAGGTCCCAATGGAAATGATTGGCCTGGCGGTGATGACGATGATGGCAAACCCGAGGATAGTGGAAAAGGGAAGGGGAAAGGAAAAGAAAAGGAGAAAATTCAAGACTTTGAGAACCTGGAAGGCTCCCTTAGACGATTCGTCCTCGAGAAGCGTTCTCGCTCGAAGCTTGCTCCCGCCAGGACTTACCTCCTAAACCTTCTTGCTGATATCAATGGTTTAGCCTCTGTTAACCGTGATGTTGCCGATGCTGAGCTCAAAAATGTCATGCAAGAGCTGGCAGAGCTTGAACCCGCATTTGAGAATGGCAAGCGAAGGAAGGTCGAGCTACAGGAAGAAGTCGACCGGTGCATCGATGGATCGTGCGATGATGTATACAACCACACCCGTTCAACTCTGTCGTCTGCGATTTCGAACGTCTCTCAAGCCGACCTTGGTGTTGAGTACCCTGGAATCTTCTCCGCGTTCCAATATGCAGAAGACCTCAAGTTCGCTATGCTTGAACAAATTTCCGCCTCGGTGTCCGGGTGCGAGGATTATGCTCGGGCAAAGACCGTCCAGGGCGTGGGTTTCATCCAGAACATTGGCTTGTTGCATATTGGCGAGGACAAATTCACTCCACTGAATTTCCGGGCGGATATGATGTTCCGCCGCGGCCGTCGCCATACTCTTGCAAGGCAAGTTCAGACAGATGTGGAGTTGTTGGATTTCTTCGACATCTCCGGCCTTTGGGAGAGACAGGAGAAGTTGGCTGGAACAGGCATGGCAATGACAGCTGTGACTGTTCTCGGTGGCAGGGCACTTGGTGGTATCAGTTGGGTTGACAGCATGTTCAGCGCAGCTAAATTCTTGGGGCCTAACAACATGCGTCGCCTTCTCCTACCTAGTATCATTGCGGCGGGTAAGTTTTCTTCCTTCTCGTTATGTTTATTTTAGATATCTAACATGACTAGCTGTTATTACCACTGCGTACGTGCTCTCCTCAATCCCGACTACGCTACCCCCTCGACTCTCTCGCAAGCTTGCGGCCACTCTTTCCGAAATGGATTATGTGCACTCCAATGCCAACCGAATTTCCATTGAGGTTCGTCGTATCCTGCGTATGCCAGCGGGCAACCTGCAAACCAGCCTGGCTCAGGATCTCGAAGATATTGGGCGACGGAAGCAAGAAGTCAGCAAGACAAAGCATGAGTCCGAGGTCGCCAGCAAGTACTTTGCCAATCTGTTCCGCAACAGCGGCGAAAACCGCACATCAGTCGAGAACATTGATCTCGACGCCCCATTGCCCGGCGGACTACCATCTCACCATCCCTAGGCGCGTCCAAAAATTCTCTGTACAAAATTATGACGTTTGATGATCTTTTCTTTGTCAGTGCTTTTGTATTTTTTCTAATACTCGCAAAATATCCCCTTTTTGTACTGTACAACCCTTCGTTTCTTGCCGTCTTTCACCACCACCACCACCACCACCATCGCCACCCACTCTGCATTTCCCCTTTCTAATCTAGATGAGATTGACCTCGTGTTGAAAATCCTCTAGACAAGCTGCTGAACAGCTTACTTTAGTACTCGCCCAGGAGTACATTATTTTCATTCTTTTGGTAACTGTGAGCACACCGGTATCTATTTGGATAGCGGTAGTGCAGCATGACCCAGTCTTTTTCCCAACTTTTCTTTTCTTTTCCTCTTCCCCCCCCCCCCCCTCCCATATAGATTAATAAGAATGGATTCTTATCTTTAATCAAAATTCCTGTGAAGATAGCTTTCTATTTTGCGTCAGTATGTAATCAATTGATATAGAATTAGGTAGTATTTACCAAGAGACCAAATGCCACGAGCATTACATTATATTACATTATATGTATATATATACATAACTAACATTTAACCTTCACTCTAGGTATCATTGGTCATCATAACTTGCACTCTGTAGTAAAAGCAATAGGTATCGTATTATTATATTCATGATTATTCAAGAAAAAGAAAATCTCTTGGTGTGGTCAGAAATCATCATCATCATCATCATCATCATCCACGACAGCCTTGTGCGCATTTCTTGTTCTCCGTCCCGTACCCCATCCAACCTCTTCGAGTTCTTTAACTTCGCCAATAACCAGCTTCTGCTTATTCGACGGCTCCTCGATGATCTTCCCCGCATATCTAAGAAATTTCTCACGCATTGCAACGGCATCCGGATCCTCGTAGTCCAATTGAGTCATTGGTGGGGTCTCTTGCTCTTCTTGATAATTGCCCCGTTCACCCTCGGGGTACTCGAATCGACCACTATTGGCAAGAGATGGGATGGCATCTGTATTGATGCTTTCGATTGCACTGCCGCATCCGTCTTCATTAAGGGTGTCGATGGAGCTTGCACGAGAAAATCCCTTTTGTTCCGTGGTTCGCACAGAGACATTCGATTGGGCGCGTCCAAGGAGAGGTTTTGCGCGGCGTGAGCGGAGTTGATCATGCGCGTCTCCTGTTCCGGATGTGGAGCGGGAAGTTGCTGTTGTTGTTGTTGTTGTTGTTGTTGTTGTTGCTCGGGCTTGTTTTAGGAGTCCGCTGACGGCGAGGTCGATTTCGATTGCGGACTGTGCGGCTGAGGCGGAGGATTGGTCTGAGAATTTTCGTTTCATGGAAGGGGATTCTGCTAGGTTTGGTTCTGGATGTTTTGCAGGTGATGGGGCCGGTTGAGGTTTTGGTTCTGATATAGATAAGCTTTTTCGTTCGATGATGGGCTCTTCAGCTTGTGGGGCGCCTCTAGTGGTTGGTCTGGGGCTTATTTCTATTTCCTTCGGAGGATTCGGCAAGGGTGTCTTGGGTTTGTTCGAGCTATTGCTGCCGTGTGGGAGAGTGATGGTATTGGTTTTGGTATTATCCTCTGGTTCACGTTTTGGTTCTCCACGAGAGCTGGCTCGCGACTCAGGGTCTTTACTGCTTTGAGTTGATTGTTTTCGGATGAGATATGGTTCAAATTGTTGTTTCTTTTCCATTCGAATAGAACTCCAAAGCCAGTCAGGAGTGACTGCTGGTACACCCCACTCGTGGGTGTGGCGTAATTTCTCATGGTTGATCGCAATTGCGTCATTGCAGATGAGAATGGAAGCCTTGGGGGTTAGATACTCCTGATATGTGGCGCCTGGGAAGTTAGCGCCCAGAGCAGGGGAAATAGGGTACATCCTGAGCTCACCAACTAGCGTAACCAACTTTGATAGATGAAGAAGGTCAATGCGAGAGAAACCAGTGGAGCATATTTTCATTCCCGCGAATCCTATTATCATTAGAACCTTCCGAAATGGGGGGCAAAGAAAAAGTGTAGGCCGCTTACCATCGAGAGGAAATGAAGAAAGGGGAGTATTCGCGACATGGGATTCAGGAGTAACTAGAGTTTTTGCGTCAAGGCACCGTTCTAGCCACATGTCCGTCACAATGTCGCAATCGAACGCGAAGTCGTCAGTGGACGGCACTCTTGATTGAGGGGTTTTGTAAGGGACGATAATGTAGATATTATGGCCTCGTTTCGGGATATCCGGTCGAGCGAATTCACTCAAGGAATTTACCAATTGAGCCCCATTGAATGAAAGGTGGTGCTGTAGCACAGTAATCTACCAAGGATCAAAAGCTGGTATAACCAGAGGAATAAAGAGGAAAACGCACCTGCTTAGAAGAAAAGCCATGGATTAAGAAGAAACAATCGTCGAGAAAGCCGTTTTGACGAGCGGCGGCCTCTTGTGGCTGCTGCAAAGGCTGCGAAGGTGCAGCAAAAGTGGTATCACTAGCAAATGACTTTGCTTCCTGAAGCACAGAGGGCCGATTGTTGGCCTTTCTAGAGTCGTTCTTTTGTTGGCTGCTTTTAGGTCGACCGAAATCGCCAGGCTCAAATCCGATGCCAACGATATCACCCCAGATTCCCTCGTTTTGATCACCTAGCTTGGCGCTAGCAATTCTTCGCAACTTCCGTGGACGTGGATTGGAGGAACTCTCGTTTTCTTGGGGTTTTTCCTTTACTCTAGTGATAGAGCGATTCCAGGCCCCAGCTCCCTGCTGTTCGGCGGGCAAAAGAGGGTGATATAGAGTCTCCTCAAGAACCATTCCACGCTCTATACAGTCGGTAAACCAATTTACGGTGACAACCTTGATGTTCCATTGCGTTGCAAACTTGTACTTTTCGCCCTCTGTACTTCGTGCCACGAGATGGGTAACTGTTTTCGTGAGATCCTTTCTGAAGTCCGCACCGTGGGCTGTCGCGTTGGTCTGGATATGGTTCCGAAATGCCACTATAAAACCTAGTGTCAACTCCTGACATAGCCCACCGGCAAATGTCCCTACTCACTATCTTCAAACCCCGTAATACATATCGCCAACCCCGTAAAGGTCTGGAACTTGTACTGCTCTTCCAAGGCGCGGATGTCCGTGTCGCCTCCCTGCATCCAGGACTGGCGCACTGCCTCTACCCATTCTGGCTTTAGGACCACAATATCGGCTCGCTCGCGGGCAACGAATTTGTATTTTGGGGTATTGGTTTCGCCAACTAGTAAATGGGTGACGTCGGAAGTGAGGTCGAGCGTATGGGTCGCGCCCATCTGTCCTGCGATAGAAGCCAGTTCACTCTAAAGAATAATTGCTGAATTAGCACTCCAATGCGACAAAAAAAAGGGGGCAAACCGGGTGGGTTCAAGAAGAGCAAGTATAACTCACTCGCTGCTCCGGAAGAATGGATGTGAAGCACAAGACCACCCCCGCAAGAGGATGCTCCTTGTCTGGGGTTGAAATTAGCGGTCTGATCATACCTGCGGTCAATAGAGAGAGATTGGACTAACTCAAGGTAGCTTTCCCCGCCATACTTCATGATTGACAGAGTAGTAACGCCAACAGATTGCGCGCTTTCCACAATTGGTTCGGTCTCCTTCTTCCGATACCGCTGCTTGTCGCGTGTCGAGAGGTTCCAAAACCCACAGTACTCGATGTACTCGAGGAGGAGGACAGCAAATACACGGGTAGAGGGATAGAAGATGTGCAATCAGGCTCGTCTCATGATATGCAAGTGAATTAGTGTTGAGCATAGAAATTCCTTCCTTTGGTTCCCCACTCTTGGAGATGCAAAACAGGTGAAGAACTGGAGGCACGGCGGAAAGTTGGATTCCTTATCAGGTCACGTGTGATAACAAAAGAAGTATTACGACGCGTATAAAATCTAGAACTACCTGTTTCTCAATTTTCTCAAGATACAACCCCTGAATGGATTACTATTTGTATACATTATCACTATTCAGGATTTGTGCTCCAAAATATCAGCCTCGCTCAACCCAAGTGCGGTCCTTGTCGGAAGTCCCCTCTGATATCTACTCCGCAATTAACCATACCCATTGTTAGGGAGAACTCATCTAACCGGTCTCCGATGCTATATATATTTCCATCGACTTCCGTCGGATCAATGCCTTTGAGTAATTGAGTCTTTTTGCTGCACGTAGAGCCTTCCGACAGAGCTCGCTGTGGATCCTTGCATTGCATCCCATTAAAGCCGGATAGCGGGCTAACCCGATGTCGAGGAATCTCCCGGTTGAGGTCAATTTGAACTGCAGTTGTTAGCTTATCTATTAGTGCGATTGCAGAGCCTATGCCATGTCCAGTAAGGTGAACAATTTTTGATGCATGCGTCGACGAGATGGGGCTAGAAAAGGAGGCTGCGGGCGGTGTATCCCCTGATCCACGGATCAGTATAGTTTGAAGCCTAAGTAAATTCTCCTTAGCGCGTGACATTCCCTCAGTTAGACCATGCAAGGCCGATGGATCTGGTATATCGCTGGATGTGAGGATGCTCCGCGAGGCTATGTAATAGCCAGGACACTTGGCGATCTCGTTAAATGCGTAATCTACTGTTGGACCCAGTAGGCTATTTTGTCCTCTTCGGTCTTCCGTCCTAGCAATGTCGTTTACCATCGATGTCCACTCGGGCTGGCCTAAGAAACAAGGCTCTCCATGCATAAACGCCTCCGCGACTAGAAAAGGTCGAAAGGAAAGCATTAGCGTACGGCCCATGCCAGCCTTATGCGCTTCTGGCCCACGAGCGCACATGATTTGGCGAATGCCCCGCGAGTGAAGAACCCAAGAATGTGGGCAACTCCCATCCAAAATCTCGTACCCTCCTAAAAGCACTGCAGTTGCCAGAGACTCATCCGTCAGCGCGGATTGCGACTGCAGAAGAGATATAAAGTCTCTTATTGCTCGACCATACATTTGTCGGGCGTTTAGTAGATCCTCGGAATTTCCCTTTTGGGCAGCCATGTGAAAAACATTCAGTGCACGAATCGCCCATACCAGTGCTGGAGGGAATGTGAGCCAATTATTCCGCACAAAGTCCATCCAATTAACCTCGACACGCGAGCAGAAGGAGGAGTATATCCCAGGCAAATAGTACATCACGAAGCCATGGAATAGCTCCTTGGTTTGAATATTTAGGGCTTCTTGATTCAAACCCGGCTCAATGGTCTCGTCAATCGTAACTCGAGGTAATAATCTTTGGTGGTATTCTCTCTGTACAAGATTCCTGCAAGAACTTGCAGATTCACGGCAGTGTCGCTCCCTCAGGCGAGATGTCTGATCATGGAATTTGAACCGGCGATCATAGCCCGGGCATTGGACGCCTCTCTTGATGCATCGCAGGCATTGAGGATGCGTCTCATCGCACTACACCAGACTTAGCTCTTTCATTTCCCCACGGTATCATCAAACATATGCCAGTGGAAGGGCCATATGGGAGAAATCCTTCTCTGGCAATACATAGTTATGATCGCACTCACCTTGACCTTGCGGCTCAAACATGAGAGGCATCCCTTACTTTTGGGAACCGCAACCATCGGGGGTCTCTTTGATCCTGAGGGGTTTTTTTCCCGCTTAGATCTTCAAGATGAATATCCGACGATGGAAAGACTTAAATATTCAAATAATGAGGGGGAAATCGGGGGCTCAATATCTGACTCTGAGATCATTCTTTACAGGATGTTGGAGGGGAAATGTATTTCCGCCCATTATTCACAGACTGGTTGAATATCCCTGCTTAGCATTATAGACTAGCTGCCCAAGAACATTACTCCGTATATGAAAGAATAACTATCTAACTATGGCTTAGGCTTGAGTTTGTTTCTTAGGATGTTTCCCAGAAAAAAGGAAAGATTTCCGGCTCTCTTGCATATTATATTGACCATGCTTTATCGTCGCTGCTATATTTTATTACCTGCCTTAGGCACCAACTATCGTATCGTAAACCCTTTTTAAATAACTATAGAGGAGCGAAGCCAACTAATAACGCAATACCGCCAATTTTTGCTATTTTGCGTGGATAATAAGACATCGAAGTACCATATTTATTGTCTGATTTTTTCAAATAATTGGAACTCTAGATTTTTATCCATTTTCTGTGGATTTTCCATCAGATGTGAGTAATTTTGATTGGGGTCGCGTCGCGGTCACATGACCTTGTTATCGGCGCGTCACGCGCCGTGATTGTTCAGAAAAGGAAATCTGAGCTTTTGACCAGGTAAAATTATAGTGTTGCGGATATACTCTCACTTACTCCAATCATCCCCTAATTTACCGCTCTTTTTATGTACATTTCCAGGGGCACTTTCCAATCTTCAAGTGCTATTCACAAATTCTTTTCAAATGGTCCGGTATTGATCGCGCAAACTGCCTCAAGATACGCGACATCCGGACCCTCGCACGCCGCGGAACAAACAGCCGTGATGTTCAAGAAGGCAGTCAAGGACCATTCAGTGACTTCGGCCAAGCCACTCCAGTCGAACCTTTTGGGAATCAATGGAAATGTGCCGTCCAATTCTCCGCTTCCGCAGTCGATTGGTGTGAAGCGCAAAATCGAGACGATCACGACCGGCGAATCTGCACTGGGGTCCCTGCACAGCGCGGTATATTTCGACGAGAATGACTTCGATGACGACGATGACTTGGACTTCGAAGCACCGGATCCGTTTATCCCCCCTGCTAGAGTTGTGAAACCCAACGTTCAGGCCAGCACCCAGGAACAGTCGTCTTTCGGGTCTGCGAGATCAAGTGATGTTCTAGCGCCATACGACCTCCCGTTACCAACATTTTCAACCCCAATCAAGAATGTCAAGTCCGACATCAAATACCCTGACCTGCCTCCCCCCCCTCGTGATGAGAACCCCGCACCTTCGAGCAGCATACAATACTCATGGTCCTCTTCGCCGCCCTCCCACTTCCAAAAACCAGCCGCTCCTCGAACTGTACCGTGGAAACAAAAGGAGGAAGCCGTTATCGTGGTAGATGACGAGCCAAAGAGGCTGCAGACGCCTGTTCGACCTCGTTCAACTGCCCCGTGGAACAAGACAGCTAGTGCGATCAAGGAGGAGCAAAAGGAACTCCGTCGACAGTACAAGAACCAGAAAGCGCAAACGGGTTCCAGGCAACATTCGTCCCGTGCTCAAGTGGCGTCGATATTCCTTAGCGATGAGCAACGTCACGTCTTGAAAGCTGTGGTTGAGCAGTCGAAGAGTATATTCTTTACCGGTTCTGCGGGAACAGGTAAATCCGTCTTGATGCGGGAGATTATTAAGAAGCTGCGGGATAAGTACAGGAAAGAACCGGATAGGATTGCAGTCACAGCGTCGACGGGTCTTGCGGCTTGTAATATTGAGGGTGTGACTCTCCATAGTTTCGCGGGGATCGGGCTGGGCAAAGAGCCCGTTCCGGAGCTTGTCAAAAAGGTCTGCCAATTTACTCCGCTGTACCTGTGGCCACCTGCTGAAACTTTCTACAGATCAAGAGAAACCAGAAGGCAAGAAACCGCTGGCTGCGGACCCGAGTACTCGTTGTTGACGAAGTTTCCATGGTCGACGGAGATCTATTCGATAAGCTTGAGGAAGTTGCCCGACGAATTCGAAATAATGGCCGGCCGTTTGGTGGCATCCAGCTCGTCGTGACAGGCGATTTCTTTCAATTACCGCCAGTCCCAGAGGGACATAATCGCGAAGCAAAGTTTTCATTTGCTGCAGCTAGCTGGAACACCGCGATAGAACACACCATTCTCCTAACGCACGTTTTCCGTCAACGTGACCCTGAGTTTGCCGAGATGCTCAACGAAATGCGGTTGGGTAAACTCAGCCCTCGCACCATACAGGCCTTTAGAGAACTCTCTCGTCCTCTCGACTTCCATGATTCTCTGGAGGCTACCGAATTGTAAGGCTGTTTTCCCGGTCTGTGTGACCAATGCTGACACCCGAATCCAGGTTTCCCACCCGACAAGAAGTAGAAAGTGCCAATGCTGCCAGGATGGGGAGGCTATCCGGCGAGATGATGACCTTCAATGCAATTGATTCCGGAACCATCCAAGACGTGCAGGTCCGTGAGAAGCTGCTTGGTAACTGCATGGCACCGCCTGTGATTCACCTCAAAAAGGGTTCTCAGGTTATGTTAATTAAGAATATGGAAGAATCCCTTGTGAACGGGTCGATTGGCCGAGTCGTTGCGTTTATGGACGAGGCAACATTCGACGTCTATGTAGAGAACGAGAATGACTTTACCAGCGACAAGTGGGACGACGCCGACGAGGAGAGAGCTGCGCGTGCCCGCAAAAAGCTCAAGGGTCTTGCCCATAAAGACGGAGGTATTGTTGTTAGCCGAAAATGGCCGCTGGTATGTTTTGTTCAGCCTGATGGAACAGAAAGGCATCTACTTTGCCAGCCGGAAAGTTGGAAGATTGAGCTACCCAATGGCGAAGTTCAAGCTCAACGACAGCAAGTTCCGTTGATCCTTGCCTGGGCTTTGTCAATCCACAAGGCCCAAGGTCAAACGCTTCAGCGTGTGAAGGTTGATCTGGGCCGAGTTTTCGAGAAAGGACAAGCTTACGTTGCCCTGAGTCGAGCCACCTCTAAAGCTGGCCTCCAGGTGACCCGATTTGATCCACGGAAGGTCATGGTACACCCCAAAGTCATTGACTTCTACCGAAATCTAGTGAACGTTAGCGATCTTATAAAACCGAAACAGCCTAAACTCAGCCGAGCGGCTAATGACGAGGGTTTCGAGCAAGAATATCTAGAAGAACTTATCGCAGAAGCGGCTGAAGCCCGTTGATATTTTGCGAACGAGCTGTTATTCCATATTCTGAACTCTTTATACTTTCCCCTCTTTTACCTTGGAGTTGATCTCCTTCTTCTTCTTCTTCTTCTTCTTCTATGACTGGCCGATATTGATATCCATTTTATTATTCAGTAAGGGACTAGACTCTGAAATAGAGCATGTTAAAGACGACACCAGTGGGATAGCGAGAGGTTCTTATGACCTCCGAATGCAATCTAGACAAGTAATCCAGATGTATATATCTCTTGTCTTAAATAATAATCGAGCATTACTCCGTAGAATATAAATGAGGATCTGCATCGAGGTTGTTGAGCTGTGGAGGGCCGAAACCTCAAACCAGCAATCTATCGAGCATCGAACCATCGCACCCAAAGAAACCCCAGCATGGTTGAAAACTGGTGCAGAGAGACGTGACTCAACAGGAGAAAGCCATCGACGACTGTTTCGACTGGTTATTGCCTCCAAGGACCCTAGCAGGGATCCGCCAAAACACGGGCAAGTCGACTATCTCTCCCAGATCCTGGACGAGTTCGGCCTCGAGCTCGTCTACAACTACGCTATGAGCTGTTTCGCAGCGCGTCATCGCGTTTCCTCCGACATTAACAAAGACGGAGCACACTCTCCACGCATACGCGCTCTCATACCACCCGAAACTCGCCGCTCTATGGTCAACAGCAACAACAACAACAACACACCCAACCCCAATAATCGAAACGCGAGGGATCTTCGTCGCCGGCCCCCAGGAACGCCTCGCCCTGTTAAACCTCCTCCAGTCCCCCTGGGACTCTAACCTGAGAACCCAGAGCATGTTCCCGGCCTTTCTGGGATGCACATACTCCTAGCCGTGACGTTTGTTGGGAAAGAGTTCCGTCAAGACTTGCAGAGGCATGAAGCTCGAGTGGTCTCGTCGGAGGAGCCCAGCATCGAGTATCGCGAGTTATGGATGCTTCTCAAGCCCGGGGAGCTAGTTGTGACCGGCTCCGGTCCGACTGAATCTATTCACAAGCTGATACGAGCCGATTATATCGAGGGTGGTGGAATCTTCGGAGACCCTGCTAACCTGGGCATCGTAACCAGGGCTTTTTCTCATGACGGAAAGTCTTTTGGTTACTTCCGTGAAAACTTCCAAATTAACGAGTATCGAGGAACTAGAGAGATCATAGAGCTTCCAGTATATCCACTCAAATATCACACGGCTGGGCATACACAGAGAGAGAGGTTTATTGCGCGAGGCAAAAAGTTCTGCACGCTTGCCGGCATACAGTACCGTTCATACTCCGGCAAGGCATACGCAGTGAAACATGAACGTGTTGCCAGGTTTATTCGGCCTTTTCTCGCAGGATTCGTTTCCAGAAGTTCCAATCGAAGTGAGTTTCGCGGATGCCAACGCTTTCCTTGTCCCGATCACGAAATCTAACGCAGATACTGACTCCCAAACCAGATCAGCGGACGCATCATGCTTGATAATCTGTCATTCAAAAAGCACATGGCACATGAAGGCATTACCCTGAGCATCATGAAGGGAGAAACAGATCCTATCACAGAGGAAGATTATCTCATGAGCTACCATAGAGTGGCGGGTTTCTCATTAAGTGAAAAACGTTGGGTGTTGGTTCCAAGTAGACCACATTCAAGATATCGACTTCGATGAGAACGCATTCGAGACCCTCCTCCTACCCCCGGAACCAGGTGCGACTCGTCCGCGCTCTAGCAAAGCAACAAACCCAGTCAAACGATCAATTTGATGACCTCATTACAAATAAAGGTAAAGGGTGCATGTTCCTGCTGCATGGCCCTCCGCGTGTAGGAAAGACCGCTACTGTCGAGAGCATCGCGGATGAAATCAAGCGACCTTTTGTACGTTATGATGGCTGGTGATTGAGGCTCGGATCTTGAATCTATAGAATCCAACCTGAGTCGAGTCCTCAAACTTGTCGCACACTGGAGGGCGATCCTTCTAGTGGATGAGGCCGATGGATGTCTTTCTTGAAAAGCGCTCCAATCATGACCTCGCGCGGAATTCCATTGTTTCTAGTGGGTTTAATCATGTACCCTGCGGATTCGTTTTCTAAAGATATGTAAAACCACAGTCTTCCTCCGCATTTGGGAATATTTCAGCGGTTATCATCATGTTTCTCACGACAAACCGTGTGGATGCAATCGACCCAGCCTTCCGAAGCCGCATCCATCTTATGCTTTCCTACCGACCTTTACAGAAAGAGGCTCAAATGCAACTTTGGCGGCTGTTCCTCAAACGAACCTCTAGCTACAGTGAAGCTGACTGGACGGAAGAGACCCTCGCTAGTTTCGCCCAAGTTGACCCCAACGGACGCCAGATCAAGAACGCAGTACGAACAGCCCACTCGCTTGCTTTGTCGGACGGCAAAAAGCTCTCTGCTGAGGAGGTGCAGGTGGTTCTTGACACAATTGTGGAGTTTGAAGAGGACTTTAGCAATTTACCTCAGAGATTGGGATAACCTAATAAAGGCTATACATACTACTATACATACTTGTGCAATGTTTATACGGGATATTATCAAGTCATATATTTTATATACACATGTCTATCTTTAGGACAGAAGTGCAATGATTGTAGAGAATAGCAGCTTGGTTATGGGAGCTAAGCTTAACTCTTCACCCGCGGTAAGCACAATCCGATTGCAAAACGTAAGGCAGTTAGTTGGCAGTTGCTTCCAGGACATTCCATATCCACCACAGGCACATAGGCATGGTGATTTCGGAATTCCATTTGTTAGTTGCAGCTATTCACACCGTCATAAATGTACAGCGAATGAGATCTAGTACGTCCGGACCTGGTAGGGTAGGTACCTAGTAGGCCAAATCGCGGCTTAAACGCACAGCGAATCATGTCTTGGGAATATAGGGGGGAAAGCCGGCCAGGGGCTTTTCTAATCCCAGGAGCTGAAATCTCCAAATCCACCAGACCCTTTGAATTTCTTCCTCATCGGCTCTGGTGCCGGCTCCTCGTCCACGAACTCAACAATCTCATCTTCCTCCTGTCCAGCCTTTTCAGCCAGGGCAGCTTTGAGATACTTTCCTACGCCAACCGAGCGGTCCTCCTTCGAGTGTGCGCCGGGACCACGGACCCTCTTTCCGGTCCAGGTAACTTGGTCGTCTTCGGCGCGTCGAGCATTCTGCTCCTCTTCTTCCGGGGTGATTCCCTTGTCTGCTGACTCTTGCGATTGCTTCTGTTTCAAGAATTCTTCGAAGGGGTCAACGAAGATCGTCACGTCAGTTATGCGGATATCTGGGGTGGGCTTGTTGGTTGTTGGGTTGACTGGGTGTGTTTCGATGCTGTTCAATGTGGCCGATGAAGGAGTTGGGTCGTCAATAACGTGGCCGAAAATTGTATGTTTGTTGTTCAAATGGGGCAGAGCGCGATAGGCAATGAAACTAGAAAGAAGAGGTCAATCAGCATCATTTTTTTTTTTTTCGCACGCACTGCCATGGGATCGACAAAGAAGACTTACAATTGGCTGCTATTCGTATTCTTGCCTTTGTTGGCCATACTCAGCGTTCCCCGGGAGTCATGTTTCAGAGGTCCATCGAATTCATCGTTGAAGTATTTGCCCCAGATGCTCTCGCCCCCTCTTCCAGTGCCGGTAGGGTCTCCTCCTTGGATCATGAATCCCTTAATGTTGCGGTGGAAGGTTACATCGCGGTAGTAGCCTTTCTTCGCCAACTTGATGAAGTTCCAGACGGCCTTTGGCGCATACTCAGTGTGTAGTTCCAAGTTGATATCCCCAGACGTAGTGGAGAGTCGAGCATATCCCTTCTGCTTTACCCGACCCCGCTTCAGCATATACTCTTCATCGGACAACAACGCAAGTTCTCCGGAAGTATGTGGGGTAACTCCCGTACTGGTGAGCGAGGCGGCTGCAAGACCGGTGGTGTGTCTTGCCGCGTTGTAGGGAACCGGCTTGCCAGATTGGTTGGCCGCAGTCTTGTGCAAAGAAGCTGCATTCGCGCCACCGTCAGTTTTGGATAACCCTTTGGCCGTCCCTGCTACTCCCGTACGTTGCGCTCTCTCCAAACGAGCCTTGGCTACCGCCTCTCGAGCCTTCAAGATCTTCGCCGAGCTTCCCAGGGCATTCGTATTGACTTTTCTGGACGGATCGTCTCTCTCCCGCAGTTGTTCGTCGGTCAACCCGCTTTCGCCTTCCTTCAGATAATTGAACGAGCTCAGGTTCCTGGACTCGATGTTCTGCGGATCCTGTAGCGTGATGATATCCTTCCGGGTGAATTCTTCATCTGTGACGAGATCTCGCCACAGCTTGCCCTTGATATTCAGCCGTTCGACGGTATCCCAGGCAAAAACATTCCCTGTGTTTCGTAGTGCAACGATATGCGTATTATCGGTCAAAACTTTAAACGTGACGGGATCCATGTATTCCCCGGAGTCGTTGGTCGCGATCTTCAATTTAATGAGGTCCGCGCTCTTGAGAGGTGTGCCATCCACCGGGTTTGTTCCATGTTTCTTAATCCAGGGTAGAATGTTGGTCAGGTCAAAGATCGTGCCCGACGCCGTGCAGACCGGGTGCTCGAATGGTTGCAAGGATAGGGAACAAAACTTGAAGGGGAGGTGCTTGAAGGAGGCATCGCCAACTCCTCGCTTTACCCGTCCCGCAGCAGCGCCTGCGCTGGCAGAATACGAATCCTCCGACGCCCACTCTGAATGGGTAATCTGTCAAAGATTTGTGATTAGTACGGGGCCGTCCAGAGATTGCGCGCGCGAGATCGTATCGTACGTAAAGCTTATCAGTTCCTAGCGGAGGAACATGTCAGCTTTTCAATAGCAAACTATAGAGTACAACCATGAAATACATACCTTTCCCCATCTTTGCGACAAGAATTTGGCGCGAGAGCAGCTCGATGGGACCTTCACGATCTTTTTGTCCTCGCGTTTGGAGTCGGAACGAAATGATGTATTGCAAGAGCGCAAGCTAGCCGTTTTCGGTTAGACTGGAATCCTGTCTAAGTAATGCCTCAGGACTCCACATATCCATACAAATGACTGCATTGCCTCCTCCACCAACACGCTTTTTTTCTCCGCTTGTTCGGCGGGCTATGAGGATTTTATAGGGTTAAGGAGGTTACTTGCATCGACATGCTCCATTTACGCACCACATTTATTATAGAAGACACTATTAAATAAAGTTCTGAACATAGGGCGAGAGAGATCTAGATATTGACTGGAATCGAAATAGAGAAGTCGTACCTATACTTTTTAACTAGAGCTTCCATGAGTCAGGGCTTGTTGTTATTTGACCGAAGTAGGTTTAATAAGGATATACCCCCCAGGGACTTTAGATGGGAAGGGTTTGAGAAGGATACCGGATCGTCATGTCGTGGGGAGATTATGTATAAAAAGAACTTGGGCATATCCCGAACCAGGCTGGAGGGAATTAGAGAAAAGCTAGGTCTAGCCACAGATGGCGACCATTGTTGCTATTGCTGGAATTACCTGAGAATGATGCAAAATAATCCTTGGGCGTAGAGCAACGGCTCGCTACTGAGAGGTATGGGCGGAAAGGTGGCGTCGGAAATAACCTCAATAGCCGCCATTTTTCAGCATCAATGTCACACATTCTTCTTGGTAAAAATATCAGAATCAATTGCTTTTCCTAGCAGAACGCCTGATGGTATTGTATGGTCACTGATAGTCATCCGATATCGCCTCTCAAGCAGCAGCGGGCTGGTAGCGGAGAGGCACAACCCAACGGTTTCCAAAGTCAATCCCATGTCGTCGGCGAGTGCCATATTTTCTCCAAACAATTTGAGGGATTCCAATATCGGCCACGGAAAGACTCCATGAGGCACCCTCTCCGGCCACTAGAGCATTCACGAGTCCGGTCTTTGGCGCTCCAAGGCAAACAACTGACTTGGAATTGACGCACAGCTGACCCCCCTCAACCAGAGTAACTTCGCCTGCAGGAACATACAGTGGTTAGATGATGTATTTACCTGGGGGCAATCAAACCACTTACCATTTGTTGCAGATAACCCTGACGGAACGTCAACGGACAAGACATCGAGGTTGCTCCGGTTGGCCCACGATATCATCTCAAATGCTGTGGCTTGATCATCCGTCCGGAGGTCATTGAAGGCGATGTGGATGCCAAACAAAGCATCGAGAACCAAATCCGGTCCAAATTCCGATGTCGACAGTCGCACCGCAAGATCTTCCCATCTCAACACCCGACCACCAATCTTCTTGAACACTTCGAGTTGTTTACGGCAGTTCTCCAGCAGCTCGGTCTCGTGTTCGATTCCCAGCATACATACAGTCACCCGATGTCCACGATTACGGAGATGACGTGCAGCAGAGATAGCTCTTGCTCCAGTACGGTGGTTTCCGGTAAGTACCAGCATGGTCGGCGCTGCCGCATCACTGGATAGAAGGCCCACAGCAGCTTCGGCAATACCCCTCCCGGCATTTTCAGTGAGCATATCCTCGGTTAATCCGAGCTCAGTAACGGCAATCTGCTCCACTTCCAGAATCTGGAGGGGGCTGACTGTCGGACAGCTTCGATTCGTGGTAGCAAGACGCAAAGTGGTTCCGGCGACGCTCGAGCCTGTGATTGGGGAGGCAGATACAGCAGTTTTCGTAGGGAGGGGGCTGGTAGTGCGGGAGGTACTTAATTGACTGCGCCCGATAGTATTAAGCTGAGATGGAACAAGAGGCTGTCCGAGTATCGCACTTCCCTTTCGGGATCCTTGTGCGCGAGCAGATGCCCTAGATAGATCGCGTCCAGAATAGTTCGAACTACTGAGTTTCGCATCGCTTGGCTCTCGGTCAGTGGCCCCATTATCGCTTTCCTCGGGACTATCAAGAACATTTTCCGTCCAATGCAAGTTTTTACCGCCGTTCGTCCCCGGTTTGGGAACTCTCCTATTGAAGCTCACCAGACGCGCTTCGTCGGCAGTTGTGTCATCGTTACGGATCTCTTCAAACACCTTCCGTTTATCGAATTTCGAGAGGTTGCTCTGAAAGTCGAATTCTCCCATCTCCTGAATATCCGTCGCATCTTCGGTAGCCCAACCACTAGGTTCTTCAATATAGCCCCCTCTACTTCTCTTCTTCCGCCGTCTTCCATTCAGAGAGCCTAGCTCCTTGTACGCCTGGGGGGATTTGGGGAAATTCGGGCTAGAGGGCTCGACAAATGCGGTTTGGCGCCATCCCTTGCTTTTCGGGTTTGTGTTAAAGGCCCCATCATGTTCGTTATATGCGCCCAATCCCTTGGAGTTGCCGCCCCGGCGGCCGCGTTTGTTAGAATATTGACCAGGGGCATGTGGTGTCTGTGGCGTTCCCCCTGCATGGGGAGGAGGGACTTGTACTAGCTCGTTCGCCTGCACCGCGGACTGAGTCGTATTCAGCCTACTGTCCACGTTCAGTTCTAGATTACTAAAGGCTTCGTGTAACGTTGTGGGTGTTGTTGTATGAGCTGGCGGTTGGGCATGGGCCACATTCTGCGCAGGGAAGGAGGGGGGGATCGAGCCGTCTGCAGAGCTGTGTGGAGGTTGTTGGCCTGCTGGAATTTGAGCCGGGGGCTTTGAGAAGCTTAAAATTGCCGGGTCAAGGAAAGACTGCGGCGCCGGAGGTCCAGAAAAGGGATGTGCTACGCGCTGCTTCTCCTGGGAGACAGACCGAGCTTGCGAAGCGGGTCTACTCGTGGGTCCTAGAGAAAGGTCCGCGATGTCGGGGGCTTCAATGGAATATGCCGGGAGCGTCTCGCTGATCCATGAGAGTGACACTAGAAAACACTTGTTAGAGAGCAATGCGAGTCACAGTAGCCGATGCGTTCAATAAACCAGGTGCATACCATTTCGAAGCATCAAGCGCTGCCCAATGACATCAGCTACCACTCCTTGCACGGTGGCATCGGGGGGAGCTCGAAGGGTTACAAGAACATTGTACCCGATAAAATCAGAAGCCATGGTGGTAGAAGGTTCGAATTAAAAGTTCATGCTAGCAGTAAGCAAGTAAGCATAGTTAACTAGTTACTCTTAAGACGGATGACAAGAGAAAAGAGGGGTGGATGAGAGAGTGTTGCAACTGGGAGCAAATTGTCAAATTGTCAGCCTATTCTTCAAGCTCTGGCTGCAGCCGTCACGTGGAGGGATTATCTTATCGATAGTTACAAGATTTTAGGTATACATACGCTGTATGTACAGAGTACTTGTGTAAGAAATATTATTGTACAGAATATATGAAGTAACAAATTTTTGAAGAAAGCTAGTCGATATATATATACATGTACTGTGTAGGGAGTATGTGGTACAGATCACTACTAGTAGTAGCTTTGGAGTTTCGCTTAATGACCTTACTTACCAAGTAATAAATAATAACTAGTTAATAGATCATACATCTCGTTTATAGATTTGGTAGGTACATATATATGGCCCATCATGCCCATGGGTAACCCAAGTCAGTTGGCAGTTTGGGCCTTCCCTTTTAGGCAACCAAAACTGGATTAGTCATCAAAAAACCTCACTGAACATGTGACCATACTATACTATACTGAATGCGGTCAAGTCTTCAAGATGGGTGCATTAGGGATTTACTACGGAGTACTCTGTATGTACTATGTAGTGAGTAGTGGATACTGGATGATTATATTATATTCAGGGGGAGGATTAACTATTCTCAGGAGTTTTTTATTTTTTAGTCTAGAATAAAGATTGTCTTAGGTACTTTGTAGGTATCAGGAACATGCTATGAGCAAATTACACTTGACCCTTATATTATTACTACTAGTACCTACTAACTAGTATTAATAATGATAGTCATGAAGAACATTAGTTAATAAGAATAATCATCATCATAAAATATTTTCAAGTGTTCCTCCATGAACAAGAAGGAAGAGTGGGTGGGAACCCAGTAGCAGAAGTTACCGTCGTGGTACTCTCACTTCTAATAATAAATGTCCTCCCTCCCTCCCACCTACCATCCCCATCATTAATCCTATTAATATTATTACTGCTGCGCCTCTCCTCCATTTATCAATTCAGGATACCCGCACCTCCTACCAGATCTGACTCTCAGACTGGTCTCGATTTCTCCCTTTCCGTGAGTCTTCTTTAACCCTTCTAGCCTCTGTCCTACAATCCCACTCCCAGCGCGCAGCGGGGTTCACCAGAAGTAGCCCATCGCGCCCGATCCACGTATATCTGCCAGTCCTGTTGGGATCAGATTGCGATTCGTGGTGACCTTGGAAAACTCGTGCTGGACTTTCATTAGGCACTGTTTTTGCATTTCCCCAGAAAAGAACCCCGAGACTCCCCTTCCATGTAGTTTCCCTTGCTGGCATGTTGCATCCATCATCATCATCATCGTCATCATCATATCTGGCGACAGTGCTATTTGAAAAGTCACCGGAGTCTCTCCAAAATGCTTCCTCGTTCACCCGCTCGGGTTGAGGACTACCATCCCCTCAGACTGGTGGCTAATATCCTCTTTTTATTCAAGACTCATCCCCCCCCGCTTCCGCCGCAACATCTCCTTTTCCTACGTCAGTCCCCATCGCCCGCTTTGTCGATATCCGTCATCCGTCACCCGTCACCGCCCTATTCTCGTCGTTCCGTTGACTTGACATCGGATTTGTAGCATCCATCGTGGAAAAGACAATCAAGCTGGCAGGTAATAAGCGGAGAAGTTTTTCCGGTCAGGGTGGGTTGCTGAACAGGATGTTCAGTGGCTCCTCGAGCCCACCCAAAGAGAAACCAGAGGCAATCGCCCGCTCCGGTGCCATCAATACGCCCTCCCTGAGTATCCAGACGGAGGATACCGGAGTCTCCCAGAAGCGATTCTCTCCTCCTGGTAGCTTCTTCACACGGAGAGCGAGTGAGGAACAGAGCCCTGGCGGCGAAAAGAAGCGCCGGAGCAGCACAGTCACAAAGGCCGCGACATTTTTCACCAACGCAAAGAATTCATTAAGTCTCAGCAGTAGTCCCCGAACTGAGAACTCCTTTAACTATCCGATTCAAGAAGCCCCCTCGATTCAGAAATACGGAAGTATGGATCCAGCGCTAAATGTCCCACAAGGGTCGCTGAACAATTCAGCGGGTGAATCGTTGCCAACGCCTCGGTCATCATTCAGAGTCGGCGTGACAGAGGACCGGAATCGAAAATGCCGCCGAACCATGGAAGATACCCATTCTTATCTCTACAACTTTCTGGGAGCCCCTGCACCGGTTCCTCAGCTGGATGGTGTTAGTCAAAGCCCCCCCAGTCCTCGTGATGCATTCCCCCGGACGGAAGCAACCACCAACCTGGTGGAAACTGATAATGGCTATTTTGCTATTTTTGATGGGCATGCGGGCACCTTTGCTGCGCAATGGTGTGGGAAAAAGCTGCATCTTGTTCTGGAAGATGTTATGCGCAAGAATCCCAGTACCCCGGTGCCGGAACTCCTCGACCAGACATTCACTACGGTTGATCAGCAGTTGGAGAAACTCCCCTTGAAGAACAGCGGCTGTACTGCAGTTATTGCGTTGCTAAGATGGGAAGATCGGGTTCCTTCTCCCAATTCCATGACAGGTTCGTCCGCTCTCACGCCCGCCGCCGCCGCCGCAGCGGCAGCCGCCAAGGGCGAGGCGGACTCGGAGGCCGGTGATACACCAACCCAGGCGACTGTCGCTACTCCAACCGCATCTCTTCACCAGAGACTACGGGAAAAGGCCACTCGCCAACGTGTCCTCTATACCGCTAATGTCGGTGATGCCCGTGTCATTTTATGTCGAAATGGCAAAGCCCTTCGGTTGTCCTATGACCACAAAGGCAGCGATGAGAACGAAGGGAAACGAATCGCCAATGCTGGTGGTTTGATTCTCAATAATCGCGTGAATGGAGTTCTGGCCGTGACGAGAGCTCTTGGTGATGCGTATCTCAAAGACCTCGTAACTGGCCATCCATACACAACAGAAACAGTCGTCCAATCGGATTGTGATGAGTTTATTATCCTTGCCTGCGATGGGGTGAGTAGCCCTGAATATCTTGTTATATTTTTTTTTGTTTTGTCTTGGATGGTACTAATCAATTTTCTAGCTCTGGGATGTCTGTAGCGATCAGGAAGCTGTGGATCTGATCCGCAATGTTTCGGATGCCCAGGAGGCATCGAAGATTCTTGTTGATCATGCACTTGCACGGTTTAGTACGGATAACCTTTCCTGTATGGTGATCCGTTTTGATGCGGACAAAGTACGGGAAATGGCCAACCGCACATTCAGCCAAATTTGTGGAGAGGCACTTTCATCTGTGAACGTGGGTCATGGAGTAAGTGAAGCTGACAAGATCGTGGAGGGGGCTAGGAAAAGTATGGCCAATGCCGGAATCGCAGATAACCCCGAGACAGCCGGGGAATCTTACAAAGAGATTTTAGAGAAAGCCTCGACTCAGGAACCTGGCCCGGAGCTGTCTGTCAGGGCGGACAACGCGGCTCAGGTGCTCAATCAGACTGGCCAGCCTCATGCGAGCAACGGTTCATGAACGGGGTCTAATGGCTCAAGGCACTGGTATTATCTTGAGGAGGAGGATAGAAAGCTACAGGCATATATAACCTGGATTGAATCAAAGGAAGATTTCTCTTTGCCTTTTTTTTTTTTTTTTTTTTTTTTTGCAACCTTTTCTCCTTTGTGGTCACATTTTATATCTCTTTCTATCCATCACTAAGCTACTGGGATCGATTACAGCAACTCCCCCCTTTTCCGGATTTTCTTTCATGTCCAGACTTGGTAAATCGGGGTTGCATGGACCTCCTGAGTGCCCAGCATTTCATTTCTTCTTCTACCCGGCCGATCTGATTTGTATCTGTTTTGGACACGCTGCTTTCTCTTTCAGTGCTTATTCTGCATTCCCGAGCCCTTGTTCTTTGTCCACTAAGGAACAGGTCTGGTGGTGGTGTACTTGTATCTCGACGTGATGAATGTAAACCTGTTTTGCATATCTGCAAATACAGAGACAATGGGAATCTTTACTCTGAGCCTTTCCAGGTCGACTCATGTTATGGAAGCCCCATGCAATCTGCAGTCCTTTTTTTTTTTTAAAAAAAAAGCGTATGTATTGTATATTGGTCTGTGTCTGCTAAAGTCGAAGAATTATTTCATAGATGCAGGAAGAAGAGGGGACAAGTAATAGTAGTTATTGTTGTTTAAAGGAGCTTGATATCTAAAAATACACACGTTTGGAGGGATGTTACAAAAAAAAAAAATCCCCTCTTTAATCACAAGAACAGATATCCACAGGAAGGGAGGGAACCATCACGATACAGAGCACAGAGCACAGAACACACATAGTACAATTCCTCGCCTAGCTGCTTAGGCAGTCTTCTCCTTGAACTCCTCGTTAGCAAGAACCTCGACTCCATAGATAGGCTTCTGGCCAGGCATGACATGGTCACGGGATAGGTCCAGCTCGCCGTGTCGAACTCGTTCAGGCCAGGTTTCAGCGAAGCGAGCGTCATGAACATCGGTCCAAAGGATCTTCACCAGGTCGCCCTCCAGTGCCGCGGTGTTCTCTTCCGTCTCCTGGATTTTGTAGTCCACCATCGCGGAGCTCAGAGTCGATTCTAGATTGGCAACACGCGCGGCATGCTCTTCAGCCTTGGCGTCCTCCTTCTTCCGGGCATCCCTTCGACGCTTCCTCGCAGTACGAGTCAGATATCCTCTCTGGCCATCGGCAAAGCCGTCCTTGATTTCCTCCTCCTGGATCGCCAGGACGGCGGAGATATCAGCAACGCTTGTGGCCTTCTGGTCCATGAGAGCGCGAGCGCGGTGCTTCTTCTCCATCAGCCACCCGACCTTGTCACTGTATTTTTCATTGAATTTCTCAGCCTCCTCAGGGCTCTTTGGTCGCTTCTGGTCCAGGAATTGTTCTGTGATTGTGATCATCTCCCGGGGAGGGGAGAGTTGGCGCTGCATGGCGAATTCACGGAGGAGATGGTATGCGCGGAGACCGATTTTGGAGTCGTTGAAGTGCACGGAATAGTAGGGAACCCACATGTCTTTGCGGAGCGCTGCGGGGACGGTTTTCTTCCCATGGTATACGAGTTGTCGGAGGACGCTGTTTTTCTACAGGGGGGGGGGGGGGGGGGCGGAGCGGCAAAATTAGTCATATATCCCAGGATAGGAGGAGAACAATGCGAGGTCTCACCTCCAAGTACCGTGTCAACGAATAGACAACTTGGTTTGTGCGGATGTTATGGTAGACAAAGATATTTTTGCCGTGGGTGAGAGCATTCAAGGCCTTTCGTAACCGCGTTCCCTCCTTGAACTGGTGTGTCTTGAATGCGTTGGAATTCTGCTCCCGAGGCTTCCCTTGGATCAAACTGTGATTCTCGACTGGCGGACGACGGACAATGTTCCAGGTTCCGATCTTGGTGGGATCCAGGATCTTCTGGAAAGGCTTGGAGACGGGTTGTGAGGCCATTGCGGCCGGGAACGCGGGACTGGGCCTCGCGTGAGTTATGTAAAAGTGCGGAGTCAAGGAATAGAGCGTAATTCACTCTATCGCATAATTGGATTTAAGAGGGGGAGAGAGATGGATTGGGTGTTGTAGTGGTAGTGGTCAAGCTATGGAGGTGAGGTGGAAGAGGAAGAAGCGCGGATCATCAATTTTTCGACGAACGGCGGGAACCAAACGGGGGAATCCGCCGACACTCTCAAGTCCCTCACTAGTTAACTATTAGGTAGAAGCTCTCTGTCAACTGTCAGCATAAGTTTGCGTTCCTTTTTCAATTACGGTTTATTAAGGGCTCTTTTTTTTTGTTTTATCCCTTTTTTTTTTTGGAGGGGAGTTTACTTTTATTTTTTTATATGATGTCTGGATGAAGAGGTACAGACGCTTTTGCTTTTCTGACGGCTCGCAATGTCGACAGCCAACACCGCGGATGGGTTGATCAATGACGATGCTAGCGGTCGTTGCGAAAGATCCTTCCTATTCCCATCGGTGGGTAGTGTCCCTTACCAGAAAGGAGAAATGAACTTGTTAAATAACTGATCCTTTGGTTTTTAGAGCCGCAAGCTTCGACATTTACAAGCCATCTCCGTACGGAACCTTGGTCTCGCACCTCCGAGTCGGGCTCGAGGGAAGACAATTGACGATGAGGATATCCCCAACTCGCTGCAATCCCCGTCGAAGATCCTGGCCCAAGATGCGAATCGATTGCTACACCACTCACGGTCCTTCTCTACTCTAAAATCCCAGCCTGCAACTGGCGACCAGGACATTCCGAATGAGCAGCAACTGCCGCTGCGACCGGTCCACCGGAGGAATACCTTGATATGGAGCGATCCCAACCCCCGGACACGACAGGTGATGTTGGAGGATATTACACGAAGCCGGATGGCCAATACGTGGTTCTCGATGCATTGCGACGGCGTCGACGAACCCGTGTACGTGAGCGAGGTTGTGGAAAACACGACGAATCCGAACTTCCGCTCGTTTGACCTGAGCATTTGCGGGCCATTGGTTTCTCGCTTGGATCGGCTGACATTGAAAGTATGGGTGAAGACCGTAGCGATGGAGGATTATATAGTGCTGGTGGAACTACAACTACACCTTCAGTCTCTCCAGTTTCTGGGGCGGTCGTTGGACAGCTTCCACCAGCCATTGCCCTCGAATTCTATTCTATTTCATTTTCCCGACGGGGTGTACACGAACCTGACCGATATCCCGCCGTTATGGACGACGTTACCGATGCAAAGCTCTAAATCTAGTGATCCGACCACAGTACCAACGTCCTCGTATGACGCGTTGATGCGGCTAGCAAACCTGGATGAATGCATCCAGGACGCCTTGATCACGAGGGAACGTCTGGAGTCCCAGATTAGCTCTATCCTGGAACAGAACCAACATGCCCTGAACATGACCAGCGAGGCATCCCGGGCTCAGGATAAGCTCGCGCTCACGAGGAACGCAGTCTCCGCAGAGAGGAAGCAGCTCCGCTTGGCGTACAAGCGGAAGGAAGACCTCATCGCCAGTATCCGCGAGAGAAAGGAGGCCATGGAGCGCGGGCATCGCACTCAAGAGAGGGTGCGTAGTCATCTTCCAGACGCGCAGGGGAAACTCTTCTCCAGCAGGAAATTGCTGGATCACAACACGGACGAGACCAAGGGTCAGATCCGGCGCATTTCTGAAGACCTCCTGGAGATTTTTCCTATCGACCCGATTCCCGACAAACCGCTTGGCTTTACCATTGGTGGGCTGGCGCTTCCCAATTCGAATTTTACGGACGTGGACCGGGACGCGGTGGCGGCAGCGCTAGGATACACGGCGCACCTGGTTTATCTGTTGTCGTTCTACCTGTCGATCCCCGTCCCATACCCCATCACCCCGTACTCGTCGACTTCATTGATCCAGGACCCGGTGTCCTCGTCTCTCCCGCAACGGACCTATCCGCTGCATCCGGTCAACGTGCAGTACCGGTTCGAGTACGGGGTGTTTTTACTGAACAAAGACATTGAATTCTTGCTCAACAAACAAGGTCTACGGGTGTTGGATATCCGCCACACGTTGCCCAACCTGAAGTATCTGCTGTACGTCCTCACGGCGCGGTCCTCCGAGATCCCCGCCCGGAAAGCAGGCGGGATCCGGGGGCTTCTCCCGGGTCGGTTGACGCCCTGTTTATCACGACGAGGAAGTGAAGACAGCGTCGCATATGGCGAAAGCGTCTTTCCCCGAAAGGGAACGCACCCGACATCGAAAATGAATGGGGAAATAACAACAGACCAAGGGAACAACCCGACCGGGCTATCAGTCCCGAGTGGTTCGGGCTCTTCTCAGGTGGGCTAATAGGGAGAAGGGGCCGATGTAACGGCGCGGTGGGCTTGAGTACGATCTATGTGCTTAGGGCGTGTGATTATTGGGGAATTAATTTCAAATCTGCCAGAGAAGTGCTGTACAAGCTTTGGTTTTTCTTCTTTTCTTTTTCTCTCCTTTGGTGAGGATTGATTTGCATTGTACATATGATATCTTGCTTTTGCTATCATCGTCACCAGCATCTTCCGAAGCTACAAGCAAGAGGAATCATCTCTCCCCCTTTCTAATATACTCTATCTAGAAGTACAATCAGGAACTCATTATTATTCAATCATGCAGTCGACCCTGAGGTTTATTCTTAGTGAGAGTCTATTAGGAGAGTCTATTAGAATTATAATCGATAACAAGTTCACACTGACTGGACCACTAAAAGATTAAAAATCTCACGATCCACTTCAAATCACCACCTCGCTTCTTCTCTTCTTCTTCTTCTTCTTCTTCTTCTTCTTCTGCTCGTGCTTGTCTTAGATTGTCTACCCCGCATTTCTCTTGTCTTGAACTCAATGTAATAATCAAGATGTTCTTCTTCTCACATCCTTGATTTTTCTTTAACAAAGAACCTCCACCGCTTTCTCCCGGCATCTTCGCTTTGCATCGGCAAATCTGCAGTTTCCCCAGATTCCAACGCAGCTCAGTTAATTCAGAGTGAGAGAGAGAGAGAGAGAGAGAAAGAGAAAGAGATACAGGACTCCTTCTTGGTTATGATGTCCTCTCAGGGTGGCCAGCAGGAGGCCACTCTTTATTCTCACGATTCCGATCGCAGATCCCCTTCGCCACAGAATCAGCAACATCGTCGTGGCTACCAGGCCTGCGATCCATGTCGCAAGCGCAAGGTCAAGTGTGACCTCGGTAGTGAGACTATCCCCCCCCCCCCTCCCCCAATTTTTCACCCAGATTCATCCTGTCTTTTGCCGTCGGATGCTGATTCTATTCCCTCCCCTCCCATTATCTAGGTGTTGATAACCCCCGCCCTCCACCGTGCGTTCGCTGTCGACGAGAAAGTAAGCGATGCGAATTCTCCGCCACCCGGCGCAAACGCAAGCCCTCCGACGTCGAGGAGACTCTCGACGGGGTCTTGCGTCGCGATAAGCGGATGATGGTCGGAGATGTCGCATCCAACGCCAATGGCTCTCCCAGCGATGGTTCGTCCTACCAACAACACGATCCGTCGCCATTTGAGTCAACCAGTAGTCAACCACGACCCAAGTGGCTCGAGCGCTCCCCGCCAACGAGCCAGGTGCCCTCATCCAATGTGCCTCCGCAGTATGCTGCCAGCCAGCCTGCTACATCCACAAACCAGTTTTCAGATGTAAGGAATACAAGACCCCCCACCTACTCGGTTGGGGAAAGGGCACCGGGCTCAAGGTTTAGTCTTGAGGGCAACCAGCCCATGATGAACCGTACCGCCGTCGAACTCCTGTCGCCCGCGATCAGTAACAGCCACGATGCACTGCATCTTCTGTCGGAGGCCGCAGGACGGACGGAAGACCTGAATCGCCAGAGCCTTGGGAATCGCTACGCAGCGGCTCGCCAGTCGGTGTCCTCTTTCAACTCGTCCATGTCCCCCATCACCCAGGCGGGAACTCCACAAAGTGCAGGCGGGTCCTTCTCCCGACAGTCGAGATCGACTGCTGTGCATTCTGGTTCTTATTATCAGGGTGGCGGGTTGGCTACGGGGGAGTCGCACATCCCCGACAGTAATGGTCGCGCAGACTCCGTGGACCACTCGTTGGAGTCGGGGTTCCAAGACGCCGTCAAGGCATGGTCGCGACTACGGTTTGTTCGTGCTGGCTGGCTTTCTGTCGAGGAATCGATGGCTTATGTGGCATAGTAAGTCGATCCTCCCGCCTTTCTTTTCCTTTCTTTTCTCTCTCTCTCTCTCTCTCTCTCGCACGCGAGAGTTTTCGGGGGTGTTTTGCTGACGGAATTTCTTAGCTACTACGAACATCTCGCCCCGTTGAGCCCCATTGTGGTCCCGGATTTCTCTCATCCTTCGACTCATCGTACGCTCCTTACTGACGAACCTGTGCTGGCGGTAACCATCTTGACAACATCGTCCCGACATATGAAGCCAAAAGGGGACGGAGCACACTCTCGAGCGTTTTACATTCATGACCGGCTCTGGTCGTATCTCCGTGGTATGATCGAACGCTTGTTCTGGGGCCAGGAGAAGTTTGGCGGGAACGGCATTGGGATCAGCAAACCTCGGTCCTTTGATTTAGCACCCACTGCGGCCAAAATCAGCCACAAAGGTAATCTGAGATCTTTGGGCACGATTGAGGCGTTGTTGATCCTGACGGACTGGCATCCCCGCAATTTGCACTTCCCTCCTGGTGATGATGAGAATGCACTGCTTGACCTGGATGCGAATGCTCCGAGTCGATATGACAGAGATCTCGACGGCGATGGCGAAAACGCTACAACTCGAGGTACCAGTGGCGCTCCTGAGGGTCGACTGGCATTCCAGACGTGGCTGGAGCCAGCGTGGCGGTCAGACAGGATGTCCTGGATGTTACTTAGTACTGCACAGGCTTTGGCATTTGAATTGGGGGTGTTCGACCAGAAGAATGACGCAAAGGCTGCCGCTGAATCCCCAACTGAACAGACCCGCAAGCGTCGGCTGCGTCGACTGATCCTGGTGTACATCACGCAGAGTAGTGGCCGCCTGGGTATTCCCTCTATGCTGCCCCTCCCCCAATGGGCCAATGATATCCAACCTACACCCGTAACAGGATCCAAGGATAATGACGTGGATAAGATGCATGATTGTTGGATTGGCATTTCGAAAATCATGTACCAAAGTAACCAGCTCCTGTTCGCCTCGAACGAACAGACCTCCGAGCTGATTCGCAGCGGGCGGTATCGAGAGCAGATTGACCGATTCCAGCCTTTTCTTCGAGAATGGCGACACAATATCGATGCTACTGAATGTAAGTGGGATTCCCCCCCCCCCCCGGGAAAAAAAAAGGCTGATCTAGGTGTAGTGGCACCTGCAATGCGGAGTATTCTCATGATCGAGTATGAATATACGCGTAAGTCCTTCCCTCTTCAGTCAATTAACTTTGTCTAACGGCTTTCAGGATTATACGTCAACTCTTTAGCCTTGCAGGCGGTGGTCGATCGATGGACAACCATGTCACACGAGGCGGCCCAGGCTCAAAACAACCGACCGGGATCTGGGCCCGCATCAGGCAGCGGCGGCTCGTTTCATGTGCTGATGGAGCTGTATCGAGTCAATGAGCAATATATCCAGGAGGTTGTGGATGCGTCACGCAAGATCTTACAAACAGTGCTTGAGGGACTTGTTCCGGGGGATCATCTGAAACATGCTCCTGTGCGAACTTGCTTCCGCATACTTTCCGGGATGATCTTTATCCTCAAAGTGAGATATTTTCCTTCCGTGGTAGTCTGCCAAGCTTCATGGCTGGTCGCTAACCGTGATAGACATTCACTCTCGGTGCCAAAGAAGATGACGTGCGAGTATCGTTGGACCTGCAAGACCGAACAGTCGAAGCACTGCGCACATGTGTTGTGGATGACATCCACCTGAGCCATGCGATCGCGCGACTCCTCGAGCTTCTGACGACCAACATCCGCACACGGTTTCTTAGGTTTGCCCCCCTGGACCGTAGCGGTGATGGCGACGGGCAAGATCGGACACCAGCGCCAGCCTCCCGAGTGCAGTCTCCCCGACAGCGAGAAGGAGGTGGTGGAGTGCAGAATCGCCGCGACGGGGCCAGCAGCAGTATCAACAACAACCACCATAACAGCCGTCATGGGTGGACCCCCGGACAGCAACAACCGCAACCGCAACCGCAGCAGCATCAGGGCCACGGAGCGGCAGCAGCATCAGGGCAAGGTCAGAATGTCGGCTATGTGGACGGGCACCCACCGAGTACGACGATGGCTTCCGTGCATGATCCCCTGGCGGGGATCCCTGTACAACCGATTAATTCTTCGAATATCAATGTCTCATTCATGCCCCCGCCGCCGTCTGTATACTACAACTACTATGATCCGCGGGCGACGCCGCCGTCGAGGGAGATGGAAGGATCGAACGTTGCGCCGCACACCGTGAACGAGAACCCGGGGGCTCCTGACTGGTTTGCGCTGCCGTTGGACCAATTCTTCAACAGCTCGACGGCGGTTGTGGACCAGGGTCTGGGAGGAACGGGACCGATGGTGGGCGAGTTCGATATGCTGGAAGTTCTCCTCAACGAGCAGTACGACGGGAATGGCGATGGGCTTGAGTCAGGGCCAACCCTCCCTTCGCAGTTTATGCAGGCATCATCATAGGCCGCATTCTATGTACGGCATGATCATGCCGATGCTGTACATGTTGATTTTTTCATGTTTATTATAATACCCGGGGTATTTATTGGTGTTTCTCGGGCCGGTTTTACTTGATTTCCCTTTCTTTTGTGACTTACGCGAACCTTGATGGTTCAATCAGCCTGAGATGAGGAGATGTTTCCCTTGTACGATGGATGGAGTGTACAGTGATGCGTGATGAATAACGGCGGTTCCTTTTCCTAGGATGCCTTGGTATGCGACACAATGAAACACGTGTATACAAAGTCATCAGAATTAATTTAAGTAGGAAGGCGAGTGTCTCAATCTGGGCGCACCAGGCTCGTATTCAGAGAGGCAGGTTACATGCTTCGTAGCGGTCTCTGATGTTGTATAGGGAGGAGGGTTGTTTCACGTGAGCCACACAGGTTTTGGTTTCATCTTTATTGCTTCATCTTCGTCTCTCTTCTACTGGGTTTCCCCTGAGTCCCTGGCATCCGCAGATCAACCCTTTTACTTTTACCCCGTTCGTCTACAACTTCAGCAGCAAATGGCGATCGTCAAGAGTTTTGTATACCCAACCCAGACCAGCCGTCTTGGTTTCCTCACCAAGCAAAGCCAAATACTGCGCCAACACCCCTCCAGTCATCTCTCAGAATGCTTACTCCTCTTTCGCTTCAAAACACCTTTCTCTCCCGTGCCTGGCTTGTGATAGGAACCTGATTCCTCGTTGCTGGCCGTGGCCATCGACCAATCCCGTGCTCAGTTTCCCCCCTGGCCATGACCGTGCACATACTAGGTGTGCGTTGCAACCCATGATGCGAGTCACAATTCCCTGTCTCCATAATGTGCTCTTTGCACGCACGATCTTCACCGGTCAATTCCAAGAATGGGTATAGGTCCTACTTGATGCTTGAAACTAAAGCAGGTGGGGACCCATTGTTCCCGTACAGACCAGCTCGGGCTCCTTTTATTCTCTACCTTATATATCCTTATCACTCTGGTACGGTGAGGGATTTTCCATTCTCTGCAGGGTTAAGATCTATTGCTTTCATTCAATCACTTCCCTGCCCCAAAATGGTCGTCTTCAGCAAGGTCACCACCACCGTCCTGGGCCTTTCGGCCGTCGCCTCCGCCGTGCCTATGGTCCCTACTCTCAAGGGCTTCACTGTGAACCAGATAGCGCACAAGGTCTCCGAGCGCAGCATCAACCTTCCTGCTGTCTATGCCCACGCGTTGCGGAAGTACGGGGCCATTGTGCCTACTCACGTCCATGCCGCTGCGTATTCCGGCAGCGCTGTCACCACCCCTGAGGAAAACGACACTGAGTACCTCACCCCCGTGGATGTCGGTGGCACCGTTCTTAACCTGGACATTGACACTGGTTCTGCTGACCTGTACGTACAAGCTGATCCCATGATTAATGCCCATGCTAACCAGACTAGCTGGGTTTTCTCCTCTGAGCTCCCCGCTTCCGAGCAGAGCGGCCACAGCGTTTACAACCCCAAGGACAACTCCACCAAGATGCCTGGTTACACTTGGAAGATCTCCTATGGCGACGGCAGCAACGCCAGCGGTAACGTCTACCGTGACACCGTGACTGTCGGCAGCGTCGTTGCTCGACACCAAGCTGTTGAGGCTGCGCAGCAGATCAGCTCGCAGTTCCAGCAGGACAGGAACAACGATGGGCTGCTGGGTCTGGCATTCAGTTCCATCAACACTGGTTAGTTTCACCGAAACAACAACAAAAACACCAAGGCCATGCATGGCCATGCATGGCCATGTATCTAACTCTAAATTGAACAGTCTCCCCCTTGCCCCAAAAGACCTTCTTTGACACTGTCAAGTCCCAGCTCGACTCTCCTCTCTTCGCAGTGACTCTGAAGCATAACGCCCCTGGCACCTATGACTTTGGACACATCGACCGCAAGAAGTACAGCGGCTCACTCACCTACACCGACGTCGACAGCTCCGACGGCTTCTGGAAGTTTTCCGCTACCGCAGGCTCCACCAAGTTCGATGCTATTGCAGGTATGTTCTTCTTCTTCTTCTTCTTCTTCTTCTTCTCACCGAACGAGTCTATATTTTTCTTTGGCTAACCCAAAAAAAAAAAAAAAGACACCGGCACCACCCTCGTCCTCATCGACACCGCCATCGCAAACTCCTACTACAGCAAAGTCACCGGCGCCCAGAACTCCCAATCCTACGGCGGCTGGGTCTTCCCCTGCTCGACCTCCCTGCCCTCCTTCACCATCACCATTGGAGACTACGACGCCGTCATCCCCAGCGAATACATCAACTATGCCCCCGTGACAACCGGCTCCTCGACCTGCTTCGGCGGCATCCAGAACAACCAGGGCCTCGACTTTTCGATCCTCGGCGACGTCTTCCTGAAGAGCCAGTACGTCGTGTTCGACTCCGAGGGGCCCCGGCTTGGATTTGCGGCTCAGGCGTAATTTCCTTCTTCCTTCCTTCTTTCTTTCTTTCTTTCTTTCCTTCTTTCTTTCTTTCTTTCTTTCTACCTAGGACGGCCTTCTTCTTCTTCTCCTTCTATCTAGGTACCTCAGTGAGTGAATGACTGACTGACCGATTTATTAATCGGTTGATTTGAAATAATGATCAACAGGCGAGACCTGTGCTGTATAGTTTTATCTTTCTTACTTTCATTATTCTTTTTTTTTCTCTCTCTCTCTCTCTCTTTTTTTTATCCTTCCCTGTGGGATACATCGATAGATAGATAGATAGATAGATAGATAGATAGATATGTAGATATGTAGATAGTCTTGTACAGGAAGAGAGAAGAATATGACTGGATAGAGCATAATGGATATTTTTGATCTCTACTTTTTTCCTTGCTTATTTATTTACTTGTTTGTCGGTAGGACCGTACTATGTTAATTAGGGTGGTCCTTATCTTAGTTATAGTATAGTATAGAAAGTAGAGTATGTATGTGATCATGATCATGTCCAACATGAGCGTAACGGAGATAGAAAACTACGAGCTACGGAGTACTCCGGTACTCCGTAGCTCGGAGTTCATCCCTCGAAGCCTAGCCTATAAATGCGGCGAAAGCGCAATATATGCAACTGAAATAGCTATCTATACCACCATCCTATCCCAAGGACCTAGATCGCGACCTAGATCACGACCTAGATCAGGATACATGTGAAAATATGTTCATGCCATATTGCTTTATGTGGGAATCGAATGTCGAATGTCGAATGTCGAATGTCGAATGCTCAATCGTCATGTGCATGTGCATGTGCATGTGTTTGTGATGATGTGTACTGCGTTGTTCTGTGAGTGAGAAGAGAGTAAGCCCGACTGTCATTGCAGCGGCGACATTTGTTCTTTGCTACCGGGATTTCGTTTTGTGGTTGCCAAATCAGGGATATGGATGGAGAGTGAGACGGAAAAATCACTACAGCTCCTGTGTATCCAGTCCCCAGATTTCCCAATTTTTAAGAACATCCCAACCTACGCGACGCACTCGGCGTCGCCAAGACCGACGCTTCGGGTCGGTCATGAAGCAGGTACCCTCATTCATCTCAGCGAGTGGCTCCTCCTCCTCCTCCTCTTGTTGGTCGGAAGGCACGACAGAAACGTCGTCTTCTCGGGCTCGTTTCCCCAGTAAGGAAGGGGGCTTTCGCGGCGTTTGTAAATGTCCCTTGGGGGAGTTGGACCCCGGGCTCAAAAGACCCGCGCCCGACCCGTTCTCTTGATCCTGCTGCGACGTGCCGACGGGACCACCCAAGGGGCTTCGCTCGTGGCTTCCGTTGAGGTCCGCGCTCGTCGCGCGAGACGCCCCGGGCGTTTGGGACTGTATCCCGCCCCCCATTTGCTCCTGGTCTGCGGGAACAGTGTAGTACTCGCCAAGGAGGAAGCCTTTGCGACCGATGCCGAATACTTTCAGGTGCTGGAAAATTTGCTGGTCCGAAAGGGCTTCGCCTAGTTTCTCGGCCATGACTTCATCATCTAGGGCTATAAACTCCGCGAATGACCGCGGGCCATGCATCGGCCCCGTGGCGCCTTTTGGATGCGGCATCCCAGGTTTAGGTTTTACATATAGAGAACAAGGGGTTTCAGGTCCCGAGGCGGCGCTCCCGTCCGGAATAAGGAAGCGCAATGCTTTGAGATTGCGTAAGAATGGTAGGAGCAGACCGAGAGTGTCCATGCTAGAGAATTCTGGGGCAAAAGATAGCTGTTCCAGCTGCGGACTGGCGTGCACGAGACGAGCCATGACATTTGGCGGGAGCGGCCAACGGCTGGGCAGCAGGAGGTGTCGGAGAGTTGCAGCATGGTTAAGTACGAGACTATTGAGAGTGGAATCACGGATGCTGGCCTGAAGGGTTGGCGAGTTCGACCGGGTGGTTGTAGCAGAAGGTGTTCCTAGGTCATGAGATGAGGTTGTATGTTCTGATGCTGGTGGTGTGAGGGTTGTAGGGGGAGCGAGCTGTCTCGGGGAATTGATATATTCATAGGGGTTGGTCGTGCTGACGAAGTAGATCTTCTCCAGCCCCGTAAACCCGGCGAAAAACTCGACTTGTCGTTGACTGCAGATGTCTACACGAATTGATTTGAGTCCCACGGGTCTGTCACGCGGTATTACGGGCCAAGTACTATCGACGAATGTGTTCAAGGTATTTGATGCGTCTGAACATGTCCCATTGAGGATCGTGACCTCCTTTACGGTCGTGTAGTCGAATGCGGTGTTGAACTCTTCGCTGTGACGAGCATAAAGGTTCTGAAGCCCTAGTTTCCGGATTCCTATCTGGTACTTTGCGGCCGTGCACTTGCGAAAGTAGTCGTGGAGCATAACACTGGGCTCCTGCACATTCCTCATGCGGGGCGACCAGTGGAGTTTAAGCTCCACCAACTTGCGGGCTTTCCAAAGCAGGGTCGAGATGTCATCCGGGTAACACAGAGGATCGATATCGGTGATTTTGAGGTATCGCAGGTGAGGCATCGCGGGAATGGTGATTGTGGGTCGGGGGTGCCGGCTCGAAGGGAATCTGACCGTTAATGATGTCAGTTTGGGCAGCTGCGCCAGACCCAGGTAAACGGTCTCGAGCATTTTCGTGCTGAGTTCCCAGCTGAAGGTCTGCAGCTCCGACATTCGATCCACCGCAGCCCGTGCGGCGATATTCAGCATCATCGACGAATCTGGGACCCGGCCGACACGCGCATGTTCTTCCAGCTCCAGCTCCCGCCAGTCACCCCGCAGGGTCAGCGACCGAACCAGCGATGCATATGGTCGTGTGATGACGGCATTCAAGCCCATGGAAAACGGGCTGGCACTTCCCATGCCTTCAGGTTCTTCGCCACGGTATCGGATTTTATCGTACGAGGTCAGAGTGAGGTTTTTGTAGAGTTGGGGGAGGGCCATGTAGTTGAGGACCCGACATGTCTGGCACAGACGAGCGAGATCGCCCGGGTCGTCTAACTGCAGAGCTCGATGTGTCAGTCAATAGCATAGTGGGATCCTGGTGATTTTAAGTGGAAAAAGGCCCATACAGAAGCGACAATCAACGCAATCAGATTCAGTGGTAAGACCAGCAGCGACGCTCCTTGAGGGCGCTCGACTGCGACGCAGGCATCAAACATATTCCGATTGACAGCCGCCATGACGCGACGGCCAGCGGCGATGGAGTCGCAGCATCGACTAACAAGCAGGAGGAGGCTAGAGAATGATCGAGCATGGATCCATGCGCCAAAAAGTACACAGTTGGGGGGAAATTGAAGAAGAAGGAGGAGGAGGAGGAGGAAGAAAAAAATGTTTGGTGGAAGAGAATCGGAGACTCACGTTGCCGAACCCCAAAATTTATGAAGTTCGTCCGTTAGCTTCATTTTACGAGATGTCAGCTCCATGTCCACGCTACTGGCCAATGAATGCAGGATTATGATAGATAATGTCTGTATTTCACAAGGGTATCTGTTGGTATGAAATCAACCCATCCGTTTTCAGTCGCCCTCTACATGTGTGTGGGGGAGAGCAGCCCAGGGACATAAATCCCATTTGAAATCACAGTAACCAAGCTGGCCCCAATATATTCCTCCTGAAAAAGAAAGAAAGAAAAGAAAGAAAGAACCCAAATCCCAATGTCCAAATATAGACTCCCCGCTAAATCCCGGCAACAAATGTCATGGTATAACCAAAGGCAACAAGAATAATAAGAATAAAGTGAAGTAAAACAGAAAAGAAGAGGGAACGGAAGAAACGGTCAAGGCCCGCGATTATTGTCCCTGTAAATCATCATGCAGAGGCGGAGATGCTCGCCCTTCTCTCGACTGCACCTCAAGATGATCATCTCTCTCGTCGGATACAGCTGGAGATACCACGGTCTCCGGTCCTGTTTGGGAGGTCTGGCGGTCGGATCGATGGTCCTTTGGGCCGACGAGCGCCGCCGCCTCAGGGTCGTAACGGAGTTCATAATCCATACCACCAAAATCGCCTTGTACATCTGCTGCCGTCCAGGGCGCAGCTGTTTGAACTTGCGGCCGAATAACCTTCATCTGAGAATCACCCCGACGACAAGAAGCTCGTCCACCAGAAGCCCCCCGGTCCTCGGGACTGGACTCCGTGAACCAAGGTGGGGACCATGTATGTTGGCCGCGGCGTCTAGCCGGAATAACAGTCACCGGCAGAGCGTTGGCAGAGCCTTGTCGGGCCGCTCGAGTGTTTGGGCCTCGACGGAACGAGAAGAGATTAGGTCGCAGCCGCGAGGTATGCCGTTGTTCTTCTAGGTCATCCAAATGCGAATCTAGCTCCTCCTCAGACAAAAAGCCCTCTTCCTCTGCCTGCGCGGAGGCAACTTCTCGCGGCAGAGACCCGCGTCTTCTTCGGAACGGGTTGAGGATAGTCCGCCATCGCTGGTCGACATTCACAATCTGGGGGGAGTTCTCTCTCGTGGTGGAATCTGCAGACCCCCTGTCAGGAGTCGGTATGTCTGGTTGGGCGTCAACCGTAGTCAACTCCTTCTCTTCCTCCCCTTCTTCTTCTTCTTCTTCTTCTTCTTCTTCCATGAAAGGCATAGCAACTGGTGGCGTAGGGCTAGAAACAGGGTGGTAGTGAACATTATAGACAGTGCTCGCGGCACTGGTCGTGTCCGCTCGACTGATAGGAGTGACAGCTGCTGGTGGCGGCGTGGGTCGCGCTAGTCTTTGCCGATGTGCATGAGCAGTTGCCGCAGTATTTTGACTGCCAAGTTGAGGTTGCATGTTGCGGCCAGCTCGAGGGCGTAATGGTCGATGTCCCAGTCCCATCATTCCTCCCCAGCCGGAGGATGTGGCTGTACCCCCGCCCCGATCACCGCCGTGGAAGTGATGCCGGGGCCAATCGACTTCTTCAGAAGGGGTGACCTCCAGCATTTCATCTCCGTCAAAGACTTCTCTACCCAGGATGCCATCCTTCCTCTCATCACGTTCGAGCGCTTCAATGCGCTCCACCCACTCCCAAACACAAACGCTTGCCGCGGCGGATCCAACCCATCTAATATAAGTACCCCATCCAGCCACCTCGGGCTTCGCAATATCCAAGACAAAGAAAACGACAGGGATAAGAACGGCGCATAATGATAGAAGAGCAACAAGGCAAATATTCCTCATCTTCGGATGAAAGAAGGCGAATCGGTGTTTCGATAGAGAGTAGAAGATTACCCAGGCGGCGTAGAGGAGGTTAAGAGCAAGCTCAAAAAGATAACTGAGCGCGGGGATGGCATCTTCGTAAAGCCGGGGTCGGGTCGTGTTCGTTTTCACCAAAAATTTATCCAGGATGCTAAAGATAGTATCCAGGACAATGAGCGCAAAGCCTGCGTACTTGATCATGATCTTTTCCTTGTGTCGGGGAAATAGACGGATAAGGGTCTGAACCTGCGCAAGCCAAAGAAATGTACTGGAGATGACTCGAACCACTCGAATTTCTAGCCCATCGATGACTTCCGAGGTGAGCGCTTCAGCGTCCGAGTAACCGTATTCATACTGCCTCTCAGCCACCCGAAACGAATCAGCCGTGGCGATGGTGAGAGATATAGCGACTAAAAGTGCAGCGACTTTCTGCAGCCACGGGCGCCCACCCACACCCACGACAGACGAATTGTTGCGATAGGAGCTGCTGATCATGCCGTGTCGACCCAGAAAGTTGGCGCCACCTCCCGGTCCACCAACGTAGAAAGTTCGCGGCGTAATGAGGAGGATGATAACGAGAAGATAGCTGACGACCGTTGCGCATCCGATCGTATATAACTGCGGCGTCACCGAGGCGTAAAAGGGTTCGCGAGTGTCGAGTACGGCGACGGGGCCAGATGATGCCGTTGCTGTCGGGGAACTCGTGCATAAGGGATCGAAGACGGCATTTTCGCTCAGAGAGATCGAATAGGAGCGATTTATGTAGATGTAGCCTAAAGGCGATCAACAGGAATCATGTTAGCTCGGTTGCTGGCGAAAAAGAGAGAGAGAGAGAGAGAGAAATGTCGACATAACACGCACCATCACTGGGGAGCAAAAATGGCGTGCACCCTGGATAATAGCTCTTGGTGGTAGTCGATGTTGGCTGGGCCCATATTTGGCGAGGAGCGAGGTGTCCCTCGTCCCCCATGGTCGTGGTCAGGCAAGCAATCCGGACGAATTCCCGTCGCGGCCAGAGCAGCTTATACACGCGACGGAATCATGTGGACTATTCGAGTTTATCCGCCCGTCAGTTCTCCATTCTAGTGGGGTGCGTAAGAGAAAGGCAGTCGTTGAAGCCGACGGTCGGAGCGACTCTTGGGGACACTTGAAAGGAGAAGCCAGGCCAGATATGAGATCGACCACAACGAAAACGAGAGGGGTCTAAGACAAACGATAGAAATAAGGTCAAGAGGTATTATCAGGAGATAGAGAGAGAGAGAGAGAGAGAGAGGAGAGGTGAGAGGAGTGAGAAACCAAGAGCGAGTGAGCAGACAGACAAAATGCGCCACATTGGCCTTGACTGGTTAAGCATCGTCCACCGCCGCCCGCAGAGTCTGCATCCGATGTTTTAAACTATCTACTTGCATCTCTTGGCATTTTCTTTCCAAAGTACGGAGTGAATTAGTTGGTGGTGCTCTACATTGTGCTCTATCCAGTCCTCATCTGCGAGAACTAGGGAGGTACAGACCACCCCGTACGAAAGTAAGCCAGGTCCAGCCTGTCCTTGTGTCCTTGATAGATTGTACAGGAGAATCTCTCCAGAGGGTATCCGTTCTTATGTTTCGCTCAAATTAAACCAATTTCCAAAGGCTCTTCATATTCGGAGGACGAGGTACGAACGGGGGCTCATCTTGGGGGTGGTGGACCGTAAGACATGGGCATCGGTGCCAGGTATGGGGAAACGAGAGTAGCCCCGGCCGCCCGCGCAGCCGTTGCACGCTCTTCCTCTCGAGCCTTGATCTCCTTTTCGTCCTGAATTAATGTGCAGCACATGCAGCAAGTCGCTCGCACACAGTCCGACGCAATGTCACCTCGTATTGAATATGCCCTGCGTGTGCGAGTGTGTTGAATTGTAGCCAGAAGCCCTAAAGGGAGAAAGAGAAAAAAAAAAAAAAAAAAAAGTCAGCCCAGAAGCACATCTCCCGGGAACATTCGTGCTTACACTGGCATCCACAGAGCAATGCCATAGCGGTGCATGACCCATTGCATGTCTCATGTCCCAGCATGTTCGTTGGGTCCTCTTTGCGGGATCTTAGGGAAAGCCGATGCTGGGTCCGGCCGTATAAAATACACGGGCATATAAGTCCAAGACAACAGACTCCAATGCTGGAGCATTCGCATAAGCCATGGCTCCATGTTCCACCCCTGATTTTCTGACTGGGGTGAGATATTTGCCCTGGTCGGTGATAGGTCATAAGATCGCTGGTTGGGGTTGGTTGAGATAAGGTTGCAGGAGGTGGGAAATACGGGACCTTGGGAGACTGCAGAGGATTCGCATCTGGTTCAACAGGTATTGTCTGATGGTTGAGCTCTTGTCCAAACGCATTCGGGTTCGTTTTAACAGGAAGGGGGCCTGGAGAACTTGGAGGCTTCACATATGGCGGGTCGTGCGTCGCGCTGGGTAGTTGAGGTTGTTGAGATATATTGTCCGCAAAGGGGGCATAGTTTGCTGGGTGCTGTCGAATGTCGGGGCCATAGGCCTGGTTGGTGCTCTGCTGAACATATTGCGCCTTTTCGCTGAACTCCGGAGCGATAGGTGGTGATGCCAGTCGCGCAAGATGCTGGCCTGGGGGACTCATCTCCAACGGAGTCTCCATATACGAATATCTCTGGTTCACCCCGATATTAGAGGTATCTAGATGTAATTGTGGGTTCATTGTCGCAACCGGGCACACAGAAGATGATGACAGTGAGAATGAAAGCGAATTTGACTGCGGGGGGGTAAGTCGGATTCAAATGGCTCATGTTCGACGATTCTCGAGTCCGGCCCTTGTCGCGCCAAACATGGTAGGCTGCATGGTAGAGAACGCTTTTCACACCATCGACGATCACGGTTGGTTTGACGGCTTAGGGATGTACTTGCCATCACAAAGTGGGCCTGTCACATCACATTTAGTTCCGTCGCATTGGATAAGAGCAGACGAGTCGGAAGCTACAGGTAAGCAAGTTGACTGCGCCGCAGGAAGTGGGCGAGGATCACGAACCTCTCATGTACGGATCCAAGTGATCCGAAACACAACACTGCCCACTATGTTGCCTATTACAGATCCAGCGCAGATCTAAAAGTATAGCAGAACTCCAAAATAGTTCATATTTATGGACTAAAAACTGGGGATAGAACATGGCCTTGAGACTGCGCTGAGTGTTGTCTAACTCTAGGGACATAATAATGTACATAGAAGCAGGCGACAGTATTGTTTAAACTCCACGATAACAGGTCCCAAAGGCGGACGCCTCAGCCCTTCCAGAAGATGCTAGTCAAGATACCGCGCGTGAGTATTGTAGCTCACAACATAATTTACTGCTGTCCCCATCCTCTCCAGTATTTAGTGATCAGGAGTCACAAAAAAAGCTTTAGCACCTGCATGACTATCAACGTTAATAGACTTCAGACCATACCACCCTCGATCCCCACCCTCAAGTATTCCTTGAGTATCGAATAGAACGCAGGTAATCAGCAGAGATTGGGTCCATAATCTTGCCTGATTTCCGAAGACGCCAGAGTTTGGCGATGGCTTCCTCCACATCCCACTTATTGTACCCCGCAAGCAGCATTGATGCTGCGAGGTACTGAGATGGCTTTCGATGGTAGTGAACACTTCGTTTGTTAGGGGGTTTAATGTGTAGGAGGCGAGATCGGGCAATCGTATCCGAGATGTCGCCGAAGGTGTCCCGATCGTATTCTCGAGCCGTAGAAGCCAGGGTCCAGGATTCAATATTGGCGAGCTTATAAAGGCCAAGGATCTTTGTATACTGGTTGACCATTGTATTCATTTGCACGCACGCCAGGAGCTCCCTTCGCAGGGTAACCTTTTGCTCATGGCTTAGCTGGCCCTTGATATACATACGCCACCGGGCCCACAGCGCTCGGTGTTCTGGGGCCTCTAGGCGAGGCTTGGCCTTCAAGTATTGATTGATAAGATATCGCATTGAGTGGGGAGCAACCAGCCCACGGCTGGTCGCTCCATATCCCCCAGTCGCTTCTGGGTAATCCTCATCAATAACGCCTGGATGGCGTTGCTCCCATGCCAGGATATCCGGATGGGTCCCATCGATGGAGTCCGCACTGGACCGTTTTCGATCCCGCTTAGGGTGGGGATCGGACGGTGGTATGGTCTGAAGTCTATCAAAGTTGGTTTGATAGTCATACAGATTGTAGCCGGTTCTCCGCCAGAACTTCTCTTGTGACTCCCGATCACTAAATACTGGAGAGGATCCATAGAACGTGGTTATATTTGCTGGGAGACACAATCGGTTTATTTCAGCAGTCATTTGTGTTGTGAGCTTACGATACTCACGCGCGGTATCTTGACTAGCATCTTCTGGAAGGGTTGCTGGCTCTTGATAGAGCTCTGTGATCGTTGTCGCCGAACAGAGGCCACCTGCGTGGCGTTGCGAGTGTGACCACACAAAGCCAAAGGACTCTTCGTTGCGCTTCGCGGCTGCCAAAACCACTGGCTTAAGCTGTGCTCCTTGGAACTCGACTGTCTCGATCCAATGGCCGGAGTAGCATGAGGTCATGTAAATAGTTAATTTAACATTAGGGTACTTAGCAAGAATGGAAGTGATGTGTTCCGGCCGAATAACAGCATTTCCGATATCCTCCCCACTGTCCAACGGAGAAATACCAACGAGGAGCCCACCATTGGTGTCATAGTAGTCCCCAGGTGAAAATATCATGATCAAAACTCGGTCTCCGCATAGACCAGCGTCTTTGACCGTTTGTTCCAAGCGATTCAGAAAGAAGTCGCAAAGGGCTGTACCTTTTGGCCCAATAGTCACTCGATCACGGATTCTTGGAAGCAGGGCATCATCAAGAACCACTTTGCGTTCCTCGAAAGGATCTCCGTGAATGAATCCTGTGGCCCATTTGGTTTGCACCGGTTTGAGTACTGATCTGTCACCCTCGATGCCTTCCACAGTGACCTTATTTTCCCGCCCATACTTATCCAGGAGATAGTCAGGCTCTAAGCAAGTGATCCATGCCTGTGTTTTCCCCATTCCCTCTAGAACGCTGAGCCAGAGATAAAAATCGGAAACCATCCACCCATCGCCCAGTGATGGGCTCGCGGCATTCTGATCATTAGGCCCTTCATCGATTCCGAGTACAGCGACAACCCGAGTATTTTCCGTCACGTTCGGAGCACTACGTGTGTCTCTTGTAGAGACAACTGGAGAAATCTGGAGGTTCTTGCTTGCTGCCTCTGCAAGCTCTTCGCACGCCGGGTCTGCCTTGTTGAGATCACCGTTGAACTTTTCCAGGGCGCCCTTAGCGTCCTTACGGTCTACGCCATGCTTTCGCATCAGCTGTCTCGCATCATACTCGTTCTTGGCCTCTTGCAAGGTGTGGCCATATCCCTTGTCAATGATATCTTGGATGGTATCTCGCGGGATTGGCTTCCACTGCCGCATCAAAGCGACATTGACACTCCCGAGTCCTTCTTTCTGCGCGGTCTCAAATAAGACCCCATTCTCATTTTCGGGTGTTCCCTCTTTTTGCTGGATCCAACTCACTTCTTCAGGCCCCAGAAGCAAGAAATAAGCGTTTTGGGCGAGTCTCGCTGCTTTTTCTGATATGTGGCCAGCTGTCTGGGCGGAGATAACCATTTCGATTACTGATACTTCGGGTCGCCAATGTTGGCTTGCGATATGTTGGCCGCAGCCGGTAACAAAACGAAATGCTGCAACTGTTGTAACCTGTCTCGTAATGACATCTTGGGCAAGCAAGCGTTCCAGCGCATGTAGAATGTTGTCAGGGGGCACTGTGTACGGGAGTACACCTTCAGCGGCTGCCTTGTCTATCTGGATAAGGCAACGAAGATGGGACACGGTCTGGGATCGTCTCGATTTATGGCGATACAGTCCTTCTTCCTTGCATTTCAAAAATATGGCGTAGTAGTCATCGCTGTTAACAGCAGGACTAGTGTTTCGAAGGCCTCGAATAGTGCTTTCCAGGTCTTCTTGAGGAAGTTGGGTGAATTCCTTCATCTCGTTCCGGATCCCCTCATCAGTCTTCTTCTTCTCTCTCCCAATCATTTTCCAGAACATGAACGGCTAGGGTTGTAAGATCTCTATTAGTGAGTAGTAGGTGTGGTCGTGGGAACGGGGTTGATACAGAAGATAAGTCAAATGAAAGATGAAATCAAAAAAAAAACCTTCTGAGGGGTGTAACAACACTACCTCTGGCTGAGTTTGCTGATACTATGAATTCATAATGAATGAAAGAGTGAATAATATATTCACTGTCCGAAGTTCTGCAATAATAATGTAAAAAAAAGGTTAATCCTGACATCACTCACTTGATGACTCCGGGTATAACTTCCTTGTACTCTGTAGAATGATTGATTTCCCATCTGCACAGCAGTGAATATAACCAGTTAAGAGTTGTAAATGATAATAGAATAGGCCCGTCAAGGAATACCAGAAGAGAGGCAAGAGGGAGGACTATCCGGTGAGATGGCATGGCTTCTGCGACGATATTGGACAACGCCTTCTAATACAGCCACACCCTTCTGCAGCTCATAAAGCACCTCCAGAGTATTATGGGAAATATGAATGCTAATTATTGTAGGTACTCGTTTTCATAACCTCAAGTACTGGCTCATCTTTAGAGAGTTAGTTATATATTTTTATGTTTGTTAGCAGTGACCATCATCTTTTCTTCTACCAAATTCTCGACTTCTACAAATTCAAGTCGTTGAGAGCCTACACGTCACCGAAGCGTCTGAAATCTTTCGGGTTCTACTTGATAATCTCGAATACTGCGTTAAAGTGGTTTGTTGCTTCAATACCACATGTGTCCAAGAGTCAGGCTAACACGTTAGTACCTAGTTTCATATAAGGGAAATGAGCCAGGTTTCGCAGATGACGGCAGAGATCTTTGTCAATATCGCTGCGAGTCGCAAGCATACCAGGTCTTGCATGCCCACGGCGTCTGCGAGCTAGGGATAATACCATACTTTTATGGTATATTCGAGTCATTTGACCCTGATTTGCTAGGCTCTGCTCTTGAATCATTCAAGGGAGACCCAACCCCCCCATGTGCGATCCTACTGGAATATCTACGGGATGCGACAAGCTTTGAGAAGGCCAGTCTCTCTTCAGAAGCTATCGATATGGCAGTTAACGGGTTGAAGATCATCCATGGCGCGCATGTTGTTCACAATGACGCATATCCAACAAAAAAAAAAAATCCTTATCGTCCCGGGAGCTACTAGCCCACAACGCGTTGTTTGGATGGATTTTGACGTGGCCATTGTTTTTCCAGCTGAAGGAGTCCGGGGCCCCCTCGACTTGGACAATGAAGCTCAATGGGAACAAGATGTTTTTGAAAGCCGCGTTCGTAAATTGGTAGGATATATCGCCCTTTACTATTGCTCTGCTCGTCTTTTTTACTCTAGATCTGTCTAATGTTTGTCCTAGGATACTTTTATGTCTCGATATACGGGCAGCCGTGAACTATTTACCAAGAATGGACAAATCTGGATCGGGGAAAGCTGTGCAGAACATCATGTGGCCGCTGGTGCAAGGGGAAGAATGGGCCTAATCCAGAGACCAAATAAAACCTAGGTGGATTGATTTCATATACTCCATGTCAAGATAAGAGGGTGGAAGGGTGGACGACCAGGCTGGTCTGAAGTGGAGGGGCTGGAGATAGCTACCGGTACTGCGTACAGAGGGGTCGCCCACCTTTGGCGTTACTTTTTTTTGCCTTGATTTGACTGAGTACAATATGTAAACAGCCGGAATAGCAGTGATTTTCAGCCCCGATTTCACAGGTTTGCATGTTCTATTGTATTTGTAATTATATTCACATCGAAGTATTCCGCAGAATAACATGGCTGTCATGCATTGAAACGGTAGTAGTGATGTGATGCCTTGCCATGTGATGAACTCGATATGATCTGTCGGTGTACCCAAACCAGGGTAGTATATTCTTACCAGGGCATAAATAACAAGAGGAAGAAAGAAGAAAGGAGGGCATCGGGCAGCAAGTAAATACAGGTGGTACAGAGTATGTACTCAGTGTAGGATGTTGGGATCGAATGAGGCATTTTTTGTTTCCAGCATCTGCTCTTCATTTACCCAATTTCAGATGAAACCGTTGGGAGTACAGCTTGCAAGCCCAAAAAGCAGCCCTACTGGGAATTCATGCACAGCCTCGTTGTGGGGTTGCGGTGGCTTCGGCTCGGAGAGTTACCTGGGGAGGGAGAATATGAAGAATTTACAGGGTACATACCGGAGTACAGGCTTGTGAAGATATTGATCAGGGTGCATCGTTGAGGATTCCGATTCCATCATGACGTGACGGTGAATGGAATAGGAAATCAAAATCACAACAATTTTCCATAACCTTGAAATATTCCAATCAAAAATATTCCAGTTGGGAGACAGAACTTATTGAAAAGAGTCGGAAAAGAGGAAGCAAGGGCAGACAGAGCATTGGCCATCGCAATTGGTACCTTATCAAAGCTTGCAAGAAGCTACGAGCCAGCAGGTTGATCACGTTGTGCAATGATTGGTGGATTGAAATGAATGGATCCTGCGGTGTGGAGATGGGGATAGGATGCTTTGACTTGATAATGGTTCTTATTACTCCGTACTATCTCTCTCTCTTTCGTTTGACCTGGGTTCCGGAAGGATCGTTATTTTGGATATCCGGAGTACGGAGTGCTGCCTGGATGCGTAGATATAGGTATACATAATCCGATATCAACCCCCAAGTTATCAGTAAAAACTGATTAGGTATTGATTAATAGTTATAACATACTCCGTATCTGAAGCCTGGAGGAGACACGGAGTAGGCATGCAGAGTGCATTCCAATCCTCATATCGGAATGGATTCATCTCTCAATTTCAAGGTTAGAGCCTCGATTGACCCCCATTATTCACCGTTTTGGGACATTATTTGTTGGGAGGAGGTGGAATACCCCGGAAGCCCGCTTTAGTTCCGGTCGTAATAAAGACACATCACATCCAGGATTAATAATGGTATTCTCAAGTGATCCCGAGTAAGAAGACGGTAATACTAGGGGGATTTTCCTTCTCTCGATGGGGTTTGTGTGGTAACCTAACATCCCTAGAGAAAGTTGAGAATTCCCTACCCTTGTACTCCTGTCAGCACCTGTAGGGAGTAGAGGAGTACAGAGTCGATCTTTGAGTGAAACAGGTTGAATTCATTCATTTCCCCCCTGATAGGTTCTGATAGGCTTTGTAGAGGGGGTTGATGTTGCATTTTCGAGGCAGTCTTTGACTTCATCCGAATCAATCGGTTATCTCCCTCGTTCCATCTGTGAAAGATTTTGGTTAGTCTAGACCGATAGTAATGGAGAAGTACCATACCATCGGATCTCTTTGCTTTTTCCCCCCCCGATAGACAAGAAGCTAGAGAACTAGAGAAGAGCAGTGGACGAGTAAGAATGTAAAGAAACTAGGAATAGAAGAGAAAGCGGTGAGCGTCCGCGTCATTCTCCTCTTTCTCCCCGTTTTTCTCGCTCTTTCTTAGCCTCTTCTTTAACACACTAACTAAACCAGCCTACTCTGCTCTCTTTCTCGTCATAACTCCTTCCACTATTCTCAACGCTGATTTTTCCCTTCCATGGTCAGGGTTCCTCCCTAATTCCAGCCTGTAAGCTGTCCTTGCCCTGGAACGTGCTGGAGCTTCCTTGCTCTTCTCGCTTTACTCTCTCTGTTCGATTCCCCCCCTTCCCAATCAATCAATCAATCAATCACTCAATCAATCATCTAACGCAGTGACGCCAGATCCCATCAACCTTCCAGCCTGTTTCTCTTCCATCTCCGGAGTTTCGTGACACTTCGTTGTTCCCCCATTGAACTGGAACGCCAACCATCGTCGTTTTTTTTTTCTTCCTTCTCGGCTCCTTTGACCTTGCTCTCTCCCTGCACCTCCCGACCAATGTCCTCCCCATGTCAAGCCCTCCATCTGCATCTGGGAATAACCCGTCGACACCCCCGGTGACACCTGCTGCAGCTGCCCAACATGATTGCTCTGCGGCGCCTGGGTTCCTTCACGGCAATCAGCGGCGCCACCTCAATATGCACCAAGCTCCGTCGCCATCCCGCGCTGAATCCCCCACGGCTCGTCAATGGGCTAACCCGCCTGCTAGCTTTGCTCTAAAAAGGGCTACCACCGCTCCCCTCGAGGTTGCTTCTTCCTCTTCTTCCTCTTCTCGCCCGGATCGCTCGTACAATAGCCCCCAGCTGTCCGAGAGGGATAGCATTTTTGCTACTCATTATCTCCCTTCCGAGAACGAAGCTGCCAATCTACCGCAACTTCCACCCGTGAAGGACGGTGATGATGATGATCATAATGTTGCCCGTCATGACGCCCCTGCAAACTTGATTTTGGACCTGGAAAATGTGTCTTCTTCTCCCGTTTCGCTTACCTCTGCCAAGGTTCTTCCCTACCACCATCGCGTCGACGCCTCCCACATGGAAGTTGACAGACTCAGGGCCCATCCCCTGCGCTCCGCTCCGCTCCTCCCTTCCCACCCTTTCTCTTTGCCACAAGTCGGCTCCGATGTAATCTTGGGGGAACAAGTCGAGTTTCCCGCCAGAGGTCCGCAGACTCTTCCTTTTGGGAGCAGCCTCTCACCTTCTCGCCAAAAGCCCTTGCATGGTATTGCGTCGGGCCTCGCTGCGTTAGAGGCCTCCGGCCGCACCCTTCTCCCATCTTCCCTGAGTGATGATTCTTCACAGCAAGCACGTCGATTGATGGTGTCTCCTTCGTCGGACCATCGGGCTACAGGCGCTAGTCCTGGGACCAGCTCCCATCAACGGGGAGGACAACCTGCGTGGGATAACGCCCAGGAGCCAAAAATTGAACGGAGCCCGAGCCGCAGCCGACGGGGTAGGATGGAACACTCAATCGAGGCGAACCTAACCAATGCAGAGCCAGCTTCCCATGTCCGGAGTCGTAAGTCTAGCCATTATCTAGGTTTATTCAAAGAAAACACTGCCACTTCCCCGGACCGCAAACGCAGAGACGATCGGGCAGGAAAACAGGAAGAGTTGTTCGATCTATATGACAAGCAGCAACAATCGGAACACCACAACGACCATCGTCACAGACATGATGATGGCCATGGACCCAAGCCGCATGAAGCTTCGGCGCTTCGCAGTTCCAAGAGCCTGTCACAGCTCTCACTAGCCAATATCCCGCAGATGAATCCGACCACAGGCACTGAATTTTACATGGATAATATGAGTGAAGGCATTGCAAAGCCCCAACCCAAAGCTCTACCTCGGAACCTCTTGGAGGAAATTCGGAATTTCCATTTGACTCCCGGGGGAGCTCACGGTGCATCTTTTTCGAAGAGCATCCCTGCCCAGTTTTCCGAACGGGCTCGGAGCTATTTCCCCAGGGATGCACTCTTTGACTCACGTTCGCCTCTGTCGGATACGGATCGGAGCCAGCGCCGTGGATCTGGCCAGCTTGACGATGAAGAAGATGAACAAATATCATCGGCTGTATATTTTCCACATGAACGTGTTACGATATCGGAGGAAGTCGCTCCGATGCACACTTTGGAAGCAGGGGGCCCGCATGATGTACGGCCATATGATATATCGGCGCCAGAAAGTAGCGACGTTCTAATGCCAAAGAACCATAATGCTCCCGAAGAGCAAGAAGCTAATCATGTGGATATATCCCTCCGATCTAAGAATGACAGTAGAATCCTGCATGGCGACCTCCAGGACAGCCAGCTTCCACTAGAAGAGCTTAATGAGAAGTCTATTGATTCTATATCCCAGCGCAATGCTGAGTATTCAACGTGCGAAGATTCTGAACCATTATCTGCGGATGATAGTGGGATGTCTGTTCGTGATGAAGAGTCCAGCGTGACTGATGAGGCAGAGGTTACGCCGACGGCGACTCCCACGCAACGCCAACGTTTCACTCGCCCTCCCCGCCCTCGACGCACGTCGGGTCCTGTAACTCCCGTTGGAGCCGTGGAATTAAAACCATATCGGCATCAAGTCGGCGGTCATACAACGGTGTTTCGATTTTCTAGGCGTGCTGTATGCAAACAGCTCAACAACAGAGAAAATGAGTTTTATGAGCGTATTGAGCGCAGACACCCGGAGATGTTGATGTTTCTTCCCAGGTGCATAAAACTTTCCCGTCTTCGCTTTTGCTGGTTTAGTGCTTTACAATTTACCGGTTTGCTAACTGATCCCCTATCTTGAACAGGTACATTGGTGTCCTGAATGTGACTTTCTCAAAAACCTCTAAACGATCTAAAAAAGGTTCAGAAGATCACCCAGAGCAAACCGATATAGAAAACTCAACGGATGATCCCCAGGGCATCAAGATGGATCAAGAATCCCATAACCACTTGCAGAAGTCTTCGGAGTCTGTGGAAAAAGCGCGCATTTTCAGTCAAAAGCAGGTGACGGGTGTCATTCCGAAAGTGATACTCGAAAATAATCGTCATATCATTCCTGCTGATCTGTTTTCCGGACATCAAAGACCACGAACCTCAGATGATTCAACTATCAACGGGCAACAGTTCCCAACAAGAGCTGGAGCAGTGACCCCAAGTCAATCATGTAATGGTAGCTTGGATGACAAAGCCTCCTCAATCGTGAAAAAGATCTGGGGTGCTACAACAGTCAATCGGAAGCTACAAGAGCAGGTCCTTAGAGAGGTCTTCAGTCCTCCTACCATTCACCACCATCGTCGCCACGCTCGAGGCCATCTCACCTTACCAAGAACGTCCTCTGATGGCAATCGTAGGGATATCAATCTTTCCCAAGATCGAGCCTCACGCAAGCCCCGTGGTGGCGAGCATGCCACATCACCGCTGTCGAACGCAATTGATCTCGCGAAGCAAGGTGGCGATGGCCCTGGGTTGTCATCGTCAGCTTCCACAGCACTGGAAGCTGGTCACAAGCGTCTAGAATCGATACGCTTAGAAGATTCCCCAGCACGCTCTAGTTCTGCATCAGGCACCCGACGAGTTCGACGTCGGCATTCTGGGAGCGGTCTGCAAAGGCGAGGAACGATGGACTCGAGTAACGGTGGGGGGGATTTGATGTTTTTCGAAGATGAGGGATATGGAGGTGACAAAGAGGATGATATATTTTCGATGGAAAACGACACCGCCCTAATGTCCTCTTCGGCGCCTCAAGGAAGAAAGGTTTCGAGCCCTGCGTCACCAAAACAAAAGACCGTCGAACCTGAACATGACGAGCTGCCTTTCGCATATAATCCGATTGCAAGCTCGTTCAAGAACCCTCCGATGTATTCCGAGTATGCAGATAGTACATCCCTTCAACTCCCTTCAAATCCTAAAGAGGCACAGACAAGAAAGGATGACAGAGTTCAATTCTTCCTGCTCCTGGAAGATCTGACCGCTGGGATGACTAAACCCTGTGTTCTGGATTTGAAGATGGGAACCCGCCAATATGGCGTTGAAGCTAACGAGAAAAAGCGCAAGTCGCAGAGACGCAAGTGTCAGAACACTACTTCCCAACAATTGGGCGTCCGATTATGTGGGATGCAGACTTGGAATGTGAAGAAGCAAGAGTACACCTTTGAAGACAAGTACTTCGGTCGAGATTTAAAATCTGGCCGCGAATTTCAAGATGCACTGACACGTTTCCTGTATGATGGGGTTTGCTATACGAGTGTCGCTAAGAAGATTCCGATTATCTTGGAAAAGCTGGCGAAACTGGAGAACATGATCCGCAAACTGAAGCGTTACCGCCTTTATGCTAGCAGCCTTCTGATTCTCTACGATGGCGAACAAAATCCTTCCCAGAAAACCCCTCAACCTGAGGCTGAGTTGAATAACAAAAACGATCACCATCACAACAAACGGAGCCCATTACAGCGCCGGGCGTCCGACGATGGGCATAAGAAGACTGATGTTCAATTAAAAATTGTTGATTTTGCCAATTGCGTTACTGGTGAGGATGAACTCGCTCCAGATGTGCCCTGCCCCCCTCAACATCCCGACGATATTGATCGTGGTTACCTGCGCGGCCTCCGAACCCTGAGAATGTATTTTCAACGGATTATGAGGGAAGTCAGTCATGATGAATATATTGAGAGAGGTGAAGGCGAAGTCATTGCTCTTGGATCCCAAATATCCGGCAATAATCATACGTCTGACCGCTACTGGGATGACACTGTCATGGACCATGACCCTGGAGAAGTCAGCCTCTAGAACGCTTTTCGCTGCTTGAATTACCCCTTTGAACCTGGAATCTGACCATGGTACACTGTTCATTTCCTGTTTTAATTTACTTATCCCCCCTCCCCCTTCTCCCCCTTTCATGCATTTCCCTCGGTCTCTAAACTGGAGTTAAAACGGCTTTACATTTTTCATATCTTGTTTGATCAAAACTCATTCAGGGATTAAGGATATGGCGTTCAACGCTGCATGGTCACGGTTTAGGGGCTATTGTTCTTTCTATTTCTCTCCACCGCCGCCTTCGTTATTCAAAAGATCAATGATATCAAAAGCATTGCAACAGCTCCGGTGGAGATCTACTATGTCTCACGGCGACAAACGATATGACGACCGATCACGGCATATTTTCTTCTCCAGCAGCATTTTCTGTTGATGCCTGGTGCATGACAGAAGGGTTCATTTTCAAGCTTATTTCATTCTCATGGCTTGTATGAAATTGTCCTTTTTTTTTTTTTTTTCCCCGTCTGTTCTCTCGGACACCTTGTCTTCATCTTATACCATCCGGGAACTAGTCCGATTCCTGGACCTTGTTAAGTTCTCACATCATGGGTCTTTATTTCAATGGGTTTGTTTGTGTACATAAAATGTAGCCAAAGTTTAGACAAGAGGAAGATAATTCAATGTTTCTCTGTGGAATTATTCCGGGGGAGTTGATAAGCCGACAAAGATCTCACGTGGATGGACGATAAGCGGTGTATCTCTTTCGATGACGCTCTCCTTCTTCTTTTCTCTCCTCCCTCTCTCACGCTTCCTCTTTCCTTCCTCTGTCTCCTCGCTGTTCGCAGCAAATCCGTTGACTGGATCACGGCTTCGGTGAGAATTATTTGAATATTTTTAGCCTCTGTCGGGACTCTCTCCGGGTACTGTTGAGCATACATACATCCATCATCATCATCCCCTTCTTCACCTAGCTCGGCTCCGAATATCGGAGCGACGGAAGTGACTCAACTAACCCTCTCTCCAGAGCTAGCTAGGCACCGTATCTATACACAACTCCGCACCAGTCGGCTTATTGGTTTGAGCAAGAGCTGGGCAAGCAGCATAATGACAGTCTCTAACGCTCAACCGCACCCGAAGATCGATAAACGAGATTTTGATGCCAATCGTCACATACAGAATGGGAACGACTCATTTCCCCAGGAGGATCATGCCTTGCTTCATTCGCGACCCGAGTCCAGCCTTTCCACAGGCAATCGATATAGTGAGAACGAGGAGGGGCTGCTGAATGATGTGGTGGAGGAGATTGTGGAAAGAGATCGGCGCAAGATGGCGAGAGAAGTGGTGCGAATCGGTAGCTTTATCTGGGGAGTGATAACCTGGTATGCGCAACGTTTCTATCCAATGAGCTACATACTTATTCAGCTGATGTACTAATTAATGCCTGGTTTCGTTTAGTCTCGGCGCTGGAAGCATCACTGCCTTTTCCCTTTACGGGCCCCTACTCCTGACCCGTCTACACTATACTCAGCTACGGGTGAATGAGGTTTCCATTGCTGCAGAGATTGCAATGTATCTCCCAGTGCCGGTAGCTGGATACCTTTGCGATCGATATACACCATCGCCGCTCGCTTTGTTCTCCGGGATTACCTTCGGTTTCGGATATCTCCTTGCTGCATTCACCTACAAGAGTGGACCACCTGCTGACGCTGGCGGAGACGGGTGGCCCTTTTGGGTGATGATTGTGGCGTTTGTTGCGATTGGAGTTGCTACGTGCTTCATGTATTTGGCAGCGGTGACAACTTGCGCGAAGAACTTCGGTAGGGGCCAGTATAGGGGCGTTATGCTAGCTGTGCCTATTGCTGCCTTTGGTCTTAGCGGCATGTGGCAGAGTCAGGTGGGAACATACCTTCTTTGCGAACGGCTGGAAGACGCCAGCGGTGGCGACGTTGACGTGTACAAATACTTTGTATTTCTTGCAGTCTTGCTTTTAGGAATCGGCATTATCGGCACTTTTGCATTGAGGATTGTGGACGAGGAAGAGGAAAAGTACATCGACGAAGCGGTCGAGGAGCTCGAGCGAAGCGGCCTGTTAACAGAAAGCGAATTCTTCCAGCCACACGGCGATACATATGGAACTTTTTCTCAGGGCGAGCCCGATGATGACCTATCGCTAAGCCAATCGGAGGCAAGACGGGAAGAGGCAAGGCGCGAGAAGGAGAGAGAGGAGGAGGAGCGCAGGAAGAAGAACTGGCTATTGAATTATGAAACAAGGAGCTTTCTCGCAGACCATACGATGTGGTGGCTTGCGCTGGGCTTCTTTTTAGTGACTGGGCCCGGGGAGGCCTATCTGAATAATGTATGTCCTGCTAATATACCAGCTCAGCCGAGGTGGTTAATTGTCTCCTACTGACTATTACCTAGCTAGGAACCATTGTCCAGACACTCAACTCGGACTCGAGCATTCCGGATCACACCCATCCAGCCGGTCTCCCATCTACGCACGTCAGCATTATTGCTCTCACCTCAACTTTAGCCCGCCTCCTGACAGGCTCCCTCTCCGATATCTTTGCCCCCCGAGCCACACCCAACCACTTCCCACCCTCTGATGACGCCGAAACCTCCCCCTCGCAACGACAACAGCAGCAGCAGCAGCAGCAGCAGCAACAACAGGACGTAAAAAAATGCCCCACCTTTTCTCGCCTTGCTTTCCTGATCCCATCCGCCCTCCTTCTCTCCGCGGGGTTCCTCCTCCTCGCCACCCCACTCCCCATGCACCACCCTGAACTCTCGCACCTGACCACCGCCCTCGTCGGCCTTGGTTACGGCAGCGCCTTCTCGCTCGTCCCCATCATCATTTCTGTCGTCTGGGGCGTCGAGAACTTCGGCACAAACTGGGGCATCGTCGCCATGGTGCCTGCCGTCGGCGCCGCAATGTGGGGTATTATCTATTCGCACGGGTACCAGCATGCTGCGGACCACGGGGATCCAGGTATTCCAGAAGATGGACAGTGCCATGGCTGGGGGTGTTTTGGACTTTGGGCTGTGGGTTGTACGGTTAGTGTGTGGGTGGCCGTTGGGGCTTGGGTTGTAGCTTGGTGGTCCTGGAGGAAGAGAGGTGTTGTTGTTTAATCCTCTCCTCTCCTATTTTTTTTTTTTTTTCCTTGTTCGTTAATTTCCAGGCGAGTTGGTTAGAGACGGGCATTGTTTATTTTTGTTATATATAGCGAGCTGCTTCTTTTGTATCTTATTCAAAGTTGCATAGTGGGTAGGTAGTTGGGATATACTGATGAATTAATTGGGTAGTTAGTCTATTGACTAGGATTCTGGCATGACAAGTACCTGGGGGTAGGTAGTGATCAACTATGTAAAGGTAAAGGTTAGGTATATCATATCATGCACTTGATAATATCAAACAAATCCCCCTCGAAAAAAAAAAAAAAAAAAAAAAAAAGCAAGCCTGCATTGCCCAATAAGGTCCTACCTACCAGCTTACCAAGCGCCAAAGCCCCAAGCAGTAACTTAGGGTACAGTCTAAAGCGCCAATAAAGGTATCAAGTATACCACCAATACCCAGGTATGACATGACATGACATGCATCTCGTTACCAAATGATAGAGAATCAAACATCCGTAGAGGCCGGGTCCAATCCCATAAAAACTTTATACAACCGTTTGCTTGCCGCCGGTCCGATTCTCGAATCGGTAATGGCACCGTTCCTATTTGCCGATTTCTAGACAGAACAGATGAATGGGTCAACAAGCATTTCAAACCTTTACCCTTAAAAGGAGGGAAAAAAATCCAAATCAAGGTACAGAAAGAGCAGATAGGGAAGGAAAGGGACACTACCTTTACATCCTCCAGCAGGCCCGGTCCCTGTCTCCTCATGGCACCCACTAACTCTACTACATTCGGGTATTGGTTGGTTACACCGTAAGCCATAGATGCGGTGACGCGATTGACTTCTTGCAGCATCTTGACAAACGTGTCGGATTTGTTTTCGCCTGGTTTGACCTGTCCGCCGTCCATGCAGAAGGCGGAGTCGTTCCCGTTTATACGTTCGCGGCGGTAGGGTACGGTGGAGATGTGTTCGGTGAAGGTTTTGATCCATTCTGCGGAGTCTGGCGGGGAGCTTGTATGGTGGATGAGACAGACATGGGTCACTTGCAGTTGGAGGAGAGCGTCCTCGATCGTGTCGTCATCCACTGGGGGAGTGGTTTCTGGTTTGTTTGCCGTGGTTCTCTTGCGGCGGGATGAAGTAGATGCAGCGGTGGTAGTGGCGGTGGAAGTAGACGTAGACGTAGATGATGTAGCCTGAACTTCGTCTAGTTGGCGGCGGAATTCAGCTTGGTAGGCTCGGTTTCGCGAGTTCGTGTTCTTGCGCATCCAGAGTGTGAGGCCTTCAATGAGGTAGATCAAGGTACAGTCCGGGTAAGCGCTTTTCACGCGAAGAACATGCAGCTCTAGTTCGCTGGGAGAATCCGAGGAACAGTCCACAGGGGCAATGACCATATCAACAAACTCCTGGGCCGTCAAAAGACAGAGGACATGCTCTTCCTTGCGGATGAAGGGGGGACATGGCTCCCAGTATCCGAGGGTATCGTTGTACTTGGCCGTCATTTTCCTGCGCCATTTGACAATGTTTGGAAGAGGGCTTGTGAAGAAGGAATGATCTACCCCGAGTCTTCGCATATACTCTACAGTTTGGTTGCCCACACTGGTCTCCTCGAAACTCGAGGCAAGGTCAATGATCATTTCTGGCGTGGAGCCCTTCTTATCGACTTTGAGCTTGTTCACCTCCGCAATATCAGCAGCCAGCTGCTTCTCCTTCGCTTTTTCCTCCTTCAGCTTCTGTTTTCGCTCTTTGTCCAACTGTCGCTCGCGATCTCGCTGGGCCTTTGCTTCTTCGCGTTCTCTAGTTTTAGTTTCTTTGTCTACGCTGCCACGTTTGGATGTGATCGTAGTTGTCTTCTTCCGGGCGCCGGGTGCTTTTCTAGGCTCAGGAATCTCGTCTGGGTCGTCGTCATCCCGTACAGGTTCAGATGTTCTATGTCTCCGAGGCTTCAGTTTCGTATGTGTCTCGCTAGCCATATCAGATTTGGACCGTTCCCCGAGACTAGCTAGTAAGTTCGCCGTTCGGCTTGAAAGACCGTTTGCGGTGCATTGTGTTTCCACTACTTCGTCAGGGAAGGCGAACAGTCCGTTCGGATTCATGGGGTCACTAAAATCCTCTGTTTCATCTCTCCAGCTACGTCTTCCACTCCTGCGCCCTTCCTCGGCATCACCAACGAGATCATCGATATCGTCAACGTCGTCAATGGCGATGGCGGTAACCGGTTGTTGATGTTTCCTCCGTGGACTCAGATTCCGCTCTGGAGCCGAAGAATTGAATACAATCGGGTCAGATTCTAGTTCCCAGCCCTGTCTTTTCGAAGTTACTGGTTTGCGAGCAGAGCGACCAACGTCAATGTCATCCGAGAATAGAAAGAGAGAGTTCCGCGGCGATAGCGCGGGATTATTATTCGGAAAATCCGGTTCATGGCTCAAGCGCTTCCTCTTGGGTGGGTTCTCAGCCAAATCATTGTCGTAGGCGCGTAACTGGATGTCGATGTCGCTAGAGAAAAACGATATCGAGTTGAGGTCGGTAGGACCCGGTGGACTAGAATGGTATCTTCTGATGGATGGCTGCTCGCGTGTTTCTGCAGGAGGAGGGGGGGTAGAGGAGAGGAGGCTGATCACCTCTGGCATTTTCTATTTTCTCTCTCCAGGTTTGACAGAGTTGAAGAGAAATGGGAATTTGGGGGATTCACGTGTTGGATTTCACGTGTCGCGATGTCTGTCGAATTGTACTAGTCCAAGTTAGGAAGTAGACTCGACTATGGATGTAAAGAAAGTGGGAATTCGTTAACGAACAAATCAACAGATCTTGTCAAAGTCGACTCTTCCTTCCTCTAGGATATCATGGATCCCCTCCTCGTTTTCTAGAAAGGAAGGCGGAGAACGTCCATAACATGGGTATTATTAGGTTTAGTATGTACATTAAATCATCCGCAGGACTATCACGAAAATCACAGAAAGCGCTATCCCAGACACGGCCAAGAAGACGAGGATCTGCTGGAATCCGTTGAACTGGCGTCGCTCACGGCCAAGCATATCTGAGATTTCGTGCTCCAGTTTCTCGCCCATGGCCGTAAGAGAGAATTCGCTTTCTACCCGCTTCTTCGCGAGCGCTGACATGCGGTCCAGCTCTTCCTGGTCCATCTCATAGAGTACCTTTCTAATGACAGCCGTCCAATCAGCATCGACCTTTGCGTCGCGGAGCCAGCCCGTTTCGCCTTCGACGATTGTCTCCAACGGGCCGCCAGTGTTGGAGGCCAGAACCGGGATACCCGCGCGCATTGCCTCAACGGGAACTATACCGAAATGCTCGTTGATGGGTGTGTAAAGGAGAAGTTTGGCTTGCGAGAGCAGCGTGTCTCGGAACGCTGTAGGTACAGACGGGAGGAACAGAACATCTATCGAATCTGGGACGGAGAGCGCCGATACCACGGTCTTGGACGTCGCAGTCTGCAGCCCAAGCCCAGTCGCCAGTTCATCCAGCTCTTTATGGTACTGGACGTTCTCCTGGACTCGATTATCGTAGCCCCCTGTTGTAAGATAGTCAGCGTCCATCAGCCAGCAAAAAAAAAAAAAAAAGGTAAAGCAACAGCCTAGATGGTAAGAGACATACCGGCAATAACCAGCCTGGTCCCTTTCCGTTTTCCCTTCCCAAGACCATAATACGCTCGGATGGCAAGCGCAAGATCTTTCTTTCTCTCGAACCGATTCACGCTCAAGATAATCTTCTTCCCGGCCCAGAGCCTGCCCTCCTTGTGACTAGATGATGACCTCGTCTTCTCACTTCCCAACGGAGCACCAACATCCACGCAAGGATAAACAACACTCACGTCCCCCAATTCCCCACTCCCAAAGACCTCCCGCACAACCCCCCTCGTGAACCGCGAGTTCGCCACAACTTTGTCCGCAGCACTCATCGCCCACCCTTCAAACCAATCAAACGGAAAGCGATAAAGCGACTTGGCCAACATCAACAGCGAGCCGCCCTCGTCGCGCCGCGCAAGCAACTGATCCGGAAAATGGCAATAAAACAGAATCCGCTGCTTTCCTTTCCCTGGTTTTTGTTTCTGCTGCTGCTGCTGCTGCTGCATCCGCGGCCCGAAAGCCTTCAAGAAAGGCACACAAGCCGGAACCTGATCCACGATGAAGATCTCATCTCGATCCCCATCCTCACCCTCACCCTCACCCTCACCCTCACTACCATTGGCCTTTGCACCCCCAGTCTTCCCAGCTAAATCCCCCAAAAGCTCCCACCCAAGATGCAGCTGTCTCAGAATCGCCATGAGCACAAACAACCGCCCGCCCACATGCGCAGGAAACACCGTGTGGCCGCGAACTCTCACATCCAGCGTTCCGTCCCGCGCTTCTTCAAAGCAATGCGCCTCGTCCCGGTGCGACGTGTAGATCGTGACGCTGTGTCCGTTCTTCTGCAGCGCAAGCGCAACGTCAATGATTAGCCGTTCTGCGCCGCCGATGCCCAGGTCGGGGTGGATGATTGTGATATTGGCCGGCTGTCTGCGAGGCGCTGCGGTTGGGCTCGGCATGGCGAGCTCTTTATCTTTTCTTTCCCTCCCTCTTTCTGTTGGCTTTCTTTTGGGGGGGGGGAGGTTCAACTTGTTCTTTTCGGATGTACTAGCTGTCTACCTTGAAGCCACGCGGCCAGAAGAACTACGTCATGTGCTTAGTCATCATCTAGATTTTAACTAGTTATCCCGTTTCGTTTTGTTTCGTTTCGATTGTATTGAATTGGATTATAAAGGATTCAGTCAGTGTTGTTCGGTAGGATTCGGGTAAATAAAAGGTAGTCTGCGATCTACATTGTACAAATATACAGGCAATGAATGCCATGAGTCAATTCGGAAACGACAGCAGCCAATAAGCAAAGCAAAGCAAAGCAAAAAAAAAAAAAAAACCACGCTGACTCAACGAGTAGTATAAAGCACAGTAAGAACCCCGGCTGCTCGCTCGAAGAAAATGAGATACAAGAGTCAAGGGTCGGCTGTTCTTTCTCAAAAAGCAGAGCAGAAGGGTGTAAAACCCAGGGTAGTATTTGGGGGGGGGGGGCAATGTACAAGCAAGCATCAGCCTGAGCTATAGTAAATCACACGAGAAAGTAAAAAGGGGTCGTAAAGTAGAAGTCATAAATATGAGGTCAGGTTGAATCGAAAGGGTAATGGTAATGTGTGCATAGAGGCGGATAAAGAAGAAAGAAAAAGAAAGAAAAAGAAAGAAGAATAATAATAAAATAAGGGGGGTTCATGTGAAATATACACACATGGCAAGAAAGAAAAAAAAAAAAAAAAAAAAAAAAAAAAAAAAAGGTATCAACTGTATGGAAGAAAGAAATAAAGGGGGGAATCAAAGTAATCAGCGTTGAACTCATAATGCAGACCTGGAATTTACGTCTCAACACGGGCAACCGAGGGAAACAGGGAACAGAATTTGGCGGCCGGGAGAGAGGGAGGGAGGGAAGATAACTCAGGCGATAGGTTGGATGTAGGGCTTTTGTCACGTAAAGGAACGTTTAGAAGCAGTTGAGTGTGCTCTTCTTTTTCTTCTTGTTGAGCGCATTCATCCGTTCCTCGAGCTGGGCTCGAGCCGCCTCGGCTTCACGGCGAGCGCTCCGCTCCTCCTCAACTGCTTGGAGGGAGAGGCGTTGCGAGTTACGCTCTTTGCGGAGAGTCGTGAGCTCATCCTCAAGTTGCCAGGCCTTCTTCTTCCAAGCCTCACAGTCGGTCTTGACCTTGTTGCTCTGTGCTTCTAGATCGCCCAGCGCTTCTTCCAGCGTAGCAGTGAGCTGCTTCTCTGCGTTGAGATGCTTCTCAATAGTACGGATGCGTGCTTCCTGATCCTCGACGATTTGGGTGCTCACCAGTTCCTTGCTGGTGTGCCGAGAGCTGGGAGGAGAAGAGGTGCCGTTGGTGGCGGAAGCAATGCTGGGGAGAGGCGGAAGGGGGATGGCCGGCGGTGGGGAGGGGAGGGATGCGGCCGACGAGCTCTTGCGGAGATTAGAGGTAAGGGAACTGGTCCGGTCATGCGACGTCTCTTGGTTCTTGAGCTGAAGCTGGGTTCTCGTTAGCATTGAATAATCTACGTATCTTTCTAAAAGAGCTTACCTCCAGCTGCTCAATCCGCACACGGTAGGTCTCAATATCGTTCTCGTGTGTTGCAATCTTGGCTTTGGCATCCTCCAGAGCCTGGTCGCGTTCCTGTTGGATGACAGACAGACGGTTGTGGTGTTGGTCGAAACTATTCGTAATCTGGTCTTCGAGTTCCTCCACAAGGCGAGCACTCCTCTGCTTCTCAGCATTGGCTTCCGTGAGAAGCGACTCCTTCTTCTTAATCTGCTCGTCTCTCTGCAACAGGGTGTCCTCCAGCGTGGCGACCAGAAGGGCAAGCTCATTAACCTTGCCATCTTTCGCCGAGTTGCTCTTGACGAGCTCTTCCACCCGGCCCGAGTCAGACTGTTGAGACTCGAGCTGCTTGCGCAGATCGTCGTTCGAGTCCATAAGCTCGGCATACTTGTCAGAGAAATGCTGCTTCTGCATCAGAATGTCTTGGATCTGATCTGCTAGGTTGTCCGCTGTAACATCGGATTTGGTAAGGGCAGAAACAGTCTTGAGCAATTTCATCAACTCGTCTCGTGACTCCTCAATCTCGGATCTGAGAGTCTTCATAGCATCATCGTGCTCAGTGTTGTTTTGCGTGAGCTGGAGCTCGTGATCAGCTTCCGCTGCAGCGGTCGCGCGAGCCTCCAGTTCACTCAGCTGTTGCCTGTGCGACTCTTGCAGGGACTCCAGGTCCTTCTTGTAAGAGTCAACCAGGGTCTTCTGGCTCTCAATGTCCCGTTCCAGCTCAGTAATACGAGCCTGGTGGAATTCGCCCTCCCCGGTGTTCAAGTTCGATGCAGTTGAGCGTTCGATCGCCTGTTTACGGGCCTCTTCGTGCAATTTCTCCAGGGTGGCAATCTTCTCCAGGTGAGTGGCAGCGGCGGCCTTGTGCTCCTCAATTTGGTGGTTGAGGTCGTCAACAACCTGTTTCTGCCGCGCTTGTTCGATCCCCCGTTCCTTGGCGATTGCTTCCTTGTCGGCCGTCTCCGCAGCACTGCCCTCTGCACGAAGAGCATCGATGGTCGCTAGGGCATGGTTCAGCTCCTCCAGGGTCGTGGTAAGCTGGTTTTCGGATGATTGCAGGGAATCAAGAGCGCTCTGGTGCTTGCCCCTCCATTCAGTGAGCTCACCTTCGAGGGTACTGATCTTTTGCGCCTGCCTCTCGCCGCAGGCATCCTGAGCCTTGGCGGCCTCCTCCTGGGTGGTAAGCAGAGCCTTCAGGTCCTCGATCTCCTCAAGTAGGATCTTCTCTCTGCTTTCATGCGCTTCCTTCATGGCGCTAAGCAAGTTCTCCTGCTGAACAATCTGGTCGCGCAATTGATTCACAAGGCCCATATCAACAGACGGGGCCCCGCCCTGTAAACTGGATCGTTCTCGCGTCAGACCGGAAATGATGGTCGACTTCATTTCCATTTCCTTTTTGACGCTCTGGTTCTGGGACTCTAACTCCTGGATGCGCTCCATGCGAGTATGGAGTTCGTGCATCGCGGAGTCCAGGTGAAGCTCAAAGTTTTGCATCGTATCGGGGCGGGCAGCAAATTCCTCCGTGGCAATATTACGCAAGCCAGCGAGCGAGCGATGCGCACGGTCCACAGTCGATATCAAGCTCTGACTAGTCTTGCGGCGAATAACAGTCGGCTTGAAGCCGGGTGTGGTCGGCGGCGAGGTGGACTTGGGTCGCTGCAATTCGGCCTTGAGTGACTCGATTAGAGTGAGCGTTCCTTCGTGTTCAGCCTGCAATTCTGCGTATTTCTGGGTCATGATACTGACGCCTTCCTGGTGTTCCAGGAGAAGCTTGCGCATATGTTCAACTTCGGGTCCGTTGGGGTCAGTGTCCGACTCCTGATCATCCACATGAGTGTGAGGAGTGGAATCGGAGTTGGCATTATATGAATCTCGCGAAGTAACAGGCTCCCCGGCCAAGGATAATTCCGATGAGAGTGATTGCGAGAAGGAGGGTTGTGTTCCAGTCTTCGAGGCGGGAGCCTTGAGATCTTCTAAAAAAGAAACCGGGCGGGATGGTGTGGTTGGGGCAAGGAGATTCTGAATATGCGACGCAGGGTGGCGGGCTTCGTCCGCTGCATCCTGCTGGAGCTCAGCAAGGGCCTTGAGGGCTTCCGCATACTTGCTCTCAAGGAGTTCGTAGTCGTTCAGGGTATGATCATGCTGCATACGCAGGTCCAAAAGTTCCTGGCTGACAGTTTCCAGTTTGTCGGCAACAACTCTCATCTGAGTTGGGCTGGGAGATCTGCTGCTGCTGTGGGTCTCGCCGTTGGGCAGGGGTTCGAGGCGGCCGGTAGCCCTTTCCAGGACCTGTAGGTCGGAATCCCCTTGCTCCACAGCTGCCTCCGCCTCCGCCGTCTCCTCATCATCATCATCATCAACTTCCGGAATCGGCTCGACGAGACCCTCGTCAGATTCAGGGATAGCGGTCTCCGCAGCCTCAGTCAATACATCAAGGGATGTGGCCCGCTGACGAGGTACGTAAGCTCCTAGGGCCACGAGCGCTTCAGAATCCAATTCTTCCCGGGTCTCTGCTTCCTTCTTTGCACCATTCTGCTGGATGTAGTCGAGTTCGGAGAGTAGACTGTCAAGCTTTCCGAGGCTGCGTTGCCGTTCTACAACGTGCTCAAGACGGTCGATTTCACGCTGCATAAGTTCCATATCCTGGTCAGCCTCCGCCAAGCGTTCTTCCAAAGTCGAGATATAATCTTCGCAGCTAGCTTCACTCTCACGAACACGGCTGAGTTCTTTGCGTAGCTCCGATGCGATAGCCGCCTGTTTTTCCTCGCCGGAGGCTTGCCCATCGATCTTCGACTCCAGCTCGTGCAGGTAAGTCTCTGTGCTCGCCTCACGGTCAATGTACTTCTGGATCCGGGCCTGTAACTGCGAGTTGACGGTCTCGACGTAGGCACACTTGGTCTCGCGCTCGAGGAGCGTGCTTTCTGTCATCGACAAGGAAGAGCGAGTGTTTGAAAGCGACGATTCGAGACTCTGGATGGTCTTTTCGTACTCCAGAACGACCTGCTCGACCGATTCGGCGAACGAGTGCGACCGCTTCAGTCTCTCGACAGAGCTCTTGCCGACTGCCGAGGCAACATCGGTGCCTTCGCCTTCTCCGGGCCGCTCGGAATCTCGTGCGAGCTCGGAGATCAGTTTGGCATGGCGTTGGCTGAGGGCGTTATAGCTTTCTTGGACATCAAGAAGGTGATTTTGAAGTTCCATCTCTCTCTCATTCTGACGCTCAGTACGCTCGTGGGGAGCGAGCGTCCGTCGGTCGTTATCCTCCGCATTGCGCAGTTGCTGGCGCAAAAAGGCAACTTCAGCTTTCAGCCTTTCAATCACGGCGTGCTTGTCACTGTCGTCGGCAATCTGTTGGATACGAGGTTTGCTTTGAATGGCCCTGGCTCTCTGCGCGTATTGGACAGTGTTCAAGGTTTCGCTTAGATGGAATTCTGCGGGAGTGACACAGGCGATCATGTATGTGTACGCATTCCCACCTAAAGAATCCTGGAGCAATCTGGTAAGCTTGGAGTCGCGGTAAGATACGTGAGAACCAGCTTGGCGCGAGGACAGCTGGGAAATAACTTTGCCCAATGCAGCGAGACCGGCATTAATCGATATACCTTCCCTTGCACGCTCTCCCGAAGCCCCCGTGTTCTTGAGCCGTTCACTTCCGGCCAGATCGACGAAATGGAGCTTACTGTCGACCGTGACGCTGTGATCGGCGCCGGACAGCATTTCAACGGGCGCAGACATGCGTTTGTCCTTTGGGGATGCCACTCCATTCGCAGACTTGCGTTGGACGAGATTCAAACTGAAGACGGCGTGCGAACGTGATGACTTGGCGTTGATCGCAGTGGAATCGGTTTGACGAATGGATGACCCGAAATTCAGCGCACCGATCAGGTCTTCAACCGAATTGATGCTGACCTGATGCAAGCCGGTTAGAAGAATGCGACCCTTTGTATCTTCACGAATGGCGACCGAGTTGCGATCTCCCATAGCGACCGAGTCCGGGAGAAGTAAATCTCTCAAGTGTTCATTGTAAATCTAGACGGGGGGGTCAGCGGTCTTCGGGGGAGAAGGTGCGGAAGGTATGGATAGTCATACCTCCACATAGGTAGCCTTCAGCTGCCAACTCTTATCGACCTGTGTCTTTCCAAAGCTGGAGTTAGAGCTAATGGAGTAGCGCGCGGGGGTGCGAAGGCCCGTGGAACTGTTGCGCGTGTGCTTTGGGCCTTCCAATTTCTCAAATAGCAGCTGGGCAGCACGTGGAATAATTCCTACATTTCAATTAGTGGTCTGGGTCCGCCGAAGCCAATCATCCCAGCCGGGGAAAACTAACCCATCCCCTGCGCGTCAGGTAGTTCGTTGGGGCTGGAGGTTCCCATGGTATAAGATTTCCCGGCACCCGACTGGCCATAGGCGAGAATGGAGACATTGTAGCCCTGCAAGAACGACCCAACACTATCACTCAGATACTCCCAGACACCATCCTGGTTGACAGTTTCGGGGAAAACCCGATCAAAAACGAAGAGCTTGCGACCCTGAGGCACATCAACCGCAAGACTAGTAGACGAGGTGACGTGGACCATCGACCGTTGGAAACGTTGCGGGATCAATTCGTAACCGGGGTCGGTGGGTTTGAGGGGGGGACGAACACGGACAGCTAGCCGGAAAGTGTCAGTACAGAGGTATTTCCCACGATCGTATATTATAGGCAAGAGAGATCAAATATATCCGTTGTCGCGGCCATTCCCAACAGTCGAAACAGAAAAAAAGGGGGGGAGTAAGTAGGATTAAACCAAGTGGGTGGGTGAAACGCACCAACTTTGACCGCCGTTTTCCCATCCTCGTCCGAGGCCCGACTTCCTCCCCCATGTTTACTGCTCGTGCTCATACGGCTGGCGCTTCTTGAAGTGCGCATCATGGCACTGAAAGGTCGCTGGGGCGCCCCCGTAGGTGACGCTGGCGGCGAGGCCGTCATGCCCTTTTTATAATCGGAAGGCCACACAGACTGGGTCAGGCGGCGAGATTGACGTGGTGAGCGGATTATTAATTAATTGGGCCAGGGACAGAAGCAGTGACAGTGAAAGTCATCCGCAATCATGAACGAACTAGCTGTTCCAACAGGATTCGTGGGGGGATCCGGTAGGGGAGACGGTGATGCGGGAACGAAATCGCAAGATGTGGCGGCCTGCGACAATCTGCGATGGTAACAAACAGTCACTCTCCTATTCTGTGGAGGACGACCGGCGAGAGAAATCGAACCCGATGGCCGTTCGTTTGGTCCCTTGGTTTTTTAACTTTTTGATTTCTTTTTTGTTTTGTTTTTTTTTTTTTTTTTTTCCCTTTATTTTCTTTGGTGTCAGGAAAAAGAAAACAAGACAATCAGCGGGCAGACAAAGCCCTCGAAAAGAGAGAGAGAGAGAGAGCGAGAGAGGGATAAGGAGAGACGCAGCCCAATCGAGGGAAGAAAAGAATAGAAAAAGAGAGAGAGAGAGAGAGAGAGAGAGGAAGAAGGAAAGATGCAAAAGGACTGTTGACTGACTCTTGACAGGTCTGGAGATCCATCCACGTACCAAAGAGTCGTCGTTCCTCGAACTAACCACGAGCTAATTTAGACAGATTCTTTAGAAGGAGAAGGAGAATAGGAGGTGACAGTAACTAAAGTCAACCCTCCCGTATTTATGAATGATATTCTTTCTTTCTATCTAGAATCCTACATATTCAGGAGGAATTCTTTACAGAGAGTCCTTGGGAACTGTAGTAAGTATCCCCTGAGTAAGGAACGGTCTCAGGTGAAACCATGGAGAGGGAGAGGGTTCCCATGCAGGAACAGAGATGGATTAATATACTCCAAATCCTAATATCGGAGAATTGATGAAAACACATCTCCCTAGATATGAGGATATATGCTCCGGAGCCCGCACAAAACATCCATGACTCGTGTCTTTATTAAGAGAGCAGTAGGTTAACTCGCTATTAATATCCTGAAACAGGATCCCATTCATACTTATACGACTAGCAGCTTCATCGAGGCTGATCAAAATCTAAACATTTTTGGGCTTTGAACCTGTCAGCCTTCATCGGCATAGTTTTTTGTTTTGTTTTGGTTTGGTTTTTTTTAATTTCCAGAATGATGCCCAATGCTAAACCCTGATCATCGCAGGACAAAGGATGATAATATTCTGGACTAGACTCTGTCCCAGCTCGGGAAGGACTTCCCCCCGGACGATATATATAGTGTTCCGTACGGAGTACAGTACAGAAAAACTAACTTTTTACTACCTGGTCGAATCTCAACAATACTAGTAGATCCTTTTGTTATACATATGTATAAGCTAACTAGTGAGTTATCAATATATACATTGAACCATGAACAAACCACCCAACTTGAATGAACCCTTTCCCAATGAACTGGAAAAAAAAAAAATTAAATATAATTATCCCCCGGTAACTCCGGTATCCGAATCGACGCCCTCGCCGGGTGCATTTGACTGTGCGCCTGCATCTGGGCCTTGGGCGGGAGCTCCGACGGCGCCCGACTCTGGAATATCGGGGGCTGCGGGAATTGATTCGCATATTGGTATTGGGGTGGTGGCGGCATCCCGGCCGCAGACATATACTGTTTCTCTGCGTTTCGGGATTGGAAGTAGGCTAGGATACCGAGGAGGGAGATGAGGGGGACACCGACGCCAACGCCGAGACCGAGGGCGATTTTGCCGGTGGATGTTAGGCCGGATGTGGAGGTGTTGTCTGTAGACGCGGAGGAGGGGTCGGACGAGGTGAGTGGGGTTGAGGAAGAAGAAGAAGAAGAAGAAGAAGAAGAAGAGGGTTGGGTGATGTTGAAATCAGAGGAGAGGAATTGGACGGTGGAAGGTGAGTCGAGCGAGAGAAAAAAGACCGGAGATAGAGAAAGGTCAAAGTCGTAGGGTTGAACGACCCAGGAGAAGTTTGTGATGGCATCGTTGGCGTGGATCTTTGCTACAGTTTCAGTTAGTTCGTGCCATTGTGCACACATAATAATTTCAATAGAAACGTACCAAAAATATTACCGCCGCTCGTTTTGGTTCCTTGACTCAAGTCTCGCTGCCAGATTGTGATATTGAAGACGTCCGTCGTGGTCGTCCACGAGATAGCTTGTACGTCTCCCACTTCATACTCCCCCACATGGCCATCCGAGGACGGCGGCGGCGGAGTAATAAATCGATTATCTGCGGCAGTGGTTGCAATCACGTCTCGAGAACAAGCAGCAAGAACCCAGAAGATACTAAGCAACATGCTGAGGACGAAGGCAGTTGGAAACAACAGCCCTCGTCTGTATTCCAACAAAGGGATGTGGGAAATAAAAAAGAGAGAGAGAGAGAGAGAGAGAGAGAATCAACTGCACAAGATAGCTGGTCCATGATTATAATTATTGCTGTCACCACAGGCTGAATGCGCTCTTGTTTCAGAGACTGTAGTAAACCACTGAGGGCTGCTTGGTAGCCGCTGTTCGTCTGCATCTCGCTCGACTGTCTTGCGGCGAAGTCACTTTGCATTAGAGTCCCACTGCAAGGCTGTGGCTATCTAGAATGTGTCCTAAGCCAGACGAGATTGGTTTGTATCCATCGATTAAGCGCCGGCAACCAGGCACGAGAAATCGACTGGACACGCGCTCAGTTTGAGTCGAGAGCATTTAATTCAGGAGAAGCTTTTCAGGGGCGAGAGCTTATTATCATGGTACCTCTCAGATAACTTAACAGGAGATAACTCAGTAATATCCTGTGATATTAGGAGCGTTCCAACAAAAGAAAGGAGAAGAATTATATAGTATTGCTCAATGGGTTCCTTCTAGCTTTATACAGGCTGGTGTTATCTATCTAGCATCCTACACAATCTTTGTTCTTTCTCATCCTTAGCACGACCAAAGTCTACCAACACACGAAATATTCTGTTCTAGTTCGGTCTCTCTTCCCTTTAAGAGCTTGGATGGTGAATGTAGTAAGTAGAACTTTGTAGGCTGTCATGTCCTGGCTTGCTCCATCATAAAGAAATTTCTTTAACAAGCACAGAATATTTGTTTCTCTTAGGCTTCATATAGAGGTGCTAGAGAACAAGAAAGATTCATGTTTTATATTAATCAAAACGGTTTGTTCCGCAGCTGACGCCAAAGGGTGGGATATGCATTTTGCTTGCTCGTGATATGTTAGGACGAGAGGGGTGTGAGAGGAGGGACAGGTGCTCTAGTTGCCAATCTGCCACGGAATACATATGTAATATTATCAAACGCCTTCACGAGAGCGTGGTGTAGGATCTAAAAGATCGATTTCGTTCTGCTCCCATGGGAATCGATCGCCTGGAAGAAGCGTATTGCTGGGATAAGGAACCGCTTCCCTAGGCTGGCACAGGAATTGAGTCCCTGAATAGAGACATGTTCCTAAGTTGATACATTTATCCAGGTCTTCACGGACAGCTTGACTGTACAACGATGGAAGATGAAGTCCCCTTATCTCTACTAGTGAGTCTAGGAGACCTTTAACGAAACCAAGATCAGTCACCAATCTTGGCCCCGGGACATATTCATGAATGGGGCTAAGAAGTCTGGTGTGCAATAATGAGATGGACGGATGGTTACCATGCAAGTCCCTTTCATTCCAGGCAATTGCAGTCCTCATCAGCTTGACGTAGCAGTCCCTTGCTTGCGCTCTGAACTCAACTATTAGGCGGTGGGTTCTGAGGGAGAGCTTCCAGACAAGGGCGAATGACCTTGGGTTAAGGCAAGTTTTTACCTGGTTTCGCTGCGACTGCGTAAAGCAAGGGAACTGACCCGCAAGGTGAAGGAGTATATCGCGGTAAAGCCAGCTGATGCCCAGATTTTCCGCCATTTTAAGGTTCTCCAGCGGACTCCACGCAAGGGTTTTCCATAGATGTTGGTTCATCGGGAGCCCCAGACATTTGCCCAGATAATCGCGGAGCCAAAGATATTTTTCGAAGAAAACTGCCAGATAATACATGGACCGTAAGTGAATCATACTGGGAAAGCTCTGCATATCCCCATAAGCAGCTCGAATCATTGAGTGGAACGATGCGATCTTATTTTGTGAGGCTTTGCAGACCGCATGGCCGGGGGGGTTTCGCTGACACACAGAAGAGAACTCGTCAGTGATGAACGGAATGATGATATTGGGAAAATATAGACACACTCACCAATCCCTCCTTCCAAATACCAAAGCATGAATCGCCTGCGTTGTAGAGATCCCTTGCCACCAATCTGTAAGGGTATGGCTCCAAGACACTTAGGACCGGGGCAATATTATCGATAATATTGGTGTGTCGCCTCAGGACCCCGGAGTTCATATACATCAAAACACCAAAGACGTCAATGGCAACATCCATGGGGGCATTTGGACGATCGAATGGGACGAGCGCGTGCGGCTCTCTGTATGTTCGACGTGGTTGGAGAAACTGAGGGACCAGGAAGGTATCGAGGTTCGCAGGGGGAGGCCCCATTGCGCTCGATCCCTTGTGATGGTAAACTACCTAATCTATTGCAATATAAACGAGTGTCGTAAATAAGAATGGATGAAACTCGATTCAAGCTTGGGCGTAATGGAGGAATAATGCCTGGATCTATTAGAAATTGGAGAAAGACGAGAAAATAACCTCCTCCTTATTCTAGCCAGCTGCATTCTTGCTGTTTTGAGCATAATAAGCAGTATCCAAGGAAGGCATGATCCAAATCTAGCACCTTGAATGAGTGAGCATGGCCTATTAAAGGATATACCTACCTATATATATCAAAGCACATATCACTGAAGGCAATGTCATAACACTCTTGGTCTGTAACTATCGTCCGCCTTCGCCCTCTTGGGTGACTTCTTCGTTGCTCTGTATAATGAAAAAAAAAAAAAAAAATTATATATTTACAGGTCTAAACTTCAAGTAATACAAGCCGGGATATCATCCTGTCTCTGCCATCCAACGCCGTCTAACTCCTTATGAATCGCTCACTTCACATGCGTCCGTATAGTTTCAGCCGATAAATGCAGGTATTATTTCCACCCCAATTCGACTTGACTCGGAAAACCACCTTGTCGACTCGAATCTCGTCCGAGTCGATAATCGCATCCAGAGTGAATTTCTGCGCGTAATAGGGATCGTCGATATTGTAACTCCATTTGCCAATCCGGTAGAAGTCTGGACCGAGGAGCTTGTCGTTATAATATGAAGATTCTACGTCTCCGGGAAACGCGAGACGAAGAGTTTTCATGACAGGGCCATGCAGAACCTTCCTATCGGGCACCAGACTGTCCTGTCCCGACACGTTCTCGGGAGCAGAGAAAAAGACGCGGGACCATATTGATCGGTTGAGAGAAGAACCCTTGCCCACGTATTGAAACCGCGCCCACAGTTCCATATCTTTAGGAGCAACTTCGGGACGGATGGTCGCTGACTTGGGCATGTGTTCGACCACCACCTCTTCCGGCACAATTTGACGGCCCAGGAGAGCTGCAAACTGAGACATCCCTTCACGCGGCGTACTGCACCAGCACTCTCCCACATCTTCCCATGGGGTTAAGGCAGCACGTGGCGGTTGTGGAGAGCGATGCTTTTTTCTTGCTATCCACATGTACAAGGCCTGTAAATAATCCCGCGTAGGTCCAGCCGTTGGGCTGGTCATGTACGGGTCGATAATGACTCCAAGTCCGACTGAGAGGAAATTGGTCTTCGGGGTTTCCATTCGAGGCATGTATTGCTGGAGTATGGTTGTGGGCGCCGGGATGTTGCTAACCTCCGTTTTCATCACCTTCACCTCCTTGGATAGGGACGAAACATGCGCTCCTAGCCTGACCATTTGATGGGAGAGGCTATTCAGCGCATCGGCGTTACTCTCATTCAGAGGGATGTGAGGCGTAGGCTCGAATTTAAAGTCAGAGTCGTCCTGGAATAGCTTGTCTTTGAAGGTATGGATGGCGAACATCGTTGTGATTGTCAATGCTGTTAGAATTGCTATTTGGAAAAGTAAATCCCATGAGCGCTTCTCGTTCCCTTCTCGGTGGATTTTCTCTTTTCGTGGCTTATTTCGCAGCGATACTTTGCTTAAAATTGAAGACTCCTCCTGGGATGAAGGTTCCCGGATAAATCGGTCAGGAATGATGGTTTTGGCGGGTGCACTGGTAGGTTCCGGGACGATCTGAGGTTCCGGGGAAATAGAGATACGGCTGGGTTCTTGAATCCTGGAATCTGGCTCTTCTTCCTCTTGGATGGTTTCGTGAGCGAAAGCCAGCCCCGAAAAACGTCGAGGGGGCGCCGAGATGTGCTTTCCCTGTGGATCTTCCTGGGGCCTTTTTGAACGGGTTCGCCGCAAAGCATCGTCGTGTATATCACGCTCGACAACCCAGGAGATGACTGATTCGTTATCAACAGCCAAGCCTTGTGGACTATCCGGCGAAAAATTGCTAAGATCCGAGGAGTTTAGTCGCTCCAGCGAAGGAGGATAGAGATTCTGTATCGTAATATCTGTATTACCGGGGCTAGATGTGGTGGAAAAGGTGTGGCGAATAGGAGGAGTAGGGGTTGCTGTAGACTGCCTAGTTTCATTTAAATTCGCTCTACGCACAGGTGAATTCGTGATTTCGCGCAGGGAGTCGAGCAATTGGATTTGATCAGGGGTCGGTTCACGTCGCAGCCGTCGCACCGGCAAAGCACTAGGGGAAGCGGATTTCTTGCGCGTGCGGGTATTCATACCAGGGCTGTCGGCTGCCTCATTCTGTTCTCGATCCTTGGCAACTTGAATGGCATCCTCGATAGTACTAGCCATTTCTACCAGGTTCATTTTTGGCTTCGCGGCCAACATGTGCGGAAGAATTGGCGCTGCAGACGAACCATACGCAAATGAATGCTTTGTCGGAATATGAGGCAAGATGGAATTTCCCACGCCCGGAGTTAGTCCAGCAGGGCGACTTGGGGGAGGAGTGCCAGGAGGATCTGCATTCACAGCTCCTGCACGTTTCCTAGAAGCTCGTTTGGGAGGCATCTATCTGAATGATTTGTTTATGTACTTCAGGTAGACAGAAATGTAAGCGATGGGGAGAATCTGAAGCCTGCCGTCAGTACAAGCCGTGAGCCTTGATCTGCAAGAAGATGCGACTTCACGTACGATATAGTTAAATCCTCCACAAGCAGATATCTAGAGCAGTCCTCAATTAATTTGGGGGGAGGAGAAGGGGGGGGGGGTTGTTGTGCAGAAAGACGACGACGACAGCGACGAAGAAGAGGGTTGAGGCAGTTAAAGAAACAGGAATAGAATAAGACTTGAAAGTGGATATATGGCTAATTATGCCGCAGAGAAACTAGAAACACGGGCACCTGTATAACACACTGCTTCTGGTGAATGGGCTTGCAGTGGGTTAATGAAAGAACCAGTTGATAGAGCCACCCAACAACACCTGGTGGCTTTGTTCACTCCCTGTATTCAGGAGGAACAAAAAGCAAGCAAGAAAGAAAGAAAGACAAAAAGAAAAAGAAAAAGAAACCCAACGCCGTCCTGCGTATCCAGGAAGGGCCCGAGGAAGACGACTCAATTGGCTTCTGATGGGTGAAAGAACCGAGCGTAGTAAGTAAGAATGAGGAAACGACACAGCGCGCGCCGAAGCTGGACGCGGCGGACCGCAACACCAACCCACGCCAGAACAATTAATTATCGTCGAGCTGGGAAATGTGGATAGGGCGTCATTCTGCGATGAACCAGACGCGTTGATTTCAAGACGCAGATGTTGATGGAAGTTGGCAGAGGTCTCGATGAATTGATGAAAGAAAGAGTCGAGGGTTTGACAGCCTGGAGATTTATTCAGAGAAACACGAATTCCCGATTTGGTAAGGCTTGGCTGGACATTGCATGATTCAATCTCGATAAGAAGTGACTCTCTGTCTGTCATCTTTCTCAAAGAATTCAACCCTCGATCGCATTTTGCTTCTTCTTCTTCTTCTTCTTCTTCTCCTTATAACTTCTGATAACTTCTAGGTACCAGGTTCCCCGTCTTTATTTCCTCCCGCAAGTCGATTCGATTCATCACCTACAATACGGCCGCATCGCATACAAAGAAACACTCTCCCAGCCAACCAAGCTCGCCAACGACTTCAAATATCTGAAAGATAGCCCCCGTCTTTATCCCACCCACGTTCTATTTTTATTTATCCTTAAAACATCTCTTTCGTCTAGTCGATCTTTGTCTTTGGTCCAATTGTACCACAGAGAGAAATGGTACCTTGTATGATGCTTGCAGGAGAGCAAGGGAAAGAATTTACAACCAACTGTCCGATTGATCGTAGGGACAGCCCTTCCATTTCCTTTCTATCATGGCCCACAAATAAAATGAAATGTTAATATACAGGGGCCGAGAGGCTGTAAAAGAGACAGTTGTCAAGTAAGAACCATAGCTCCAGGGTTAACATGTACGTGACCAAGATATACTTTGCAAGGTCAGTGAGTGCTTCATATATGTATACGCATGGCTTAACAAGTCCACGCTGCAACAACTCCATCTTTGCGGCCTTCAACAAGGAACCCATCCTTGAGGCGGACGCGCTCAACAATCGCAGGGCTGGTTACTGTTTCATCAGCACCAACCCCAGCACCGCAGTCCCAGTGGTTTCCATCGGCCTTGTCATAAACTTTGACGACGTTCTCTCCAGCCGCAGCTACGATTCGCTTGGTGTCGAACATCATGCTAGTGACCGGCTTATCATAAGCGTACGCATCATAAATCGATCCCATTCGGAGGTCCCATATCTAGATCAACGTTAAGAGTATTCCTCACAACAACAACAACAACAACAACAACAACAAATGTAAAGAAGGATGAATGAACATACCCTAATACTGCGGTCGAAACTTCCCGTCACCAAGTGTACGTCGTCAAACTGCAAACATGAGACAGGACCCGTATGGCCCACAAGGCTTCGGTGCACTTGGCCACTGCGGAGATCCCACAGACGAACCATGCCGTCAGCGGTACCGCAAGCTAGAGCCGCATCGAAGCACTGAAGAGCCCCAACAAAGTCGGCAGAAGCATCGGGTAAACGTCCAGAGGGTCGCCATTGTGTGTCTCCTGCTAGAGTTGATGCTTGCGCCGCCGCCCAAAGAACATCCAAGGTTTGGACGCACCGCCCCGTCACCAAGTCCCACTGTCGCAAGGTCTTGTCCGCAGATCCGGAGACCAACGTATCTCCCTTGAAGTGCAGGGCCGTCACCTCGTCGACGTGCGCATCTAGCGAGAACACGAAACAATCCTCCAGACTGGTAGAGTGCGATACTGAAATGGAATCATCGGCGTTTGATTCATCTTCGTCTGGCTGCTCGCGCTTATGAACCCGCTTATCCTTGAGCGAGGTTCGCGCTCGGCTCAAGTCCCAAAGCTTGACGGAGGCATCCACGGATCCCGTTGCAACGATATTGTCTTCGACCTGAAGACACCGGACAGATGCGTTATGCCCTTCCAAAAACCCGACACACCGACCGACATTCAGATCCCAAACCCGCACCGTATCATCCAGCGCTGCTGTGACCATTGTGCCAAATGGATAATCGAAATCAATTGCGGTTACAGCATCGGTATGGGCCTGGATCTGTTTGATTTCGGAGCCGGGCGCAAAATGCTCGTGCAACACCGGCATAGATCGTTTCCCTGCATATCTCACGGTTAGTGTTTGTTTTTGTTTTGTTTTTCCTTCCCTCCCCAAAAGACTAAATGGCGCGGCATACGGATTGATCGTTGCTTTACACTCTTTGGTGAAGGCATTTTCTGGTAAATAGATTCCGACATGAAAGATGCATCCATTGCTGGGTCCTCCGAGACGAGAGAGTCGTCGTTGACTTCTGAAGAGCCGGGTGTGGTGACTGCGGGCTGGCTTTGCACAGCTTCCTCTTGGATATCTTCCAGTTTATTATCGAGCTCAGTGACTGTTTCACGTTAGACGGCATCCAAGTATTAGATTCGTCAGATCGGAATAAACCCACTCTCGTGTTCCAGGTCCGCTTCCTCCATCTCTAAATTAGCCAGTCGGTCCAGAACGATCTGACGCATTCTGTGGAGGTTTGCGATTTTATTATCGATCTCATGAATCTCCGAGCTGCACATATTCTTGCGAACACCCATCAGCTCCATGCGGCGGCCCAACAAATCTCGTTCCCTTTGCAGATCGGCGGGAGCGGACGGAAGAGCGGCATGACCTTCACCGTCCTTCAGCAGCTTTTTGCTCTTCGATATGCGCCGGCGATGGGATTTTCTATATTCGTGATCATTCTGGGAGGCTTGGAACCCCTGGAACAGGGAATAGGAGCTAGAGTCTTCAGGGATATTCTCAAGGAGTTCATCGGGGAGCGAGGAGATGGCACGCGATTGGATCTCGGACGTCGATAGCTTGGAGCGGACCAAGTCGGTGGGCGTAGTTTGTGCCAGGGCGAAGACTTTGCGCTGTGTTCCGGGCCGTCGGAGCTCTCGTTGGATATCTACCATAGCATTCTGATAGTGCGCGGTGCTGCTCGGGTCACCGGACGGGCCCATCAAGTGCCCAGCAGTTGATGTGACTTTTCTCCCAAAGGCCTCGATATGTCGAGTCTGCATCCAGGGTACATTAGTTCATGTTCCGGGGGGTAGTCCGTCGTAGATAATAGAGGGGGGCAGTACAGTGATGCCAGTCCCTAAAAGTCCGTCACACTCGACGATATCTGATAGACCGGAGGGAGACTCATCGCGGCGGTGCTTGTCCATGACACCGACCAGAAGAGATCTCTAGAGGTTAAAACCCCATACGGGTTGAGAGAGAGAGAGAGAGATAGACGGATGGTAGCGGTGGAGAGGAGGGATGCCGTGGGAGGAGCTTTGGAAGTTCTTCCAGGTGCACGCGACGAATTACCGCGGCGCCGGATTCCTCCTACCTTTTTTTTTTTTTTTTTTTACGCTGGCCAGTATGCGGGTGGAATTTTACCGTTTTCGTATGGTAAAACAAGAGCCGCTCCAGACAAAAACCCTTGTTTATCTTTACAATCCCATTACCTGTAGTTAACTACCTAAACTAGTAGTACAATTATCAAGCCAGGTAAGGAAATAATCATAATAATCACTTAAATAATAATTAGTTAACTATAACTACAGAGTATTATAGAATCTACATGAATGAGGAGTTGGTGGAAAAGGTCTTCCTAGAATAGTTCATGTACTTCGATTTTGAGGACCCTGCCTTACGACCAACTTCTGGCCCATCCATGCAGTTGTGCAGATTAGCGGGCGTCCTATATTCATTCTTCTTTCCATCGACTCCCAGAATGGGTCCACAGTGGTAGAAAAAGCAAGAATATCTATTGTCTATTATTAATTTCCAGGGAAATACACCTAGGCAGACCATGAATTCTGCCCCTATTCCTCCTACAACAGTAAGCGCAAAGCCCACAGATGAGCAAACGACCGATCTCCTGTGCACAGTGCAACACATCGAGAGAGAAATCGCAGAGGCACACCGTCTCCGCCAGCTCAGAGACTCCCTCCTGAACGTCCATGAGCGAAACTGGGTCAACAATGTGATTGCGGAAGTGGAAGAGGCAGCCGACGCCGTCACTCGGGCCCTGGAGCCTTGTCGTGTTGAGCGGGAGACCTCTACAGCGGGGAAACTAGGCATAGGCAGGAAAATGCTCTGGATGCTTCGTGATAATCAAAAAGTCAAGGGGAAATACTCGCGCTTGATTGTCGCCCATCAAAGCCTAACGTCGGTTATTTCCTTTCTCCATAGTCGGGCACAGGCTATCGATGATTACAATCCGCTTTCCGGTGGGACTCCTTCGTCGACGTCTCTGTCTGGGCGATCGCCTGAAGGTCCGCCGAGTTACGAACTCAGCCAGGTGTTGGGCTGGAGGCAGAGCAAGCAGCAGAGTCGGCTAAGGGCTGGGAATCCCTACCCTGGTACTGGGAAGGCGAAGCTGGCGGAGCTAGAGTAACTCGGGTGGTTCATCTCTTCCTTGCTCTTGATATTGGATTTTGTCTATTTCTTTGATTTCTTTCTCTCCTCTGCATGTACTCCGTATATCCAATGATTCTCTTAGAGTCCGTCTTAGGTCCGCGGCATGGTTACTAGACTCTAACATCTTCGTTTCCAAAGGATTTCCAAATATCTACGCTCTCCTTCTCGGGAGAGAGAGACAAAGATTCAGGCAAAACGTGAATATTGAGATTGAAGCTATACATACCATCCAGGGTATTACATACTTCCACAGAACCATGTCACAATTCAAGATTCCTTTCTTTCTTTTTGATCTTTAACACAGTAGTTGCAGTATTTCATGGCTAATATTTATCCAATCAATACAGTCATCGTTAGACTTGCCGAAGGAAGCTTGAATTGCAAGACTTGAGGTGACTCGGAGGGAGTACTGGAGTAGAGGCTGATGGGTTAGAGATAAATCACACCCAAAAAAGAGTCGAGGAAACCTGGCCCAATCTAGTCCGATGATCTTTTCTTCTGTAAGCATGATATGATTTAGCGGATTGAATCGACGCGTCTAGGCTGCATAGGGCCAATGTCCGACTGGCGAATTGTCTCACCCCAAGGCGCATCTCGAATCTCGCTGTACGGAGTACTCCGTAGCTCATCATCCCGTGCTCAGAGCGCGTCAGCCTTCTCCTAGCTTCTGCAGCGCAAAAAAAGAGACAGAAAGTGTGAGAGAAGGGGGAAATAGGGGGAAATCATGGTTTCAAGTGATTGGGCTCCAGATTTCGTTGTCGGGGTTGATTTTGGCATGACCTGTACAGGTACGATCTGGGGGAAGGGAGTAGCGGGGTGACACCAACGCCCGCTACTTCTTCTTGTTACCCCATCCCCTTGCTCTACTCTCACTGTCTCCTTTATATCTGATATGTCTTGAGTCACCAACGCATTGGAAATCAGGTATTGCCTATTCATATGCGCCAGAATGGGCCCCTCCAAAACCACTGCAGCACTGGCCGAGTATGATAACAACCGAGCTCGCCAACAAAGTACCTAGTCAGTTACGCTACCGCTCCGATTCGGTCTCTGTCAAATCCTGGGGGTTTCAATGCGAATCCGACGATGGAGATGGTGACCAAGGCGATATTAAAGAGTATTTCAAGTTGAATCTCGACCCAGCCTTCAAGGATCATCGCCTAGATGGTCCAACCCGCAATGAGGCAATGCAATGGTTTCGGGACTATATACGCTGTGTCTATGACTATACTGTCTCCTATTTTGCCAGATCATTCCCCCGTTTTGGCTCGCGAAAGGTCGAGTTTGTTTTCAGTATCCCGACTACGTGGAAAGACCCGAGAATGGTAGCTGAGCTGCGCGAGTTGATTCAGTTCGATTCACCAAACCATAGGGCTACCATTGGACTAACAGAGGCAGAGGCAGCAGCTGTGTATGCGAGTGGACAATATTACCAGGTAAAGACATCATGAGTTCCTGCCCCTACATGGTACTGATACGAGTCAGCCCAACGATGTCGTTCTTGTCTGCGATGCAGGGGGAGGTACAATGGTTAGTTCCGTACGCATAGCCTTCGTACATACGGGACATTAACACGATACAGGATGTAAATATTCTCAAACTTGTTTCTACCCAGCACGAACCGACCAAGTTTACTCCCCTAGGTGTAGTTGAAGGTTAGCCTTCGATCCCCAAGGGAGTTAACCCCTAACCGATATAGGAAAACCAATTGGTTCTGTCCAAATCGACATGGGAGCTCACCAGCTCCTCTGCAATAAGCTGGAACACATTCGGAATGTATTACCCAAACAGCCGCGGGATATCGCGTTCGATATGATATCTGGTCGATTTGAGCGCTTCAAATGCTCCTTTGGAGAGAAAGCGATGGAGAGCCCGGATTTAGTGCTTGATGTGCCTGGCTTATCCCATGGATTCGATTGTCCAGCCGCCAGTGTCTCTGATGGCCAAATGCATATGACCCGGTGGGCACCAGGCATTGATCAGTGTCGTGTAGCAACTAAGGGCTGACTCTAGCTAGAGACGAAATCAAAAAGCTATTCGACATGAAGGTTGAGGAAATGTATGAGCTATTAGACGATCAGATTGATCGACTAAAAAACGAGCATCCAACAGAACAGATAGTTTGTGTCCTCCTCAAACTGACGTTTGTCTATACTAATTTTTACCTGTCTACTCCGTAGTCCTTCCTAGTATTATCTGGCGGCTTTGGAAGCTCTCCATACGTTAGGAGGTGTCTAAAGAACCGATACTCAGACCCAGCAACAATTCCGAACATTGTTGAAATCCTAACTGTTGATGAACCGTGAGTGGCCCCATTGTATGTGTTTACCTACGTCGTAAACTCACATAGCCATCTAACAGTCCATATATAGGCAACTTGCCGTAGTGCAAGGGCAGGTCATCAACCGAATCCAAGAGATAAAACACGGAGCCACCGCTCTCCAATCCCTCTACACGCGAAACAGCTACGGCGTGATCTGCGATCAGCTGTATGATCCCGAGAAACATGTAGGACAGCCTGTGCGGTATGACGAACGCAACAAAAAGCGATATGCGGTGCAACAGATCGAGTGGCTTATTTTCCAGGTATTATTGCCATCCCACCTGGGCAGGACCCATGAACAAACAAACAAATCAACCAACCAACCAACCATCTTTCTTGAATAGGGCGATTCTGTTTCCCGTTCTGGGGTGTCTAAAGCGTTCCAACGCAAGATCAACCCAAAAGAAGTTTCTCAGCCTTGGGTCGCGCAGATTGTCATGTCAACCCTCCCAAAACGTCAACTCCCGCGAAGCATGTCGCAGCCTGGAGCCGGGTTGGTCTGTAACCTGGAGGTGGATATGGCGAGTGTGGAGCGAAAACCCAAAAACCACCACTGGTATAACGTCAATCCAGCGTACCTAGTAGCAAACTTCGACATTAAGATCAACGTCGGAGTGAATGATCTTCAATTCGAGCTGTGGAATAGTAATGGGACACGCATCAGCAGTCAGAATCGCCATCCACTCAAAGTGCAATGGCAACCAGTAGTGGAGAAGATGTCGGATGAACCAACATCTCTACATGAGCTTGCAGGATAAATAGGGGAAGCTTTTTTTTTTTTTTTTTTAGTTTATTTTTCTTGCTCTCGTCTAAGATATTTATTGATTCCTTTGAGTCATTTTGTCAGATCGGCCGTTAACGTAGTTTGTGAATTTAAATCGAGATAAACCCGCCCCCGCAGCGGTCCACCACCGAATCCGGCCTTTCACTCTTTTCCAACCCTCCATCTTATAACTCCCAGATCATCTCGAGGAATTTATAGAGATACAGAGACCACACACCTGTCACCATGGACGCAGCCATTGATCTTTCCAATGCCTCCAAGGCATTAGACCTCGCCAACATCCGCTTCCAATTAATGTAAGCTACCCGAGCGACATCGGAGGCAATATTTACAGCCATACCCCCGCAACATGATATGTTTTTTTTTTTTTTTTTTTCAATTCCCCCTGAAAAAAATATATATAAAAAAAAAAACACGGGACAAAGCTAAGTACAGGATAAACCACTCCAGTCGTCTAGAAGACACAATCACCTTCCACCTCATCGAACGGGCGCAGTTCCCACTCAACCAAACCATCTACGTCCCCGGCGGCGTCAAGATCCCCGGCGACGAGGTCAGTCTGATGGACTACGTCCTCCGCGAGCAAGAACGCCTCCAGTCGCGCGTGCGCCGGTACGAATCCCCAGACGAACACCCCTTCTTCCCCGAGGCCCTGGAGGACCCCATCCTGCAGCCGCTCACGTACCCGAAAATCCTGCACGACAATGACGTCAACGTCAACGAGACCATCAAACAGCGATACACGGCGGACATCCTGCCGGCGATATGCCCGCAGTTCGGCGGACGCGGCGACCGCGGCGAAACCCAGGAGAACTACGGCTCCTCGGCGACGTGCGACGTGAACTGTCTGCAGGCGCTGTCGCGGCGCATCCACTTTGGGAAGTTTGTCGCCGAGGCCAAGTTCCAGAAGGACCCCGAGCGGTTCGCGCGGCTGATCAAGGCCGGGGATCGCGCCGGCATTGATCGCGCCATTACCGATGCCAGGGTCGAGCAGAAGGTGTTGGAGCGGTTGGCCCTCAAGGCGAAGACTTACGGCACTGATCCGGCGTTTGCTAGTGAATCGGGCCCCAAGATCGATGTCAATGCCGTGCAGGCTATGTATAAGGTATTTCCCCCCCCCTTCCTCCTTCCTCCTGGCTCCTGGCTCCGCCGCTTTGATTTTGATCTGCTCGAGAATGCCCAAGCTGATGAGAAAATAGGAATATGTTATTCCCCTGACCAAGGTGGTCGAAGTGGAGTACCTGATGCAGCGCTTGAAGGGTACACAATGGGAGTGAATTTTTATGCCTGCCAATTGATTCCCCCCCCCCCAAAAAAAAATATTAGTATCTTTCCATAATTCCATGCCGTGACGAGAACTCGTAATATAGATCATTAATAGATTCAATTAAAAAACAAGATCTGCTATCATCAAAACTTTTTGTCTTGTCTATCATAACCGACCTAACCCTTCCCGCGGAAAAACCACGCAGTTAAACCGGGGGCTTCAAATACTCCACCATATCCTTGATGGCACTCTCCAACGTCCCCGGCTCCAAGAGAATCAAGCTCGCCGCGGTCCGAATCCCCATATCCTGGAACGCCCGCTTCGAATCCGAGAGCCCCTCGTCCGCCTTATGCGTATACTCCGCAGAGCCGAAACAAGCCGCATGCCGCTGCAACACCTCGTCCTCGGGATGGAAGAAGAACCGCTCGCCCTGCTCCGCGGCGGCCTTCTTCTTTTTCTTCTGCGGTCGCGACTCCTCCGCATCGAGCTTCGACTCCACCTCCTCGTAGGTCTTGGAGAGGACCAAGTAGTGCGAGAAATTGTACGGCTCTTTGTCGGCGAGCGCCCAGGCGATCTCTTCCTGGAGCATGGTGTACATGGGCGGGACGATTTCCGAGGGCATGTTAATTAGGCGTTCGGTGAGGATTAACCCGATGGGTGGAGTGGGGGATTGGGAGAGGAGTTGCGCGAGGGGCGCGAGGGACGGCGTGCTGCTGGCTTTTTTGCTGAGGTAGGTTGTGAGGTCTTTGATGACGGGTTTATCCTTTTTTTGGTGTTAGCATTCCTTTCTTTTTTTTATTCTCTTGCTTTTTTTTTTTCTGTTTCTCAAGGAGGAGGTGTGGAAGAGAGAGAAAACTCACACTATGCTCTTGCAAATTCAGCACTGTTAAAAACGCATACGGATCCGACTCGTTGCCGTCGACTTTCACTGTCGAACCGAGCAATGGCTGCGCGAGAATCAAATCCGTTAATGCGGAGAGATCGAAGATCTGAGCGTCCGTGTCGAAAAGCTGGCGGAGGAGGTTCTTCAGGCCGTGGAAGTCGACAGCCGGTTGAGGATCGAACCATTCAAAGTCGACGTTGACCATGTCGATATCCTCCTATTTGAATGTATTAGTATTCTTCATTTCTTCTCATTTCAGGTTTTTGTGAGTGGAACTCCAGAGATAGAAAGAGTGCCGTACCTCGTCGGACGAGTCGTCAGCGACTTGCGGGTCTACGCCGCCCATGTCGACGTCCCCGTCTTTGATTTGCTTGCGTTTGCCCATTGCGATGTGTGAGGAAAGAGAAGGGATGTGTAGAAATCGTTTGAGGGGTTGAGTGGAGGTGAAGATTCTCGGAGGTGAAAAATGTTGGCCGCAGCGACTTGGCTAACCGCTTTCGATAAGATAGGAGGGCATTATTATACAAGATAGAATATGTTCAACCAGATGGACAAGTAGATTATTTTCGTAGCCTATATATATATATATATATATAATAGCACCAGAGCCTATATGTCTATACATCCCACTCAATCTCCTCCACAGTCGGCACCTTATCCAACTTCACGCCATAAAACTCAGCCACCAGCTGCACACAATCCCAAAGAATCTGCACATCCCCCCGAGGCACCCCCAACCGCCTCGTCCCACGAATATGCCAATGCGTCTCGGTCTTCAGGTTTTGACTCATGATCGCCGGGAGCACCACTAACTGCGTATCCAAGTCATCCAGCACCTGCCGATCCGACAAAAACAACCCGTAGGTAATCTCCATCGACAACCACGCGAAGTCGCTATGCGCACGGAAGAGATCTAGCGTGGGCGCGCCGTTCCGCGAGTACAGTTTCTGGAACCAAGCCACGCCGCGCTCGTGGTTCGCCTCGTCGCATTGCCAGGACTCCCGGGTAGGCGTGAAATCCTTGTCTTCTTCGCGTTCAAGCTTCGCGATGGCGAGGATAGCCTCGATGGGTTTACAGACGCCGATGATGATGACGGATTTCAGGAGGGCCTCGCGGAGGCGCCGTACGAGGGTCTTGCGGGACTCGGAGGTTGCGTGGGCGGCTTGGTTGATCAGGTAGAGGTATAGCTGGTCTGCTCGTTCGGGGTCCCGGCTGGCGACGACGGTGGTTACGGCTAGGATGTACCATTTCTCGGGTGGGATGGAAGCGGCGGAGAGGAAGCGGGCTTCGAGGTCCTGGAAGAGCTTCTCGTAGCGGGGGTCGACTTGGGGAGGGGCTGTTGTTACTGTGGACATTGTCGCGAGGGGTTTGGGATAGAGATGGGGACGCGATCGTCGTAGGAGGAAGAGGAACCGAGAAGAAGGCAATGATGTTGCTGAGCAGAAGCTTTTACCAAGGGGGGGGAAATGGGATTCTGAAGTGCCAGGGCCGCGGGCTGCTCTAACGTACTGCGGACGTGAATGCGCTTGGAGACAGGAACGAAGTAACCGTGCCATTTGGGGTTCTGAAGTATTATGATGTACCCCTGTCTCAATGGCCGACTCAAGCGAGAGTCTGATACGGTTGGGGTGGATTGAAGTGGAGGTGGTGAGGAGGACGGCATTTCTGGATTTGGGAGTAATTGTATATGTATAGCTTCTGTCGACACTCGGAATTAAAACGTGTTAGTATTGGCTTTGCGGCTTAAATCTGCCTTTTAATTTTTATTTCCTTTTCTTTTCTTTGCTTTGCTTTGCTTTTTATGCTATTTTTGTTGCCCATCTTCTATGTTTTGGAGCCTCCTAATATAGAGATCAATGCTACTTTCATAGAGCTCGGGCCATACATACGGGGGACAAATGAATGATTTTAGTATGATAAGATAATCATACAGCTCTGGATGAAGAAAGATTATTAGCACGGGGTGAATAGCTTGGACTAGCTATCAATGGCTACAAATGCTACTTATACCACGATAGCTCATAGTTCGTATTAGCTCTACTGTACTTGAGGCCCCCGCTTGGCTAATATTCAAGCCCTAAATGGGGAGGTAACAACAATCACGGGGTAAACCGTGTGGTACATGGATTGCAAAATCAAAACAACGCCATGGCTGTACAGAGTCTAGCATTCAGATCAAGACGCCACACTTATGCCCTCTTGTTGTTGATGCCGAGGAGCTGGACCTCACTATTCCAGTCTGAGTATTTGTCTAGGGGAGTATATATAGGCGGAGGAGCAGGACTTACAAGATCAGGGTAGCGTTCTCGGGGATGACGGGGGGGAAGCCACTAGAGAAAAGGTCAGTTCCTGAGCCAGGTCCTTGAAAGCAAGTTATGGGAGGCATACCGGGCACCATAGCCGTAGTCGCTATAAAATGGTTAACGAGGTCAGTCAAGACGCGGATGGATGACTTACGGAGTAATGGTGAGAACAGCCTTCTCGCCCAGGGTCATCTGGGGAACACCCTCGTCCCAGCCTAGAGGGTTCACCAAGTCAGTATACTTGCTACCATCCGCCAATAAGAATAGCAAGCTCCCGCGAGTTAGAAGGTAAGAATAATACCTTTAATGACACGGCCAGTACCGATCTGAGTCTGGAAGGGGGTGCCGCGGTCAACGGAGCTGTCGAACCTGAGACATCTTCATCAGTCATGGATTCCAGCCAGAGAGACATTGGCAACCCCAGGAAGGACGAGGCGATGGATTCAAAGGGAAAACCGGGTTGCAACCCCCAGAGACTGCAGGCAGGCTTCAGGACACCTACTTATCACCGTTGGTCAGCTTGCCAGTGTAGTGCATGGTCACGAAATCGCCCTTGGCAGGGAAATCAGTGCCATTGCCGGGAGAGATAAGTTCCTTGGTAACACCCATTGTGAATCGAGAGTGAAGATCTGCAAAAGAATGATTGCGTTCTGTAGTTGAGGGAAGAGAAAAGGAAATTTTAAATCATGAAGCTGTCTTTTGAGGGGTAAATTCAGCTGAGGGGCAAAACCCCACTTATACCAGATCCGATTGGTTCGAGGCGCAGCTTAATGGCTTCCATTTGATACAAGGACGGAGTATCTCAGGATCAAGATCCAGGATATAAGAGAATCAAATTATACTATAAGTACAAGGTCAGTGTGCCTCAATTGAGGGGCATTTCCTAGAATCGAGCATCAAATCTTGTGATCTCAAGCTGTACATAGTATGCCTTCGTTTCCCTTCATGTTCACGTGACTGAATGTCAACCAGAGCAACGAAACACCGCCAATCGAAACCAAGTTTGCAGAAGGATATATATTTAAAGATAAAAGGTTATGAGGAATATTTGTCTTCAGCCAGTTTGTATGATTAATTATGTGAAACCTTCCCTTGGACAAGCTGTCAGAAGACTATCACATAATACTTCGGATACGATGTCATACTTCAACCCCAACAAACAGCTCCATCCCTACAACACATGGACAAGAAAATTGAGAGAAGCCCGGTCGAAATAATGGCGAAAAGCAGAGGTCTAAAGATCCATTGCCAATGGACTTGCTGCTCAAGAGCAGAAACCTGATAGCAGCCACCACCATAACTTTGATTCCCAGCGTGAAGCGGAGCTTAGCAAGCAGAACCCCATAAAACCGGTAAGCTACTCTCTCTCCTTTGTAGCTGTGACGGTAACGGGTCGAGCTAATAGATACAGGCTATGCTGCATGGAAACAAGCCATCAAAAGGAGCACAGATCGATCGGGAGCTGCATCTAGAAGATGAGCAAAGGCTGAGGGAGAAGGGTATCAAATAAGACGGCGTCATCATGGAGAACCAAAGATTTCTGAATATTGAAGCTTCATTTCTGGCCGAGTTTGAAGGTATCTATCTATGAAGTATATTATACCATTATTAAAAACTTAAGTATGTGCATGCCATATGCGGGATATAAGTACAGTTGAATGAAACGGTCATCGTCTCGTAATACAGTGTGTCGTGTTCGTACAGATCGGGTATGAGTTGAACAGACAGGTGTGTATGGATGGATGGATGGATGGATGGCCGGCGCCGTTTGTAGAATATATATACCATCGCCGGGACGATGAATCAGGAACGCTGTATGTATCGAGGATTAATTCCCGTCGGGGAACTGCGGGTCGTTGTCGTGTGGTTCCGCAAAGACATTCGCCCAGTATCTCTCGGTCTTGTCGCAAATGTCTACCTTGGATCCCCAAGTTTGGAAAATCAGATCTGGATCGCAGCTAATTGATCGAAGTTCTTCCCAGTATGCCCGCTCGACATCATATCCAAAGCGTCCAATCACATCTTCCGGTACCAACCATGCCCGCGAGTCTTCCCCATTAGGCCCAACGGTAGGGGTAGTCTCCCACTTCTGACCCCAGACATTCCCTCCGGGGTTGAATTTGGGGTAGTTGGCATGGATGAAGAAGATCCTCGGAGCGTTGGCTACATCCGGATCAAGTACCCGAAATAGCCCTTGGGTGGTTAGGGCATGATCTTCAATCGGATCCGACTGCGCCATGGCGGATCCCGAAATTCCGCCTTCGAGTTTGGAATGGCCAATCGCTTGCACGCTCTCACTTACGGCGTAGAAAGGCTCATCCACAGCGTATGCCGCCTGGAGGAAGGTTTCCTTATCACCTTCACCGGGTCCTCCTTGGGATAGCAATCGGAAGTAATACGACGGCCCGTAATAATTATAGTAAGCGGCAAGGAGCAGAGTTCGGAAATGGGTCCTTTTCGAGATGAGGAAAACACCCGCTTCGGTAGTCTGACGTTCATTCATTGGAGTCTCCGGTCGATTAGAAATCCTGTAGAACCACGGAGATACGGACGATTCCCAGAAGTCGGGCCAGGTGATCATACCCGTCGATTTGAAAACATCTGAATCAAGTAGAAGTTCAGGGTTATGCAGCGGGAAGCAATCAGCATCCATCCAGACGATGTCCTCGAAGGATGAGAACAGCACCGCAAAGACCTTTAGTTGGTAATGTTCAATGGAGTCCTTCCCAACGACATCGGCGAGGATAAAACATCGCGCACTCATTTTCGGGAGAACATCTTCACAGATTCTCTTTTCATATTCGCTAGCATCCTTCATGTATACTTCAACGGGCAGAACCGATCCGGTGCGCCGGAGCATGCGCAGAGTCGCGATAAAAACCGGAAAGTATTCCCCCCCTGCCGTGGAAACCAACCCGCGAGTCCCCGGAGAGTGGACGGGGCGTAGCCGTTTCACATCCGCAATATCTTGGAGGAAACCTGCATGTGTCTCCTGCATCACTCGAATGTCGTCCTCCTCCATAAAAGTAAGATCGGGTCGGAGGGCGGTCGACGTCGCATTAAAATGAATCGCGCCGACGTCTTCTTGATGGGTAGGGGAAGGGCAGTTTGGCCTATGCGCCTCTATTATCGGTTTGAACGCCTTCCAAAAGACATGTTGGCGCTCAGTGAGAGGAACTTCGAAAGCCGTGACAGGAATGACAGAAGCCGGGGCCGGGGTCCAATTCAAATAGACGGTAATGATGAGGAAAAGCGCACCGATTGCAGAGAGGACAGTCCTCAACCGGCTTCGACGGATAACGGGCATCGTATCAACGACTCGGAAGGCCTCGAGAACACACCCCAGCGAATCTATCCGTTAATTCTCATAGACTGACCGTCGGCTATCCGGGAAAGTTCGGCGGAATTTCAAGTCACACAAATAGAAAGACGGAGCCTATCAACTGAGCCAGTGAGCCAACTAGGAACTTCGTATTAAAGTCCAAATTTCGCATGACAGGCTAAACGAGGGAGGCCAGGACTGGAAAGAAGTATCGCAGCAGAGCAGGCCGTCAGGAGGTAGCTATTTCCGGGTGGTTGCAAATTACCATCGAGGCGCTAGGTACAAGGACGCGGCCAATAGTAGGATTAAGGAAGGGAGGCTGTACATAGTAACCTTCAGCAGCAAGCCACCAATGGAAGCGAATTGTTTTTTTTTTTTGATCTGCCGAAGTATGGAGTCAGTCCACGCAATGCATCGATTGGGTCGTCCACCCTATTACGACGACGATGTTATTTAGGGAAGGCGGTGGCAGAACACGTTCATCTGCACATAATTAGTAATCATGGAAGTTATGCGTTCATTGCACCCACGCCAATTTAGCATCAAGTCCGGAGTACGGAGTAATGGAGTATACTATACCTTATCTATCTATAAACTACTAAGAAGTTCGAAACTACCCCGAGTAATTAGACTAATATAGTTGTAGCTAATCTAGTGGAATGGCGGCATCTTCCGCCATATTGATACTTTCTTATCGCCATCTGTGTTTCTAGTATTTTCTTATGGGTAATACTTCCCTCTTATTAGGGACGAACTATGGTGGTGGTGGTGGTGGTGGTACTTTCATTTCCCCTCCTCCTCCTCCTCTTCCTCTCCTCTTGCTTCTCGTCTTGTATTTGCTTCAATCCCTCAACCATCGCTCTTCCTGTCGCTGCTACTTCTCCCCTCCACCTCTTCCTTCCTTCCTTCCTTCCATCTTCGTTATTCGCCTCCTGAAATCTAGGTCGATCGATGGAACCCCGAAGAGCGGATCCCTTCCGCCTTATTCCTGTCCCGTTGAATTGCTCTCTGCATCTCCAGTCCGACGAGACGCTGCTCTAAAAATTGTCGGGAGAGAATGTCGCAGACTTCCCAGGCGAAAGCTCGCAGGTCTTCACCAAAATCAAACCCAGCTCCGCGCAAAAGGCGGAAAAGGACGGTAGTAAGTGGTGCCGCCGAGGACTGCTTTACTTGCGCCCGGAGTGGCTCCCAGTGCGACCGGCGGCGCCCCTACTGCACCCATTGTCTCGAAAATGGCCTAGAGTGCGCTGGTTACAAGACAACTCTGACGTGGGGGGTTGGGGTTGCCAGCCGGGGGAAGTTCCGTGGGCTGTCGCTTCCCGTAACGGGGGCACAGCCAGCCGGAGGGGACCTGAGACATCATCATGCAGCAAAGATCCAGGAGGTGTCGCAATGTGGTCCGTCTCCAACTTCCACCGTTCCGGCCTCTCTGTCAGACCTCCAACCCCAACTTCCTTCTCCAACTTCGGATTCCACTTATGAAAATCCCCCGCACAGAAGAGTCCTATCCACGCCCGGCCAGCCATGGGCTTACTGGAACCAACCAGGCATACACCAACCGATCCCGATCAGTCACCCGCAACATCCTCCACTGCTATACCCGGGGACGGACTCATCGACGGACATTGAATCACCGCCACCTGGGAGCAGCTGGCTGGCGGAGGTGTGGATGTCGACCCGGTCACCAGCGTCCGGAGAATGCCCAGCTCATACTCAAGCCGTATGGGAAGGCGACCAGACAGTGGAGGATCTGGACGGACGCCGGAATTCGCACTCTTCTCTCATGAGCACCTCGCAATCTCCCTCGTTGTCACAGCTGCTCCTTGCCCGATCCGTCGGACAGACGCCACGGCTACGATATCTGATCAGCTATTACGCCGAGGTTATCGCTCCGGTGATTGTTGCGTTCGACAGCCCGACGAATCCGTTTCGCACATCCATATTGCGTTTGGCTCAGGATAGTACGTCTCTGCAGGAAGCGATTGCAACGTTATCTACCAGCAATCTCCGCCAAAGACGCGAGCGGGGGGTCATCTCGACGGGAAGAACAGAACCGGCCCGCATGTCCTCCTTAGCCCACCGTGCTTTGACGGGGACAGCCCTTCAGGAGTGGTACGATCCTTCTGTGCTGGAAGGATTTACGCGGGAGGAACAGTACCATCGGGGAAAAGCAGTACAGGAACTGAACAAGGAGTTGGCGGATCCACAGAAGAGACTTTCAGATTCTGTGCTCGCCACCTTGCTCATACTGTGTCTATTCCACGTATGTGATACCGGAGTGGCCCAATTTAAGACGCAGTTTGCCGGTGTGACCAAGCTGTTGGCGATTCGAATGCGCAACTCTCCTTGTCTATCCGACGAATTGAAGTGGTTCATCCGCATGTTCACTTGGTACGATACAATGACGGCGACCACAAATGATCGTGAGATCCAGCTGCATACCACCTGCGTAGACCTTGCTGCAGTGTCAGATAGTGAATGGGGGCTTGAGAATCTCGTCGGGTGCGACGCTGGTCTTTTTAGGTTAATCGCGCACCTGGGTCGCTTGAATCTCCTGAGCCGGAACCAGCAGGCCAACACCGCTGTTCCATCCAATATTTTCATCCCAACTACAACACCACCGCCATCCATGGTCTACTGCACACCAAACCTGTTTCCCCCAGGAATTCCTGCAGCGATCGACCCGAGTGGGTTCCGACCGCCCACTCTTCCGCGGCCAAGTGGGCAGGCCCAGCAGCCGTTATCGCCAGCGTTCTGGGCCGAATGGTATTCAATTCGACAGCAACTGGAAGCATGGCGGTTGCCGCGGGATCTTCCGGGATCTGTCTTCCCAACCCCAAGTCGTGTCCCGTACGGCCGGACCATGATGGATGCTTACATGTCGCCGCCATCATCACCGCTGGCTCGGTGTGGAGTTGCACCTGAGAACGTCAAGGATGTCCTGCACATCTCTGAATCATTCCGGCACTCGGCGATCCTGTACAGCGAGCGCCTTGCCTATCCGGAGGTACCATCCCATCACCCTCGTATCCAGCAGATCGTACAGCGCTCCATTGCTCACATTCTAGCGGTCAAATCTGATGTATACCTCCTGTGGCCGTTATTCATCACCGGGTCCGAGTGTGTGCTAGAGGAGCATCGCCTCATCATCCAAGAGCGTTGTAAAGATATCTCCACGGATTCAGGCTTCATCAACAACTTGTCCTGTTTGGAGCTATTGCAGAAAATCTGGGCGGAGAACCCATCCAGCACTCCTGGTGTAAACGAGAACAGTAGCAGTGGATATATCGGTACCGCACAGGACGGCGGCCTGTTGGCGTCGCCGCTTGGTTGGTCTGCCTCTGATGCGGTTGTACCGGACGGGGCCTCCTCCCGAGGGTCAGCTTGTGTTGTAAAGAGCCAAGGGTTCCGATGGTACCAAGTGATGCAGGCCAAACGAGCGCAGGGCGAATACATGGTAGTGTGACATGGATGCTGCCTGTATCTAATTCAGACGTTTTTTTTTTTTTTTCTTTTTTGCATTGCATTGCATGCCTGTGATGAGACCAGGCTTGCTGGAGTTATACACGACACAACTCATGTACAAATTACCTATGCTGGATATTATTCAACAATAATGCATATAACTTTCAAGTTCAATGATCTTTGCCGTGCCAGCACATTGTCACGCACAGAGGAAAGGAATTACCCCTCCAATACCCCCCCACTACTACTACCACATTACTAGACGATATCGGATACTTGTGCATGCCCGATTCTCCCAGCCTACCACAGGATATTCTCCGAAGACAAATCCACTTGATACCTGCATACTCTAGTCGCGACTCTAGAGTCAGAGTTAGAGTTGAGTCTAATCTAGAAGCATGGAAGCAGGCAGACAAGTCATCATCTTAGATTACTTGGTAACTGTAGTAACGACGTACGTACTAGTAGTAGTCGAGTATCGCTAAAATACAAGCGAAACAATAGTGACCTCTACAGCCCAACTCCAACTCCAACTCCAGCACAGTCAAGTTAAACAGCTTCAAAAGAAAGAAAGAAAAAAAAAAAAAAAATAAAGTAAAGCAAGTCATGACCGGGTTGTACTTTATCCAGTAAGCGGGCACACTGCACCGTAGTGTCATCAGCGTGTCAACCGCTCATTTGCGGGATTGATTTCGGACATTTGCAGAGTAGGCCAGAGTCCAGAGTCCATGGTCTCGTTGGACAGCAATACGGAGAGATAACTAGTAGATACTCTGTACGGAGTACTAGTAGTTCTATGGAATGCCGGGAATCCACAGGGGATCTCGGTAGTTGGAACTTGAGTGCGTGCATATCGTGGATCGGTCTAGTATGTGGTTTACCGTTTAGGTAGTCGGGCCTTGGTCTGGTATACTTTGTCTTTACTTATACATACTAGTAGTAGTAGTAGTAGTAGTAGTAGTAGTAGTAGTAGGGTTTAGGGTAAGTGTTCTTAGCAGGATCTAGAGTAAAATCGGTAGAAATTGTAATATAATTCTGTGTCTTCCGTGGTATGTGAGGATATACCAGACCTATGTACTCTGTATGCTGCTGGAGCTGTCACGGTCAGATAGACGCTGGTAGACTCATAAGATGTTCACTAGGGTTGTCTATATTAGAGATTAGATATAGATATCGATGTATGTCTTGACCTATAGAATCAGGTCAGTTGCACGAGAATACATCATATCATGTAGATACAAGTCCATGCCTTGACTTGCTGTCAGAAACACCGCTTTGACTCTAGTACTCCGTAGAGACTAGAGACTGAACTAACCGCACTGGCCATGATTATCCAGTAAAAGACCAAAAGTACCATGCATACGGAGTACGGAGTATAGGTTGACCTCACTAGTAGGGCTCAGGGCAAGGGCTCTCCAAATCTCACGCACACAATCCTTCTTCCCCTTTCCCAATCATTATAATTATGGAGTACGGATAGTGGGAAAAGAAAAAAAAAAAATAGAAAATAGAAAATTCGTCTCATATTTTGGCCATTCCTTCTCCTGGCGCGAGAGATCGGCATGAGGCTGGGAGAAAAGGGGGAACATATTAAGGAATTCTGACGAACCTTTTTTTTTTTTTTTTTTTTTTCTTTACAAAAGTGGAATGATGGACAAACGGAGTACTTTAGAGTATAGTATGGGAATTTGGCCCATCCCTCGATTTGAAAACAACCCAATATCGTCAAGTATGCAGCTACATGTGAATGAAGTACGAGTTAGGTTGGGAAAAGGAGGATGTACCATGGATCCATAAGACGGGGTACAGAGTACTATGCAACGAAATACAGTTGTGTATGTACGATACAATACCACGAAGAACCAGAAGAAAAAAGAAATATAAATAAATAAATAGACCAGAATAGAGATAATATATATACAGCGGAATGTTAGTTATGATTTATCCCAGGGCAAGGAGTGAAAACTCTGTTGGTGGGCCTGACGGTGGATTCTCCTATATTCCGTAGACTAGTAAAACTACAAGTGTCTCATATGAAATAAGAAATTATCAACTATCCTCTGAAGACTACCGACTCGCAAGACTACACCTCCATGAAAGGTTTAATTTCTTGTAATCGATTATTGGTTACTCCGGGATGATTCAAGTTGGACAAGAACAGTCCAATAGTTCCTGTAGCTCAATATGATTTGGTCTCTGTACGAGAGCCGTCCACAAACCCCATTATCTTTTGCTGCCCAGCAAGTCAGCGATAAAGTCAGACTGGATTTGAGAATGAGCTTATTTTGTACCCAGATGGAGTCCTTGATCCATGGATGCAGGCGGATGCATCCGTTTGATCAACCAGAAAACAGAATGATTATCAGTACACACATCGCCACTGCAATAGGCAGCCTAAAAAGACTGTGACTCAGGATCAGCATTTATAGCCCTTCTGGTAGCCGCTCTGGTAGGTTCCCATATCGTCGGGCCGTGTGAGTCGATAAAGGCACGCCTGTTAAGAAGTAGTACTCCGTATGGCAATGCAATGCCCAACAGCGTGTGACTCAGACTCTTCCTCGTGAGAGACATTGTAGTCAGATTAGAAGTATAAAGACCCAATCCCTCTACAGCACTTTTGCCTTGAGAATCCACGGATTCCTTATTACTATGATTCCTTTGGTAGAATAGTTAGTTAATAATTATAATTCATATTCTTCTGGAACCCATCCTTTTAACTACCTGAACTGGTTGGGCCTGAACTCGAAACATCTTCCACGAGAAAAAGAAAATTACGGTAAATACCACCAGCTGAACAATACCATACCAAAGTTTCCACCCCCCCACCTGTGCCCGCTTACAAGTTTGCTGAATCCACACTTCACTGCCTTAGTTAATAATCCTTACAAAACTCTCCTTCGCTCACTTTCTTTCTTTCTCCTCTCTCCTATACCCAACTATCTATCCATACACACACAACACACTCTGTTACTCACCTCCATCCCTTTCTTGGGTCGCTGACTTTTGGATTGATTCCATTCCCCAGGATCTCCTTCTCGCTTCCCTTTGGATCTTCCTGGAGTCTGATTCCCAGAGAAGCTCTCTCGATCGCGTTGAGCCTCTCTGCTTCTCTGCAGGGATTTTCACTCGCTTTCTCTTCCACGACAACGACAACCTCTTCCTCCCCAACGTCCGGGCACCTGACATCGTTCAAATGCACCGTTCGCACAAAACCTGTCCACCCTCCTCTCCCCTAGAATCCGTACCGCGGTGACGGTCCTCATCATCGATCTTCCGATTTTGTTGTCCTTTTGATCGGCGTCGATCGGGTTTTTTTGGACGATATCCTGTATAATATACTTGGGTTGTGAAGTTGTTTTGCCTCTGCTCTATTCGGGTTATTGTTACTGCTGTGTGTGTGTTTTTTTTTTTTTTTTTTTTTTTTTTTAATCGGTATTTCTTTTGGGGCTGTCTCCGGGAAACAAAAAGTTATCGATTTTCTTTGTCTCTTGGATTATTTGATTTCGACTCGTGACTCGATTCTCATGCTCGACTCGCGATAATGTACCATTACTCTAGTCCACCTCCGGGGTGGTCCTCGTTCGACTACATGAACTCCCCCCCAACTTCGCCTCACTACGCCTACTACGCCACCCAGTTCGCCAGCCCTTATACATCGCCTCGAGGCACCTCCAAGCGTCATCAGCGCAAGGCAAGCTACGCCGCCCCTACCAAGGACACCGGGTCATGGCATTCCGGTTACAACCACAGCTTCTACGAAGCCATGCCCGAATATGGCACCCCGTCGAGTAAGCACGAGAATGTAAGTGCTTTTTTTGGTGCCAATCCGTCCTCACGTCGTCGCGGAACCATGCCGAGTGCCCCCGCAGGTATCTGGGATAATGGTGGTCCTCCGCGACCGCAGTCATTCCGGAAGCGATCTATCTTTGTGGATGTGGTCGATGATGGATTCGATGATGCTGTGCCCCGATACGCCTCTCGCGAGGAACTAAACAAGTCCCGCCGGCGCCCGTCAACGCCGCAGCGGAAGCAAAAGCCCCCAACTGATCAATATTTTTACTCTACCCAGGTTCCTGTCTATGATGACGCCGATGCCGCCAAACGATCCCGCGCTCGCCGTCAGTCGACGTCGACGCGGAACCCCCCCAAGCCCACCACCAAGCCTGCAACCGCCTCCAAACCACCCCCCAAAGCCACTGAGGCCGACGCCACCCGTGCGGGAATCCCGGCCGGTTATTCGATCAAGAACTGGGATCCCACGGAGGCGCCCATCATCCTGCTCGGCAGCGTATTCGATGCCAACTCTCTCGGCAAGTGGATCTACGACTGGACTGTCTTTCACCACGGTGCTTCAACTCCAATGGCCGATGTCGCGGGCGAACTCTGGCTGTTGCTAATTAAACTGGCGGGTAAGGTGAAGCGGGCCGACGAGTGCTTGGACCGGATCCAGGACCCGGATGCGCAGGAAACGGTGGAAGACTTTTTGGAAAGTGGAGAGCGCTTGTGGGCGCGATTTAAGAAGCTGCTAAGAACTTGCGAACAGTTTATGTGGAAGGCGGCCAACCGTGAAGGGGGCAAGGGCACGGTGTCGATGGGCCGCAACGCCGGATGTGAATTTGTGGATTCCATCTTTGGTCGCGATCGCGAGTTGGAGTACACGGAAAAGCTCATGAACAGCATCCGTGTGTGGAATATGCGTTTTGATGCCAACTGTGAGGAGATTCTTCGGAAGCGGACAGTCTAAACCCCCTCCCCACCGTACTTTTTTGGCTTTTGTTTTTTTTTTATCACAACCCGCATCAACCTGGGCAACATGAACCCAGGCTCTGAACATGAAAAGTAATAGTGTTGGATTATTATTTATGCTTTTACCAGAAAGCATTTTTGAACACCCTAATATTGGAAGGGTGAGTGATGGATTATTATTGCTTTTCCCAGGAAGCATTTTTGAACACCCTCATATTGGAAGGGTGAGCGATTGATATTATTGTTCTCTGTCGGACTGCATTTGAGCGCGTTTGGTTTTGGTTACTCTGACTGATTGCTCGTTGCGTTTGATATTCCCCGTGATGGTTTATCTGCTTGAATACTGCAGACTTGACACCAAGCCTTTCTTTTGTTTTTTTTTCCTTTGTCACTGTGCACTGGTTCCAAGGATGGGACGGTGATTTGTTTCGTGTCTAGAGGGCATGCTCATTGGGAGTCGTTGCATTGTTCTGCAAGTCTGGCCCATGGCTTACTTCTGTTTTTATGATACCATTCTGCGGTGTTTGTATGTGGATAATTCATTCCTTTGATAGACACCCACTCCCACGTACTAGACAATTATTTTCTTTTCACCAGACTACACTGTAGTGTATAGTAAGCAAGTAATAAAAACCTGATGTCATCTGACAGTTCATGCAAGCTAAAAGATGACCCGTGCCTGTTTAAGAACTTCATAATCTCTGTATGATAGTAGGTAATATATCAGGATAAGAGAATTCCCTGGAGATTAAACAACAAATCACTACCAATAGGCTCCCTGCATGCAATGTTATGTCTACCCCTCCTCTTTACCACTTTCTGTTTCCAATCTTTCCTTTGTTACGCGTACAGCTTAATACATGACCGTACTTTCAAGTCAGAAGAGAAGAGAACCAGGTAATGAATGTACAGCTCGCCAGGTCGCCAGGTCGCCAGGTGGCTACCAAATTTGACTAGTTAGGACCAGTAATAACCAAATTTCATTACCATATGTGACAATACTAGTAGTAAGTCAGTAATATATTCTGTAAAGTTGCGGGATTCAAAATCATCTATCTAGTAATACTGGTTATGACCAGTCATGCCTAATTCAAGTGGTAAAATACTACCTGGCAAGACAAGATTTAGTATGGTATACTTTTTATAGTATATTATAATAGAATATATATCTAGTTATTACTAGTATTACTAGCCCTACTAGTAATTACTAATAAAATTAGAAGTTCTAGTTATTACTAGTAATATCTAGTAGTACTAGAACTTCTAGCCCTACTAGTAATAACTAGAACTTCTAATTTTACTAGTAATTACTAGTAGGGCTAGAACCTCTAGTTATAATTAATAAAAATAAATATATATTAATCTTTTCTAATAATCTATATCTTTTATCTAGATAATAGTAATTAGAGATTTTAATAATTACTAGATATTACTAGTAATAACTAGAATTTCTAATTTTATTAGTAGTTACTAGTAATTACTAGAACTTCTAGTTATAATTAATAAAAATAAATATATACTAATCTTTTCTAGTAATCTATATCTTATTATCTAGATAATAGTAACTAAAGATTCTAGTAATTATCATGGCGTGTACTAGGTGCACTAGTGCCAAGGTAATAATTGCTAGGGTATATAAGGTAGGATTTGGGCAGATTAGACATTAGGTCTAATCATAGTAACCTTTTAGTCTAATAGTTTAGACATGTTGCCTGAATCACATGCTCTTATAGTAATTACTAGTAACTACTAATAAAATTAGAAATTCTAGTAATTACTAGTAACTACTAATAAAATTAGAAATTCTAGTTATTACTAGTAATTACTAATAAAATTAGAAATTCTAGTTATTACTAGTAACTACTAATAAAATTAGAAATTCTAATTATTACTAGTAATTACTAATAAAATTAGAAATTCTAGTAATTACTAATAATTATTAATAAGATTAGTTCTTTTTTAAAACTAATTATAATAATCTAATCTAGATATATATTTTACTTAAGTAAGTACTAGTCTTGACTAATCTTAACTAGAAATAATATACTATATTATACTATAAAAAGTATACTATATTAAATCTTGTCTTACCAGGTAGTATTTTACTACTTAAATTAGGCATGACTAGTCATAACTAGTACTACTAGATAGGTAATTTTAAATCTTATAGCTTTATAGAATATATTACTAACTTACTACTAGTATTATTATATATAGTAATGGAATTTGGTCATTACTAGTCCTACCTGGTCCCAACTTGTCAAATTTGGTAGCCACCTGGCGACCTGGTGACCTGGCGAGCCGCAACCTCCCAGGTAATGAGGTTGTGGCTTGCCAGGTCGCCAGGTCGCCAGGTGGCTACCAAATTTGACTAGTTAGGACCAGTAATAACCAAATTTCATTACTATATATAATAATACTAGTAATAAGTTAGTAATATATTTTATAAAGCTATAGGATTTAAAATTATTTATCTAGTAATACTAGTTATAACTAGTCATACCTAATTTAAGTAGTAAAATATTACCTAGTAAGACAAGATTTAGTATAGTATACTTTTTATAGTATATTATAGTAGAATATATATCTAGTTATTACTAGTAATATCTAGAAGTTCTAGTACTACTAGTAATTACTAGTAAAATTAGAAGTTCTAGTTATTACTAGTAGGGCTAGTAGTACTAGAACTTCTAGATATTACTAGTAATAACTAGAATTTCTAATTTTACTAGTAATTACTAGAATTTCTAATTTTACTAGTAATTACTAGAATTTCTAATTTTACTAGTAATTACTAGAATTTCTAATTTTACTAGTAATTACTAGTAGTACTAGAACTTCTAATTATAATTAATAAAAATAAATATATACTAATCTTTTCTAATAATCTATATCTTTTATCTAGATAGTAGTAACTAGAGATTCTAATAATTACTAGATATTACTAGTAATAACTAGAATTTCTAATTTTATTAGTAGTTACTAGTAATTACTAGAACCTCTAGTTATAATTAATAAAAATAAATATATACTAATCTTTTCTAGTAATCTATATCTTATTATCTAGATAGTAGTAACTAAAGATTCTAGTAATTATGTCACGGCGCGAAGCCATAGTACCTATCTAGTTAGATTCTGCCTTAACTATCCACCCTTATTCCTATATTTAAGCTATATTATTCTTAATCTTATTATAGTTCTTTAAGCTATATCCTATTTATTATCTAATACCTACTATTCTACTATTCTATCTAGTTAGCTCTTAATTAATAAATATCTAAATCTAACTTTATACCCTAATATTATATAGCTTCTCTTTATTAGGAGTTAATTATTACTATTATACTTATTTTATTATTTATATTATTTAAAAATATAGAAACTCTCTTATATAATATTTTTAATAAATTAAGATAATATATTATTAAAATATATTAATTTTTTATTACTACTATAAAAAAACTTTATAAATTATTTATTTTATATTTTATTATTATTAATTTTCTTAATTATATTTAATAAAAAAATAGTATAATTAAATATTAAAAAATATAAGTTAAAAAAATTTAATAAAAATTATTTAAAATACTTATTTAAAATAATATACTTTTTTAATTATTATCTCCTTCTAAAAGAGATACTAATATTACTATTTCTTTTATTATTATTATTATCTTTATTATATTTATTTTTACTATCTAAATTTCTAAATAACTTCTTAATTTTAATAAGTTTAATAATTAATAAAATAACTTAAGATACTTTATTTTTTAAATTTATTAAAAAATAATTATAAACTTTAATTATTTTCTAACCCTAAATAATTAAATAACTTATATAACTAGTTACTTTAAAGAAATCTTATATATCTAAATTTTATTATATATTTAAAATAGAATCTATAAATTAAATAATTATATTAAGATTTTAGAAATTCTAGAGAAAGTTTTTAAAAATCTAAATTTAAAAATTAATATTTATATTAATTTATTCTATCTTTAATAAATTTATTATAAGTTTAGTATTTTTTTTACTAAATTTTAATATCTTATATTAGAAAAAAATATAAATAAAGATATCTTATTTATAATTCTAGAATAAATTATTAATTAGAAACTTTAAAAATTATTAATATACTTTAAGGCCTTATTATAAGATTATTATATTTTTACTAATTATTTATAAAATCTAGAAAATTATTATTATTATTATATAAGTATTACTCTACCCTTATTTATAAAAAATTTCTAGCCTTTCTAACCTATCTTAAAGCTAACTTTTATTATCTAAATTCCTATAGGTCCTATTAATCCTACTATTATTATTATTCCTATTAAAGATCTAATAGATCTATTTATTACTTACTACCTTAATTATTAAATCTAATACCTATATTATTACTATAGTAGTACTAAATACCTAATAAGTAACTATTTATACCCTAATTAAAGACTAACTAGCTATATTTCTATATTTACTACTAAACTAGACTTATATCTCTTATTAATTAAAATCCTGCCTACTAAATATCTTTTATTCTCTAAATTAGAAAATAGAGTATTTCTAATCTAAGCTATAATTAAGAATATCTCTAGTACTCTCTCTACTTATTAAAAACTATAATAACTAAAATAATAATAGAGAAAAAAAGTTACTAATCTAAATTAATAATCTTATTTATTAATCTAGAAATTCTTAATAAGACTCTACTAATTTTTATTATAATTAATTCTAAAATTAAGAATAAATATTTTATAAATTATAATTAAATTATAAATAATTAATTAGAGATATTATTATTAAAAAATCTTATTTTATTAAGAAAATTTAATAATATTTTAATAAAATTTAATTATATTACTTATTTTATTTATTTAATTTAAAAAATTTATAATTATATTAAAAAAAATATTACTTTTTTTATAACTTAATTTATATATTTTCTTATTATTTTTAAATTATTCTAGTTAAAGATCTATAATCCCTAGATTAGATTTA